CACTTATTATGAAACAAAGTGAGTATTAATTTTTGTTTTCTCGTCAGCTTTGAGTTATGTCACAACTTTTTTTTTCTCGGATGTTATGATTAGAGGTACATCGAATTCAGGGTTAAGTGAAATCGATAGTAATTTAAGGAAGATAAATGATGATGAAAAAGTTTATATATAGAAAACTATTCGTTGGCGGTAACTGAGATATATTTAAGTATAGATAAAAAAAAATTGATAATTTTGAAAAATGTTATTTTCGATAATCTTCTACATAAAAACATGTCCTTATCTGATTTAAGAAGTTTGCTTTGCAATTGGAATGTCTTCTAGAAGAGGTGAACCCTCACATAATATACGTACTTTGTTAGTATGGATGTCGCTTCTTTTCTTTCATGATTTGCTAATGACTAATTAGCTTCTTTGTTTGCCTTTAATCATATTGAAAATGTCTATAGAAATTGTGGAGTAATGACTTTTCCTTCTATTAACGAATGATAGCAAAAGCGTTAGGTGCCAATGACACTTCGAAAGCCTTCATTTTCGTGCTTTTCTGCAATCGAATCAAATCAATCAATTTCAATCTCTTATCGAATTCATTAATCAGCACTGGTTTATACAGGCTTTTTTTTTCTAATTTTATTAATTTGATAATCAAACTTCAACTTACAGTGGGAAATAATTCCAAGAGAGCCGACAAAGTTGGATTGCAGACCAAGAAAATGATTATAACACTTGCAGTTATAATCTCAACTGGTCTAGAGAAAGTTGGATTGATTTATTAAGATTCGAGCGTGAGTATGACGCACCGTCCGACCATTTTCACATCCCTATCGACGCTATGTACGAATTGAGGTGGAATGATTAATCAAACATGTTTTCACCTCAATATAAAACCATGCTAATAATCTGGTTCATAATCATAACCGTTACAAGATCACTGTTTTTTTTTGTATTATTCTTTACAATGTGAATTCTACCTTTAATTTTATTATTATTACTAGAAATTTTGATTTTGAGTCTCAGAGATGCAAGGAACCACGTAATATCCAAAATGAATTGACCATAGCTGTTCTTGATAATTACAAGAGTAACTGATAAAAACTGGTACGTATATAGTTCTTAATGAAATAAGAGCAACGACTCCGTAGTAATTGACATTCCGTCAAAATACTGATAGACTATACTTTTCGTTATCTTTGGCCTTTGATTGATTTGTACGTAAGGTGTCAATTGATTTGTCACAGACCCACAATCCGAAATTGCATAGTGGGTTCTTCTATTATATGTATTTTGTTTTGATAACCATCTACCCATGCATGTATATATTGTATATTATACGGTGCAGAGTAATAGATCAAAGAGTTACATATTTACTAATGTTCTTGAAGATTATATTTTCTAAAAAGCCTCATATATATATATGTTATAGTTAATTTTATCAGCCGGGAAAGATTTTTCAATGTGAAACGATAACAATCTCAGTGGTACCCAATGTCAGTGGGTTTATTCATGATCATGAATACTAATTTGTGTGTGTGTTTTTCTAATTATTGACTTCGAAATTAGAAAGATTGGTTTACATTAGAGGAGGTGAAGTCAACAAGTAGCTCCAAAATCAGTCAGTTCTTTGGCTTTAGTAACCATCGTTTTATTATTGGGTCCATTTAATTAGTTTCGACGTAACTCTCACCTTTTCTACGTAATACAAATATATATATACTAAACATATATCATTGGGTCCAAAACGACTGTCTCTATTCTCAGCACATGAGCTATATATAGACAGACTCATGGATATATATATATATACAATACATGTGCGGGCAACATAAACTCTATCCTCGGGTTTATCTTACTTATTGAGATTTATCTTGAATTTTGTAGACTAAAGTTGTTATATAATGCAAAAATAAAAAAAACGATCATGATCGACTGATCGTGATCAATATAATAAAAAGAAAGAAAAAAAACTAGAAGAAATCGATGACGTATTTAGTCTTTAGTGGCATGCATGTTTTCCAGCTCAGCTTTCAACTGAAAGACAAAGACATCTTCATGGCCCAAGTTGTTAAGCTTCTAAATTGGTTAATAATCTTCACATAATGCAGTGTACTTACGTGTTTGTCTATACCTCTATAAATATGAATGGAATATGTTTTCTTTATTCTCCCATGCATGAAGGATAGAAGAAATGCTATCTGCTAGTATTTTGGTATAGAACTGACATTTTAAGGAAAAAAAAATTGATATTAGCCCTATTAGGCCACCTTTTGCAAACCGACCCACTTTTGTTCGCATGGGAGCATTCTAAATTCCCTGAGTTTATCATATAGAAACGCATGCAAACCTAAAAGTAAGCAATTCAAACATAACTTAAGAATTTAGACTTCAAGCATTAATTTCTTAAAATCATCAATTCGACATTACATGCAATCATCATATGTTACTCTTCTCAATTAGTGAACGTTTACGAATAATTAAGTTAAGATATATATATATATATAGCTTTTATTATCTCTAAAACTAATATATATATATACATCAAATATAACACTAAATGAGGAGGACAAGTTCTCTCTGAATAATTGAAATTTCGTTGCGGCTTTAATTTATCCCCGGCGGGTCCAAGTCGGAGTCGCTGAGTAGCAGTGACGACGACGAGTGACGTGCGTCGCGCCATTAAATCTTGTATGATATAAGGTCAGTCTTCGACAAAAAGATATCGGTCTAATTAATTCTAAATAAAATTTTCCATGTGCGTTAGCCGTTAGGTGGAAACATTTATCCATGCACAGGTACCATGCAATATTTGTATTAATTTTGACAATAATATATTCAGTTGCAGAAATTATTGCTTGCATCAGCATATCGTTAAATTAAGAATTATTTAGGTCATTTGGTAATACGACGCTACATGTATGTCATGACGCAACGCGCCTTTCACATTATCACGTCCTTATTTTTGATGAATTACTATCTACCAAAGCAACAGTTAAAAAGAAAATACATTCAAAGGAAATGAATAATTAAGCTCATTTCGTAACCAACTGTTTAGTTTAGAAAATGTGCCCTATTTATTTTATAAAAATACTGAACTACTTTCATAAGATTCGTTTATATATTCACCAGGCCTATTTCACAAAAATACATCATAATCTATAGGATTGCCCCTAAATAGCATAAAATTAGTGCTAAATTGCCAGTACATAATATGATTGCTAATTTGTAGCACCATCCTTTTCTTTCAGCGGCAAATTTTTGTTTGGGGCATTTTGTGGCAATATTTAAAGTCCGACTAAAGTGATTTTGCTTTCGTGTAAAGTGGTTTGCATTAAAATTATTACATGCATAGAACAATATCGGGGTCCATTCATAAAATCATTCTAATCGGAGAAACATTTATTAAAAAAGGTATTATTATTACATTAACATCTCATGCTACACTACATAGATTAAATGTTCGCTATAAAAATGTTCATAAAATGAATCGGTGTGTTACTATGAGACAATCAAACCTTTTAGAATTTTTTTTTATATACATATTGAAGAGAGGTAGCTAGAATTGTTAATCTCATTTCGTTTCTAAATACTGTATCTAATTATTTTTTCCTTTTAGTTAAAAAAATCTGTCTACGGAAATAGGAATGCAAAACTTGAATATTAGGTTTGCGTTACTTTACGATTTACGACTAGCTGTCAAATATGCAACCATTTGTAAAAAAATTTCGAAAATAAAAATCAGGTGGTGTATCAATGTAAACCATCGAATGTTAAGAAACAAAACAAATCAACCTTTCAAAAAAGCCATCAATTATTAGCAGACTGTCAGGGATGGTGGCTGTCTTATATGCAAAAAAGGATCACTATTGGATTTATACGTTTTATACATTTTTATAAAAGAAATTCGTTTCGCTATATAATTAGTTGAAACTTAAGAGTCATGCAGTAACAACGAGACGGAAAATAAGAGCAGAGATCAAAAGCCCTCACAATACAATATAGTCAAACGCCTAGTAGAATTTACACCAAATTTCATTTTATAAGTCTGAAACTTAATTATTTCGGAATCGTAAATATATTTGATACTGGAAAACCGTAATTTTTCTTTATACACGTTACTCCTGTGGATAACATGGTATCATATTTTGATATTTAATTTAAACTGTTATTAAACAATTAACTGTTTAACTAAACTCGAAATATAGTTAAATTTAATACACACAAACACAGGAGTATATATTTTCTTTTCTTTGTCATCTACGTACGTACCATTCACTTGCACTGTTACACGTAATATCAAATTTGAATCCACGTTATGATACAGTATCGTCATTAATACAAATCAGAAGTTTACAAATCTTTATCGATGTAAAATTTTATATATAAAGTAGAAATTCTGATATCTAACCTCTTTGTTAGACTTAATATCTTTTTATTTTGGGGCAAAGACTTTTATATCTAGAAGTAGCATTTTCCAAATGTGTTAGTAGTCAGTAGCTTTTTCCCATCTATCTTCTACGATTGCACCATTCATTTTTACATAATGGCATTTGTAGCATTTGTATACGATCTCTATCTCTGACAACATGTCTTCACCACATCTTCAACATTTCTTTTTATTCTTATTTTATTAGACTAACCAAATCAAATATTTTTTGGTATTCTTTTGAGCTTGAACCGACTTTTGACATCTTAAAATTTAACAACCCATTATAACTTTTTGTATAAATTTTAACGAGATTTAATAGGAAAGTTTGGAATTTGAGTTGATTTGACTAGACTTTAGATTTTTCGATCTATATGTTGTATGTGAAAAAATCGATACTTTAAATGAGTAAGATAAACGTAAACACATCAAATTTTATATAAACATATAAAACTTTGTAAATTTTGCAATGAACATCAATTAGATTCACTATTTCTCATTTGAGGTTTAGACTTTTTTTGTTATATGTTTTTTATGATTGTCATAATATATTAAAAAGTCTTCTCAAGAGTTCAGAACTCGAATTTGTAAAATTGGTCCACCTTAGTACACCTAGTACTAGCTGACTATGAAACAAAAAAATCTATATATACGTGATGTAAATGTACATATTATTACCAAGCACATAACATTTCAATTCTCTACTACACACTAGTCTCAACATGGCAACTACATCATCCTCGTTACCAAATTATAAGTTCCGGATCAATCTGAAGTTCTTCCTGATCTTAAACCTCTTGTACCTTCATACGTTAGTGTTTGCCCATTCATCAAACTCTAAATTCTCTAAATTTTCAAGACACACAAACTCCGATTCATCATCATCTTCTTCTAACGAAGGGTTTCTCGGTTCGGTCCAACGCAGTCTGGACAACGCACTCTTAGCTCACTCTCTCGCCTTCAATCTCACACTCTCGCACCGTACAGCTCAAACCCTATTGCTCGATCCTGTCAACGACTGCCTTGAACTGCTAGACGACACACTCGACATGTTGTCTCGCATCGTCATCAAGCCTAAAAATAACGATAACGATGATGTTCATACGTGGCTAAGCGCGGCGTTGACTAATCAAGAGACTTGTAAGCAAAGTCTCAGCGAGAAATCTAGCTTCAACAAAGAGGGAACAACGATGGATTCTGTTGCAAGAGATCTCACCGGTTTACTGACCAACTCACTAGACATGTTCGTTTCCGGTATGCAGAAACACCCTTCTCGGTCTAGTCGTGTAATTGGTGGCCGGAAACTATTGTCCGATGATCACGAATTTCCGACGTGGCTTTCTTCGTCTGACCGGAGGCTTCTAGAAGCTTCGGTGGAAGAGCTGAGACCTCACGCGGTGGTGGCTGCCGACGGAAGCGGGACCCACATGAGCGTAGCGGAAGCGTTGGCGTCATTGGCGGGTGGGAGTGGCAGAAGCGTAATTCGTTTAACAGCCGGAACCTATAAAGAGAACCTCAACATTCCGACCAAACAAAAGAACGTTATGTTAGTTGGTGACGGAAAGGGCAAAACAGTCATTGTCGGTAGCAGAAGTAACAGAGGCGGCTATAGTACTTACCAAACCGCTACTGTCGGTAAGATATTCATTATAGTTTTTATTCATTTGGATTTGACCAAAAAGTAAAAAAATATTCAACTGGATAATTTAGAAAATGATTGTTTTCTTATGTTGTGTCGGCCTGTTATAGGCTATTTTAGGGTAATTATTTATAAAATTGAACTATCTTGTGCATCAATAACTAGTTCTTACTAGGGTTTAAAAGAAAAGATCTATGTGCTTTTTTTCCTTTTGTTAGAAAAAAGTCTTTTCTCGAACCTTATTGTTTAACTGTTTAAAATTACTTAATTTATAATTAATTTGTGAAAGCCGCCATGGGAGATGGATTCATAGCTCGGGACATAACATTCGTGAACAACGCCGGACCAAGCGCGGAGCAAGCGGTAGCATTACGGGTCGGGTCAGACAGATCCGTGGTATACCGATGCTCAATCGATGGGTACCAAGACACGCTCTACACTCACTCCAAACGACAGTTCTATCGAGAAACCGACATTTACGGCACCGTCGATTTCATCTTCGGAAACTCCGCCGTCGTTTTCCAAAGCTGCAACATCGCGTCCCGAAAAGGCTCGTCGGAGCAGAACTACGTCACGGCCCAAGGACGATCCGACCCGAACCAGAACACCGGGATTTCGATCCACAATTGTAGAATCACCGGTTCAACCAGGACTTATCTCGGCCGGCCATGGAAACAGTATTCGAGGACTGTTGTGATGCAATCGTTTTTGGACGGTTCGATTCACTCTTCGGGTTGGTCTCCTTGGTCCGGTGGGTTCGCTTTGAAGTCTCTGTTTTACGGGGAATTTAGGAATTCGGGTCCTGGATCATCGGTTTCGGGTCGGGTTAATTGGCCCGGGTACCACCCGGCGTTGACGTTGACTGAGGCTCAAGGGTTTACCGTTGCAGGTTTCATTGACGGGAATTCATGGTTGCCGTCATCAGGTGTAGCTTTCGTCTCCGGGCTTTTATAATTTAAGTGAGCTTTTACTGCTGCTTTATACTGATTATTAATTAATCGGTAAATATGGTTAAAAATTATATTTGATCATACTTAAAATTGTATATTACGCGTTTTGTGTTTTGTTTAAATACCCTTGAATTTGTAATATATCTTGTCACGAAGAAAGTGTTAAAAAAATGATATGGTGCAGTATATAATAAACTTTGTAATACCGATTGCCATTCAATTATCTCTATCGGAATGTCTTTCCATTCAAATTGAAAAGGTATTAAAAATTTTACCCAAAAAAAAAAGGTATTAAAATGTTTAGTTTTGAATGTGAGAGAGAGAGGGCATAAAAGCGTTTAACTAAGGTCTTAAGGATAAGATTAGAGAAAGTGGATACTTAAAGGCTATGGCCCTTCATGTTGGTGGTTGGCACAATCGTGGGTCTACTTGTCCAAACTCGGTTTAGTTTCATTTTTTCTTTTTAAGAAGAAACAGCAAAAAAACACAATTGAGGTTCTAAATATGATATTGATAATTATATTCGGTTCTTCAAAATTCAAATGGCTGTTTTGCTCGTCAAACCAAAAAGAAAAGTAGGTTCTGGAATTAGTTTTGTAATCGTTCTAATTTTCTGTCCCCAATTTGTTTGGTTTGGGCCGGTTTTCAACCTGTTGAGATATCATCACTTTAATAACAACCCCAATGACAAAATATGGCAAGATAAGGTAAAACACAATGAGCAACAAAATATAAAAACAAAGTTAAATAGGATTGTTTTGGGATTGAGTTTGGTTTAAGATGGTTTTCATGCCAATTAAACAAAATTGAACCGCGAAGTAAAATTCCAAGTTTAGCAAAACCATGAGAAAGCAAGTTTTGTTCTTCAGATATGTCCTTGTTCAGTCCACTTCTTATCCAAGAAATCACTCACCAGGAGCTGGACTTTGCAGCTTGATAACTTGTTGTAGAGGTCAAACATCTCCAAGACAAGTTTAGACACTTCAGGGTTTCTTAGCTGTGTGGGATCATTTTCTTCAACAAAGACGTCCATTCTCTTCAAACACGGAAGATACTCCAAGAAATGCTTTATCATGGTCATCTTTTTCATTGTTGCTCGAAACCCTTTAATCTCTAACCTATTCACCGGACAAGATCTGAGTGATCGACCTTTGTCTTCCCGAGAAATGCAGGCACAAGCATCCCCGCATTTATCTGTTACATAGTGTAATAGACCCTGAAAGCATACAAAGGAGACGATTAGGTTAACGTTAGTAAAAACTGCATCTTCAACACATGTTTTGTCCAAGTACTTTCATGGTTTATAGATGTACCTCCAAGATAATAGTTTCTAAATGTGGACAATGCCTTAGAAGAGCAGGCATTGCTTGCCATCCTCGACCCTCTTCACTCGTAACACCTAAGAATTTGAGGTTGTTGAACACCGGCATCGATTCACAGCATAGAGAAAGCACCTGAAAATAAGATAAAACCCCAACTTGACATTTTGCAATTAATGTTTCACAACTAGACTGGAAAGAACAAAACAGAGGAAAACTGACCTCGAGAGTATCAGAAAGTAAGGAAAGTTTCTGAACATTTTGTAAGCCATTCATGAGTTTCACCACATTGCCAAATTTGAGAACAACATCACCGTCATCATCCTCATCGTCCTCATCGTCTTCTAACACATCATTATTTGGCGGTCTTAATCGCTTGGTCTGAGCATCGTCTACCATAAGGTTGATTCGAGCCTCCAATAATTTTTCCATATTAACTAATGGATAGTCCTCCGCAACTAACTCAGAGTAGTTTAAGAAGAGCAGATTTGGAGTATCAAAAGAAAAGCTCTTTGGATTCTGCCGCCAGGGTTTCAAGCCATCACAACCGGTGCCGTGGAGACTTAGCCTTCTGAGCCTTGCACTCGACACGGTTACATCCAAATCTCTCCACTCCATATTAGCCATTCGTAATTCCTCAAGCACAGGGAAAGAAGGAACAAACTTCTCAAGCTCATCACAAAGAATCAATTCCGAGTCAATATAAAGACTTTTAAGCATGGGCAAGGAAGAGCCCATATCTAGATGCCACCAATCAACACTGTTTTCAGTTCTTAATTTCAGCTCAACTAATGTCCTACTGAGGAACATCTCTTCAGGCAGAGAATAACCTTCTTCTTCGATATCCTCGTAGGAAAAATCAGTGAAAAGATTAAGGTCCGAGACACCACGCTGCAGCACATTACATATCCAACGGTTCATAATATCTGGATGGACACCGGTAATACACTTGAGGGAGAATTTCTCTACGGGAGAATCACCCTGCGAAGCCAGTACTCTCTCCACAAAATCAACGAAGCTCTGTCGAATTTCGACCCTTTCCTCTTTACCCTCTTCCGGATGAAGAAAGACAGAGTCGTCAATGTCAAGGTTAGGAACAAGTTTCCACAGGTTCAGCCACCGCTTTGAGAGAGCCGGAGTCGAAGCAGCATTCTTTGTAGGAAGGTAAGACAATATATGACAAAGAAGCTCGTCCGGTAGGCTGCTGATACGGTCCATCTTGTCTGCAGGAATACATATGTGTAAAATCAACTACACAAAGCTCCTAAAAGCAATTCCAACAACAACCCATTACCAAAGCAATCAGGAAACCACATCACGCAAAAGTTTGTATGTAGAAACTTTGAGCTAAAACAACAGAAGCAGGAGATACGAGTTCACTTGGTCAGTTACCTTTTGGTATAGAGAGGGGAAATACAAGGCCAACACTTGCAGCTCTCAGGGACAGGAAAATGCAAAAAGATTCAGCAGTAACAACTACAAAATGGGACAAAAATTAAAAGGGTTTCAATCAGTGGGAAGAGAGAGAGATAGAGACCGAATGCTGAGATCGTTGGTTTCTGTGATGACCCTCTGAAAAGAAACATACTTTCAAAGAGGAGATAGAAAAATCTGACATTTACCTTGGAGGAACAAACTCAAAATCCAAGAACTCGACTTTAAGGGGTTTCAATGAACGCGTCTGAGTACAGAATCGCTGATTTACTGTTTCTCATGAAAAATCCATGCAAATGCTGAGGCCTCCAATTTAAAAGAGAGCAAACTGCAAAAGGGAAGGAATATCAAGCGTCCAGTACCAAATTGGCTCTTCACGAGAAACTTGGTTAGGTATTTGGATTGGATTTAAACTTTAATTATTTCGCCGAAATCGGTTTTGTTTGGATGATTTACAATTATTAAATGCTTCGGGTTACTCTTACACAAAGCGGAGCGTTTTGTGCACTTGCCGAAAACGATGTTACATCTAAAAAAGACCAGTGGGCCGTTTGGGCTTGACTTCCAACATAACCCCCAAACCGAACCGGTTTTAAAATCCCTCAAACCGAACCAAATCAAATCATCCTATACGCATAGTTCCATAATTGAAGGGGAAACTCGAGTCCAAGTGGGAGCAAATAATATGAACTAAATGGTACAGATAAGCCCTCATAGAAGATTTGGCATTAATGAAACAAAAACAATGCTGCAAATATGTCTACTGACAATCTTTTTCAGAAACAAAAACACTATACATAAGTCAAGGTCAGACGAAATTTTTGTCAGAATGAAACAAAAACCCTCCGCAAAAGACAAGATAAGATGAAGACAATGATCAAACTTAACAAAAGTAGTAAACGAGTAGAATGAAAGAGTGATGTTCTTCATGCTTGAGTTGGTAGTTGTCAAATTAAAATAATCTCACAACTGGGGGAAGCTCTTGGAAGCCTTTGAAGATCAGTGTTGATGCTTGACTTCTCCTCAGCGCCTATTCTTCCACAATGAACTCTGAGCAACTCAAGACGTGACAGTTTCCCTAAGAAATGCTTTACTTGCTCCAACTCACCATCAGTTCCGTCGTACCACAACTTTATCTCCAAGACCTCCACATTACATGACAGCAGACAAGAATATCCCGACACACACTCGCAAACATAGTCAGGTTGTTCATCATCTTCAGGCGGGTCAACATAGTGCAGTTCACCCTTTAGCAAGAGAGAGAGAGAGGATTAGAGATGAAAAGATTTAGAATTCGTCCAATAAAGTCTTTAGGTCATACCTCGATGAGGAGCGTCTTTAGATTTGGAGTCTTCCCAAGCAAAACGGGCAGAGCTCGCCAGCAAAATCCCATGTCATCATTTGTAATAGTCAAATGATGCAGACTTTCAAACACCGGAACTGCATCACGGAAAATGTAAAGCGCCTGAAAATCGAATAAAATGAAACAAGTTCTTCAACCAAGTTCAAATTTTTTTGCAACACATTGTTCATATATGTAAATATTGGAAACATCCTAAAAAGAAAGAAGAAGAAACAATGAACACGCTTACATCGAAAGTAGCAGGAGATGACAACTCCAGGATCTTAACATTTCTTAGCCCCTGAATCAGGTTTGTTGGATTGCTAGAGATAGGTTCACCATCATATAGATAGCCCCCATGCCACTGGTGATTAACCGCCAAAACAAGACTGAGCTTAGCTTCGACCAGGGAATCAAGAACAACACTTGGATATGCATCCGCAGCAAAATCAGCGTACTCAAAGTAGGTAAGACTCGGGGTATTGAAAGTAATGCCCTGATGATCAGGCCCTTCAAAATCGTCGGAGAACACACGACCAATAGTGAGTCTTTCAAGAGTTGGACTTGACACGATCCCTGACCACCTCCATGTTTCCCAGCTGATACCATCAATGGTGAGCTCCTTAAGCAAGGGGGAAGCCGAAAGAAACGCCGCCAAAGCACAATCACGAATAGCTTCGAACTGAACCGAGTAAAGACCCAAGGTCTCAAGAGCTGGTAGCGAAGCGTTCCTAGGGAGGTTACTGATAACAAAATCACTCCCTAGTTTCAGGTTTACAACTGTACCGCTGGTGAAGATCTCCGAAGGCAGTTCGTATCCACTATCGCCGTATATGCGCATCTCGAGATCCATGACGCCACGATTCAGCACGTCGCGTAGCCAATTGTTGATCTGAGCTGGACCAAGACCCCATCGACATTTTAGAGAGAATCTCCTTACGCGTGTAGTGATATCAAGCTGAGCCAATACTCCATCCACATGATCCGTGAATCTCCCTTGAATCTCATCCGCGTTCAATAGGAGATCTGGTGCGATGGTAAACAGATTCTGGAACCTCTTTGATAGAACCAGCGCACGAGCAGCGTCCTTTGCGGAAAGAAATCGTACAATCAAATGAATAATTTCATCGGGTAGACCACTGATCCTATCCATCCTCTCTGCCCTCAAACCCTAACGACCCAAAATCGGATACAATCTTGATTTCTACAAGAACGACGATCTTAGAAAGCAAAGAGAGTAAAGAGAAGAAGATGCGCTTTGTTTCCAACGATAAGAGAGTTTAAGAGAGACTGAACCAATACTAACCGGCTAATTCTTCGGTCCGAGGTTTTAGTAAAAACCGCCATCCTCTTTCATTAAACCCCGCTTAAATCCGGCCAAACCCGCCATTTCGGGTATTTCGGTTTGCTCCGTTAGTTGCGCTGATGTTAACCGGAAGAAGAAGGCACGAGAGGATCAATTTTGAAGGTAGAAACGTAACCAAGGTCGCACAATGAAGCAGTCCCAGTTTGTTTACTAAACGAAAACCGGCAATTTTTAGAGAACCGGAAAAAATAGAAACGACATTCACACTAGATCATTCGTCTTAAGTTCTCAACCCTCAAATTCCTCAACCGACATGCAATTTCTTGCAATCTGTTTCTGGAATCTTCTTTTTTCTGCTAGAACAAAACCATCTCCTAGTTTTGCCAAAGCCCCCTTGGAATTTAATGTTGTATAGCTTGAAAACAGTTTCAAACTGAACCAATCTCAAGACAGTTGTTTCTTCTACCTTCTTTTTTCCGAATCATTTACTATCGATGGCTTGTTTTCTTTTGTCAAACTCAAAGTGACAAAAGTCTAATAAGCTACAACTGAAGCTTCGTATATACTTTTAGTATTTTTGATCTACAAAAGAAAATTTGCTAACTTTTTCTGAAACATCATCACAATGAAGTTTGATTCCATACCGCTATGAGTATAAATGTATAATCTGCTTTAAATTTAGTATTGTGTTGAAGCTCAAGCCTAAACGTTCACTGTTCATTGAACAATGAACATGACGCCTTAAGAAAGTAATTATATTACATAGTTTGATCAATGGGCCCAGACCAAAACGATTTAGCCCAAGAAATTAAAACCTTACTTAACCAAACCGATTTAAAAACCAAAACCCAAGTTTCTTGAGTGTGCCACGTGCAGTGAAGAGGCATCCGACTAATAAAGAAAGTTCTGTTACAATACGAACCCTAGTCCTTCCACCGGCGTTTATGGCAGAGGAAGGGTCCGTCGAATTCGGAGAGAGCGAAGTAGAATCGGCAGAGCTCAGCGATTTCTTCTGCATCCACCGGAAGATCTCTGAGCAGCGTCGCGGAAGGTGATTAGGGACTATTATAGATTCGCTATGGGGAAGGGTCCCTTGTCGTTCCGCCGTCTTACGAGCATCCGTCACCGGAAGAAGGGTTCCGCGGTGAACGATGACACCCAGATATCGACGCCATCATCTCCACCGCCTCCTTCGCCGATTAATGCAGGCGGATCGGCTGTGGGAGGGACGGGGAAGGCGAAGAAGAAAACCGGAGGAGCGAGGCTGTGGATGAGGTTTGATCGGACTGGTGCTATGGAGGTGGTGGAATGCGACAAGAGCACCATCATCAAGCGTGCTTCCGTTCCCGCTAGGGATTTGAGGATTCTCGGCCCTGTTTTCTCTCACTCTTCTAACATTCTCGGTAACGTTTTGAACTTTTTTCTCTACTTAACATTTCCGAAATCGCCATTCATGGAGTCATTTTGCAATCCATTCTGATCATAGTGTTTACTGCCTACTACTTGAGTAAAAGACTGTAATCAATCCATGTTTTTGCTCTGCAGCGAGGGAGAAAGCCATTGTTGTCAATTTAGAGGTGATAAAGGCAATAGTTACTGCAGAAGAAGTGCTGCTTTTGGATCCTCTCCGCCCTGAAGTTCTTCCACTCATCGACCGACTCAAGCAACAGTTTCCTCAGAGGAATGGGTCAGAAAATGCACCCCAAGCTTCTGCAAATGTACAATCTGCTCTTGATCCAGAAGCTGCAGAGGGCTTGCAGAGCGAGCTTCCTTTTGAATTCCAGGTCCTGGAGATTGCGCTCGAGGTTGTCTGCTCGATTGTTGATAGCAGTGTGGCAGCACTTGAGACAGAGGCTTGGCCTATCCTTGATGAACTCACCAAGAATGTCAGCACGGAGAATCTTGAATACGTACGAAGTTTGAAAAGTAACCTCACCCGCTTACTAGCCCGTGTACAAAAGGTATTACATTTTCCCATGTTACTATAATTGTTGTGTGATGGACGAAATCGTAAGCGGGCTTGTTGTTACATTATTCCCAGGTGAGAGATGAACTCGAGCATTTGTTAGACGACAACGAAGACATGGCGGACTTATACCTGACAAGGAAATGGATCCAGAACCAGCAAACGGAGGCGATACTTGAGGGGACAGCAACAAATAGCATCCTCGCGCCACCGCATAACACATCAAACAGAAGCGCGAGCATGGTGACGAGCAATATGGATGAAGACGACGTGGAGGATCTGGAGATGTTGCTGGAGGCGTACTTCATGCAACTGGAGGGAATGAGGAACAAGATTCTGACGGTGAGGGAGTACATTGACGACACGGAAGACTACGTGAACATTCAACTGGACAACCAACGTAACGAGCTGATCCAGCTGCAGCTGATTCTGACCATAGCCTCTTTTGCAATAGCTGCAGAGACATTGTTGGCCAGCTTGTTCGGGATGAACATACCGTGCTCGTTGTATGACACACATGGCATCTTTGGGTACTTTGTGTGGAGTATTACTGCGCTTTGCTTTGTGCTTTTCATGGTCACCCTTGGTTACGCCAGGTGGAAGAAGCTGCTCGGCTCATAAACCCAGTAATAGACATGTTTAGTTCGTATGTTCCTGGGATTTATTTGCTCTCTTCCTCACACGAACAATAATTTTCTTTCTTGGAATCGAGACTTTAGTTCCACTGCATTTCACTTGTTGGGTTTGGGTTACTGTGGTCCTGTGGAATTGAAAACCGATACAATCAAACCATTACCGTACAGCTTTATAATCTAAAACCAGTAAATTTTCGTTTATCCCCAACTTACCATAGTCGAGGAGCTGCTGCGAATCACACGAAATCAAGTTCTAGTTTTATCGGCTCGCTTATATCCAGATTCGCTATGGCTTTATGGTAAAGAGTGTTGAATTTAACGAAAACATAAAAAAAATATGAAACATAGAGATGCGAAGGTTGGTGTATGAAAACCAGAATCGTTTCGACGAACAGGCTTCAGTTATTGTTTTATATATTTGGGCTTTTTAATTGGAGTTATAATTGTAGGCCCATTAATCGAGTTGGGAGGAAAAAAGGTAAAGGGGTGAAAGGGTCTTTGTGTAAAAGACGAAGCAAGATCTCCGCCGGCGAAAGTAGGCTGTGTGTGTAGACACGTGTGAAGCACGCGCTAGTGTGATAATTGACTTTAGGTTGGATTCTGTAGTCCACGTGCGGATTAAGCGCGTGGGTTAATTTTGTGAGAAACGAACATACAACACACTCAACGTTCCAATGATTTTTGTAACCGGTCTGGACCTTTTGGTAATTCTGCTTATGAAACTTTAACCGTACGATTAAGGAATTTTTAATCAATTGGTTTTTGTAAATTTGAAATAAGTAATACATGATTACACACTTAGCCGTTAGGAGTAAACAGAGGTGGTCGATTTTGGCGCTCTTCAACGGCCTCGAGATAGGAGAGAGAAAATCACGAACAATGGTAGAAGATGTGTTTAGATTTTGGCTCTGTTAATCATCTTCTTCTTCTTCATCTCCGTTTTTCGAAAGACGGTTCCTGTGTTCATAGCGCGGTGCGATTCTCAATAACAAGAACATCTTTGTCGTCAACAGTCGCGATTCCTCTAGCATTAGCAGATACCACTTGCAAATCCGCTCTTTACCTCTTCGTCACGGATCTGTCCTCTGGTACGAAATCATCTCTTACTCCAATTTCGATTTCTAGGGCTTTCTTCGCGAAATCTTTTTGTTCATCCGAAAATAGATTGTTTCTATTGGATCGATTTCATGTTGGTGTATGCGTTTCTGGTTGTTTAATTGGATTCGTTACTTGGATTTAGTGCATGGGACGGATCAGAGAGTGGAGCCAGATGCTTGTGTTGATATTATTAAGATCGGTGGATCTATAGGCTACACTGGATTCCGCTAAGCCGTGCTTATGATATCGACAATCCGTTCAAATAGAATGCTTGAAGCAGAAGAAAATCTAGAGATTGCAGATCAGGTTGGACCTTCTCACGTGTTTGCTATGCAATGAATCGTTGTTGTCTATGTCCTTGTTTGCTTAGCTCTATACTTGTTCTGAAACTGTAATCTGCCTTCACTGTAGTCACTAGTGAAGAGTGCATTGGTTGATGACGAAGATGTACTTCTGGATGAGGAAGTGGATCATCAGTCCTTAATACATATATTACGACAAGCTACAATCCAATGAAGATTCGCAGACTTCAACAAAGTGGGACTTAGATGTTGATGAAGCCAAGTAGGCAGCAGAGTGATGGCTTACATGGTTCTGAAATTGAAGTTTTGCGTCTGAATATGATGTCAGAGAGGGTGGCCCTATGAGGCGAGCAAAAGGTGGTTGCTTTTTTTCTCGGTTTTGTAATAGATAAGCTTATGCGTACACCAATCTCATTCAATCTATTTCCTGTAATTGGTTCTATCACTATGCAGGATATGAGACACTGAGACAAGCAGTATAAGAGCAAGAGGTGGAAGAAAGTAGGTAAATTTCTTTTCTTGGATCTATTTCTTGTACAAAAGGTAGTATCCGTGTTGTTTGATTTATTGTTCACAGATAAAAACTTGTCCTTGCTTTCTGATTTTGTAGGAAGATTAAAATGGTTGAACTTGTGAGAAAGTATGGACCGCCTAAATGGTCTGTTATCGCAAGGTCTTTACCGGGAAGCAATGTAGAGAAAGGTAATAACGATTTGAATAGAATGTATGGTCTCTTCACTTGTCGTTTCACTTACAGAGTTGGATCTCTTCCAGTTAGCAAAACCAACTCCTCGCAGAGTTTCACCATGGCTAATTTGCGGAATCGTCCTTTACTTCTTCATCTGGGAAATTCAATCCGGTTTTAGCCTCCACCTCTCACGAGGCTTCTCCTATCAGGTAACTATCTCTCCCCTGTAGTTTTGAGTTTGAGTACAGGGCGTCTTTTTGTTCGGGTATACACCTGATTAGGGTATAACAATTCCTCTCATGTCCTTTTCTTTGATAGTGTGATCGTAGTGGGAGCTTTGTATCAATTTGTCAATCAAACTTGAAAATCGTTCTAATTGTAACCACGTACGGATCACTTAAGCTTGCGTATATTAATCTGTGGAAATGAAAAAAAGTTTAATCTTTTCTTTAAGTGTTTTGGACTTGAGAAATTGCACTAACTGCAATACAAAAAAAAGAGTTAATGTAGTTCTCGTTTCTTTGTTACTAGACACAAAATTTGAAATATCTTTTCTCTTTGAAAGTGAGGATTAGGAGAATAAAAATGCCCATCGAGTTTGTGGAATCTATTCACCCTTGTTCCGCCATGAACTACTGAAGAAATATCATCTCAAGGTAAGTAAAATTCAACACCAGCCCATTCTCATATATTTCCAGATATGATCTCTTACTGATCAATTGTGATTTTTTTGCAGATTGTTGCTTGCATTAGTGTCAAGAACACAGGAAACTTAGAAAAAGAAAACTTATGAAGAAAGATAAGTTTCTATTCTCTCTTTGTTTTTTTATTAATCCACATTAAAACTTGAGTTAATTTAATATTGATTAGATTTATATTAGTTGTGAAACTAACTAGACATGGTACCCAGCCATTTGAATTCATTTGGTCGTTAGAAATTACTTATGTTCAATTTATATTCATAATTAATGTCAAATCAATCAGAAATTTATTAGGAAAAAATGATAATAATAGTAATAATTACAATGCTAAATGAAACTTTATCTAACACAAATCTTATTTTTTGTATCGTTTCAGGTCAAAACTTTATCCGCAAAATAAAGTTTAGAAAGCAAAAGATACAGTGAAAAAGGAGCTCAGAAATAAAGATATGTCTTCTATTCATTTTTTTTTTAAAAAAAAACGTCTTCTATTCTTTTTTTATTATAATTAGTTTTCATTAAAATATAGATTAGTTTAAAATCGGTTAGATTTACATTAGTTGTGAAACTAACTGGACATGATATCCAACCATTTGAATTTATTTGGTCGTTAGAGATTACATATGTTCAATTTGTATTCACAATTAATGTCAAATTAATCGGAATTTTTTTAAGAAAAAATGATAATAATAGTAATAATTATAATGCTAAATGAAATTTTATCAAACACAAATCTTATTTTTGTATTGTTTTAGGTCAAAACCTTGTCCACGAAATGAAATTTAGGAAGTAAGAGATACTGTGAAAAAGAAGCTCAAAAATAAAGATATGTCTTTTATTCTTTTTTTTTTTTATAATTAGTTTTCATTAAAATGTAGATTAGTTTAAAATTGGTTAGATTTACATTAGTTGTGAAACTAACCGAACATGATATCCAGCCATTTGAATTCATTTAATCGTTAGAGATTACCTATGTTCAATTTGTATTCACAATTAATGCATATCAATCGGAAATTTATTAGGAAAAAAATGATAATAATAGTAATAATTATAATGCTAAATGAAACTTTATCTAACACAAATCTTATTTTTTGTATTATTTCAGGTCAAAACCTTGACCACAAAATGAAATTTAGGAAACAAGAGATACCATGAAAAAGAAGCTCAAAAATAAAGATATATTTTTATTCTTTTTTTTTATATAATTAGTTTTCATTAAAATGTAAATTAGTTTAAAATTGTTTAGATTTACATTAGTTGTGAAACTAACCGGACATGTATCCAACCATTTGAATTCATTTCGTCATTAGAGATTATCTATGTTCAATTTGTATTCACAACTAATGCATATCAATCGGAAATTTATTAGGAAAAGAAATGATAATAATAGTAATAATTACAATGCTAAATGAAATTTTATCTAACACAAATCTTATTTTTTGTATTGTTTCAGGTCAAAACCTTGTCCACAAAATAAAATTTAGGAAGCAAGAGATACCGTGAAAAAAAAGCTAAAAAAATAAAGATATGTTTTTTTTTTTTTTTTTTATAATTAGTTTTTATTAAAATATAAATTAGTTTAAAACCAGTTAGATTTACATTAGTTGTAAAACTAACCGGACATGATATCCATCCATTTGCATTTATTTGGTCGTTAGAGATTACTTATGTTCAATTTCTATTCACAAATCGAAAATTTATTAGGAAAAAATGATAATAATAATAATAATTACAATGCTAAATGAAACTTTATCTAACACAAATCTTATTTTTTGTATTGTTTCAGGTCAAAACCTTGTCTACAAATAAAATTTAGGAAGTAAGAGATACTGTTTCTTAAATAATGCAAATCAATCTGTTTCTTAATAAAAAAAATAATAATAATTGCAAAACTAAATAAAACTTGAATCTATTAATCTAAATGTAGAATTTAATGTTTTTGTTTTTAATTGTTTCAGGTTAAAACTTTTTTCACAAAAAGAAATTTAGAAATCGAGAGATGCTCAAACAAAAAAAACTCAAGAAGTCCATACTAAAATCTATATAAAAAACTGGATTAGCTTAAAATTGATTAAATTTATATTAATTATTGTAAAATTAACCAGACATGGTTTTTAATTATTTAAATATATTTAATTATTGAAGATTGCCATTATTCACTATTCATAACTAATGCATATCATTCGGTTTTTTTTAAAAAATTAATGATATTTTGACTGTTCAATTTGTTTTCATTACTTTGTAATTTACCTATATACCCTTTAATGATATTTGACGATCATTTTTATTTTCTTTGTCGAAAAGACGAAACAATCTCGGAGCCTCGGACCGAGCCTAATGGCCTTTGTAATTTACCTATTTACACCTTTAATGATATTTTTGATATCTGACGATTAGGGTTTTATTTGGGCTTTAACGTGAGTGACCAATTTGCAACTAGGCTTTTCTACTTGGGCCTGATATTATTCGTAGCCCAAGTTAAACCGGTGAAACGGAGAGAAAGAACCAACATTCACTTTAGACCCGAGATTGCAATTTTTATACCCTCAATTTCGTTTCCTTCCGTCTTCGCTTGCTTCCTCTCAAAATCGGATGTTTCGGCTTCTTCGATGCATTTGCTTGTAATTATAAGCTCTCCCAACTCTCACCCTCTTTCTCTTCTCACTGGACGCATTCACTGTAAATCCCAAAATTTGGTTGTTGGACTCGGCTTATATAACGAGGTTAATAACCGACCGAAGGTTACTCTAGACAAGATTATATTTTGTTTTTTTTTACCAGTTTAGCTTCTCGATCATACCTATTTTTACGTGCAGAGAAGATGGATCGTTTGAGCAATCTACCAGACGATGTTTTTGGTCATATCTTCTCTTTCCTTACGACAAAAGAGGCTGCTTTGACAACGGTTCTGTCAAAGAGGTGGCGCAATCTGTTTGCATTTGTCCCCAAACTTGATATTGATGACTCTGAGTTTTTGTATCCAGAAGAAGGTAAACGGGAAAGGGACGGAATTCGAAAGAGCTTCATGGATTTTGTGGATAGGGTATTGGCGATTTCTCCGGTTCATAAAGTCTCCCTCAAGTGTAGAACCGGTGTTGATTCAGACAGGCTAGATTTTTGGATAGGTAATGTGTTGGCTCGTGGTGCTTCCGACCTCGATCTACGCATCGTTTTCGGAGATAGATATTGGCCGTCTCCAAGAGGTTTCGAGAGCAGGAAACTAGTTAAGCTCAAGTTAGGGAAAGGAGTCGATCTTGGTTGGTGGAGCGGGAGCATTTGCTTACCAATGCTTAAAACTCTCGTTCTTGACTCTGTTGAGTTTTGTGGTGATAAGTTTGGGATGCTTCTTCCTGCTTGCCCTGCGCTTGAGGATCTAGACATGACTGATGTAAAAGGGTTGGATTCGAATGAGACGGTGTCAAGTGCAAGCCTCAAGACCCTGAAAATCAGAACCAGCGTTTCTTCAGGCGCGTTTTCGTTTGATACACCAAGTCTTGACTACTTACTCTACTCTGATTTCGTTGCGGAAGACTATCCATTAGTCAATTTTCAAAACCTATCCGAGGCTCGAATCTACCTTAAAATAACTGATGATCAAGTCGAACGAGCAAGATTCCCAAATCTGGATGATGATGAGTATGATGATGCTGTTCGACTTGGTAGCATGCCAAAGCTCATGAGCGGGCTACGAAATGTTGAGACACTTTACTTGAATTCTACTACTCTCGAGGTCAGTGTGCTGTCTTTGTCTCAGTTCCTAGAGCATCGCATCACAGTCATGATTGTTTGGTCCCAAATTGTAACTGCAAAAATGTCTAAATCGGGGTTTGTCTTGTTTCAGGTGCTTTCTCTATGCTGTGAGTCAATGCCGGTTTTCAACAACCTCAAGTTTCTAGCTTTTTGGAGCGGCGAGAGCCAATGGCAAGCAGTGCCAGTTCTCCTAAAGAAGTGTCCACGTCTAGAAACTCTAAGCATTTCGGTACTAAACACAACGTTTATATCTGTCAAACATGTAGTAGAAAGATAGATACTCCGAATCCCTTATGTCTCGTTTATGCTTTCAGGGTCTTTTGCATCATGTGACTGATGCATGCGGAGATGTTTGTGACTGCATTCCTCGGGAGGACAAAGGCCGTTCACTCACATCTTGTCCGGTGAAGAGAATAGAGATTGAATGTTTTATAGGAACGATGAGAGAGATAACGATGATCAATCATTTCTTGGACTATTTTCCTTGTTTGATGGAGATAGTAATCGCTGTTGAAGAGTATAGTCCTACACAGCTTCATGTCCCTGAAATTGCTGATCTTAAAGCGCAGATGTTGAAACTCTACAACAAGTCAGTGAGATGTAATGTCAAAATCATGGTGTGTGAGTCTCTGCTTAGGAAGTTGACTGCGCAAACACTCACACACCATGATTTTTTGGCTTTTGGCTTTTGACTGAGCTGTAATGACGAACAAAACTTGCTCATAGTTTTTGGCTTTCGCCAAAGTTCCTTTAGACATTGACTCCGGTTCAGTTTTGTTAATTGGTTTTGGTTCGGTTTGATTTATTTGGATTCTCAAGATCTCTGTATACACTCACATTGATATCAACTCAATACAAATATGAAATATCTACACAATGTAAAGATAATACCAAATCTATACGAGTGTATATCTCTAGGGATATATAGTAGTAACACTGACTGCTAATCTACTTTGTGATGATTAGTCGCTGGAAACTCTAATTCAAGTAAGTAAGGGTTTTCTAGGGTTTGGCAAAAGGAATGGATTGTTTCAGCAATCTACCTGATGAGATTGTTTGCCACATATTGTCCTCACTCTCGACAAAGGAAGCTGCTTTAACTTGTGTTCTCGCTAAGAGATGGCGGAATCTGTTTGCTTTCTCACCGAATCTTCGCTTCGAAGAAAAAAACTTTGTCTATCGAAAGTTTGATTTCGATGTTCCCTGCAGTTTCAGGGATTTCTTGGATAGAGTATTGGCTGTGTCGGGAAATTCCCCAGTAAAGAAATTCTCTCTGAAATACCGACAGTACCTTGTCACCGACCATACCTTCCGTTGGATACGTAACGTGATGAGTCGTGGTGCCTTGGATCGTCTTCATATCGACGTAATTGGTAAAGGTGTGGCGTCTTTGCCTTTAGATGTCTTCACATGCAAGACACTTGTTAAACTGAGAGTAGCAAGAGGGTTTGTTATTGCTACGGTTCCTGAGAACGCATCTCTTCCTTGTCTCAAGACTCTCTTCCTTGATCAGATTCGGTTCTCTTATCATCAAGGTCGTTGTGCATTTGAAGCCCTTCTCTCTGCTTGCCCTGTTCTTGAGGAATTAGTGCTGCGTAACGTGGACTCCGTGGACTGCAAAAGCTGCACTGTTTCCTGCAAAACCCTTCAGAGACTTACTATGTACTGCTTCAGTTTTAGTCCTCTTGGTCCGCCTCGTACCCGGATCATTACTTTCGATACACCAAGTCTTGCCTACTTGGAGTACTTTGATTTTGTTCAGAAAGCTTATCCAATCGTCAACTTTGACTCACTTGTTGAAGCTAAGCTCGATCTGTTTTCGTCAACGGCTACTAGTCATAGCAATCCAGAGAATCTGTTTAAAGGGTTAAGCAATGTTCAGATCCTCGACTTGTCGACTATTCAAACCATGGATGTAAGTGTGCTCTATATTCTTTTCTTTTCTTTCTTCTCTACAATATATTGAGGCTTCCTGGTTTCGTTTAACATCTTTGTTAACTATGATAATGTTGCTTGAGATTTTGATCCTATGATTGCAATTGGTTGATGACTAGTTTAAGTTTGTTTCAGACAATTTATTCCTTCAGGGAAGCAATCCCAGTGTTCAAGAACCTATTGCACTTATCCATTACAAGGACGGCTAACAAATGCTGTCGAACTCTGCCATTACTTCTGAAGAACTCTCCAGTTCTAGAGACTCTTGTCATCAAGGTATTATCGAGACGCTTTACTGGACAAAGAAACTGTACAAAAACCACTAAGTCTTCACAATCTGAAATCGTTACCCTTTTTTGTTGTTGTTTCAGGGTCCCTTGCACTATGATGAGTATGGACGAGGAACCGAGTCTGTTTGCAACTGCTTGTCAGGATACTCTTGTCTTGGGTCATGCAGTGTGAAGGTCCTGGAGATAACCTTGTATGGGAAAACTATTTTAGAGCTGGGGCAACTAAAACATTTCCTAAATAAATTGTCATGTCTTGAGCTGGTCAAAGTTAGTTCTTGGGCAACAGATGAAGAAGAAAAGTTGAGGTTGGCCACGGATCTGCTAAATCTTCCTAGGTCTTCCAAGTGCAAGATCCAGTTGGAGTTTATTCCTCCTAGATGATATGTTGGGACATTATTCTGTTTTGTGTGCACTCTTGCTTTTACTTACTCTTATATGGATTTGCTTTTGAGTTTGTTCTTTCTTGATGTCTTTACTTACTCCAAGTGACAAAGGCTAACAAGATTCAATCAACTAGGACAGTAGCCAACTTAAACCAAGATTAATTTGAGGGTTTTATTGAAGCTCATACCCAAATTGAGGATAATTAAGATTAATTATCCAATCACTATCTGAAGATGAATATAAGCAGCTCAATCCGAATAGTGGGGGATCGCACATACGACAAGAGTCTGACCGTGTGGCTTACGCAACAACTTGATTGACATAAATTTGGCCATGCTCGTCTTTTAAGCTTTGTTTCTATATTCAAAAGATAGAAGCATTCTTTGTAAAAAAACAAGTTTTTTTTGAATAATTTTACAATTCATTTTTTCTAAGATGAATTCAAGCCGAAAAAGGTATGATGAAATGTCTGTAATTTTTTTTCAAGGTCTTCATATATTAAAAATGCTTTGAAATATGCATCTAAATACGTTACAGTTTTAAAATTACATTTGATACGATGTCGTTTGAGTTTTGTTAAAAAAATATTTATAATAATTTTAAATGCATTTAGCATTACAATCTATGATGACTCGGATGGTAATAGTTGTTAGTCTTACTCATTTGATAGTAATCTTAGCTATCCGATTTTATTAGATCAATATTGTTTAAGTTTTATTAGTAAGTGTTTATAATAAATTTAGATGCATTTAGCATTACAATCTAAATTTTGATGACTGGGAGGGTAGTGGTTGTTGGCATTACTATTTGGATAGTAATCTTAGCTATACGATCTTATTTTTATCTTACTAGATACGGTGATTCTTATTTTAACACGTATAATACAGATAATATTTTTTGATATTTAAATTATCTTTATCCCATTTTTCCATTTTGTTGTGTGACTGGGGGATTGTTTCCTCCCTTTCTCTTCTTATATCCAAAAATTTCAGCATTTCTTTGTTATTTTCAATAAATCAAAAGTTTCACCATTCTCACATGCATTTGTTTGTGTGGAGATTTTTCTCTGCCTTGGCGTCTCTATCAAAGGTACGTTTTGTAGTATAGATATCTGTTTTCTTCTCAGATATTTGCTCCTTAGATCTGTTTATTTATCTCTACTTTGTAATGTAGAAGATGCATTGGGTGTGAGACACATAGTATAGACGTTGAAACTGTTGTGTGCTTATCTATGGATCTAGTCGTTGGTATTTGCATTTGAAAATAGTTAGCGTTAAAAAAGGTTTTTCTAGGGTTTGGTGAAGTGATGGACAGAATCAGTGGTCTACCTGATGAGCTTATCTGCCACGCCTTGTCCTTTCTCTCGACAAAGGAGGCGGCTGCTTCAACTTCTCTTCTTTCAAAGAGATGGCGGAATCTGTTTGCCTTCTCACAAAATCTTCGTTTTGAACACCAAGACAGAGATGAAGACGAAGACGAAGACACTGAAGTAGTGATTTGGGAAAGATTCAGTGGTTTCGTGAATAGAGTAATGGCCGTGTCAGGCAGTAACGCAGTAAAGCAATTCTCTCTGAAATATCCACATGATGCTGCATCAACTCAAATCAACATTTGGATACGTGATCTTCTGAACCGCGGTGGCTTAGAACATCTTAAACTGGAGATTGCTAATGGTGTGACATCACTGCCTTTAGAGCTCTTCGCTTGCAAGACACTTGTTACGCTGAAACTTGGAAAAAGGATTGATATTAGTATGGTTCCTGAGAGTCCTTCTCTTCCAGCTCTCAAGACTCTGTTTCTTGATTGTGTCAGATTCTTAAATCATGGTGCTCGTGCGTTTGAAGCCCTAATTTCTGCTTGCCGTGTGCTTGAAGCCTTACTGATACGTGGTGACTGTTTGGAACATTGGAGCTGGTGTCGCATTGTGTCATGTACGACCCTTGTGAGACTTATCATTCACTTTCATCAAAGGTATAGTAGAGGAGATCCTCAAGTTGCGGATGAGTCTGATTTCAAGAGCATTACTATCGATACTCCGAGCCTTGCCTACCTAGACTACTCTGGTTATGTTCTGGATGAGTATCCGATTGTTAATCTGGACTCACTTGTTGAAGCTAAGCTTCATCTTTGTTTGAGGACATGGCATCCCTACAAAAGCAATCCAACGAATCTGATTAAGGCGTTAGGAAGTGTTGAGATCCTTGACTTATCGTCTTTTAACACCCCAGAGGTAAACTATGCTTTGTTCTTTTTCTTCTTCCTCTCTAGTATATTATTGCAAGTTGGGAACATAAACAACATTCAGGATTTTTTTTTTATTAATTTTGTTTCCAGGTTTTTGCTTCCTTTGTTGAAGCAATCCCAGTGTTTGAAAACCTTCACTGTTTATCTATTACAATTGACGGCAGTTATTGGAAATATCTAGCCTTGCTGCTTACGAAAGCTCCAAATCTAGAGACACTTAGCATCACGGTATGTATGAATGAAACCTCGAAAGTTTAGTGGGGAAATTTGCAAAAACCTATAGATACAATATACAGTAACTCATCTTGTTTCAGGGTCCTTGGTTCCGTGCTGGTGCAGATGGTCTTTACGAGCGCTTGCCTGAATATCCGTTTCTCTTGTCATGTCCTGTGAAAGTCCTGAAGATAATCCGGTTAACATGGGGAAATGCAGCAAGTGCTGCGCAAATAACACAGCTCTTGGAGAATTTGCAATGTCTTGAGGTGGTCGAACTCTATATTCCGGCAAGGACAATCTATGATCAAGGAAAGTATGAAGAAATCATCGAGGATATTGAAAAGCATTCCGCATCTTGCGATTTCTTTTTCCAGTTTTTTAATCATTCCCCAAAGCGTAAAGGATCCAGCTCAAGTTATTTTTCCCGCAGAACGAAGAAGTGGATCAAGTGTTACCAAAGTCCCCTCTAGGCTTTCTTTAACTTTGTTCAAGCCTGAATCTGTTTACTTATTGCGCTTTCGACAGTAATTTCCTTTGCTATGTTTCTCTGTTTTTAGATCATTAAGTTTAAAAAAACCTTTTGACATTCTATAAGATGATGTAATACAAACATTTATTAATAATTTTTCGAACAATAAAACGCTTCGTTTTTCAGACATGACTTTCAGCGTCTCTTACACTGTGTGGCGAATAAATGCGGGGATGCATGTATCTGCATCTCTCGGGAGGACAAAGGCCGTTCGCTCGTATCTTGTCCAGTGAAGAGGTTAGATATTCGAGAGTTTGATGGACTTACCTGAGATTTAGAGATGGTGAAGCATTTCTTGGACTATCTTCCGTGTTTGAAGGAGATGGAGATCTATATTGCAGAGCGACAACGGTTCCTAGCCCCTTTAGTGTCAGAACTTAACCTGGAGATGCTGATGCGTTACAACGATATATCGGGTCGCAGTCCTAATGTTAAATTCATGGTGCACGGTTCCTTGCCTTGGAAGGCACAGTGAAGATTTTTAAATAAAAGAAAATTTCAAAATTGTATATGCCAATGTTGCTTGAATTCTTGGTTTAGAAGCTAAAAGGAGTCAACAACTTGTTACGATACTTGTTGCAAATAAAGATGAGTATTTGTTGATAAATGCTCAAGTTTTTAATTTCCAGCAAATTAAAACTAAGTAATGCGACGAGGTGTTTCTCACCTTGATATGTTCATGAAATCTGATAAAGATTATTCTCTGCCTTATGAGATATCTGTCAGCGAGACATTAGTTGACCTGAAAACAGGATATAAATCTTGGGATTTGGATGTTTAAGCTCTTCTTCACAAACCCTTTTTCTTGCAAATGTGAATCTTTTCCTCTGCCTTTGCGTCTGAAGCAAGTAATTTGCTTTTTTCCCCTCAAATCTTCCTTTTTATTTATGTTTCCTTGTTTAGGATTCCAAATAAAAATTATATCTCTTCACTTTCAGTCGAATTATTATCTCACACCGCTTTTTTTTTGCAGAATAAACTTAGTTCTTTCTAAATCAAGTCTGTTGGAACATGAATCGGTTTGTGTACACATTGTTTAAAATGTACTGATACCTAAAATTGACTCTGATCGCTTGGACAAAAATATCATATGTTTTCAACTTCTGTTAGGACAAATATATCACCGGCACAAACTGTTACACAGTATATGAAAGAGAAGAAAAAAATGTTTTGTTTCTTCAATGGACAAACAACTATGTAGCCATACTTACTTACCTGGTGACAGATGGATGAGAATATGCGATGATTGCACATGCACATATCATGATGATCTTTATGATGACATCACTTCACTTATGATGTTGATGATATTCTCGATCGTGGCAGATCCGATGCATGTGGCTTGTGGCAGTGGAAGCCCCATGTCACGAGCATCACTTTGTTTTCTTCTTCCGGACTCCACTAAAATCAAAATCCGCCTTAATCACTTAAAATATATTCTGTACCAAAGAAAACCATATTCCATGCTCCTGTATATGCAAATTAGTTCAGATATATGTGTATATACATACACCTTTTGTAGAATTGCCTTTTCTTTTGTTTATGTGAAGAAAAACAACATTTAGCATTAAAAAATATATACACAATAAACAACATTTGGCATTTGAAGGACATAGATCCAAAAAAGTCCTATTTGCGGATTGGTGCTTAACAGTGTAACAAAACCTGGTTCTCAAAACTTATAGTCATCATAATTTATCATATTTTATGAAAATTATGTCCTTGCCCCTCCATGTTCCATTTGACATATTGGGTCGACACTTCAAATCCTATCCAAATATTACAAGTTTTTCACCGGAGGTGAATATGTTTTGATCGTAGTGGAATTAAAGTTGAGAAATGATATGAATATGGGAGTGAATAACTGAATATGTGATTCATGTTAGGAAAAAAAAAGAACAAAAAAGCTAAACCGGATGAGAGACAAAGGATGGTGCATAAGGGACCCATGCCCATGTAACCATTGTCCGGAAGATAAAAACCGTCAATTTGGGTCTACCTGTTTGGGCCCATATCTCTCAACCACATGAAGAGAAGACAAGTAATTTGCAACTAATAAAACCATAACATATCATCATCACTTGTCTTTGTCCTCTTCATATTTGTATTTTCTTTTTCTTACTTTCTTCCCTAAAAAAAGACTAATTATTCTCAACTCTCTCATAAGCCTTTCTTGTTTTAAAAAACGCACGTTAACTAACACCTCCATTGATGTGACCTCTTTTATTTACATGAAATAAATAAAAACATTTATGGAATCCAGAAAGAAAGAAAAAAGTTGCGTCTGAATAATGATTAAGGTAGATTTATGGGGGGTCAAATATTAATGTAAGTTTCTGTACATATATAACCAAATAATAGTATATAAATACTAGAATTGGGGTAAGTGTCAGTTTGGTAGAGATGGTGAAACCAATTCTGAAAATCTCAATCCCAATAAACCAACCCCTCTCTCCGTTCCCTCATTGGAAACATCACCTACCCTCTTTTTTCTCTTATAATACAAAATCTCATAATATAACTGTAATCATATTTCAATACTATTATACGTGTATTTGCGATGAGCTAAAAAAAGAAATTATTGTATGTTGTTGTGATGGTGCGAAAACGTCAAAGATTAATAAATAGTCATTTTGTCCATTTAAGAATGCCAAAAATGCTCATAAAATGCAATAATAGCATTTTGTAGTCTTTCACACTTTTTACAAATCAAAAACAACAAATGAATAAAACTCTAATGACTTAATAAGAAAACTTAAAAGCCACAAAATTTAGCTAAACTTCATGAGACAAATTAAAGTTGGGAAAATTTAGAAACTTATAGCTGTTGTTTATTTCATCGAAAACCACCATAACATAGTGTTGTTTTTAGTGGGATTAACTCTTTATAAAGTAGAGTATCTTATAAATAATCTGATTTTGAATAACATGAAACGGAAAGACTAAGAAGTAAATAAAATAGTAACTACTTTATCTATAGAGTATAGATAAGAGCAGCAATATAAAACAAGTAATAGCTAGTAATTAACAATTAACAAATAAGTCTTCAAAAGAAATCGATGAACTCGAGTGAGTTCTGTAAACACTAATGCCGACATGAGCACGACTTTTCTCCTTGTTTAGTAGTTTGTAGGCATAAATTACTCCCTTAATTCGAATTTCTTGGAACCCATAACAAAGAAAAAAAAATTAAAAGAGTTGACAAAAAAGAGGGATAGATTTCAAAAGGTAGGTTTCATAAAAAGATGTCACGTGGCTCCCATGCGAGATAGAAATCATGTGGATCTTCTGTGAAACTAGTAGATCATCATAGTACCACACACAGCTTCACTATCTACCAATCTATCTATTCATTCTCTCTCTCTATAAGTATTGGTCTCATGTGTAGTATAAATGTAGAGAGAGAGAGAGAGAAAGGCACATGGAGATAGATCGAGAAACTCATGTGATCACATGTGCTTTCCTTTTCTCTTTTCCTTTTTTACGGGGCTTTTATGGGTCCCACCTATCTCCCTCTCTCCCATGCACCTGGCGCAGGTGATTCCCCTCCTTCGCTTCAATCTCTCTCGCGCGTGGGATTAACTCTTTACCATACTATAATTATCACACCATTAAACTGGATTTAAGTCACCTTGACTAGAAATTTGGAAACTTGTGAAATTGTAAAACAATTATTACTATAAATTCATGTAACCTATTAAGATAAACTAAACTATATATGAATCAGAAGACACATTATCAAACCAATAAGATGAAGTCGTATCATGTTTTGTATGTGCAAACATTATCTCAAATTTACTTAGATGTTTTTTAATCGTTTGAACTATAATAAACTTATAAATAAATGACACATTTTCTTCGATGTATAGAGGAATTTACAAATACTGCAGTAAATGTGTAGAGGTATTATGGATTATTACAACATGTATTGTAATTGGCTATATGCATGCATTAGTTAGATATCTATAATACTTAGCTTTTGTTTTCTATAATAATTACTGTTTCCCAAAAAAAATACTAAACAAAGACCCACAAGTCAAACTCTGAATTAAGTTTAAACACATGTCGATAAGTCTATTATTACTAAACTAAGCATGTTACTAATCGTTTTGATGACTCGGCCTTTTCAATTTATAAAATTAAACTTTTCTGGATAAAAATAAAATAAAATAAAGATCCAATCTATCTATCTGTCAGGACCTCAGGGAGATCCACTTGACTCGAGTATAGTGACGTCTCCACTAAAACCACACAACAAAGCGCGTGATTATCACGATCCAAATCTCTCTCTAACCAACAAAACAAAACACACTCCAGTCTCCATACACATAATTCGAAAACACAATAACAAATAAAGAAAATCACAACTGGACCCAGCTTTGATGGCTTACCGGCATTACCCAATTTCCCAAACATATAAGCCAAACCAAATCCTAATTTGAACCAAATCTACATTTGATACTCATATCACTCACAATCTATATCAATCAGAGAGCAAATTAGAGTAAACCAAAGTACGAACCGGAATCCGGTTTAAACGGCCCTACTTCAACAATATACTAATTCATCGCTCATATAAATACACACATCTCCTTACCCCTTTTCTTCCAACACATCTTCTCTCCCTCCCGTCAATGGAGAAAACCCTAGCCACTTCCCATTCTAAACGCTCATCGCCGTCGCCACCCACCGACGTGAACGCACGCGCCGCCGGTTTCAACCGCAGAACCAGAGCGAGATTGGCGGATGCAACGGCGAGTGTAAGCGAGACCGGCGCAGAGGATGATGAAGATGACGAAGAAGAAGGAGTCGAGGAGAAGATTGAGGCGCTTCAGACGATAGTTCCCGGAGGTACAGCGCTTGGAGTCGACGCGCTGTTTGAAGAGACGGCGAGTTACATTTTGGCTCTGCAATGTCAGATCAATGCCATTAGAGTTCTCACTGCGCTTCTTGAGCGTTGTGAGAAAGACGATATGAAGTTTGGTGGTTGAAGATCGAACAAACAATTTGGAACTCTCTCTCAAATCGTTTTAAAAAAACATAAGTCTCACTCTGTTTGATTTATTTATTTTTACTTTATCTTAATTTTTGATTGTGACTCTCTTAGTTCGAGTTCATAATTTACCTTTAGTTTTTTTTTATCTTTTGTGTTTTTTTATTCCACATATTACGCAAAAACGGGAAAAACATCTCCACATTTTTCCTTTTGAAGTTTGAAAATTAACCAAGTTTCGGTGGTCTAGCCATTAGATTGATTGATATAGAGCACATGTCAGTAGAACGAAAATAAATTTATTAAAATATATACTTAGTTATTAAAATTAAAAGTACCTCTTCTTTTATAAAATCTTATATATATATAACCAATATATATGTGCACAATAATAAAATGGTGAAGAATATATTAGAATAGAAAGTTCACAAGCGAGTGATAGATCTCTTCAGCTCTCCTGATGTGGTCAAGCAAATAACTTCCATCACCATTAAACCAGGTGTAGTTAAACTTTAGGTCATGTGTTTTCTTAGTTAGATTTTGTCTGTCCAGTTAGAAAAGAAAAGATATTAGCTCATCAAACAAGTAGCAAAAAGCCAAAAACAAATATAGTGATGTTGGGCCTCATGGAGATTACCACTAATGGGCCATAAAAAACGAGAGATCAGTAAAGTGATGTTGCCGAGTGGACTTGCTCTAAAGCACGTGCCTGGTTTACTAGCGACTGATGCATTTCTGAAACAAGCCCAATTTCTCAACGCCATTTGTTGTCACTATAAACCCTAAGAATCGAATCTTTAACCGATAAATCTGCTTCCTCCCCGGGAAATCTCGTCGTTTTCTTATTTTCCCTGGAAAATCGAAAGGTAACCTCGAGAAAACTCTCTCTTATCTTTTATTCGTGGTATTAGCGGTTTTCTCTATCCTTCCCCGATAAGGGAAATGTCTTTATCGCGATGTTTGGTTGCCGAGAAAAAGTCAGAGTGACTGATTCTCTAAAGCATCAAAGGTTTATTGAGATTTTGATTTCGAAATTTCCCGTTGAGTTGTTCATGTTGTTGCGTCTGAATTCTGTGTTGAAATTTTCTCTAGTAATAGCGTAAAAATGGCGGATGAGGTGGTAATCCACGGTGACGTTGAGGATCGTGCGGCGAAGGGGATCTCCGACTCCGATCAGGGACTTGAAAGAAAGATCGAGGAAATGGAGAATAAGAATCAGGAGCTAACGAGGGAGAATCTCGAGATGAAGGAGAGGTTAGAGAAGCTATCGGGAGAAATCGAAGAGATGAAAGGCGTAGAAGCGGAGATGAATCAGAGATTCGGAGAGATGGAGAAAGAGATCGAGGAGTACGAGGAAGAGAAGAAAGCCCTCGAATCCATCTCCACGAGAGCTGTCGAGCTTGAAACGGAGGTGTCGAATCTTCAGGACGATCTGAACACTTCCTTGATCGGAGTGGATAAGACGGCGGAAGAAGTAGCGGAGCTGAAGAAAGCGTTGGCGGAGAAAGGGGAGAAGCTTGAAGGGTATGAGAAGGAAGCTGAGGGTTTAAGGAAAGACAGAGCCGAGGTCGAGAAGAGGACTAGGGACTTGGAAAGGAAGATCGGGGTTTTGGAAGTGAGGGAAATGGAGGAGAAGAGCAAGAAACTTAGACTAGAGGAAGAGATGAGGGAGAAAGCGGACGAGAAAGAGAAGGAGATACACGAGCTGCAGAAGAAAGTCGGTGCCTTGAATCTGGAATTGGTGAAGAATGGAGAGGAATTGGAGAAATGCAAGTCTGAGAAAAAGCTCACTGAGGATGCTCTGAGTAAAGCTGGAATAAGAGAGAAGGAGATGGAGTCGAAGAAGGACGAGTTGCTGAAGAAGGTTGAGGAAGCCAAGGAGACGATAGTTGAGTTGAATAAGAGAAGCATGAAGCCTGACAATGTAGCCAGAGAGACAAACACAAAGGTCTCCATGGAAGTAGTAGAGCTGTGGCCAGTGGCTGCTGCTGGTTTGGTTGCAGCGACCGTGTTCGTCTGCTATTCAAAGCTAAAGTAACATTGATGAATATGTAGCACATGAATAAACTGATGACCATGTTCCTAAGATTGTTATCAGGAATGGATTATACAGGTTGTCGAGAAATTTGTTTTGGGTTTGGATTTTGAGTTTGTGATGTTATTTGCTGATGGGAAATCTTCAGCTTTTGTTATCTTCTACTTCTCTTTTTTTTTTTTTCTTCAATTTACTGGATTTCAAAGAGAAACATGTTTTTAATAGATTTGATTCTTTATCCCAAGTCCATGAGTATATCAACATGAGCAAATAAACATACATTCTGAAAATCCTTTGATTCATTTGGACAAACAATGGAGAATGGTCTTCTTCTCTAAGGTTAATTATTTAGCTTTTATTACTGTCCGTTTATATTTTTGGAAAGCAAAGTGTGTGGAACAAAAAAAAGAGTCATCTTTTTTTTTTTCTAAAACAACGCTCCAAGAAATCTGGAATTTTCTTTGTGTTGCCGATAAACAACTTACAACTACTTTTTTTTTTTTTTTTGGGTCAATAAAAGTAAAATATTATTATAAAGAAGCCTGAGATGCAGACCCCATCGATGGCTGCCTCCACTACTTTCTACTACCCAATCCCTAAAAGCTTCCTTCATCCTTCTTCCCGTAGCAAACGAAGCCCTAATCTCATCTCTTGCTCCACCAAACCCATTTGCTCTCCTCCTCCTCCTTCGCCTTCTTCCTCTTCTCTGCAAACGACAAACCATCGAAGCCAAAGGCAGAATCTGCGTCTACCCCTTTTTGAAGATTCGTTTCTTTTCTACCAATTCAGCTCTCCTACCGAAGACCCAGGATTCTCTAACCGGATCTCCCAACAATTTGACGGAAAGCAGCCGCCCGAATTGGCGCTCCCCAGTGTAGAAGACAACAGCGGCTTGGTAATTTCGTCGAGCATGTGGTGGGCAGATCTGAAAGCGGCTGTTGGGCAACGAATCAACGTAGAGGGTATCGTTTCTTCGGTCTCCGTAGTTGCTAGGGATCGTCATTTGGTTCTTCCGCATGTTTCGGTGAGAGATTTACGGTACATTGACTGGGGAGAGCTGAAGAGAAAGGGATTCAAAGGAGTAGTGTTCGACAAAGATAATACACTTACGGCTCCGTATTCTCTAGCGATTTGGCCGCCACTCCGTCCTTCGATTGACCGGTGTAAAGCCGTGTTTGGGCATGACATCGCCGTGTTTAGCAACTCCGCAGGTAAAATTTTTGGATAAAAGTTTTGATTTTTGATTTTGTTTGGTTGTAGTTTTCTGGTTGATCGAAGATGCTAACATCTTTTCACTTTCGTATCTGGTGAAAAATTAGGGCTTACGGAGTATGATCATGATGATTCGAAAGCTAAAGCGTTGGAGGCTGAAATAGGAATTAGAGTGTTGAGGCATAGTAAGTGCCTTTGTATCTACTGTGGTTTTTATAGCAATGTAGGTGAGAAACTGATAAGGAGTGTTTCTGATTCATGATTTCAGGAGTAAAGAAGCCTGCAGGAACTGCTGAAGAAGTCGAGAAACACTTTGGTTGCGCATCCTCGGAGCTAATCATGGTAACTTATGATGAATGTTAGGGATGAATTCGGTATTTGATTATTGGTAGAGATACGGTGTTTATGGTGTGAAGTGTTTTTGGGCACAGGTGGGTGATCGACCTTTCACAGATATCGTTTTTGGGAACAGAAACGGATTTCTAACCATATTAACCGAGCCCTTGAGTCGAGCTGAGGAGCCTTTCATTGTTAGACAGGTTGGTTTTTGTCTCCTCTTCCTTTGTACACTACACTCTGTTTCTGCATCTCACTTTTGGAATTGCCTGAAAACGTGTGTGTAGTAGAGCTGAATGGAGTTGTTTCACTTATTTGCAGGTGAGAAGATTAGAGTTGGCTTTGTTGAAACGTTGGTTGAGAAAAGGTTTGAAGCCTGTGGATCATGATTTGGTATCAGATGTAACACAGTTTGTCAAGAATCCATCAGATTTATGAGAAGGCTTCTCAGTTTGCTAAAGAAACAACTTTGTTTTGGTTTTTTTCTTTGGTTGTAATGGAAATTTTGACTTTCAATGCATGAAGATGAGAATGCTCATTTTTGCTATTACATGTTTTGTACCCGCAAAATCTTCCATAGTTTGGGTTTCAAGTAATTGGAATTTGGAAATGCAAAGGAGCAAGATGTAAACAGTAGGAGAGCTGAAAGATTCGCATTATTCTGACGAAGCACCTTGTTAATTCTAAGTTTTCTTGATCGAAAATAAGATTAGACAAAAGAATCGAAAGCTTAATAATCATGCATAATAGTAGAAGTTTAGCAATGAATCTCAGCTAAACATAACCAAACCAAAACCAAACAATTGCATGTTGCAAAGACAAGCAAGATGCTAAAGAAAGCTGTACAAACAATTAACACTTTTTTTGGAAGATATGGAAAGTAGAAACATCTAACACCATACTTCATCAAGGCCCTACAATGTCAAAAACTCTAAATTTAGGCTGGCATGCCTTTACAGAACAACACCCGCTGAATATCAAGATATAGGAACATTCTCAGACCAATTTCTAAAGAACATCGTTTGGAGGGTGTTACACTAACCAAAATGATATCGAGTCTCACCACATGATACACTAGAGTGAGTATGATCTATACAGACTCAAACCGTGAGTTGGTCTTCAAACATATTTCTTTCGAGTCAGATATATTGTGTATCTGTGCAATGCATCTTAAAGCTTTCAATGAAGGGATCTCGATACATGAAAATCTGACAGCCACTCATCCCATATGCGTCTCAAACCAGTTAAAGATCTGTTCAGACTGCAAGCTCGTCATTTCATGATATGCATATGCAAGATTCAGTTCTTCTTCAACAGGAGTAATCAAGCTTTGCTCCAGTGATATTTTGTAGCCGCTAAGAGCTTGTTTCCACGGTGTTCTCCTCCCATCGCGCTTCATGTACCCTTTCTCATCAACAAACCCCTTGTCTTGAAACAGCTTGAACAGTTTTGCCGAGACATCAGAACCAAGTCCTGGAATCCTATCTGCCAAGAAATCCGGAGAAAGCGGCAAATCCAAACATTCGATCTCTGCAGCATCAACGCCTTCCATTCTAAGACCTTCTAAAAACTCTCTAATCTTCTGCTGTCTGTACACGTCTTTAGGCATGTGCACAAAGAGAGTCGGTGGATACTGTTTCGTGATACTGATCTGATCAAAGACTCCTTCCGCGATCATAAGCACGATGCTACTAAACTGCATCTCCGTTGCAAGAGCAGAGACAAAGTAGCCACCAGATGAAGCCCCTAACGCAACAAGAGGAAGCCTTTCGAGCTCGTGCTTCTTTACCCACGATTTTATTACTCTTTCAACAATCTTTTTCTCCTTCCCGAACGTCCAGCAATTTCCAGCACTAGATACAGTTAACACAGCGAATCTCCGAGCTAGAGAAGATCGGACAAGAACCTTCTCCTCTGGTAAACCTGTACATTCCGGACAATCTGAAGATCTGTCCCAAAAGTCAGAAGCTTTCCTGTGGCAACCATGAGCGATAAACAGAATCGCCTTTGGTGACTTTGGTATCTTCCATATCAAATGAGTCCCGTTCTGAATCTCTGCGGTTGGATGAGACTGCAATTCGGACTTCTCGACACTGTTCGAGATCTGTCTCTGTAAATCCGGTTCCGTGACCTGATTCTCGCCACTGAAACAAAATAGCAGAAATGCGACTAATAAGATCCCTACAATGAAAGTAGCTCCTAATCGGTGGCTTCGAGATCCGTATGGTGATTTCCCTTTGTCACTATGCTTCAACATCACTGCAAATACAAAGTTATGAATATCAGGATTGAAACGGAACACTGAGACCAGACATCCCAGAAATCTCGTCTGAGGAACAAATGACCTTCCAAATTTTTCCTACCAATTCCCGGTAACGGACTGAAGAAATCAAAATTAGCAGACCAACACTTACCGGATGAAAAGAGAGGAATTGAATCTACTTTATTCCGACCGGCGAGTGGGTAACCACGAGTCGTCAGGCTCCGAGAGAAAGTCCCGACGATGTTAACGACGAGTTCAAACACCGTTCCATTTTCTTACGAGATCATATATCTCAAACCGTTTTTTCCTTTTTCTGCGCGACAAAAAATCCGGTGAAAAGCGTTCCGTTTTGAATTTTTAAACTCACAATTCGTGTCGTTTAAAACCAAATGTTTGTAACTATTGTTTACCCACTAATTTCATGTACACGTAATAAATCGTAATAAATTCATCAGTGGGTCTCCTCCAGTTATTGTCTATGAATTCTTATTAAGCTGCTAATCACGTCAAATTATTTATATACATTGCTTCTTTTACAATACTAAACAAAAAGGATGAGATAAATCATAAATGAATACATCAATTAGTTTATGATTGTTGGTAACCTTTAAAAGGACTAGTGTAAAAATATTTCACTGTGAACCTTTGAACGACTTTCTTAGAAAAGTAAATGCATGAAAAATAACTTTTGGAGCTGTAAATTCAAGGTAAGGTTTTGAAACCATTTTAAAACATTTATTTGCATGGATAATTGAGGTAGTATTAAAATTTATCAACTTGTAGGGAACATTTTCAATCGCACTATCGATACATGCAGAAGCGACAAAGCGCATGTTGTCATCAAAATAATTTAACTGTACCACTTTATACAATGAAACATCTATATATGATTTATGTTATCCAAAATAGCTGACACTATTTTTGTATATGTTACAACGTTTATCCATTCTGGCCACACTATATTAGTTTACAGAATATAATTTTTTATTTAGGTACATTTTCCCATATCGAGTAACATCAACAGAGATGAGAAATCTATATACGATCGTGAACTTGAAATGGCGTGGTCGTTGGAAAAACGAAAACGGTGTGCTTAAAACATTAATTTATTTTCGGATGAAAAAAGTTTCATCTATAGCTTTTAAATAATATAAACCTTTTCTTTATGAATCAGATTAAAACATTTGATGCATGTATTTAAATGGTGATGTATTATGCAGCGAAAGCATTTGGTATCACCATTCAGAAGAATGTATCATGTATGTTGTTTTTTTTGTAATGCATTTATGACATATGTGGTGCATGCATATAATTTGACAAGAAAGAAAGATTAATCACGCACAAAACCTGATTTGCCTGAAACATAATTGTATTGAAATAATTTTATTTTAGCCAAACGTAAACATATATAATTAGTTGGAGCTGTCTAAATAACTATTTAAACTCTTAATTACTCCATATCATCAGTAGTCTTCGTTACACACCTCACCTCCCATAGATTATTATTTCCTTGATAGGCCTTATTCATCTACAACCATTCAAATGATCATGAACAAAAACACAAAATAAGTTAGGTGTTATTAATGTCTGACAATTCACACCTAGGCACTATAGCACGATATCACTCAAGTGGTATGAGTGCTTCGTGTTTTTTGTAATTACACAATTTACTATGATTAAGATCGTCTAGAGTTTAGCCAAATAAGTTTGTCGAAGTGTGGTCCATTAATTACTGGGATTAATCTATTAATTAGTTAAAACTTCGTTTAGCAACTTACTCCATAGTCCCTCACTCCATTGCCATAAGAGAACAATTAATGGACGGTGATCTCCAGGAATAGCGCACCATTAATTCCATGTGGGCTCCCACACTGGAACCCTCTTTGCTATGTGTCGGTGTGACTCCACAAAATACAAATACTTGTGAAGAAGGACATTCCTGTAATTTTCTGCAGCAAAAATACTCTTTTCAATTATTTATGCAGTTATTAGCACTATAATTAACAGCTTCCACTATTCGTTTTACTAAATTATTCTCCTAACCCTATTAAATGCGAGCTAATATATATAAAATATATACATACACATTTACATATGTGCTAAATTCCCGCGGAGTTGAACGCGGCATTGGTTTTGGCCTTTTTTTATATATATTTTAATTTATTATTTTCTCTATAAACAATAGCATATCCTGATCGAAAGAAAACTACAAAAAAATACGTTTATTTAATTTTCAGGAACTCGTGACTATGATAGAATAATGAATATTGATGAAATAATATCTCTTTTACGGAAATAATTAAATTTATTTGTATTTATTTGGTTTACATGTCCCCTTGGCTTCTTAAGAAATTCCTCTTTTGAATGTTGTTTTTTTTTAATTCCCGTCGTACAGATCAAAACCTCAAGTCCCTCTCGCTCTTCCTCGAGCCTCGATAAACAACTGACTGTTTTCCAAATTTTGGCTTCGCGTTTGCTTTGATCGCGTCTTCGATCTTCTGTCACCGAGCTTCTTCATCCGGCTCCCTGTTGGTTTTGGCTGTTTTTTGATATTTACAGTGAGAGTGGAGATCGGAGATCTGGGGAATTAGAGCCGTGTCTTACTGGTTTTGGATTGATGGAACTGGAGAGACAGTGTGAGAAAGTGAGGGAAAGCGTGAAGAGATGAAGTTTTACATATCGGCGACTGGTATTAAGAAGGTTACCATATCGAATCCCGGCGTCGGAATCGGAAAAGGAGGCGGAGGATGCGCGGCGGCAGCGGCGGCGTTAGCTGCACGGAGGTTCTCTGGTCGCACGTTGTTGCTGTTGCTGCTGCTGCTCGCCATCGTCCTCCCTTTTATTTTCGTCAGGTTCGCGTTTCTCGTTCTCGAATCCGCCTCCGTTTGCGATTCTCCCCTCGGTACTTTTCTCCTGGAATATTTTTTTTTCTCTCAATCTTCAAACAAAGACTTAATATTAGATTCCATATCATCCTCTGCATATTTTGACTTAATCGTTGACTCGTCTCTACTTTTCAATTAATAATGTCTGCTAATGAATTTGACTAAGCCTCGTATACTTTGAAATAAAATTATCCTGGTAGCTGCAAAAATGTGAATTCAATAAATGTTTAGCTTCGATTTGGATTATATCATAAATCTTCGTATTGAATGCTATGTGCCTTGTGATCTTCTGCCTTTTTTTTTTTCCTCTGTTCATGTATTAATTTTTGTATGATTTGTAATTTAATATTATTACTTTTTCTTTTGACTCTCTGTATTCGCAGATTGCATGGGACTGAGACTTTTCCGTGGGGGCGACACATCTCTGGTAAGCTTTGTATTACTCTAATATTAATCACATTCTTAATTGTAATTTATATGTCGGCAAATGTTATAGAAGCTGGGTACTTAAAAATTAAGATATTTTCATGTGATGATTTGGGCTTAGTTAGCTTCTTAATCATCAACTTTTTACATCATCGATGGTATAGCAGGAAATAATTCAAACACTTGACATAGTGCTGCTATTAAAGGGAAAAAAGATATGATTGTGTATGAAGATAAAAAAAATAAGTCTTTTCCAGCTGTATTACGTTAGTGTTGCTGGTGTCGTATAGCGAGAGGTGTGAGCCTCCCTAATGGAGCTGGTGGGGGTAAAATTGTGAAACCGGGGATCATTTCATGTCATTGTCTAGGAACAGAGAGATGCATATGCATAGTAATAGTCTTATATGGTGAATTTTGATTTGTGAATTTTGATTTGCTCTAGTTTCTATCCATGCAATGACTTTTCGCGTATGATTTACTTTTGATAGAATTAGAAACAGACACTTGGTGGTTTTTTCTCCCTTTTTTAATCCTTGTAAACAGAATGATTTAGATAGATTCATGTGTTATTTTTTTTTTTGCGGTGGAACAAACTTGATCTGATGTCAACATGTGAAATTGTCGGAAACGAGCCCACAAAGTGGTTTCTTATCATCGATTTGCCTTTTTTTACTTTATTAGAACATAGACATGCCCTAGAGTGTGTGTAATTAGAAGCTACTAAGAGGGAGCTTACTTTTAGTGGATGGGAAAAAAAAGTCTTCATAGAGTTTCATGGGTTACTGTATATGCCAGAACGAACGTAGTTAAACATCAGAAGGATCTATACGAGTTTCAACTTTCCACTCAGTTTGCTAACAGGACACGTGGTAGATTAAGCTGCCACGAGAAAATCCATAGCCACTTGGTTCCTTTTCCTTTATACGTAGCAACAAACAGGAACAAAGAGAAACGTGACAGACGGATAATTCCAATACATGACTTAAAAATCGTTTTCCGTTGCACTGTTTCAGTTTAAGCAGTTTTGTTGTTTTGTGTCATGAGTTGATGTAAAGACACACTATGACAGCTTTTCGGTTGGCAACAACTCACGGCAAGAGAATGCGTGTATGTGCCTCTTTTCAGAAAATTAGGGAAGAGTTGACACGAGCGCTAGTGGAAGAGACAGATCAGGACGGTGACGGAAGTGGAAAGAAAGGCTCATTGGAGTCATTTGACGACCTTGTCAAGGAGATGACGTTAAAACGCCGTGATATAAGGGCGTTTGCTTCTGTGACTAAGAAGATGGTAAGTCTTTCTATCTTCATTTCCTCAAAACTTTTGGTAGAGAGTGGATATGTCCAATCGCTAGTTGATGATTAAAAGATATGTGGCAATGACTTTTCAGCTGTTGCAGATGGAACGTAAAGTCCAATCAGCAAAACATCATGAGTTAGTGTACTGGCATTTGGCATCTCACGGCATTCCCAAATGCCTCCATTGCCTCTCCCTCAGGTTAACAGAAGAGTACTCTGTAAATGCGATGGCTCGAACGCGTTTGCCTCCACCTGAATCCGTTTCTCGTCTCACCGACCCATCTTTCCACCATGTTGTCATCTTGACCGACAATGTTCTCGCTGCATCCGTCGTTATATCTTCTACTGTACAAAACGCTGTGAACCCCGACAAGTTCGTCTTTCATATAGTTACCGATAAGAAAACATATACCCCTATGCACGCTTGGTTTGCTATAAACTCTGCTTCATCACCAGTCGTTGAAGTGAAGGGACTCCATCAGTATGATTGGCCTCAAGAAGTGAACCTCAGAGTTAAAGAGATGCTCGAAATTCACCGCATGATATGGAGACGGCATTATCAGAATTTGAGAGACTCTGATTACAGTTTCGTCGAGGGTACGCATGAGCAGTCCTTGCAAGCTCTAAACCCTAGCTGCCTGGCCCTTCTAAATCATCTTCGCATCTACGTTCCCAAGGTAAATAGTTTTTCTCCGCTCAACTCTTCTCTGAGTTTTAAAAACCGATCTATTTATCATTTCGAATTCTCTTTCCTTTTTGGACCACACAGCTTTTTCCAGATCTCAACAAGATAGTGTTGTTGGATGATGATGTAGTAGTACAGCGCGACCTTTCGTCTTTGTGGGAAACGGATCTCAACGGTAAAGTTGTCGGTGCAGTTGTTGATTCGTGGTGCGGAACCAACTGTTGCCCGGGAAGAAAATACAAAGACTACTTCAACTTCTCACATCCTCTGATCTCATCAAACCTACTTCAAGATGACTGCGCTTGGCTCTCTGGTATGAATGTCTTTGATCTCAAAGCTTGGAGACAAACCAATATCACAGAAGCTTACTCCACATGGTTAAGAATCGTGAGTATATATGTGTATCAATCTCATTTCTTCTTTATATTATCTGCGCTGCAACTAAGTTACACAAATTTTTAAAAATGTGACTGCAGAGCGTTAGCTCGGGACTACAATTATGGCAACCAGGAGCTTTACCACCGACTCTACTTGCTTTCAAAGGACTCACACAGTCACTTGACCCATCATGGCACGTAGCTGGACTCGGATCTCGATCCGTTACATCACCTAAAGAGATTCTGAAATCTGCTGCGGTTTTACATTTCAGCGGTCCAGCAAAGCCGTGGCTAGAGATTAGTAACTCTGAGGTACGATCTCTGTGGTATAGATACGTAAATTCCTCCAACATCTTCGTTAGGAAATGTAAAATCATGAACTGATTAAAAGAAAGAAGAAGAACAAACAGCAAATCAAGGATTAGATACAAGAGTGATAAATGCCAATACTTGCGGCTGTATGAGAGAACAGAGGGAAGAAGGTTTAGCCTTCAGCCTCTGCCCATGTTTTCTCTCATGTCCATATACTAAAGAGTCATTAATTTTAGAGAAAGGACATTAAGTTAGACTTACGCATATGTGATTTCTTTTTTCATTATCTAAAAAATTTAGTATAGTATAAATAATGTATTTTTGCTTAACTATAGCTACACATTATAATAGTTCAGCTCAACATAGATGCTTGTAAGTTTATATTTTTGTAACTCATTATATATTATATATATGGACATGTGGTTATCATTGTATCAATGTTTATAATTTTGATGTGCGTGTTTGTTGGACATCTAATTGAAGCTTTTTACATGTAAATATTTTAAAACTTTGGATTTAAGCATCGAAGTAGATAGGCAATGGGAACAAGGGTTTTGTTTTTATTATTATGAGTGGAACCTAAGCTATGAACAAGAAGTAGCATAATTATAACGTAATCTAGTGTCTCTCTCGCTCGCTAAATCGTTTTGAGGGGAAGAAATAAGTTTTCATGTTGTTTTGCTTAAACAAGTTGAAGAGGAGGTTGGTCTTGACCGGAGAATTGCTGATTTGGTTCAAGAAGGTTCACTGGAATATAGTTCCGATTATAATGCTGCGACTGATCATGAGAAGACACACCGGATTCGTAAATCGCTGTTCCTTGTATCACACTCGATCCGTGCTGTTCCGGATTCAACCTCACGCCTTCGGATATCTGCAAAACCCAAAAATCAAAGTTTTGCTTGTGATAGACGTTAGACGACGAGCGAGAAGAACAGACATTGAGATTGGAAAACAAAACGTGACCTTACCTTAGCTCGCAGGTACATGTTATCGTGTTGCAAATCCATTTCCTACATGATTTATGGGAAAACTCAGAGCTCCCAAAAACAAAACAAAAAACGATGAAAGATATGAACGTAGTTGCTTGCGTAGGAAGAAACGCTGCTTACCCTCTTCTGCATATACTCAATCTCTGCCACTAACAACTCATTCTGCGAAATTTTCATTTAAGAAGAGTGAGGAAACTATTTATTACATACATAGAGATCGATAGATAGGACAAAGATCTAGTTACCTTCTTGGATCGGACGCGGCTAATTCCTTTTTCAAGGCGTCCTTCGAGGTTTTTGAGTTCCTTGAAGTTCAAGGAACCAAGTGATTCCCCAACAATATGCCTTCAATTCAATAACATCAACATTAATAAACAAAACAACCTTCGAATAAAACTACGAGCGAACCGAACTGATTCGACAGAGCTAAAACTAGTGAGTTTAATATATAGAGAGAATATTTTCCGGCAACTCTAAGCAAAACAAACAAAAAAACAGAAAATATATATATATATATATATATATATATATATTTTTTTTTTTTGTTTTTCAGAATTTGAACTGAACTAAGTATAATGATATATTTGATTCAAATTATTTTGTAAAAGTCTCCATTTGAAAAAATCGAAAAGCTCAGCTCTATAATAGAGTAGTAGATAGAGTACTCAAGAAACAAGAATTTGACTGTATATACTGAAACCTAGCTCATGAAAAGTTTATTAATTACCTGTTTGAGTTCTGAATGTCTCGAATCTGCCTCCGAAGCTTAGAGGCTTCTTGCTGATAGTACTTGAGAATTCCATGTATACAAACACCAAAACGTCACCGTGTCAATGTATTTCAAGAATCGCACAACTCTCTTTTTGTTGGTAATGTTCTTTTTATTTTAATATATAGAGAGAATATTTTTCAATTAATAATTGATCATAATAGACATAAATATATATAAGAAAAGAAAACAAAGAGAAAAAGAAAAAAAATTGGAACCTGAGTATTAGCTTCGGTGACGGAGGGGGGATTGACGGCATCTGAACAAGCTTTCTTGTACCTTTCAATTGTACCCTTCACACTAATTAAAAAAAGATGTAGAAACCATTAGATTAAATTTTGATAAACATACGACACTCTTTAAACAGGCTAAGTTTAAATGTAGGAGATTTTTAATTTACTTTTTAAAGGCCAAAAACCTTAAAATAGGAATGTGATGGCTTTGGAGTTTGGACCAGTTTCTGACCAGTACTATATACGAGGAGAAATTTGCAATTTAAACGCATCTTGCTTGAGTATATTATTTTTTCCAAGGTAATTTACACAAATAAACAATGGCTGTTAATGAAATTAATTAAAGTAGGGATATGCTATTATACTAGTAGAGTATTTATTATGGTTTTCATAATTGGTAATTAGGGTTTTAAGAGAAATACAAAACAAAAATCATGAATATTAGTAAGTGATTCAATGTCATCAAAATATGCTTTAAGGATCAGATAAATGAAGCTCAGAATGCCAGAGATTCCCATTGGCTCGTACCACTTTGATTTCCGACACTTCTCTGAGTTATCTCCCTCTCATTAATATATTAATGCAACAAATATATGCATCATAAAAGGACCTATATATAATATAACTATTTGCATCTTTTTACATTTGATGAGTGAGTGATTCTAACAAAGTCATATGTGTGTGTGTTTCTTGTTTGAAACACTTCTTCAACTATCACTTACAATTTCTTTTTGGACAAGAGATAATGTGTGAGACTGATGAAGATAGAAAAGGAAAAAACCACACTATATCTCAAACCTAATTACTGTACCAAATTTCTATATACCAAATTAGAACCTAATTAAATGTTATAAAATCGTCACATAGGAATATATAAATAAAAATAAACAAAGAGAGTTTGAAATCTAATCGTGCACACAGATATAGGATTTTCAATCACGTATACTTCTCAAGACCTACTCCAAAATATACCTACAAAAATTCGTTTTTTTCTTTGGGTTAAATTATTAAAGGGATCCCCTAGCGACGACTCATCATTAGACATAAGTCTTGATCATTCACACACATATATATACCTGCTAGCTATTTCGTTCAAGAAACCAAGTTTCTTTTTTTACCGATGAAACCCTAATTAATTATGATCTGAATATTAAGAAATTTGTTTTGTCGTCAAAATTAAAGTGCTTTATAGAAGGCAAGGAGCTGATATGCATATATAATATAAGGTTCTAATGATTTGCAGAAAAATGAGTAAAACCTATGGAAAAGGCTAATCAGAAGTTGAGAAGACAAGACATGCTTTTTTTTCTTCTTCTTCATTTGCACACATATACATATATGATAGAGATCTAGAGAGAGAGAACGATAGCTCTAGAGAGATATTTTATAACAAAAACAAGTAAACTAAGGATTGTAATTTAACAAAAAATAAAAACTAATCTTGGCTCTAAATTATCTCCACTTCCACAAGTTTTAATTTAGATTTATTGTAGTTTCAATCAAGAAAGCAAGATCAAGAAGGTGTGTGGGAGGAGATGGTACCTGTTGTTGGCATACTCATAGAGACGGCCACGAGTGGAGAAGATAACGAGGGCAACTTCGGCATCACACAAGACAGAGAGCTCATAAGCTTTCTTGAGAAGACCATTGCGTCGTTTGCAGAAAGTTACTTGACGATTCGTTGTGTTCTCTATCCTCTTTATCTCTATCTTCCCTCTCCCTATCTTCTTGCTACTCTCTGCGTCGTGACTACTCCCACCCTCTTCCATTGATCCTATCTTATCACCAAATGAATCAAAACACCAAGAAAGAGAGAGAGAGAGAGAGAGGCTAACTAAGCTTGATGATCAAATCTCTCAAGAATTAATCAGAGATTGTAGTTGAAAAGGAAGAAAACTTGTATCACAAAACTCGGGATTTTGGGACTAATTAATATTGTATTAATTGTATAACGTTCAAGAATTAATCAGAGATTGAATTGAAAAGGAAAGAAATTAACTTTGATTACAAATCTTGTAATTTAGGGTTACTTCTACACTGACTTTAGAACCTTACCTGGGTTTCAAGATTATGATAGATCAGCCAGCAAAAAAGGAGAAGCGTGGTAGAAACTTTTTTTGAAGAGATACTATATATTATTATCTATATTAATCTCAGTACCACTTAACTGCTGCTTCTGCTTTTCTAATTATGTTGTTCTTGAAAAATCTCTCCTTTTTTTTGTAATTTTCTGTTTTGGTTTATGGGCTTCTTTTGAAGGAATAATTCTTTGAAGGTATTAAGACCCTACTTGCAGAAAACAGAAGGTTACGAGTTTTTCTTTTTGCCGAAATGTATTTATACATAGAAGAAAAAAAGAAAAGAAATAGACCAATATAATATTATCTAACAAAATTGTCCAAAAAGCACATACTCAACAAAGCTATAGAAAACTCAGACTTTTATATTCTCTACACATGCATATAAAATAGATATCCATATCTATAAGTGAGAGATGTGTATTTTCTTTTTACAGAACTGGAAATCGAAATTGAAGGGAAACTAATTAAATATTATATTTAATAGTAATAAGAAAGAAAAAGAGAGGAGTAGGTGGAGGACATTGAAGGAGGACCATCCAATTTCTTTCATGAGAAGGGGAAAAAGGAGAGGGATGGGCTCTGTTTCTCATCAGAACCATCTTTTGGAAACTCCCTTTTTTTGGTAATCTTTCTCATTTTTTCTTTCTTTCTTTTCTCTACCATTCTGCATTTCCATTGATTAGATGCTCATCTATCTCTTTCTGTCTGTATTCATATTTAACCATCTTGTTTAGTTTAGTAACAAAAGTCTAGAATGAGTATTTTCAAACATATTCTAATCAAACCAAATTGAATTAACTGAACCAATATGTAGATAAACTGATGATCGGTTTTATAAATCCTCCGAATATCTTTTTGAGGAAATCTAATTAGTAATACCGAAACAGAAAAGAAAAATCATAGGAATCAATTTAACTAATGTGATATTCATTTCAAATTAATTTAACTATTACTTGTATTTTGATTGTTTTAGATTAATTTGTATCTCTAAATACCAAGATCAAATTGCAAAGAGGTTTTTGTTTTAAGTTTTTTTTCAACAAAACAAACTGTAAAATGAAGTTTAAAAAATCTGAAAACTGAAACGTACATTCTACCAAATATGTTACTACTTGCTAGCTAGTAGTATATTGTAGTGTTTTATGAAGTCAATTTTGCTAAAATTGATGTTTTTTTTTTTTTGAGTTTAAGATGCTTTTGATAGCCACTTATAATGTACACAGGTGAAAAATAATGAACCCTCTTTTGCAAAGAAATACAAAGTTTAGAATACCCATAAATCTATATATGATTCGAGAGCATCATCTGAAAAAACTCATGTTTAGACATTGTAAACTTTAATTAGAACTAATAGGTCTGAATATATAAACTAATGAAAACAACCAATCTAAAATGATTTACAACCTCTTGATCGTAACATATACGTGACATAGTCACATAATTAATGCCATGCATATTTATTTGATAATTATATAAGAATTGATATCAAAAATATTAAATAAAAATTTAAAGTATTCATGAAAGTGTCGACGACAAGAACGTACACATAGAGATGTAGGTGCGGTAAAATATGGATATATGATGAGAGAGACGTGCATGTGAAAATTGGCATCAACTTCTCCTAGTACCTGAATCCTTTATGGGAAATAGGGGATAAATAGCTATTTATTGTGCTTTCATCCTTCATCTTTTACTCTCTTTGTTTTTAGCCCCCATATAAAACATTTTGATATATATTCTCATGCACCCTTTTAATCACATATGCTCTACTGAAAAAACTCGAGACCAATAACATCATATTAGTCTTTTCTTTTGCGTGGGACCCTCGTTTTTGCAGTCACACTGATTTGAAAAATATAAGTTAAATCCTGAGAATCTAGACATTCGCTCATGATTCAAAGTTGTTGAGCATAACCCTCGAAAGCGATTTGAAAGTCTTGAATAATTTATACCAAAAAAAAAAATTCTTGAATAATCTTCAAATAAATAAAAAAATTATAGTATATAGTTGTAAGAAATCCTCATATATTTTTTTTGTTGAGTTAAAAGAACATAACCTTTTGGACACTTTATAAAACCCGATTTGAATTATAGTGAAATATGTGTTGGGCGAAAATTGATATTTAAAAAAAAAAAAAATTAAGGTGAACTAGCTAGCTAGTCGTGTGTTTTCAACTGTCTGCTTTAACTTTTCTAAAGGGTTGAATTTGAAATTCAGATTCGAACAAATTCATGAACATATACGACAACATATCTAAACAAATTAATTAGAATTGAAAATTATATGTGGATACGCTATTTACGTGCTTGAAAAGACCTTCATTTACGTACAAAATTAATTTTAGAATCAGAAAGCATGTGTGTAAAATATGCTGTTTACACCTTAAACAAAGATATATTTGCGCTGTTAAAACCAAAGAATTTCACAATTATGTATATATATATTACTATATTTGTGAGGTAGTTGAACTTATCATGCAAAAGAAGACTATAACTACTAAAATACGTATCTACGTTTGAGTGTATGTTTTGTCCATATATATAAAGATACAATGAATCTAGATGATTATGAGCTTATCCCAAATAATTCGAGATAATATGATTTGCATGGCTTTCCGTAAACTTGTTTCTTGTCAATAAAAAAATGATATACATGCAAAGGTTAAACGTGTGAATAAGAACTGCACCAATCACCAAATTAGTTTGAGAACTTAAAATGAATACGTTAGGAAAATGTTACCATGAATGCCAAAATATTAATAATGTTTCCATTGTCTCATTCATTGTATAAACCTCGTCGAGACGATATTATTAAGCTAATCTATTACCTCTCCAAATTTGTGGCAGATTTGAGGGCAGAAACACAAATTTCGCAATTGTGTTTGTTATATATTAATTTGGAGAGGGATATATAGAAAGGAAAAAGAAAAGAAATGATGAGACGACAACTTAATGAGGGAACAAGAAATTAAGGAATCCAGCAAACAGTGACTAATCATACGTATAGTCATAATCATCCACAAACCTTTTTCACCGTTCGCAATAACGTACTTGTTGACAAATAGAAACTCTTCTCCTCCATACCTCCGTCACTTTCCTTGTAATAATTAGTAGTGGCATATGTCAAAATCTATCTTAAATTGTGACATATATCATTTAAAACATTTGGGATGGCTCATGTCCTCCTGCTTTGTTGTTGCGGGGAAAAAATAATGGTTAGTTCCACCAGCTAATATCTCTAGTTTAATTGAAAATTAATCTAATGGGTGATAAGCTCTAAATTTAAGCCTTGTCAAAGAAACTGATTAGTGAATACAACTTCTAATTTAAAACAAAGAGGTCAAAATCTAGTGGGGTTTGATCAACGGACTAAGGATTTGTTTTATTTTTATCAATAGAAGTTCCAGTTTTAAACGCTATTAAAAAAACATATAAACTTTATAAATAAACACAACTGACAACTAGTGTGTAGCTTAATCGTTGGTTAGTGTTTGCTTAACGCTTTCCACTCTGCGAGTTCGAATAGAGTTACGACTCACATTGGTGGTAGTGTTGATAATGATGATGACTATAGCTTAAACAAACAAATTAACACCACTAGTAACATGGTTAAGGAAATGTACGTAAATTTACTAAACAATATTTTGAGTCTTTGACATTAAAATCTCACAAAGTCGCCGACCAAACATCATGGCCAGTTTTAAATTGTTCGATGTAATTAATGCATCTCGACTATTCAAAATTAATTTAAAGGAAAAAAAAATGAGAATCAGATATGCCTTTGGTGCTTAGCTTTTCGTTGTTCTGTTATAGTAAAAACAATTTTAACTTTCTTCTAGTTTCTTTACTTTGCTCTCTTCTTTATACCACTCAAAATGACATTGAGCACAAATTGTATAAAGAATGTTCATAGACCTATATATATAGATAAATTTTCATTGCATTAACTGTTTGATGCTTTAATTTTGCTTGTTCTGTTGAAGCAAAACGTACTTTTTAACTTTAACTAGATTTATCACCTCTTACTCGAAATTTCTCATGATGATCACCTAGAAGAATGTTGAGTGATATAAGATAAAACGTCAACAAAAAAAATGTAGACGAAATCGAATTATTTAATAAAAAGAAAAGGAAGACCTCTCTAATTAGAGCCCAGAAAAGTTTCTGGTTCGTTCATGATCTTACATTCCACATTAACCCCATTTATGCTTTTCAATTGGGCTTCACAAACATGGGCTGGGCCTTGTAATATTAATATTTCTCATGCTTTCATATTTATACTGTACTAGTATTTTACCCAGTACTAAGTACGGGACTACCGTCCGCCCTAAAACATATTCCCAATACATAATTTTTGATAAATTTGCGCTACAACTCTGTAGAATTCTTCTCGTTTGGACTCCAAATATTTCTGCACAATTTCAACTTCATTAGAGCATACTACAGAGTACTCTACAGAAATATTATTATTTAACAACAATAAAATATGATTTTTTGGGTTAAATATTAGATTTCTTATAAAATAAAACAAAAAAATTTTAATCTAGTTTCTCTAGTTATCCATAACTTTAAAACATGTTGATTTCGTAACTAAGAAAATATGTTCTTGTTATTTAAGTAGCTTTTCGACTGAAATCATATTGTGTAACATTATAATCAGAAAAAAGGAAAAGCTTTGAATGATTTGTAGGTGTTATCGCATCATCAAATGGATTTTTAAATTTTATTTTTGATAAAAGAGTTAGCAATGTACATACGTACCTATAATTCCACGTATGATCAATTGCTTATACTTTTTTTTTCTTCGTTCATGATTTCCATTATACAAAGTTGTTGATATTCTTTTTCCTCAGTAGTATGTTAGGTTCTTTGTTGTCTTTCCACATCTTTTAAAATCTGCATCACATCAGTATTTGTTAGCCATGACCATGAAATACGATTTATTGGTTACAAAAATAAAATTGAGATTTTTTAAGTATAACATAAGAGATAGAAAAGAACTAAGAATACTATTTGTTTTCAGATTATGTTCGGTTCTGCTCTTGTATGTTGCAGAGAACGCTATTTCATTTTGTTTTGTTTGTAGTTTGGTCTTCTTTGCATGCGACTGAGGCTTGATAAACAGAGGTCGTAGTAGAATGAGTAGACAAAAGAGTAAGATCCAAAGTAATTGAGAAAGAGAAAAATTAAAAATATATAATATGAGTTACCAATTTTATCTTGAAGAAGAACTGTTGTATGCCAGCATTGAGATTGTGGATTTGAATAAGAGAGAAAATGTTTTTTTTTTTTCGTGTGGATGCACAAATATAAATGATGGAATAGAGTTAGTTATACAAAGAGTGTTATTGCTAAACGTGTCATTTTGAGTTTTTCTATTTTCATTTTTGTAATAAAAATCATAAATAATAAACTTTTTATAAAAATATAAAACTAAAAGAAAATTGGTTTAAAAAATAAAAAGACAATTGTCAAACTCAGAATTAACAACTGACTTCTGCTTTATAGATATAAAGATTTCTCATATGCTTCGTGAGCTCCTAATTTGCTGGCCTGCAAAGAACTCTTTTCTCAGAATTTAAACTTCTTCCTCTATAGATGCTTATTTGCTTTTCCAACGTTTATGCGAGAAGACGACCTGGACCCATACAAAGATACTAGTTGCTCTGTCGAACGAGAGCTCTCATAGGAGCTTGGTGGCCAATGAGGCTTTGCCTGTCTAGTAGAATCTGTGCACGAGAAAGGCAAACCTAAAGATGGGTTTCTAGCATCGGGTAAGAGACCAATACCGACATTGCTGTAATCAGAAGGCAGACCATTAATCTCGGGATTAGATAGAAAAGGTAGTAGTTGCTGCTGGCTGAATGTGACACTGTTCAGTTGCTGCTCCAAACCAGATTCATGGAAGCTGAAAAGATCTTTATCAGCCAATGGAAAAGACGCGAGTGAGACACACGGATGCAAGATTGTGGGAGGATAACCTGAATCAGGAACAACAGCTGTTCTGACTTGTCGAGCCAAGCCGACATGTGGTTCACAAAGCCAAGGATAAGGATCCTTTGATGTATCACACAACATGTTTATGTTCCAATTCTTATCCAACGTTGTGGTTGAATGATTTTCTAAAATACCAAGCGCTGTGGTTCGCCATAACCAGCTCTGCTGAGTATATCTCCCCATTGAAGCATCTGGTGCTATGATCCTCTCGCCTGTTCTAACCATATCTGAGTAACTTGTGCCAACAGAAACATCATTGCCCATCAGCCGCATTGTTGCTTGACTGTTATGTAAACACAAGCCATCACGGTTTGCCACCATATTTCTGCTACTAAAACTTTGATTCAGATTCATTGTGTGGCTCCTCGGATTGACTTGAGAAACCGGGGAAAGAACAGTTTGATGACACTCTCCATCATTAGTGTCCGAGATGAAAAATGCTTTCTCGGTGAAGGTCTCATCAATGCCTAACCTAGCTGGATAGTAGTTATGGCGTTTCTGATGATGAACAGAGGACCTTCCGACATCTTTGGCAATCTCTGTCTCAGTTGAATGTTTCTTTACACTGGAAAAGTCCACTAAATTCCTGAGTATGGCATCATTTTCTGCAGATGCAGATCTAGAGGAACCATTTCCTAAACGTGACCGATCAAAACGTGTACGACCATCTCCATCTGTTTCGACTAGTTCACCTTGTAAATTGAGAGGGAACCCTGAGACCGCCTCTTCTACTTCTACATGCCTTTGTCGTGTATTAAAAACTGATTGTTGTTGCATCCATTCCACGAGAAGTGGATCAAAAGGTGATTCGTTGAGCAATGTCCCGCATTGCATATCAGCTGATTCAAGTTGAGACGAGGAAGAACAACTTCCGTAAGGGCTCTCACTCGAAGTAGAGATAGGTTGAGCCACCACATGCCCCTGTCTCTCCAAATCCAATGCATCCTTAATTCTTTCCAGTGAGAGGTGTGGTTTAGGAAAACACGACAAGCCAGATTTTGCTCTTGCATGACTTAACCGTCTCTCTGAAACCACAGGATGAAACTGCCTGGATTCTAACTGCATATTGTCACTGGTCTGATCATTTGATATAACCTTCCTTTTCTTGTCATTCCCAGATGATGATTGATCCTCGGCGGAAAAGAGACTTAACCGATTCATTTGCGAGCAGCAGAGTTCTACAGAGAAGAAATGAGAGAATATCTCACTTGGATCAGAGAAACCGACATGCCGAGAATCATCGATACTGGACTTATCAGGACTCCTCAAGGAGCAGACTTTCCTTTTAGCCTTTAAGATTCCAGGAATCTGGAACTCAGAATCCCAATCTTGAGTGACTGATTTGGGAGAAATCTGAAATATTTCCTCCCCTGTCGAATCTTTGGGCTTCTTGCCTTTAATCTTCTTCTGCAGCACGACATCATTCATTCTCTTTCTCTTTCTCTTTGAACCGTCTGAGTCATCTCTTTCGTCTTCCCTGAGTGCTACTTGGATCTGCGGCGCCTCCGCAAAAATCTCGACGATGGAGCGTTTCTTACACGGACTAGACTTTGCCTTGGCCTTCCGCCGAAAAGCCGACTCGGAATCATCCGGCGTCACCGGGGATTTCGTAAGCAGCGAAGCTAGCTCATGAGACCACCAGCGGAACTTGGCAACAGTCAACGGAGGAAGAAGCGACTGAATAAGATCTCCGGTAGCCTCTCCGGGGAAGGGCCAGCATTTCCGCAACTCAACACTCCTTATGTTACGCGTGTACTCTCTACGATTCCGATTAAAAAAAACGCAATGCATCTCATAAGTCACAACCAAAATCAAAAACTATTTGCATATATATATAAACAAATATCAGCACTCACCTGATGGAGAATCCTTCGTAATCAGCGTCCATGGGTTATATACAAAGGCGACGAATCGATGTCTTGAGAAGAGAACGAAGAAGGATATGAGCGAGACTGACACAGTAAAGAGAGAGAGAGAGAGAGAGAGAGAGAGAGAGAGAGAGAGAGAGAGAGAGAGAGAAAAAGGGAGTTTCAGAATTTCCCGCTCGGAGAGTTTTCTCTCTCTAATGGCGATTTCACAAATTATTTGTGGCATATTTTTTTAAAACAAAATTAGAATTTATTATTAAGTTTTAATTTAAGGCGGTGAAAGCGACAGAGGAGACTGCAACCGAACCGAAGCGTAGTAGAGGCAGAGTTATTTCAGTCTCTTAACCATTAGGCCTCACGCGCTTGCCTTCTCCTACTAAACTACGACCTTCTCTATGTCTGCAAATAATTATTGTCAGAAGCTTTAAGTCTCTAACATTAGTCAAAAATCTACAGATTCGATTTGACGTCAGACTGAACAGTACGCAACGATGTGACCTCATCTAATTTTTTACAACTCTTCCTTTACAATTTTTTCTACCAAGTACTCTTTTTATCGGCTCGAGGTCTTCTTTTTTTCTTTAGTTTGTACTACTACACATGAATTTTGATGATTATAATCAGATCTTTCACCTCGTAAACACGAATTAGATCTCATCATTAACTCATAATAATACACACCGTGTTCATTTAGATTTAGAATAAAAAACATTCATTATGCCATACATACAAAAAGCTACAAAATACTTTTACACTGTAATCCTCCTTCATTCGAGGCAAAACCAACCCATCTTCTTTTTTTTTTTTGGTCAAGAAACCAACCATCTTCATTATATAATTTAAAGAAGAAAAGCCCAGAGATCTTGGAGTCACCTGGTTAAGGATGAACGGCTACTACTGGGATTCACATAATCTCGCTTCGTAAACAATCTGAATCTTGGAAGGCACCTTCTTATCTTCACCTGTTCGTAATCACCATCAAAGCGTCTCAAAAACTTGAATACTTACTATACAGAGATGCAGAGTGTGAGAGAGATAGAGAGAGTGACAACCTTCCAGCTCAATTTCCTTGCAATTCGATCACTTATCAACTCCAAAGCAGTGATGATTTCTCGAAATGTTGGTCTTTTTGATGCTTCATTGTCCCAACAATCCTCGATTAACCTGTCAACAGAAACACCATAAGACTCTCAAAGTGGAGCCATGACTGTTTTGTTTCACAGACTCGATACTTGTTACAAAAAAAAACTTACTCTCGTAACCCAAGAGGATATGATTTTGGCGGAGCATTGAATGGTGGTCGTTCATCTTTAATATATGCTTTAGGAACTTCGCTTTCTTCTTTCATATGGAATGGTACACAGCCTTCTATCATCTGTTAAGTTTGTTAACACCCAAACAACATCGTATAAGCCTCAAACTCTTTTGCTCCATGAGTATATAACTGATTTAACAAGTCTAATATAGCTCTCTCTCGGTTACTTTACCTCTTGTAATATCAAAGCGAAAGAAAACACATCTACTTTTGTATCATACTCTTCATTTCTGTAAACTTCTGGAGCCATGTATCGCCCTGCTTACCCCCAACAACAACAACGACAGTATCATCAGCATTTCCCCATCCAAAACACAGCCATTATACATTCTATAGATTTGTGATATATTATTTCCTTAGACCAAATAAAATAAAGCCAAGTTGACCTAGCAGCTCTAAGCTAGCTCAAGACAGGAACATACACAGTTCGACAGAGCAATGTTCAAAGGTTATAAGATTCAGAAAACTTACAAGAACTGTCCAATGATGTAATAGGTTTGTCTTTTTTAACTGTCTTCTTAAATATTAGCAGCTTGCTGACTCCAAAGTCTGCAACTTTCAGATGTCCCGAGTCATCCCGCAGTATGTTTCTGTTCTCTTACTCGAACAAATAAGAACCTTTTCGATTTTTTGGATATGCAATATACTAATGAAACAATCTACACTAATACAAGCAAGAGGAAAACCTACGGAGGCTCTAGGTCGCAATGGATTATTGCTTCAGGTTTATGCTCGTGCAAATAATTCATTCCCCTGCAAAAATTTGAAGGAATATCATACAGATAATCAGAAGCCACAAAATCGAAATAAATATTACTTTGCAACGGGTCATGCATCTATATAAACTTGCATAACTACAAAGTAAAAAGATAGAGACAATAGCCAGTAAACCTCGCAATTTCAAGAGCGAACTTCACTGCTTGCGCTGGCATTAGAGGCCCTTTCCTGTCTAGATATTCTCGAAGATCTCCCTACAAATTAACAGAATTTTTTTTTTATTACTTAGAAGAATAATTTCATGCAGTGAAATATCAGTACATTCTTTATGTCATATCTAACCAACAGTCAACGTAGCATCATAATTGTAAACAAAGAAAATAGTTGTTATTCTCAAAAGGATTTGCTCAAAATATTATCATTTGATTTTAAGCTTCTTGAGATCTTCTCAGGTCTTAATATGATAAGTTGTAGACCTAGAGAGTCCATCCATTCTCCTAACGTGATTAAGAAAGAAAAGGACCTTCGGTAAATACTCTGTGACGATAATCATGGGGCTACTTTGAGTAACTGCTCCGAGAAACTGGACAACATTCGGATGGCGTATCTTTTGAAGCAGTTGAAGTTCGTCCCTAAACGCATTCCTGGATATCAGATTAATCAGAAGGATATTAAAACCTTTAATGCAAGATTGGCTCAATACAAAAGAAAAAGATGGAGTCAACCCACACTTTGTCTTCATCGGCGAACATTTCTTCTCCAAAGGTTTTAACAGCCACATCAATTCCACGCCATGAAGCCTTGTGAAAGGTTCCCTGTCGAGCAGATATACAGTAACGAAAAGTGTGAATATACCATTTTCATAAAAATCTTAATACTTGTTTTGCCGACTAAAACTCATTCTATAGATATTGGACATAATGCAAATGAAAACAGCAGCAATAAACAAAGTTTGGGCAAAGGGAACTACTTACCTTTGAGATTTTGACAGAGTTGGAAAAATCAAGCTCTGTAGGATGGATCTCATACTCAGGAACTTCTCTGTCCGTTAGAACATGCATAGGAGCAATCTAAAATCACAAACGATTATTAAAGCAGTGAATCAGCAAATTCAGAAGAAAAGCTATAACATCCATCCACGCAGTGAGGGATAATAACACGTACCGGAGGCTTAGCACCATGTTTCTCCAAAAGTTCAATCACATCTTGATTTTTGTAATACTCTGCATCTGCAAGAGGCTGTTAAGATCAATCACGAATTGTTAACATCGTTATCATTGCACTTTGGGATGTTGAAGCAGAAAACTATTCTAACACGGCCATGAAAAAAGCAACCGAGCTATGCTAAATCTGAGCCGTTCCACTAAACTTCCCCCTTCCTATCTATCATCCGATTTAAAAAGAATTTCAGGGGATTGCTAAAAGATATGCTTTTGCGGCAATTCGTGAAACACAAAGTCTATGAGAAGTCAAGCAGAGAAAATTCAGCACGTAAAGGGTTTTAAATTCGTACCGTACTACCCCATCGGTCCATGGAATTAACGGTGGCGCCACGGCTAAGCAGCAGCTGAACCACATCGGTTCGTCCCTGACAGGCGGCGACGTGGAGAGCAGTACGACCATCGATATCACGGTAATCGACATTAGTTCCGGAATCCAACATCTTGTTGATCCCATCGATATCACCTTCGTTGGCTAGATACATCAGACGAATCGTGGGATCCACGATCCCAGCAGCCGCCGCCGCCGCCAGCTCCTCGTCCTCATCTTCCGTTACCGTCTCTGTCGGGGTTCTTGAATCCGGCGCTAGCGAAGACTGCCTTCCGAGCTTGAATCTCGCCGGCGATTTCGGCATAATCGTCATGTTCGACAGAGGACTCGGTGCTTCCGTCAGCAAAAATGAGCTGTAAATGGAACTGTAACGGCAGCAACAGAAAAGTAAAAAGCCCACAAATTGTCAGGCTTTAAGGGTTTGCCTCTTAATGCGGGTGAAGTATCGTACTCGTTTCCTACTCAACGTTTTATACACTTAATTGAATTTATTTCCTTACTTTTTCTTTTTTTTTGTTTTATTGGGTCAAGATTTCGTTTGTATTTAGGATTTACTCCATTAACACTAAAAACAGAAAAGAAAAAGAGAAAAAGACTAGTGCAAGCATTAGGATACAAAACTACAAAAGTGTTAAAAAAAAAAAAAAAGAAGATCTAAATGCTATATACCGACATGAAATTAACTATTTAAGCACTTTAAAAATTATTAAGATTTTTTGAAAAACAGCTATTACAATTAGCTAAAATACAACGAACATCTCTCTCTTCCTCTTTACAAATGTCTGAAGTTTGCATGTAAGTTACATCATGTAACCAGTCAACGAGGCATATGTGTGATGCGTTTAATTTATCAAATTTAAATAACCTGCAAAAACATATAAACCATTTGTGAAATAAAAGTCACAAGTTCGAGTGGGGATCTAATTAATGTAATTTTTTTCTTTCAAAACGTATAAATGCGTTAAATTTTCTATGCTATTGGTCAAGAAAAACGTGTTACGCATATGACCACAAACTAAACCATTGCCAAAACAGAGCAACAAAAAATTATGTTAAAAAAAAAAAAAAAAAGTTAAACACATATCCCTATCCACTACATATTATTTAAAAAGTAATATTATTGAAAATTGTTTACTTATCAACACTACAATCAAAGTTAGTGATTTTAATTGATGATATGTAAATATGATATGTCAAACTTTATAAAATAAACGAAATATTTTGATTGGTTGAATTGTAATTATAGAAATTATGGAATTAAAACATAAATAAATTAAATTATATTTATAACACTAAAATTAACAAATTTAAATTAACAGAAAATAAAAGTTATTATAATTTTAATTTTTATATATATTAATGATTTCATAAAAAATAATTATGAAATTTTTTCAACAATATATATATATATATATTATAATTTCATATAAAAATAAAAAAAATAATATTAAATTATCCAATAGAATAGTAAAAATTCTATTTATTAATAATACTTTAAGTATGATATATTTTTATTTCGGAGAGTTATTAATTAAATCTAAAATTTTTTTAAATAAATAAATTATTAAATAATACAATTTTAAATAAAATACAATCATGATAAAAATAATTTAAAGAATAACATGTTAAAAATAATAAAAATAAATAACTTTTATTGATTTTTTTTAAAAAAAACGTAATTTAAAAAAAAAATTCAAACCAATATTTACTAAATGAATAAAGTATATACTAATTATTATTTTATAATATTAAAAGGACCATATATTTTTCTATAACTTTTATCATCTTTTTATTGTTGTTTTCTAAAATGTGCATAACTTATGTTACCATCTCATCTTATCTCTTATCATATTTTAAATAAAAATAAAATTTTATATCATATTAATATATATACATAATTTTGTTTTCACTGTATATCAAAATTTTGAGATCATAAATGAATTGAAAAATAACCGAACGAAAGAATAAATTATAATAAGAAGAAACAATATGAATAAGAGATAAAAATAGAAGTATATAAAAAAATCGCTCGTCTTTTGTTTTACAAAGTCACTTAAAAAAATTTTAACACATAAAAGCAACCCTAATGGAAAACTTTGGGTGTCTAAAACAGAAGATCTTAATAATAAAAAATAGTGAAAAGGGTCTTAAAAATAGACACAATGTATAAAATATGATACTTTTGTTGAGCTAAGACACCCAATGTCTAAAATAAATAATAAAATATTTTTAAGACCTTCTTAATAAGTTCTCCATTGGGGTTGGTCGCCATATTTCAATTTTTTTACAAATACGCGTACATATATAAATATTAGTTGTACATTAGTTAAAGTCACATGCGAACTTTTTCGTGCATGTATTTTGTTAAGATTGGTTACAATCTAATTTTTATTTTAATTATTAACCAATTTATATTTTTTTAAAAAAACTTTATTATTCTAAGTGTACTGAAGTGATTGGTATGTCCGCATATGCGTGCCAACCATCTATCCGCTCTTAAGAATAAGTAAAAATTGTAAAAATTATTTCAGTTTAATTTGCAATAAATCAAGAAAAATATATACTTAAAATATATTATATATGTATTTACAAACTCATATTATGTAAGACGTAAAAAAGCATATTATAGATTATGTAAGGAGAAATAAAATATATTAATATTATAAGAATTTAATTATTATTTAACATAACTTTTATATTTGTGATTATATACTATTACAAGCATTATAAAATAAAAGTAATAAAATACATTGATTTCAGGAAAAAGTTTATGAAATATTAAAACAATATATATATACAAACATAAAAATATTTAAAATTTAAATATTACAATTAACTATGTATATCAAAAAAATTATACCTGTGCGGACCAACCACCTAGTTATTATTAGCAGAGGCATAGAAAGCGAATGGGCTGATATCATTAGCGGACGCATATAAAGTTAATGGGCTGATATATCTACTGAAAGCTGACTCATACGATTTTTCGATTCAAGCCCAATACATTGGCCCATTACCAATAGATATTTAGCAACACGAGCCAATCGACACTACTCGACCCACACACGTCTGAAAGTCACTCGCCAGTGTTATAAGACACGTGCCACTCTGTTAGAGCGAGTCGTCTTCACCGTCTGTGCCGCGCTAAAGTGGGTTAAAGTTAAGTCCCAGGATAATTCTGACAATGACAAATAAGAAAAGTCTCTATGGAATTTGCATTTTTAAGATTTGAAGAAAAATGCTATCCGTTGATTACAAGCTTGAATCATCTTATCACCGTTGATCTTTTTGATAATCCGGATCCATTTTTTGAATACTATTATTACCCGTAGAGAATAGACTCAAATTTGCTACAAAATTAGAATTCAGCTTTGTTACTTAACAAAAAGATTGTCTCCTCTTCTCCTTCTTCGCTTCCATTCTTTGAATTCTGATATTTTTGTGAAAATGGAGATTCCGGAGAGAGTGAAAGCTCGATTGGCCCTTCTCTCGGCGCACTTGGCCGTGTCTGATCCCGTCGGATTGGAACAGGTGTTGCCGGCGATCGAGCCATGGTGCACATCGAGTGCTGCACCGCATGGATCCCTCAAGGGAAGCTTGACGATCGTCGATGAGCGTACCGGAAAGAGATACCAGGTCCCAGTCTCAGAGGATGGTACCGTCAAATCGATCGACCTGAAGAAGGTATTTATCGGGTCGTACGTTCTGAAGCGAAATGTAAAATCTAGCACGATAAGCATGATTAGTTGATCTACTATCTTTTTTATCTAATTTTCGATCCGTAGTGTTGCTGAGAGATTGATTTGATGTGTATATAGCTTATAGAAGGGATTTGGACATGATTTGTGTGCAGATAACGACGGGGAAGGATGACAAGGGGCTTAAGTTATATGATCCAGGTTACTTGAACACGGCTCCGGTTCGGTCTTCAATCTCTTACATAGACGGAGATGAAGGGATCCTACGTTATCGAGGTTACCCAATCGAGGAGTTGGCTGAGACCAGCACTTTCATCGAGGTTTCTTATCTCCTCAGTAAGTCTAGTTGCTGCTTATTTTCCTTTTCGAGTGGACAAGAAAATGTCTGATCAAAGGAGATGAAGTTTTCTGGAATATATTTTTTTGGTTGGTCTTGAAATGTTTTTGATTGCTTTGGCAGTGTACGGGAATCTGCCTTCTCAAAGTCAGCTAGCTAATTGGGAATTTACAGTTTCTCAGCATTCAGCTGTACCACAAGGAGTATTGGTATATTTCTGCTCTTCTTCATGGAGTTTCATACTAATGTAGTATATTCCAAAGGTTCTATCAAAAATGTAAATCTCAAACAAAGGAAGGGTTTTGAAAAAGATTACTTTTTTTTTAATTGGATGTGTGTATGATGATGATGATTGACCATTTATCCACATATAAGACAAATATCGAGAAACTGCATTTATGGTTGGACAAGGGCCCCTGTATTCTATTTGGAATTATTCAGCATTTGAATATCTGATGATTGTTGTACTAGCCCTAGTCAAAGAATCTTGATGATTAAATCTGAATGTTTTGGCAGGATATCATACAGACCATGCCTCATGATGCACACCCAATGGGAGTTCTTGTGAGTGCGATGAGTGCACTTTCCATCTTTCACCCTGACGCAAACCCTGCTCTTAGGGTAAGTTTTATGTAATCCTGTTGAATTTTTTTTGTACTTTTAATGTCTCTTTTCTGAAACTGTTCATTGGATGCAGGGCCAAGATATTTACAAGTCGAAACAAGTTCGTGATAAACAGATTGTTCGTATTCTTGGAAAGGTATTGTGGCGTCTGATAATTTGGTGGCTTAATGTATAACTAGACCATGATTTTAGTTGCGGGACTGGAATAAGGTTTACAATGTGTATATAATGTCTTTGTAGGCACCAACTATTGCAGCAGCTGCTTATTTGAGGATTGCAGGCAGGCCTCCCGTTCTTCCTTCGGGAAACCTTTCTTATGCAGAGAATTTCCTCTATATGCTTGATTCAATGTATGTCTTCTCACTATCTTTCCTCTTTGGTGGTCTACACACTAGTTGAATATTTGTTTCTAAAGATCTGACGATCCTATTTTTAGTTTCGAAAAGTGACTGTAACAGGAATATATACTTTCGTGTTCAATTGATAACAGGGGAAATAGGTCTTACAAGCCTAATCCTCGTCTGGCTCGAGTGCTGGACATTCTCTTCATACTGCATGCTGAACATGAAATGAACTGCTCTACTTCTGCTGCTCGGCATCTTGCGTCTAGGTACTTATATCATTTTGTCAGAGACTTTTTTGTTTTTTTCATTCAGTGTGCTATGAGATATGTTTTAATGATCAGTATTTGTCTTTGTGTAGTGGCGTGGATGTGTACACTGCTGTCGCTGGAGCTGTTGGAGCGCTTTATGGTCCACTTCATGGTGGTGCCAACGAGGCTGTGCTTAAGATGTTAGCGGAGATTGGCTCTGTTGAAAATATTCCAGAGTTCATCGAAGGCGTGAAGAACAGGTGATTCTATACTTAAAAGAAGAACTCAAGTTATCTAAATTGTGATGTGTCATGCCACTAATGTTATAATCCGTTTTTCCATGGTCTCAGAAAAAGGAAGATGTCAGGTTTCGGACATCGTGTTTACAAAAACTACGACCCAAGAGCAAAAGTCATAAAGAAACTAGCGGATGAAGTGTTCTCCATTGTTGGAAGGGATCCTCTGATCGAGGTATTGTAGATCCTTGTATCTCTCCTAGTAGATGGATTGTCGAATTCCTTCTTATATATGATCAACGTGGTGTAATAAAGATTTTGATATATGATGTTTTCAGGTAGCAGTTGCTCTAGAGAAGGCAGCTCTGTCTGATGAATATTTTGTTAAGAGAAAGCTTTACCCAAATGTTGATTTCTACTCTGGATTAATCTATAGGTAAGACAATGCCAAGTCATGTGACAAAATTGCTGATAATGAGTTGTTGTGACCATTAAGGTTCTTTACCTGAATCTTGTGTGTTGGTGATTGAATTGGGAAAAAAAAAAAACACAGGGCAATGGGATTCCCACCAGAATTCTTCACAGTCCTGTTTGCAGTCCCGCGTATGGCTGGATACTTGTCACACTGGCGTGAGTCGTTGGATGATCCCGACACTAAGATCATGAGACCCCAACAGGTATAATAATACATCATTTGTATGTACTAGAGTCATTCACTGTTTGATAGATCAATGACATGAAAGGTGTTTTCTTTTTGGGGTAATTTTGTATTGTGTAGGCCTACACCGGGGTGTGGCTAAGGCATTACGAGCCGGTGCGAGAAAGAAAGTTGTCAAGTGATTCAGATAAGTTGGGTCAAGTTTCCGTTTCCAATGCATCAAGAAGGCGTTTATCTGGTTCTGCACTTTAGTCTCTGTCCCTTATAATACATACGAATAAAGACAGAACATTGGGACACCTCTAGGCGAACAAGAGGGTCTTGTCAACATTCTTTGTTGTTTTTCATTCTCCTACAAATTTAAACACTCAATAATCCACATCCTATTATTTTATAGTAATAAATTGATGATTTAAATACTTTTTTTCCTCAGCCACAATTTTAGAATAATTTTTATATTCGAAATCATCCTTTTTTTTTTCTAAGATCGAAATGATTATTTTACACGCTATATATTGGTTGACTGTAGGTTTCCTATAATTATGTATTGCCAACCTATAATATGTTACAAAAATATGATTTGCAAAAATATATCCCAAAGAAAATTGACTAAAACAATTAAAAAATATGTTACAAAAATATGATTTGCTATCAAAGTAATAAATAACAAAAAAAATAGTTTAGGGAAGAGTTAACAAGCTTGGGTAATAAGAAACGGCACCTCCCAAAGAATAAGGAGCAGTAAAAAATTTACCATATGACTTCAATCTAGAATTGAATAGCACGAGCTTGCACTCGTCGTCGCTGGAATCATAAAGCAAAAGCCTGTCGTCAGAAAGCGATGCGACCGGTGGCTTTGAGATAAGATATTCATCTTCGATACAATCGAGATTTGAACGGAGATCAATGGAGTAAGTTTTGTCCCATGTCACGTTGTCTTGATTCAACGACCATATAGTTTGTGTGTCTCCCTTGTCCTCCGATAAGGATAAGCGGTTATTCAAGGTGCACATGGTGATCCGCTGATGAGGTGCATAGGCAACAGGTATCTTGGTCATCACCGTGAAACTTTCAGTGTGAAGATCGAAAGACAAGACTTGTGTTTCCGTGACGGCATCCATGAACCAATGGAGAGATCCATATGCTTGAGCTGGGACTTTATGATCTAGAATTGGATGAGGAGAAGAAAGAATCACGTCATGCCTCCAAGTAGGGTTGTTTCTGTCGAAAGAGAAAACCTCGCATGTATTAGTTTGGCCGTCTATGTTTAAGGCATGAGAGTTATACAACCAAACAATCTTGTATATCCCCGTGATATTGTCTTTACCGAATCCCATTGATGGGCACGAGGGGTTTAACTTTTCGCGGACAATGGCTACGTATCTATCGAATCCCATTGATGGGCACGAGGGGTTTATCGTATCGCGGACAAGGGCTTGATATCTCGCCTCGGGGAGTTTACGGTACCATCTGGTCGCGGGATTGATCACACACACGAAGGCTTTTGAATATAGACAAACCAGACCGTCGCAGCTACTTGTAACATGAACAAACACTGCTTTCTTTGAGTGGACAGGGTAAGGAAAAGGAGTTTGCTTCTCGTCCAAGGAAACGGATGTTTCTCCCAAACTCAATGTCCTAAGGAAAGCTTTTCGGCCGTCGTCAAGGAGACCATCGTTTACTAGTATGCTCGGATCCCGAGATTTCTGTTGATGACTCAGTTGTCTCTTCTGAAAACGCCGGGATTCGATTTCCGTTCTCCATCGTTTGGACACCGCTCTAAATCTCAATAGTGACTTTATCGGAAGTTTCTCGAGAATCTCTTCCACCACCACGTCTTGTGGTATATTTACTACCACTCTCGGACTGCTGGTGGTGTCATCAACCTCTCTCTTTCTTTTCATTCGATATTGCAAAGCAAGCGTACGTATGTAGTGGTTTTGGGTTTCTTCTTTCTCTGATGAAGGAAGGTTTGTGCAAGTCCGTATATACAAAGAATTGTGTTTCTCTCATCATAACGTCTAGTATTTATACAAACTAAGGGCTTAAAACTCTGTTGAGAAAAGATATTTACATAGAAAGGGAAATAGATTACAGAATATATTATAATAAGGTTTAAACGTACATATATAGATTCTCTCAATCTCAATCCTAATCTTTAGCAGACTCGAATTACTAGTAACATTAGGTATGATGTCTCTCAGTAAATAACTACACCTATTTTGCTAATGTATCATCACCATATAGAGCTTTTCAAATTTTTTTTACATTATATATGTTTTGGTCAACGAAACTTTATGTAGTAGCTTTTCTTCAAAATATCAATTTCAAGGTTAGATAATTGTATTTTTTTCAAAATATTTTGTAATTTTGACTATTTGGACATCTTGTAAGCTCTCATAATTTCATTACATGCTGCCATAACTTAGTCTGTTAGAAATTATAGGGGGTAAATTATTAGAAATTGCATTTTTTAAATACTAACTAATCCAATTTCTTTATTAAACCAAAAATCGTATCTCTTCTTCTTCATCACAAATACTCTCAGCTTCTCTGTTAATTCTCATTTAGTAAAAACATTATCCAATAACGCATGCTTTCATCGCTTCTGTTTTTGTATACAACCGAGAGATTAATAGCCACAAAAGTCTGACAAGAGGGGAAAAAAAACAGCGTACATTCACGCAAAACATTCTCCAAAAAGTAACAAGACAAAACTTCATTAATTAATTACATGACTTTAAATTATCAAAGTTAAGCCACTGTCGCCACTTGGTTTTTCTTCTTCTTCTTCTTCGCTTCCTTTCTTTGAATTCTGATTTTTTTTTTCGAGGTAAAAATGGAGATTTGGGAGAGAGTGAAAGCTCGAGTGACCGTTCTCTCAGCGCACTTGGCGGTGTCTGATCCCGTCGGATTGGGACAGGTGTTACCAGCGATCGAGCCATGGTGCACATCAGCTCACACGAGTGGCACACCGCATGGATCTCTTAAGGGAAGCTTGACGATCGTCGATGAGCGTACGGGAACAAAATATCAGGTCCCAGTCTCAGAGGATGGTACCGTCAAATCCATTGGCTTGAAGAAGGTGTATATAAAACGAGTTGTATTTTCTCAAGCAGTTGATCTTATTCATTTTGTTGTCTTACCTCTTATTCCATGAGAAGGAACTTCTTTTTTCTCATCTCAAATTATTGGTTTCCTCCATTTCTTTACATGCTTGGGGTGCAGATAACGACAGGGAAGGATGACAAAGGGATTACGTTATATGATCCAGGTTACTTGAACACGGCTCCTGTTCGATCTTCCATCTCTTACACCGACGGAGACGAAGGAATCCTCCGGTATCGAGGTTTCCCAATACAAGAGTTGGCTGAGAGCAGCACTTTCATCGAGGTTGCTTATCTCCTAAGTAAGTCTTCAGTACCATATTCTGTCTTCTTGTTGGCATATTTTCTTTTGTGGCATAAAATATTAAGTTTTCTTTTTTTTTGCTTTGGGACAGTGTATGGGAATCTGCCTTGTCAAAGTGAGCTAGCTGATTGGGAGTCTGCAGTTTCTCAGAATTCATCTGTGCCACAAGGAGTATTGGTGACGACTTTCTTCTACTCTTTGCATACTTGTGTAAATACCAAACTTGATGCAGATTTTAATAGCATCTTTTGCAGGATATCATTGAGTCCATGCCTCATGATGCTCATCCAGTGGGCGTTCTCGTCAGCGCGATGAGTGCACTTTCCCTCTTTTATCCTGATGCAAATCCTTCTCTTATGGTATGTTTTTTTTTTTTAATTATAATCCTCTTTTCATTTGTTTTTTGTATCCTTGAATTCACGGAAACTCCCATTGTGTGCAGGGCCAAGATATTTACAAGTCAAAACAAGTTCGTGATAAGCAGATTTTCCGTATTCTTGGACAGGTTTCTGTTTGATTTTATAGCTTAATGTATAATCTGAGTGTGATTTAGTTGTCAACGTGTATATATATTCGGTGTGTCTATAGGCACCAACAATTGCAGCAGCTGCTTATTTAAGAATGGCAGGCAAGCCTCCTGTTCTTCCGTTGGAGAACCTTTCGTATGCAGACAATTGCCTCTATATGCTTGATTCAATGTACGCCATCCCTCTTTTCATTGATTAAGCACTTGCATTTTGAGGAGAGTACAGTTACAAAACTGTTCACTGCTTTGGTCAGTTTAGATCCGTTTGTAACAGGATGATAGATTCTCTCATCTTCCATTGATTACAGGGGCAATAAGTCATACAGGCCCAATCCTCGGCTAGCTCGAGTGTTGGACATCATCTTCATACTCCATGCTGAACATGAGATGAACTGCTCCACTGCTGCTGCTCGGCATCTTGCCTCTAGGTACTTCTTATATCACTGGTCACAGACTTTTTTTCATTCAGTGTGCTATGAGAAATGTTGAAAATCAGTATATGTTTTTGTGTAGTGGTGTGGATGTGTACACTGCTGTCTCTGGAGCTGTTGGAGCGATTTATGGTCCACTTCATGGTGGCGCAGTTGAAGCTGTGCTTAAGATGTTATCAGAGATTGGCACTGTTGAAAATATTCCAGAGTTCATCCAAGGCGTGAAGAACAAGTAACTCAATATACTTTTAAGACTAATAACAGTATCTAGATTGTGATGAGTCACTCCATTAATGTTGAACTCTTTTCTCACAGGAAGAGGAAGGTGTCAGGTTTTGGACACCGCGTTTACAAAAGCTACGACCCCAGAGCAAAAGTCGTTAAAAAACTGGCGGATGAAGTGTTCTCCATTGTTGGAAAGGATCCTCTGATGGAGGTTCTTTTAGATTCCTTGCACTTTAGGTTATTATGTGTGATGGATGTGGTTGAAGATAGATTTGGTGTATGTATGGTTTTTTTTTTTTTTTTTTTTTTTTCAGGTAGCAGTTGCTCTAGAGAAGGCGGCACTCTCTGATGAGTATTTTGTTAAGAGAAAGCTTTACCCAAATGTTGATTTTTACGCTGGATTAATCTATAGGTAAGGAGATGGATGAGTCATGTAGCAAAGTTCTTGCTGATGAATCTCTTTCATGTGTTTGGTAATTGAAATGGGGAAACTCACAGGGCAATGGGAGTCCCACCAACATTCATCGCAGTCTCGCGTATGGCTGGATACTTGTCACACTGGTGTGAGTCGTTAGATGATCCTGACACTAAGATCATGAGACCCCAACAGGTCATCAAATACACTCTTTGATATATGAAAAAAGGTTTTTTTGTGTGTGTGTGGCTCATGACTCAATTGTATTGTGGGGCTGCACAGGTCTATACTGGAGTATGGCTAAGGCATTACGAGGCAGTGATAGAAAGAACTTTCAAGTGATTTGGATTCGGATCAGTGTGGTGTATTTCCATTTCGAATGCATAAGAGTCAAACAGATAACTGAACTCTAATATGTATGTTACATATGTGTAATGTATGAGTTTTGGTTGTGTTGTCATTAATATATAATTAAGTACATTTCAAATCTATATTAAACTAAATGAAACCAGTAAGATACTAGACCACATATTTTCTCCTCAACCATTTCGAATTTTGCACCAGTATAGACTTTCATCCCTGAATCTTCTAAACTATCTTCTTTTTTTGGAAGATCGAAATGATTTTGATTTGAACGCTAATTATAATCTTAATCCGAGGGGAACAAATAAAATGTTATTTAGAAGATTATTCGCCTGAGTTTTTTTGTCCGTAGAGTATAGCACTTAATAAGAACGTGGGATAAGCACACAGTCTGATATGAAGACGGGGCCCACGGTGGGTCCAGATTTAGACACGAAAGCAGACCCCACCATACACGATGAGCTGTATATTTATTTTCTCTTTTTGTAGGAAAATAAGCCCTTCATGTTTACAATTAATTACAAAACAGACCCCTTTCTTTCCTCCACGATCAGCGACGAGATCGAATTCGATCGCTCTCTCGTCTTCTTAAAACAATTCTCAATTTTCTCCTAAGGCCTCTCTATCTCTCTGTCTTCTTTGAATCTATCTCAGTGAATAAGAAGTCGCCTTCTTATAGTCTCTCGAGAGGCCCAGGTATGTCATCACAAATCCTACTCTTCCCTCTCATTTCTCTCTGGTTAATTTTCTCATTGAATCTGGGAAATTTTTGGGTGCCGACGTTGGATAATTGGTTATCTATCCATAAAACCCGAGTGATCAATTCTGAGTCCAAATCAAACCTTTCGGTTCTTTGTTCGTGTACCTTTTGACTCTGTGATCCCGATTTTGCCTTCTGGGGATCTGGAAAAAGTTAAACCACTATCTATATTGAAAATCCGTTTGAGCTTAGTTCGAATTAGAAAATGATCTAACTTTGATTCAATCCGCTGACCAATAATGGAAAATCTGATGGATCTCTGTATGGATTGTTCGAGCGCTTCGTTGATTAGCCTAAGATTTTCCTTGTGAAGTAAAAAAATCTTTGCCTTCCCGCGATTTTGTTCAATTCTGATTTACCAGATTTTAAGCTTTGATCTCTGTCGCTTTTTTGATGTTATTGTTGTTTGTGTGCTGCTTTAATGGCGTCAAATAATCTCGTTTCCTTGATTTGCAGTAGTTTTGTGAAACATGGCTGGCCAAAACGCGCGTTTGAACGTGGTTCCCACCGTTACTATGCTCGGGGTTATGAAAGCGCGACTCGTTGGAGCCACAAGAGGTCATGCCCTCCTCAAGAAGAAGAGTGATGCGTTAACTGTTCAGTTCAGGGCACTTCTCAAGAAAATCGTTGAAGCTAAGGAATCCATGGGAGACATGATGAAGACTTCGTCTTTTGCTCTCACCGAAGTCAAGTACGTTGCTGGTGAGAATGTCAAACACGTTGTCCTCGAGAACGTTAAAGAAGCTACGCTGAAGGTTCGTTCCAGGACAGAGAACATCGCCGGTGTGAAGCTTCCCAAGTTTGATCACTTCTCTGAAGGCGAGACCAAGAATGACTTAACCGGTTTGGCTAGAGGTGGTCAACAGGTCCAAGCTTGCCGTGTGGCTTATGTGAAAGCCATTCAAGTCCTGGTGGAGCTTGCTTCCCTCCAGACCTCGTTCTTGACGCTTGATGAAGCAATCAAGACAACCAATCGCAGGGTCAACGCTCTGGAGAACGTGGTGAAACCAAAGATTGAGAACACAATCAGCTACATCAAAGGAGAGCTTGATGAGCTCGAGAGAGAGGATTTCTTCAGGTTGAAGAAGATTCAGGGATACAAGAGGAGGGAAACCGAGAGACAGGCAGCTAACGCTAAGGCGTTTGCTGAAGAAATGGTTCTTGAAGGAATCTCTATGCAGAGAGGGATTTCGATTAACGCTGCTCGTAATTTGCTTGTTGGTGGTGCAGAGAAGGATGCAGACATTATTTTCTGAGGTGTGGGCTCCCCTTATTTACCCTTTTGTGATTGCTTTGTTTCTGCTATTACTCTCTCACTCTTCATGAGACTTGTGTTTCTTCAAAATAAAATGGATATCATGTAGATGAAATATTGTATCATCTTGGATTGTGCTTTGCTATGAATTTCCTCAAGAGATTTTGTGATTGTTACTTTTACCTGTTTTGGTCATGATGTGGGAATGATACTTATTCATGGCATCACCCACGTACCAGGACATATTCCTTGCTTAATTGATCAGGTTTTAGGGAATCAATATATGTAAGTGGAGAGAGAATAACTTAAAGCAAAGAAAAAGAATATAAACAAAAACTTAATCACCATTATGATCTCGTTTGTAACAAGAAACTAGGGCATTGATTCAGCTATGTACAACTCCAGAAATGGCTATTCTTCTTCCTCTGTTCCGAATCAACCTGGTAGGTATGAGTCGGCTACACGATCCTCGGGTTGGCGAGTTCCTGCTTTCTCTTCACGGAACGCTTGGTCCACGAGTGATACAGTAAGTAGACCTTTCCCTTTGATCATCATCATCATATACTGTATGTCTTCAAGTTCTGGCTTCTTTAATTGGTTTTCTTTTAAATATTTTTTGAGTGTTCTCTTTCAGATAGTTAATAGGCGTTTGCTCGATGATGATCCTCCAGCCGCGTACTCAAGAACATCGATGTCATCAGTCATGTAACTTAATCATCCATTCATCATCGATCATCTGATTATTCCTGCTTTTAATTTTGTTACCAAGAACGTGCTCTTCAAGAACTTGAAAACCCTTGTTTCTTAGCAGAGACTCATATACTCCGCATCAGATTCCGATCAGGAACACCAACAACCTGAGGAGGCAACACCTCGAGGCACTAAGGCAAGCGGTTCACAACCAACCGGCTAGACCCGAGAACAACTCAAGATCAGCATCAACACAAGCCGGAGAAGAAGACCAAATCCTAAAACATCTAACAAAGGACACATATAATCCAGCACCGAAAAGCCTACTTCTCAGAAACCTAAGCTTATACTACAGAAACAAAACCACGGGAGGCGGAAACTCAAGAAACGCTCGAGGTCTCTCCCATGGAGATGAAGAAGATGAGAAGAGATGCAGTGTGTGTTTAGAAGACTTTGAGCCCAAGGAAACAGTGATGCTCACTCCTTGTAAACATATGTTTCATGAGGAATGCATCGTTCCGTGGTTAAAGAGCAAAGGACAGTGTCCTCTCTGTAGATTCGTCATACTCAAACCGGAAAAACGGGATTCTTCTCCGGCTATTAGCTCAGATCTCGCCGGAGAGATGACAGTGAACGATCTCTTCACATTAGAGCTAATCTCTGTGGTACGAGCAATGGAGGAAACTTTCCTTTTTGGTTATCCTCGTCGCATGTAGAATCATCGTATCTCTGTTGTACCTTAAATATATATCTCAAATGATATTAATTTATTACTTGGGACTTTTAACGAATAATCATATGAATCCACCATTGATACACCTTTACAGTGGGGAAAAGAAAAAAATTTGTTTTCCTTTTTTTGTTTTTGGCTACACACACTCATCTAGAACTATCACAGAAGGGAATGGCGCCAAAATCGCATCTCCGATGTTGCTCCTCCGTATCCACTGCTCCACGGCGGAACACTGAGGCGCAATCAGGCAAATCGCCGAGATCACCGAAGAGGGATTCATCTTCCTCTTCGCCTACTGAAAAACCCCTCTCTAGGGTTACGTCGAGGAAATTCCCACCGTGAATCGAAGAAGAACCAGAGGATGACGAGATTGACGCGTCGTAGAACCACCCGAACTCGCCGATTTCGCTGTAGCAGCCGCCTAATAGCAACGGGGAATCGACGTGGCTCAGATCTAATCCAACCGGTTCCTCGGCGGCGACGGTTACTTCCTCCTCCTCGTCTTCTTCCAGGTTCTCCTCTTTCTTGGCGGATTTGAGGACGACGGTGGCGGTCCGGTGGTGGTGGGATTTGTTGTTAGCGGCGGAGGGGAAAGGGTGGTTGTGGTCGCAGGCGTAAGTTATCATGAGCTTTGTGGGGTCCACACGGCTCCTCTCCACCTGCTTCCTCGCCGGACATCCTTTTGAGCTGCTGCATCTGTAATATCCCCTGAGATCCCCACACACAAAAGTGATTAGCTTTAACTTTTTTAGCAAAATCAAAAAGTTAAATTAGAAAGGGACGCAATTTTTATGGATAATACTAAATTTACGTATAATTAAGTAAATAACGATTATTATTATTAGGGCATTTTATGGTAATTTTTATAGTAAATATAGTAAGAACTGGATAAAATGAAGTTGAGGAAAGAAAGGAACTGGATAAAATGAAAATGAAAAACTATCAAACATTTTTCCATAAAAGTCCCCCAGTAAAATCAAATAAATATAATTTATTGAAATATAAAATATTGGCACGTTAATCACGTTCATATATGTAAAATAATTTTCCTTTTTGTGCGCATTACCCCATTGTGGCTTTGTCTTGATTAGAAATCAAGATCTACACCTACTTTAATATTTTCATCTTTTCCCGAGGTTATTATTATTACTGTACAAAGTAAAGCAAAACTTTAAGATAATTTAATTAAATGACCCACCCAATTGTTTTCCATAAATAAAAATTACAACATTAAAAACAAACCCAAGAATTAAGGAGCTGGCGCGTGAAACCACGCCATAGCTTACGCGTCTGTTTTGTAACGAAATTCTACGAGGTGCGTGCGTTAGCCCAACCACCGTCGACACTAACGTACGCTGCCTCCCTTCTGAATTTCACGCCGCCACTGACAAAAAAAGGACAGAACGGTAAATTTACCTGGGATAAGGCGAGCCTTTGATCGGCTTTTGTCCGTACTTTCTCCAGGCCCAGGAATCGGACGGTGGATATACCTCTCCTCTACTCTTAGATCCTTCAACGTCAGCAATCGGAACGGAGACAACTCTCTTCTCTACGTTCCTCCTACTACACAATTATTACATTTTCAGATAATTATTGTGAAAAAACAGAAGTTGTTTGTAATAATTTGTAGGCAGAAAGGAAAAAATTTCACAAAACCTTTTCTTTGGAGTGGGCTTTGTTGAGATCTTCGAGTCCTCGCAAGAAGAAGGAGATTCAGGAACGACGTCGTTATAGGTCTCATCTTCTTCGTCGTCCGATTCTTGAATTGCTCTACGGTGCATGATTGATCTCGACCGTCCGATTTTGCCGGAACTGGATGATGTTTCTTTTCTCTGTTGGGGGTGGTGATTAGGAAGGTGATTAGTGAGAGGGTTTTAATCAATCTGATGTGATTATTATTCTCTACTTGTTTTTGGGACGTGCAGGCAAATATCAAAGGGGTTATATTGTTATTATATTGGTATTGGTATTATATTTGAATATAAATATGACTAGTTGTTTTGTAGTGTTAGTTTATTTCTTTTGAAAGGTTCTCTCGTGGAATTTTATTTTATTATGCGCCATGAGGTTTGCTAATCAGATTATTTGTTTAATTAGCTGGACTTTTTGATTAAGTCCATGTATACTTATGCAAATCTATATTATAATTTATCCGCGTCTGATCTATAATAAATATTTTTAAAAAAATTGTACACACAAAGTCACATACGGTCGTTTTTGTATTATCCAAAATGGAGTTAATTACAACCCATCTAACTCTAGCTAATTAAAAGAATTACCAATCAAAGATGTTTTAAACTTGTAATGAATTAGATTAAGGCGAGGCTATCAACTCAGACTTGAGATCTTAAGCTGTCTAGTGAATCCGATTAGTCTGTTTTTGACTCCATAAACTATGATTTGATTTGGTCCGTTTCAATCTCCCAAAATGCATCATGCTGAGATCTTGACATAATATTTTTTTATATATAATTCGTTTGTATTAGTAACTAATTTTTAAGGAACTATGATTTATCTATTTAGATTTTAGACTATTCTCTAATCTATTGAAAACTGATCGCTTGATAAATCTTATTCTTATGTCTTTTTCATCTGAAAATTCTGATCATTCAAACATTTATGTACAGTGTTCTCTTATAGATAATATATCCATATAGATAATGTACATACACTACATAGACCAATTGGTTCATTGTAAATTGACCAATTTATTTTTGATTTTGGGTTTGAAATATGTAAACTTCACATAATATTATACTATAGTCTAACAAAATCAAATGAATATCGGTTCACACTGAATTTAAAGACGCGAACATGTATTAAAAATGCAATCAATAAATTAACATATTAAAACAATCTACTTATTGTCATTTTATATGAAACAAAAAATTTATGAACCTCGTAATGATAACTAATTTACATCACTTATAGTTATATGCAATGATTTGTTTGCTTTTATGTTTCGGCTCGTACCATCCAACGGAACGATGTTATGGGATCTTAACCAAAAAGTTAGTAGAGAGTAGAGAGAGTGTGACATGGGCCCTTTGGCCCCTTTCTGTGATAAATAGATGTAGTTTAAGATTGACACATTTGATCATGTTTGCGGAGGAATTTGGCTAAAATAAAAAAGCTGTAACTTATTTGGGAACAAGAGAAAAAGATAACGAAAACATTTAGAGTCTAGCAAATGGCTTAATATATGGGATTTTTATAAATGTGTACAGAAACTTGGGCTGGAAATAGCTATTGTAAACCTGTGTGGGGATCAAGTCAAGATTCCTCCAAGTCGTTTATTAAATTGTAGTAAATGATAAATAAATAAAAATATAAATGCCTGTGTCATAATTATTAGTTTAATTACTCCATTATTGTCTCCAGCTTCTGTCAGAATGCAGCCAAAGTTTGTATTTTCTGGTTGTATAGGTTTTTGATTAATTTATACAATGGTAACGCGCACATATATATGTTTGATTTGGTCATTTCCGTTCATGATAGTTAATGTCGAACCAATCAATAATTTGCTCGAATCTGATGCAATTGAGAATTGACAATGAAACATATGATTGGATAATGTTTTAGATGTTGTTATATTTTATTATATGTACAAGTACAAGGTAATTTACAATTGTCACGTCTTGTAAATATTAAATTTATAAATATAGACACGTAGTCAAAGATTCTCTAAGAAAATAATGTAAAAATGCATTTTCCCATTTGTTTAATTATTTTCACGTAATTTTTATGAGTTTTAAGTATACATATATATCCAGTTTGACAAAAAAAAATATAAGGTATATATATCCAGTTGGATTATAAACCGAATTTTAATCCTGTTAAAATGATTTTTTGTCTTTTATCTTATAACTTATATCAAAAACATCGGCATGCCATGCGATCATAACCCAATCAAAAAGGGGCAAAAATGAAGATTAAACAATTTTTTACTTTGAAAATTCGAGATATTCGTTTGACAATCGAATACAAAAATCATTCATGTTGAACAACTCTCCAATCTTATATCATTTCTGACGTCAGAAAACTATGACAGTAACCCCGAAAAGAGACATTCAACTGAAGAATCGTCTTCGATAGTTGATGAGTTATGATTCTTGCTCTACAAACTTTGGTTTAGGGTTGACTACTTTAGATCTAAAGAATGTTCATTACTACATAAATTTATGTCGGAACAACTCACATCGATAGATCTAATTAATTCAAGGTTTCAAGAGAAGTTACTAGTTCCTAGAAATGTGTTTAAGCTCAGCTTATACTTGTCGATGGCAGTCATTGTAGATAATGCAGTATCTATAAGGAAAATTCAAATGTCTAGAGAACAGAGAAGCAGAACAAAACTGAGAAAACACGATCCAAAAACAGGAAAAAAAAAAAAAAACAGCATAAAAGATATCTGTTTTGAGACATTTTTTTTTTTAACCAGTGATGTTCTGAGACTTGTTGAGAATGACTCCTTCATATTTCACTTGGAACCATTTCATGGCATCATCTTTAGTCACTCTGTGCTGGATTCCAACGCGAGCCTTGCATCTTCTACGACGTGCCACACGGTAACCAGGACGCTCAAGAACAACATAGAAGTCCATACCATAGATTCCAGTCGACGGGTCGTACCTATAATCGAATACAAAAACCCAGATTGATTCTTGATTACTATACAAAAAGCAACCTAAAGCTGTTCTACGTCTGGTGTTAGAAAGATTTGAGACTTACTTGATACCCAAATCAATGTGCTCCTGAATGCCAAAACCGAAGCAGCCAGTGTCGCTAAAGTTTCTTCTCAAGAGTTCATACTCTTTAACTTTCAGTCCACTTTCAAGAAGCTGCATCGCCTTATCTCCCCTGACAGTCACATAGCAAGCAATCTTCTCGTTACGTCTGATACCAAAGGAACGAACAGTGTATCGCGCTGCATAAAAGAAATGCAAACTCAGAACTCTATTCCACAATAGCATATGTAACTTAACAGACCAAAGCTGAAAAAGATATCATAAGATTTTCCAAGCAAACAATGGGAAAACATATATGACGATTGATATAGCTACTGTGACCATAATCTCAGACTCTGGATTGCAAAATTCAATACAGTGATTTATTCTTGATCAATATACAGTATGTAGACTCACCCTTGGAGAAAACAGGAGTCTGGCCACTCAATTGTTCCAACACCTACAAATTAATCGAAAAAAACTACATTTGATTAGAGCCTCGCACTTACAGAGTGAAACCAGGGAATCAATAAGCAAAGAGAAATGAATCAAAACAAAACCTTGGAGGCTCTGGTGAGACGATCTCCACTCTCACCGACGGAGATGTTGAGCACCAGCTTCTGCACTTTAATGTCCCTCATTGGGTTCGATAGCTTCTTCTCCGACGCCTGATTCAGCCAAAAAATAATTATCATTCACATCTTTACTTGAAACATCAAAAACGTAAAGTCAATGAAGGAAAATTAACTGCGACGGACCATTTGGGATTCGGGTTGCGACAAAACTCCGGCCGACGGGAACGCACGAATCGAAAGAGAAAGCGGAACAGCCGCAGGAAAAATATATAAACCTTAGATCTATCTAACAAAGCGCCTAGGGTTCTAAGACCTAAGCAGAAGCAAAGAAAATTTACGAGTAATAAAATGACGACTTTACCCTCCTCCCTCCAACAAGCCCACGTTTCCCGCACGTGACGAATCTACTATGAACCGGGTTTTTTAAATTTTGATTTCGGTTTATAATCTGGATTGAGCAGATTATAAATAGGCCAGGATTGGCCCATAGATAGGTAATGAACAATTTTCTCTGTGTTCTACAGTCGAATATGTTTGATGATAGAAGTTTCATCTTTGATCATTCAAAAGTGTTACATTGTTACACTACTATGTTTTGACAAATCCCGTAGTACATAGAAACAGCCTAATACTCTGATTTATTGAGAAGCGACGCTTGCTTTGCCCGGTGAATTAGGAGAACGAGCCAAGCTAAAGCTACTAGAGCAGCCACTAATCTTTGAAGCTGACCTACGGCTTCTCACTAACGGAACCAGTGACTGCACCACATCCGCCATCAATGGTCTGTAATCAGCTTCTGCCTGAACACACATTGCTGCTATTGCTGCAACCTGAACAACCTCTTTCGTCGAGTACTGTCCTTCAAGCGTTGGATCCATTATGTCTACTACTTTGTCTCTATCAGCTAATTGAGGCAAAGCCTGAAGAAAGGTAAAACAAGAGATTAGAGCAAAGGAGAAAACAAATAACACACACGGAGTTGGAAAACTCTCACGTACCCAAGATACAAGAACGCCTTCTCCTGTAGCTCTCTTCATATCTACTGGAACCCTTCCGGTTAGTAACTCCAACAGGACAATGCCGTAGCTGTAGACATCTGATTTTGTCGTCAGGTGACCGGTTAAAGCATACCTGTCGAAGGAAAAGGGTATTAGTATTCGAGCTCTTGAACTTAACTGATGGAACCGGAACAGAGAATTTGAATGAGGGAAAACATACTCAGGAGCAACATATCCTTGTGTGCCTAATACACGAGTAGAAACGTGTCCACCGGCTTTATCTGACCCTACTTTAGCCAACCCGAAATCTGAAACTTTGGCGTGGAAGTTTCTGTCCAGCAGAATGTTGCTGCTCTTAAAATCTCTGTGGATCACTGGAGGTGATATGCTTTCATGGAGATACTCCAATCCTTTTGCAGCTTCCAGAGCTATTCTCATCCGAGTCTCCCAATCTAATCTCGGTGGGACAGAACCAGTCCCTAAATGCAACAAAAAGAACATGACTTTATCAAATCCAACAAGAATTCCCACACGCCTATGTTCACCACTTCAGAGAAACTACCCAATACAAATGTTCAAGATGCTATCACCCAAAAGGCCAACATTTTGGAGTTTTCTCCATTTAGTTCTAGAGGAAAACTTATAAGATTACTAGAAGAAGGAACTTACTGTTGTTAGGATACAAGTGTTCCTGCAAACCGCCATTAGCCATGAACTCATACACAAGCAGTTTGTGACTATTGTCTGAGCAATAACCAAGAAGAGCCAACAAGTACGGTGAGCGCAGACGGCTCAGTAACTCAACCTGACACCGGACACAAAATGGGTCAATATCATCGTAAACTCTGTCAAAAGCCACAAGATGTTCCATAAAGCTTGAGATCGATCAATGAGATAAACAAAACTAAAAGCTCAAATAAACAAACAACCTCCATCTTGAATTCTTCTTCCCCTTGCTTTCCTGCATTGTCCATAAACTTGATAGCAACTTTTCTCCCATCGTTAAGGACGCCACGATAAACCAACCCAAACCCACCATGCCCAACCACATTCGACTTGCTAAACCCACCAGTCGCTGAATGCAGTTGCTTGAAAGTGAAAATCTGCAGCCCGCCGTCTGTAACTTCTTCTAGACTTTGACAATCGCCTTTCTCCTCGCAATTAAACCCTAAATCCAAAGGTAAACCCAGGACGAATCCAATCAGAGAAGCATCAAATCGAGCCCTAATTTGAAATCATCCTCCAAATTTGCGTTATTTAGTAACCAATTTCAGTATCCGGCCAAAGCAGAGGGCGTAAGAACAAGAAATGTATGTAAAGATTCTATTTTTACAGAAGGCTAAGGAGCGAAAGAGATAAATTTATTATCTAAAATTTGAGCTTACTCTTGCTGATTCTGTGACGCTTAGAAACTTTGTTACGAATATAGCAGTAGTAGCTGAAGGCAACGAACAAAGAAGATAGAGCAAGACAAGCAAGAACGACAATGGCTACAAGTGCAGCACGCTCTTTCCTTTGGTACGTTTCATCTGTATCCATTTTTTTCCCCCAAAGAAGAAGGCGCCTTTACTAGTTCCAGAAATGGAAAAGACGAGAAAATGTGAAAACCCTAGAAATTGTCACCCAGGAGAAGGAGACGAAATTTGATACAGTAGAGGAATAACTTTAAATTTTTATTGAAATAAGTTTTTGATTTTTGTGCTTGTGTGTGTGTGTGAATGTCAGCTTCACTGACTCACTGTACTGCCTTGTTTCGTGGCGCGGAGAATAGTTAGTATTCACGGGAGCTTTACAAATTGGTCCCTATACTTTAGTTTTGTACCACTTAGTCCCCGAGAGTTATGTGGACACGTGTACACGTAGCCAAGGCTCAGAGATATTTCCGGTTGTTTTTAGAGTTTGTGTAGAGCAAACTAATTCGAATCAAGCTTTAGTGTAGTAGATTGGTTCTCCTAAATTGATAGTTAGGTACGAGTTGAATGTAGATGTCAAATCCTGAAATATCGGTTTCAGAATTTGATTTTCGTCTGTGATATGATTGATGCAAAGAGAACGATGGATTATTTATACTGACAAAAGGTTCCAAACAGCTTTTGTTTTTCTTACACCATAAAAGATTCCTCGCAGAACTCTCTACTTAAGCAATCAAACCAGGCATACATATATAGAGATAGTATCTATAGCATATGAACTGGAGAGAGAGACCACGATTAAGCTTTTCTTTTTAACCTTTTAAGAAGCTTTGTTTCACTTCTTTCCACGAAGTTTCGCACCAAGTGCCCTCTCCAGCTTAATAAGGATCTGCTGGTTCGGAATTGCTTTACCAGACTCATACTCTTGGATAACTTGTGGCTTCTCATTGATCAGCTACAAAACCAAAACATATAATCATATTACCATCAAGAATCCATATCACATATAAACAAGCAACAAGAGAGACAGAGTGAAGAGGAAAGTACTTGTGCGAGTTGGGACTGGGTCAGCTTCTTCTCCCCTCGGGCTTGCATTATGGCTTTCTTCAACTCAGTGGGCACACGTTCATCTGATTTTAAAACCATACACAATCCAGATGTAAAATAAGGAGCTTTCCCTCCTTCCACTGTCACTTTTCTCATTCTTTACAAGATAGATATAGCAACATACTAATCAATCAAATGGGAAACACAGTGATTTGCGTAAAACAAAAGATAATGCCCTTATTGGAATGGGAAACTAGTTCACTCGCTAAAATCACGGTGACTCACAATACATAGGAAGATACTACCAATTCTTTGTCCATATACAGAAATGAAATCAATATTCCTTGAGAAAGGGATTAGATACTCACGAGTTAAGTTCTCAGTGTCATCATCAAGCTTCTTTGTGTTCAAGGAGGTGCCGCTTGAAGCCGCCTTGTTGGTCCCAGCATTGACTAAACGCAGCAGATACAAAGGAGAGAAACAAAACAACACCTCTTAGATAAAAACCATAACTCTAAAATCGATTGAACAAAAGAAATATGAAAACATGATATCAACTTAATACGAACAATATCAATTAGCAACAGTCGACTAATTGTTACTGCTATAAACAGAGCTGAAATCACAACAAACGAAAACCCTAACACGAATCCTTTCTAAAAAACCACAATAACCCAGTGACGGCGAAGGCGATTACACTAACCATGGAAACTAGATACAACGGAATAAAACTCATCTTAGATTCAATCGCCGAGTCTAACCTAAACCAGAGAGAAATTCTCGCACAGCTTAACAGACTAAGGCGGATCAGATAGAAACTAAAATAAACGGAGGTCGAAAAGAAGAAACAAACATTTTCTGACGGTCTCAATATCGGCGCCGCTTCGACGAGCGGCGTTGACAGTCTTATCGTCGCGCTTGGCGGCAGAGTTTGGGGCTTTCTTACGGATCACCATCGGCTCCCAATCCTGAGTCATCGGTCCAACTCCTGCCATGGCTTTCTCTTGAGATTTTCTTCTTCAACAGACTTTCTAGGTTTTTTGTTCGTGGATAAAAAGGAAATGATACAGAGAGACAAGATAAAATCAACCAAGTCGTGATCCTTTTGCTTTTTATATTTCTGAAATTTTCATAGGGACCATCTAGTAAATAGCCAACATTAACGGGTCCCGGCGAAATATATTTTTGATATCTTCCCAGAAAATATCTTGCCGAGGCACGGGAGGCTGACTCTGTGTGTCGTCGACAACAGTTTTGGTTTTATCGTTTTAAAAAAAAATGTTACACGCCAAAACTAGTGTAATATATATACGACCAAATAAAAATGTTAGAGATGGTCGGAGTTTTAGATTTTTTTTTTTTTTGAAAATTCCGGAATTGTATATTTGAAAGTATAAATGAGAAAAACTTAAATAAAGGAATGAGCAAACAAAAACTAGTCTAAGATAGTCTGGTAAAAAAGGCCGAGGAAACCCATTTAGACCGGGTAGAAAAACGTCAAATTTTTCGGATCCGAAAAATGGACTATATAACTTTGTATTCATCTCAGATTTAGAGAGTTCAAAATGTGGGCTTTAAAGTCCATATACAGCACTTACAAAAAGAAATGTTTTATTTTCATTAATAAATAAAAACACAATCAGAATGTTAAACAAGTTTGTCGTAACAATTTACTCGGTTACAAAAAGAAAAAAACAAACTATTTACGTAAATAACGGAACTACGATGGTTAAAATCTCAATTAACAGCTTAAACATACATACACCTACGATTTTAATGTTTTGATCCATAGTTTATTGAATCGAGTATTCTTAATATTGCGGTATTTATCCTTAATATTGCGGTATCTATCCAATAACATCCAAATTACGATTTAGGATTTCGTGTTTTCCGATAATAATATTTAAAAGAAACAAGTTCAGATTTTTAGTATAAATATTATAAACATGCTGATTTTGTTTTAATAATCATAATACAAAAAGGCAAAAAGTTAATTACATTCTTGCTATTTAAAAGAATAAAAGTCAAATATTGAAAATTTGGTATATTTTTGAATTAAAAATCTCTTCTTCCCTCATATTCCAACAATGAAAGCTGAATAAAAGGATCTAAATAAACATCTAAAAAGTTGGGAAAAGATACAAAAATCTGAAGTATGACTGTATGAAATGGGAAAAAAATGAAACCAATAGTATTTAAACGAAAGAAAAAAGTTGTAGAACGAAGTTGGATTACGAAACGTATACATATGTGATCTGTTACTCGTTTAGTATATAAGTTGGATTACTTGACTCCTAAAAATCACGGTCAAAAATTGCAACTGGTTTACTCGTATACCATAATTTTAATGTTGAATAATCCTATTATAGTTCGATTCTTTTTTTTTCTGCATATAGAAAATTCAGTCAATGCCATTAAAAGAATTGCCATTTTCTTTGTATACCTCGTTGGGAAAATGTATCATTTTTTGACTTAACTTGTAACTGTTGAGTAGCAACTAGCAAAAGAAAATTAGCATTCTCCTCTTGCGACAAAAAATATCAAAGTGGAGAGAAGAAAACGCAGTGGAATTGATTCCGAACAAAAAAAAAGCAGGGGTTGGAATTGACTGTTTCCAAAAGTAAGGGCGAAGAAAGTGAGTCTTGACGTTTTTTAATGACCTGCAAAGCAAAAGAGACAAAAAAAATATCAAATTCTGATTCCTCCGACTAAGCCATTTCCATCATCGTTTTTCCTCCGATTCCTTTTTTTGTTCGTCGCCGTTCTTCGGATTTTCACTCTTCTGCTCGAAAGGTCTCTCTCTCTCTCTCTCTCTAATCATTGAGATTGAAATTCACTTCTCGTCTTATTATCTCCACTGCTTCTACTTTAGCTGTTCCTCTTATTCTTCCTACTTGCTGAAACTACTCGAAAATCTTCCATTTCTCTCGTCCGAGTATGTTTTCTTTCTAACGGAGGTTTTGTCTTTTTGTTTGTTATGATTGTAATATTCTCGATGGAATTGAGATTATTTGTTGGGCACCGTACATTTCAATACGGATTTAAGATTCAGTGAAAACTATATAAACTGACCTAAATTCTATTCCTAGTTATACTTTTTCTTCGATGTGTAAACAAAAAGGTTAATCAATCATTTGTTAAAGTTCATCAATAACACCACTTTGCTTTGCCCGAGACTCAGAGCTCTGGATTCGTAATATCTTTTTTTTTCAGATGTGTATATACTTTCTATATCAAGTTAAATTTGTCGTCTTTGCTCTTGGTTCAGGGCAGTGCTTGAGAATCATTGAAGAAGGTGATCGCTGTTTCTTTTGCCATAACATATCAGAAACTCTGGGAAACATACACAGTCCATTCATCAACTTGAAATCTTGATCAGAGCCTGCTTTGCGCAAAGAGAGTAACAGGAAGCGCAAGAACTTGGAGTTGTCTTCTTCTTTTTTTTTTGTATCATGCCGTATTTTATTCAGAGGCTTTTCAATACTTGCAAGACATCTCTCTCACCTAATGGACCTGTGTCTGAGGAAGCCTTAGACAAGCTTCGAACGATGTTGGGTAAGACTACATTTCCAAGTTTCTTCCAATTTCTTGCTCCGTGATGTTCTTTAAGAATCTCTCACACTCAAGTAAATATTGTTTGTAATCTCAGAGAAAATCAAGCCGTCTGATGTTGGTCTCGAACAGGAAGCTCAATTGGTGCGTAACTGGTCTGGTCCTGGGAACGAGGGTAATGGAAACCATAATTCTCTGCCAGCAATAAAATATCTTCAATTACATGAGTGTGAGAGCTTCTCGGTAAGCAATCTTTACTTCAGTTTGCTCATAGTTTCACCTGAATGATGAGGATTTTCCGGCCATTTGGTATGGTGTTTTGCTTTTCTTGTCTGCTTATGCATTTGATAATGATTATGTCAGATTGGAATTTTCTGCATGCCACCTTCGTCGATCATACCACTTCATAATCATCCAGGCATGACAGTGCTAAGCAAGCTCGTTTATGGTTCAATGCATGTGAAGTCGTATGATTGGGCTGAAACTGACCCATCAGAGCTAGACGATCCATTACAAGGTAGTGAAATGTAAACCGCTTGATGTAGCTTGCTTCCGTGCTGTGTTTAATAACTCATCTCTTTGAGTAATCTATAATTCACTTCTTTTTTTTTATTCATAGCAAGACCTGCGAAGCTGGTTAAGGATACTGAAATGACGGCTCCTTGCCCAGCAACGACGCTATATCCAACAACCGGCGGAAACATCCACTGTTTCAAAGCCATTACTCATTGTGCAATCTTTGATATCTTATCTCCTCCATACTCTTCTACTCATGGAAGACACTGCAACTACTTCCGCAAATCCCCAATACGAGACTTACCTGGTAAAGTAACACAAACTTAACTAAGACACAGCGTTATGGCTTTTTAAAAGAACTACTATATTTCTTAATGCTTGTTACTTTCACAGTTTGGTGAGGAATCATGGCTTAAACCGATAGATATCATGGATTACACGCATATTAGATCTATAGCATTGGTTTTACGATTATAATTTGTTACTGTGGCAATGTTGTTGATGGTGTGATCCGTGAAACCAGGTGAGATAGAAGTGATGAATGGAGAAGTGATATCAAATGTGACATGGCTCGAAGAGTATCAACCTCCAGATAACTTTGTGATCTGGAAAGTTCCGTACAGAGGTCCTGTGATTAGAAAATGAGATTAATAAGCATATAAGAAAAGAGCATAAAGAGGAAGGGGGCTTATCATCAGGAGAATAAATTTGTAAACCGTTCAGAGGCTTGCCGCATTGTGGTGAAGAGGTTTTTTACATATTTATGACTTACATTGAGAGTCAGCCTATTTCATTATATGATAATGTTTACATCTTTACGATTACTGTACTTTACAATTTTAATATTATAGTAATTTTTTCCCTACATTTTAGCAATTGCTCACAAACAATGTCATATTTAGTTTTCATAATTTGTAATTTCGATGGTCCTTTACCTTTGCTAGATTTCACGTCTATATAACGAATCAAAATCAACATGAGAGTTCTTTTATCATGACTAAAAGTTTCCCAAGAGAACTTCTGGCTGGTTTAGAGGGTTAAACTGCTGTGAGCCATGAAGATCATAGAAGTTCATCATCACTCGATTCATCGATGCGTTATTGCAATATATGAAGATAAAAACACTCGTCGGTTAATTAAGAAAATACCCAAAAATGGTGATAGTACTATTTTTCCTCCACAAAACCAACAAACCACATTCACCGGTTCGATGTTTAAGAGAAGCATACCCCAAAATGTAATCAGCACTAAGATAAAAACATAAATCATACTCAAAATTACTCAATTGAAAAGAAGAAAACACTCAAAAGGATTTTAATCCCTTGATCTTCACTTGCCTAAATCTCTCTGACCACACTCTTCTTCCTCTTGGGTTTCAAACCACCACCAGACTTTTCTTTCGTAATCTTTGTCTTCTTCGGCTTCGACCCATCATCCTTACTCTTCTTCTCTTCCAGCTTCCCCTTGGCCGCTTTCTTCATCGGTTTCTCATTCTCCGGAGCCACGCTTATCTCCTTCTTCCTCTTCTTCTTATTCTTCTTCTCACCACTAGATTCAACAATCTCGTTATCCACCTCAACATCACCAATCTCATCTTCATCAAGCACCTCAGTTACATTACTATCCATATACCTAACCTCGTGAATCCTACCTTTCTTCTTCTTCCCATCCACTGCAACGCTCTTCTCACCGCTCTCACCACCTTCAACAACAGCTTTACCTTTCTTCTTCCTCTCTTCCTTCACGACAACACTCTTGTCGGTTTCAAAACCATCATCGATCTTGAGCTTCAAATCAGGCACAGTCTGATATATAGGCAACGCTAAACTCTCAGAGAGCTTCAAATGCAAGGACCTAACGTATTTCCACTTATTAGGCAAGAGCTCGACGACTCCGTTCAATGTCTCCATCACATTCTCTGCAATTTGGTCGGCTTCCATCGACAGTTTCCCGACCTTGATGACACTGCACGTCCCTGTCCTCATGAAGAACATAGCAGACCCACAAGCCTTCTCCATCTGCTCTTTCCAGTTCTTGTGCTTCAAATCAACCGCCACGGGGATCTTCTTGCTCGTGAAGAACTTCTTCCCGATCAACCTCGGAAGCAGAGGAATCACCCTCCGATCCGCGAAAAACATGTCGTACGAGTCGCAGAGTTTCCGCTTCGCTTCGTACGGCCTGTAGTCCGTCTTCAGCTTCGAGAGCTTGAGGACCTTGGTGATTGGAATGTTCTCAGATTTGATCTTCTTCATCGCATCCTCCTTTGTGAGACCGCTTTTAGCTCTGTCGTCGATGATGAGGCAAAGCTCAGGGGAATCTTCCGCCGTGTCGATAAGAGGATGAGGTAAACGGATACGGTAAGCGTTCGTACGGCTCGTCTGTGGGATCTTCTTCATTGTAAGGTTGAGGTAGACGAACTCGTCTTGCTCGAGAAGTTTCGGCTTCTCCGACTTTGATTTCTCGCTTCTCCATTTGAGCAGAGCGTTGACGGCGCCATCCACCGTCTTGGGACTTACCCGGGAAGTCTGCAAACCAGGAACTAGTTGCTCTGTCTCCTGCTGCGTCAGCGGCGATGCTGCGGCGGTGCTCATTGAGAAAATTGGGGAGGAAACAAATTAGGGTTTAAGGGGATGGAAGGCAGAAGAAAGAGGCTCTGTTTCAGGATTTATCACTCATTCCTCGGAACTAATAATGGGCCTAACTTTTCGGCCCTTTAAGTGATATTCGAACAAACTTATGGGCTCAACTATTCACCAACTATCCATTTATTCTCCTGATGATAAAAATACACATTTGGGTACATTATTGCCCAATCCCAGAAACAGCCATGGCCGATGAACGGAAGTGCTGTAGCAACGCCGTGACAGTCTACGACCCAGCATAGCTCTCAATCAAGCTTGGCAAACTTCTCTGACTCTAAAATCCCTAAACAACCTATTTCCAATCTGGAACCAGATATAATATTACACATCGAGATTATTACTAGTGCTTAAAAGACTCCAAGTTCGACAAATATCTGTGTGAATTTTCAACAGAGAAGCTGTTTTATGCTATATAATGCTCGAAAATTCGATCAAGAGATGAATTGATGGAACACTGAACAGAGAACGACGATTCACAATTTTATTCGGAAATTAAATTTTACTAAATTAAAAACATCAAAATATTTCGTTTTGGAATATTTTTTTTACTTTTTTTTTACTTTGGAATAACAAATTACTAATGATTTCATAATTTGGTTTAATTCTCGTATTAGTGTGTGTGTGTGTTATGAATTATAAAATGCTAGATAAGTAACCAAATATAAGCATATCATTAAACATTCAAAGGGATTCAAATTACACAAAAGTGGAGCCCAGAAATCCATTTTGTGATTCCAAAATTAATTTACCATAATGTTCAATAAAATAAAAAGATTATCAATATGGCATATATTAATACACATTGCACTGTTTACTATAAAGTTGTTGCCTTTATTTTTTTCTTCAACTGAAAATTGAAACGTTATGACCTTTTTTATATTGTGTTTCTTTGTCCCCTAACCAAATTCAAATTCTTTTATGTTTAAAACTAGAAAGTTCAAACTGAAACGTGTACATATGAACATTGGATGCTACATATTTCAATTTTGACTTCATTGGATGCTAAATATGAACAATATCAAGCCTTTTTGGGGGTCAAATAACATTATCAAGCTATATATATACAACTATATAAACAAAAGCCAAGCAAGTAATATAAAGAGAAAAGATTTCCTTTTGTGTGTAGAGAAAAGAGACACTTTTAATTTCCCAAAGGAGGGAGCTTTCAGTTTCCTAAATTCAAAACTCTCTTTGTCCTCTCTCTCTCTCTCTCTCTCTCCCTCTAATCTTTGCAACGGCTCTCTCTGTCGTCATTTCAATTCAAACTCAGCTTATCTCTTTCTTTAACGTCTCTACCTGCTTCTGTTCTTCTCTTAGCTCTCTACCTAGATCTCTACCTAGATCCCTAATCTCAAGTGCCCAAAATCTTCAATCTCAAATCTGTATGATCTTTCCTGATCTGACCCACTTCGCAAAACGCCCAAATCTTCTCTCCTTTTTACCTGATTCGGTTCATCTCTCTTTGTGTCTTATCTTCTCCTGTCGTTGTCGTTCTGAGAAACGCCAAGATTACACAATGCGATTGTGAACGAAGGGAGGCTTTGGTCGATCTCAGGGCCAGATCTTACGACGAGGGTTTCTGATAACTACACTTTATGGATCGATCCATAAGTAAAAGGCGAGGACTTTAGCATCCTGAGAAAGTGAGAGGTAAAAACATTTCACTCCTGTCCTGATATAGTAACTATCAGATTCTCTATATCCTCCAGCTAAACAATGTGTGATTCAATATATTACTTCGCTAATTTTGGTCCTTTTTCTGTCTGCTCTTGTTTTGATTGGATCCAGCGTCTTGTAAGTGAATTCCACTGAAATTGATTCGATTGTTGTGATCCATAGGTTGAATAAAATGGACATTGTTGAGAGAAAACGACCTAGAGGAGCGTTTCTAAATCTGTTTGATTGGCCTGGAAAATCCAGGAAGAAGCTTTTCTCATCCAATATCTCCCAAATCTCTGGTATGTCTTCATCCTTTTTGTTTTCTATACATATAAGTTAATGTAATGCAGTTCAATCATCTAAATTTACTTCTTTTAAGCAGAAGAATCAACGCAACCAAAAGAGAATGTTCAAAACCCCTCAATTACGCGGCATTCTGTTGTAAGTCTTTTGTTTTACAATGTTTTTGTGTGTGTGTCTGTGTTAGTTTCGTGAATGAAAGGAACTGATTGTGTTGTGATCTGTTTCAACAGTTTGAGGTTGATCAGCCTGTAAAGAACTCAACTTTCAACCCGAGAAGTGACTCGAGCTGTTGTGCCTCCTCTGTAACTAGTGATGATGGAAATGTGGTTAGACCACCGAGTGTGGTTGCGAGGCTCATGGGTTTAGAGTGTTTGCCACTACCAAACCTTACGGAACCACGTGTGAATCCTGATCCATACTTTCTCAGATCCTCGCGCCAGGCAAACACTTGGGATGTTAACGCTGATCCTCAGGGTGACTTTGACGGCGTTTCTTGGGATCATTTGGATTCAAGAGCGAGTAAAGGGCCGCGTAAACGGATGATTGAGCGGTTCCAAACTGAAACCTTACCTCCCAGATCTGCTAAACCGATCTCTGTCACTCACAACAAGCTCTTGTCTCCTATAAGGAACCCTGGATTCGTTCCATCTAGGAACCCTGCTTATGTGATGGAAGCTGCTTCAAGAATGATCGAGCCAAGTCCACGGATGATGGCAAGAACACGGGTGGTTTCATCATCTGATGCTTCTTCTCCAGTTCCACTGAGAATTCGAGACTTGAAAGAGAAACTAGAAGCTGCACAGAAAGCTTCAACTTCATGCCCTCAAATCTCTAATGATAATAATCGGAACAGTAAGTACCTAAGAGGAGATCACAGCGAGAAGAAGACTACAGCACTGGGGAAAAACAGTTGTGATGGGTTGAAGGGTGAAGCGAAGCCGCCTTCTTTCTCTGCGCAAGCAAAGGCCAACAGTAGTCAGAAGCAAGACAGCTTAACAACTTCCTCGAGTGGAAACAGAAGGACGTCTTCGAGCCAAAAGGAGAAAGTGGAAGCAAAGAACCGTGCAGTTAAAAGCCAGAATGGTCTCAAAGGATCTTCCTTGAGCGCAGGGAAGAATGTGCTTAAGCAGAACCACCAGAAGCAGAACTGCAGAGACAATCAGCAAAGCAGGAAAGTAATGAACAAAGTTGTGAACAAGGTCCTTGTGGAAAGTGGATCCACATCGAAAAGCCCTGGTTTTACTATGACATCTGCAGAAAAGCCCGTTTCTTTACCTTTGTCCCGCAAGAAGAGTCATCCTCGAAACAAAAAACCGAGGAACGGGGTGCAAGAACCGGGAATCTATGAAGATAAACGGATCAAAAGGGGTGAAAAGTCGATAAAATGTAACATTAGCATTGATGGTGACACGAGCACAAGTAAAGATGATCAGAAAAGGGACATGGATGTGATTTCTTTCACTTTCTCGTCTTCAATCAAAGGTTTATCATCTCACTCAAACGGAACCAAACAAGATGCAGACTCTGCTGTTAGGTTCAATGTGATAGGCGGTGATTCTTTAAATGCGCTTTTGGAGCAAAAGCTCAGGGAACTGACCTCGAAGATGGAATCTTCTAGTTCTAGCTTGATCCAAGAAGAGTCTTTGAGTTCCATTTCAAAGGATGGAGTGAACGGGATAACCTCATCGCCATGTTTCGATGGTGAATCAACTCAAAACAGTCTTGATAAAGTTTTAACAGAGAGTGAATCTGTTTCTGACTGCACTTCATTCTACAACAACCAGAAATGTCAGGTTAGTGTCCTTAAAATGCAGCTTCACATTTCTTATATATCGAATGCTTTTCCGGCTTACCAGTCTCTGAAAAAATCTTGTATTTCGTTCCTTACAGAAGAAAAGGATAGTTCCGGGAGAAGAACATGAAGTTAGCAGCATCAGCACTCTTACAGAAGCCGATGATTTCGCACTCTCCTGCAGCAAGAGTTTCTCAGGTCGCATACATGACAGAGAATACGGTATGTCTTTGTCAATTTATGTCTTCATTTTGTTCCTTTATAATAGCTTAGGTTTTGAATTTCACACCAAATGCTCCAAATAGTAGGGAAGTGGTTTGATTTGCAGCTAAATACACTTAATGTTGTTTGTTTTCTTCAGGGATGAAACAGAGTTCATCAGATCAAGAGCTCACTTGGGTTTCATCAAACGAGTCCCACCAAAGCTCAGTTGAAACAGCTTCCGCAGCAAAAGCAAAACTCGACTGGGAGCTCGAATACATAACCGAGATCCTAAACTCTGGCCAGATCATGTTTCAAGACTTCGCCTCAGGAGCAGCCACTGAGGAATTACTATTACCCTCGAGCCTCTTTGATGATTTGGAACGCTCTCGAGGAGCTGCAGTGTCGATGAAGATCGAAAGAAGGGCGCTTTTTGACTGTGTGAATCAGTGCTTAGCGGTGAAATTTGAAAGGATGTTAATAGGAAGCTGCAAAGGGATGATGATGTCAGGTGGGGTTTTGTTGGAACACAGAGATTTGTTGGCTGAAGAACTGAACAGAGAAGTTAAAGGGTTGAAGAAGATGAGAGAGATGATGATCGACGAGCTTGTGGATCATGACATGAGCTGTTTTGAAGGGAGGTGGATTGGTTATGAGAGAGAGATGTTTGAGGAAGGCATTGATATAGAAGGAGAGATAGTTTCTACTCTGGTTGATGATTTAATTAGTGATCTTTTCTCAATTAGCGTTCTTAAACGGTCGTTGTAGGTTATTTTATAAGTTTGTCCTGTGTTTTTTTTTTTGTATTTGAATGGTTAACGGCTAAAGAGAAAGTGTACCACCCGAACCGAAACTGGTTGTGTTTTCTATTCTGATTCGGTTTTACCAGAACAAACCGGTTTAAAAATTATCACCCTTTTTACTTGGTTTGGTGTTTAATACGACATGATCAAAATCATAGGATTAACTATCTAAGTAACCAAATTAGGGGGCTTAAGGTCTCAATGGCACTCCGTTTTAAGTGTTTACGATTTGAATGCACGGCCGATGTGATTAATCAAAAACCAGAAACATTTATACGAGTCATGTGTGATCCGTCTATCTTATGTTTTTCAATGGTATAACTCTATACTGTATTTGGCTGCGAACGAAATGTGTTGATTCGAAAACTAAATGACAAAAAAGTACATTAGTTATTAATTTTAGTTAATTCAATCCGGTTCGACAGAATTTAGCTTGGGTTCGGTTTAATTTTTTTTGGTACGATCCATTCAATTTTTGTTCAACCTTAGTGAAAATACATTCAATTTTGGTTATATTCGTTAAAAGTATAATTGTGGCTTTAATAATTATGAGCTCTTGAACATAGCTATTCACTGTAGATACATACATTGTGATAAACAATAGTATTAATTTAATTAATTCGATCCAGTTCAACAAAATTCAGTTTGACTTTGGTTTAAGTTGTTTTGTACTGTTCAGTTCAGTTTTATTCTTAGTGAAAATGCATAATTTTATCATTAATTTTGGCTAGGTTCATATTTTTCTATCGATTCACTGATTAAAAAAAAAGATGATATATTTTTCTGAAAAATATCACATATAAATCTAATAGAGAGAAGTATACGTGATAGTACTAAAAAAAGCCTCTAGTTTGTTTAATAAGCTTAGTGAATAAAAAACCCCAAACAACCCCTCCTCAAACAACCACTCAATCTTGTAGTAGAAGATTGTTACACGGATTATATGGATTGATCAATCTAGCACAAAAATGTCATGGATTGGAACATATTGAAGTATACATCTTGACAATTAATAACAAAGCTCAACAAATCATAGGTGATAATTTGAAAAACCTCTACTACTTCAGCGTCAAATTAATCAAAGATAAAAAGGAAGACAGAATGCTGTCCCTAGAGTGAGAGCACTCTTATAAGGATATACGAAAATGAGAAAGTTTAGACTCTATCTCAGAGAATGAAATCTAAGCGATTTAAAACTCGAATATATTAAGCAATACAGTAAAAATGTGAGGAGCATACCTTTGGGCGACTTGGGTGGTTCCGACAAGAGTCTCACTGCATTATCTAGAGAATGTTCCAAACTGGAGAAGCTAGCGATATGATAGTGTAGCTTCAGTGAGTGTGCAATAACTACTACAATTAAAAATCTAACTTCATTTAGATTCCTGTGGGCAATAGCTTATAAAGAGACTAGACAAACATATCTCTCAATCTAGATTTGTCCTTATTAGAATATTGAGAAACATCAAGATACCAAATAAGCTTGATGAATTGGTAGATCCAAAGCTTTTAACCTACTATTCTCTCGTTGACAAGCGACCATACTACCCAAACACTGTTTTACACCTTCGGCCACGATGATATATGTGTCATAGATAATCAACTTTACTGTCCATAGTTTTTAGGTATGAGTTCTGGCTTTCACAAGTGTTTTTGTAAATCCATATATGAAAATGATACTTTTTGTTCGCTTTATTAGCTACTTGTAGACTGGAAGCTACTTTGTTCAGGTGTTAGACAGTTGAAATTGAGTTCCTCCAGTGTTACCTAATGTCTGAAAATTCTGACCATTTTTATTCATGACATTTTTTTTTTTGTATTAGTGCAAAGATCAACAAACAAAATGGTTGCTTGGTATCGATATATGTATATAATTTGATCAATCTAGTTTTATGTTCACCAATGCTATTACGTTACCATCTCTTATGTTTTGCAATGATAAGAGAAGTTATGCATATTAAAGTAGTTGTACGAAAAGCATATAAGTTGTGTTGGATAAAAAACTTTTTGTTTGGACTACCCCATGAATCAAGACTAAAACTGGACTAGTCCCATGATTATTATTAATTGCAACCACCGGTGGTAATAGTGGTTAATCGTAGAGGTTGATTTTGTTGCGTTCTTAGTTCCAGTCCCGGTGAGAAAGAATTTAAACCCCGGTCCAATGAGATTATGGGTTTTAGCTAAAAAACTATTAATTGCAAAAGAAAATGACGATTATAAATATATGATTTATGTAATATAAACTCTAAGATACTTCTATCTTATAAAATCCTTTTTTATCAGTGATAATTTAAGTAACAATATATATTAAATTTTATTACAGTATTTAAAATTTTTCCTTTTCATAAAACTCTACAGCTATGTTATTTTGGCACAAGTTTAATATTTAAAAGTGTTGGGGGTTTCTGATATTTTATATAGAGTCAAAGTGTCGGTGGCAAATGACGAAGGTGTAAGCGCTTTTGGTTTTCCTTCTGGTTTTCTAGCTTAAATTGTTTTACTTCTCGTTGATTGTTAAAATAATCATTAGAAGAGATCATTAAACTGTAGATACTGTTTTTATTTCTTTTTTTTTTTTTGTTTAAAATGTTTTTGTTTCTTGTCGACAAATGTTGATCTTTAAATAAATTCTGAAAACTAACATTTCGAAAATATATTTCTTTAATAAAAACAGAAGTGTAGTATTTGAAGCAATATCATCCCAATTAATATCAAACCTATTTAATTATTTTAATAATCAAATTTAGTTGATATTCTTTCTATTATCACAAACCATTAAATCTATTACACTAAAAGTTAATACCAGCAAATAGCTTTAAAATATCAGTGTGGATATAAAATATTTGTTAGGTTTGGTTAATATATAGTTGTATTTTGGTCCCGAGACAAAAAAAAGAATAGTTAACTTTTTTTTTTGAACTTTAAAGTAGTTACTGATTTTGTTTTTGTTAGTTAGTAGTTAACTTTAAACATCAAGATTTTGTTTTTGTTAGTTAGTAGTTATTATAATTATTCAAAGAATATTAACTTTGATTGAACCAAAAAAACATTATAACTGAAAAAGAGAAAAGAAATAATACTTTCATAATAATATTCCACGTGCAGTTTTTTGTTTTATTTTTGTTGAATATTTCCTCCAAATCTTAATGACCTTTGAGGTGAGGACGTTGACGTGATTCACTTGTAATTATTTTTTTCTAGATTTATTACTAACTTGACCATACCACAACAAAATAGTACGTCATTTGATTTTAAAAATACCAGGTTCTGTTCCTCGCATTTTAACCTTCTATTATATATATATATACATATATATTTGGATCATATTTAAAATAAAATATCCTAAAATAACTTAAAAATAATACATTAAAAACTGTCGAAAACTTACTTTCGTTAGCATCCGATTTTTTTGGTCAAAAGTTTTCATTCGCATTCTAAACCTAACATGTCAACATTAAAAATAAACCATGGAATTCAAACCCTTTAACCTAAAGCATTAAATAAGATGTTAGTCAACAACGGAACTAAATATGAACTTCCGCATTGTAACATTCTTTATTAATTAAAAACAATCATAACAAGAAAAATATATTAAATATATGATAATAGTTTAACTATCCACGGATTTGATCAAAATATGGTTTATCATTAAAAAAAAACTGCAAGGAGGACTAATCGAGAATAGCTTCTCAATTTCTTTTGATTATCTTCTTTATTCAAACTTACAAGCAAAATCCATATTTAATTAGTGAACAAAGAACATCTAAATAAAATTATATGTCAGCTGTTAAAAAAAAAATTTATATGTGTTGTCAATTAAAGAAAAATATACTCCTATGTATTAATTTTTGTTTCTTCTTATATATCTCTCTCTGTTTTTTTTTTTTCTTTTTTTTTTGGTCAACACAACTTATAAATGTCTCTATTACCTAAAAAACAAAAGAAAACTACCTTTTCATAAATTGCATAAGATTACCTACCAATAAAGAGAAACAAAACATTCACGAGCGATGACGTGTGACACCAGCTGTCGAATGGAGAGAGGTGCATCTCCTTTTTGACACGTGACTCATCATCTCGCACGTGATTTCGTCATCGTCGTCACTTCGTCAGTCGTCTCCTCCCTATTCCTCTCCTTTCCCTCGTCTTCATCACTTTCCTAAAATCCCATCACTCTCTTTTTTTTGGTTGGTCCCAGAAAAAAAAATCTAAAATCAAAACTATATAAAATCTCAATTCACCAGTTCTATAAAATTATATACGCACACACATATATCTGCTTTCTGATTGTTTGTGTGTGTGTGTGTACGTAACGCATAGCTCTTTGTGGTCATTGATCGGGATTTCTACATCATCTGTCTTCGCAGTGGGATCGAGTTTGTTGTTTTGTGCAGTTTGATCTCGTATATTCGTCAATCGGGAGTTCGATCGGAAATTGAATGCGTGGATCTGATTCCGGTGATTTTACAAAAACCCTTATTGAACCTCTTTCTCTTTACTCACTTCTCCTTTCTCTGTGGTCTGGAATTGTGATTCATTTGGTTTATGTTTGTGACACTTGGTGCTGCGTATCTTGGGTATTGGATCGATCTTAGGGGGTTTCTAGATGGTTTTTTTTAAAAAAGTTTGGTGGGTTTTGCGTTAGGATTGTTTTCGCACTGAAACTGACTTTCTGGGTAGATCGAATGGGATCGCACTTATGAACTCGTTAATTCCGGAGGAATTTTACACAGAACTGTGGTATTTAGTCACCCGACGATTTTCATGGGATCGAAGTTGTCTTGCTCTATTAATCTAGGATCCTTTCAAGATTCTCTGGCGTTGACCTAAGAGTGAGATCGGATTGTGAGAGTGAATTTCTATTCTTCGTTTCGGAATGCTGATGGTTTCCTTCTCTCTTGATTTGTAGTTTTTTGCCTGTAGAGAAACCATTTTATGCATCCGGTGAGGTATCCTTTTCATATTTTTTGCCTGTAGAGAAACAAATAGCTTTGATCATTTGAGACTGAAACCGATAGTGTTACTAATGCAGCCATCGTTGGAGTTTGGAGAGGATAAAGTTTGAAAATGTTCTCTGTTTGGCATTGCACTAGTTAGGTTGTGATGAGGAAAACAAATGCATCTAGTTTCTCTCTTTAACGTGTACCCTCTCATTCATGTATGTAAATTTCTGAGTGCATTAGAAACTTTGCCTTTTCTGTTTCCATTTTTTCGATTACCATAGTTTTCTTATATACCATTTTTCGTTTCTGTGTACGCAGATCGAATGACCTCCAACTTAAGGGCTACAGGTTGGCTTCTCAATATATTGGTGTCTAACTGTTCCTTTTATGGGACAAGTAGGAGCTGATAAGGAAATATTGGCAATGGGAGAGACACCAGATGATGCTGGGCCATCGGAGCAAGGACCTTCTAATCAAACCTGGTGGCCTTCAGAATTTGTTGAGAGATTTGGATCTGTTCATCTGGGATCGCAAGAAGAGTCATCCAGTACTAAAGACTCACCTAGAAATCTTGGGCAAGATGCGCTGCCATCTAATACTGCATCGAATATTCTTTGGAGCACTGGTTCGCTTTCTGAGCCCATTCCGAATGGCTTTTATTCTGTGATCCCGGTAAGCTTCTCTTTGGTTGATATTAGCTCTGTCCAGTAACGTTTCAGTGAAAATTTATTCGAACTCGATTGTTACCTGTCAAGAATCCATACCTCTTTTAAGTCAATTTTGTTTTCTTTCTTTTTCAAAACGTTTATTTATAAATTTTCTACAGGATAATAGATTGAAACAGCTATTTAATAGCATTCCTACATTGGAAGATCTTCATGCTCTGGGTGACGAAGGTCTAAAGGCTGATGTGATTCTTGTAGATTTTCAGAAAGATAAAAAGCTTTTCAGGCAAAAGCAGCTGATTACCAAACTTGTCAGTGGATTGAACTCAAAACCAGCTACTATTATCAAGAAAATTGCTGGACTGGTAAGAGTGGTTGAGATACTTAGGTCAATTTATCTTAGAATATATCTTGTTACATTGCATGCTTTACCATCTCATTCGCTAGTGAAACCTACTGCGACGTATCTTTTATAAATTATATTTGTTTCCTGTACAAAATCACCAAATGACCATTTTGTTTCTCTATTCTAAATCTGCATGCAATAAACTTGAGGTAGGAAGATTTGATACAGCTGAGAGTGTCCGACTGTCCGTTACAATACTAAGAAAGGGCCACGTGATCTTAGCTTCTTCTTTGTTTTCTAATTTGTGAAATTATCAATAAGTTTCTGCTCTGTTTCAAGAGAAACTTCCCCTTACTATTACTGTATATCCCCTTAATATTTCTCTAACGCCACTTGTGCATTGTGCTTATTTGGAAAAAGTGTTAAATTAGGAAATGTGCATCTTTGTTTGATTGCCTTTTTTAAGTGCATCCCATGTATTAGGCTTTACAAGGAACATCAAAACATTTATAGAAGCAAGCATTTCATAAATCTTGTTTCTCCTTTTAAATATCAAGAAAACTCTATTGAAATTGTCTGGCAGGTGGCAGATGTTTATAAGCAATCTACTCTGCAGAGCCCGGCGAAAACTACGCAATCTTTTGAAAACTGTGGTATTCAACTGCTAGGGCAGATCAAGCATGGTTCTTGTCGTCCTCGAGCAATCCTATTCAAAGTTTTGGCTGATACGGTTGGTCTTCAAAGCAGGCTTGTAGTGGTAAGTAATAAAATGCGGTCAGTGACCTTGATTATAACTCCATTTTTTGCATGTGATTTATTAGTATTGATAAGAGGGTATTCTCGAGAACAAATATTGATCTTGGCTTACATTCCAAAGTTTCTGACCAATTTTAAACTTGCTATGCAATTGGTTTATTTGTTTGATCAGGGTTTGTCAAGTGATGGCGTTGCTGAGAGTGTGGACTCATACAATCATATCTCTGTTACGGTTCTTCTTAATTCTGTGGAAATGCTGGTTGATCTAATGCGGTTTCCTGGCCAACTTATTCCTCTATCAACGAAGGCAATATTTATGAGTCATATCTCAGCGGCAGGGGAAAGTGATTCTGCAGAGAATGACTCTTGCGATTCACCTTTGGAGCCAAACAGTCCCATGTTTGGGTATCCAGAGCGAATTGACAATGAAAAGTAAGTAGCTATTGAATTTTTCAAGAATGTGCATTAATTTTGTAAGCATGCGTTTACCATATTTTACACCTCGTTTTGTTCAGTACTCAGTGTGCATAGTTTCTAAATACTGTTATTGTACAGTGCAGAAAAAGATGAAAACGTTCTGCTGCTTAGGAAATTGGAAGGGTCTCCCAATATGTCTGGTCCACCATCGAGGAATATGCTGTTACGATCTGCCTCCGCGCTAGAGAGAAAATTAAGGTGATAAGCCTAGTTATTTTTATTATGATTTTGTGGTAACTAACCCAAGGTTGAAGATAGCTTCTGTTCTTATTAAACCAAGGAATGGAATAAATGACCATATGTCAATAATATTATCTTATTTCTCCAGTTTCTCACAGAGCGAGTCAAACATTGCTAATGAGTTTTGGCGGCAGAACCGGAGAAAAGTCATTGCTGATCAGAGGACTGCTGGTTCCAGGTTACTCTCATCCCTGATTGTGTATATTTATTCAGTCTGAAACCAAGTGATTTCGATCTCTGGATTTCCCCATCATTCATATTTCCAGTTATCTACTTCTTAGATGCTTATTAGTTTATCTATATTGCGTTTGCAGTCCCGAGCATCTTTCCTTCCGAACACGTACAAGGTCAATGCTAAGTGGCGACACAAACTTGGCCCGAGATTTCACCGGTGATGTTGCCACATCAAGGTTTGTGATGGTTATTTCCTTTGTAACTTAGATATGTTAAGAGAGATTCTTGCAGATTGTGATTTTGAGCTTTCTGTTTTGAAAGGATCCAATTTATTACTGTAAAAGGTCATGGTGTTTGGTTAGTCTCTCGTTTAGCGCTTGCCCGAGTGCTTTTATCTAGTTTCTGCTTTAATAACATAATATCAGAGAACTTAGTTGTTGTGTCTAAAGGTTTGTAAAAAAGTGCTTATGTGTTCCGTTTTTATGTGCAGTAGCAAATCTGTTGGAGGAGCGAAATTGGAAACTAAGAGAATAAGGAGGAGAAGCATTAGTATAACTCCCGAGATTGGCGATGATATTGTCAGGTGGGTGCTTGGTTTCTGGCTCTTTGAACTTCATGTGCAAGCTAGTATGAAGGATTTTAAAATATCTCCATCCTCATTAACAACCTTCTCTGGTTTCAGTATACCCAAAGCTATATAGGTTGCAATTATTCAGTTTCAACTTAGCTTTTTAGGTTTTCCTCAATTGTGATTTCATATATGACAAAATTAGTCGTAAACTATCTTGAGAAAAAATATTAGAAGAATTCACGGAGATGCCATTCCTTTTCTTACCGCGCTAGCATGTCATATATAAAATATTCCATATATGGAACTAAAAGTGTTAGCAATTGCAATGATCGTTACCTCAGTGTATACCATGACATTTGCATTAAGATTTATAGACTATTAACTATTTGGTACACAGAGCTTCGGTGTTTTGTAATTTATTGTTAACGTTTGTTCAAAATTTTCTTGCTTATCTTTCCAGGGCAGTACGAGCAATGAATGAAGCCTTGAAGCAGAATCGCCTCTCTAAAGAGCAACGTGATGATGGTTCATCTCCTAACTCTCCAAATGACAAAGCCGAGAACTCTCATATCCAGAAAAACGTACGTCATGTTATATATGAAGCTTATTGATACATCATTGAAAGATCTTTGTATATTCGGCTGCCTATTCTGCTAGCTTTTAATCATAGAAGTTAAAATTCTGAACACAAAGAATCTCGGGCCGCAATAGCATTTTATATCGCTTTTATGAATCATAGCGTGAAATTATAATTCTTGGAAACGTTTACTCATTTTGGATAGAGACTTGTGACTTTTTTTTGGTCTTAACTAGACTTTTCTGCTTCTAGGTCTCTGGTTTCCATCTTGATGCCCATGACCAAGTGTCTGGTGGAAGATCGACACTTTCTAGGGAACAACTAGATCCGCAGAAGGCAATATCGCTGCCATCTTCTCCCCAGAACTACAGAAGCCAATCATATGAGCGGAGCGGAATGTCACATCGTAATATAAGCCACATCTGGGATAAAGTATTGGGATCTCCCATGTTCCAGAATAAGCCATTATTACCATATGAAGAATGGAACATAGACTTCTCCGAGTTGACGGTTGGAACTCGGGTTGGAATTGGTAAAAGCATTTTAGCTGAATGTTTTTAAATTGGGCTTATGCGTTCTTGTAACATTGTTAGCCATATATTTCCTTCATGAAATTTGACAGTGGCAATATCACGATCCTTACCCTTTTATATTTTGTCATCAAAATTTTACTTTTGGATTAGCAACCCAACTAAAACTTATTTGTTGATTTATTTTGTTATAGGTTTTTTTGGAGAAGTCTTCCGTGGGATTTGGAATGGAACAGACGTCGCGATCAAAGTGTTCCTTGAGCAAGATCTTACAGCTGAGAACATGGAAGATTTCTGCAATGAGATTTCCATTCTTAGGTTCCCCTTTAGATTTTCTCTATATTATTCAAATTTAGCAATAACTTGTGGACTTATCTTCTGACTTTCTTTCCTGGCTTCCCTGTCTTCATCCAAATTAAATAACTAACAGCCGACTAAGACATCCCAACGGTACTTGTCTATATCTTTGAATTTTTAATATTAAGATTTTTAGTACCAGTTTTAGTTAACAGGCATCTTGGGCTTCTTGCAGTTATACTTTTCCTTGGAGCATGCACAAAGCCTCCAGGGTTATCACTGATCACTGAGTACATGGAAATGGGATCTTTGTATTATTTGCTCCATTCGAGTGGACAAAAGAAGAAGTTAAGCTGGCGGAGGAAGCTGAAGATGCTGCGTGATATCTGCAGGTAATTGATATGAATTTTTTTACTATTGTAAATATAGTCTTAGCGAGAAGGTCATAGCTGGACTTAAACCCCAACGAGTAAGTTTCATATTCTTTTGTAGTAACAAAAAACTTTATAAAATATTGCAAGGGGACTGATGTGCATACATCGGATGGGGATAGTACACCGTGATATAAAGAGCGCAAACTGTCTTTTAAGCAGCAAATTGACAGTCAAGATCTGTGATTTTGGGCTCTCGAGAATAATGACAGGCTCGACAATGAGAGACGCAGTCTCTGCAGGAACTCCAGAGTGGATGGCTCCGGAGCTTATCCGCAATGAGCCCTTCTCAGAAAAGTGCGATATCTTCAGCTTAGGTGTGATCATGTGGGAACTCTGCACTTTAACCAGGCCCTGGGTAGGAGTACCTCCTGAACGGGTATGTAACTGAGCAAGAAGATGACACCATATTCATGTACGTAACGTATAACCCAGTTTCTGCATATTTCTCAGGTTGTTTATGCTATTGCTTACGAGGGAGCTCGGCTTGAGATCCCTGAAGGGCCATTGGGAAAGCTTATTGCAGGTCTTGTGACTTGTCAAAGTGTTGTTTTTTTCTTCGTTCATGAATCTTTGTTTGCGTTTATGGAACATTCTTCTCTTGTTCGCAGATTGTTGGGCAGAACCGGAACAAAGACCGAGCTGCAATGAGATACTCTCTCGTTTGCTGGATTGCGAGTATTCGCTTTGCTAACTTCTCTCAAATCTTTTTCCTTCTGTGAATAGAAGAAACTTTGCAGCAACAAGAGGTTTTCGTTTTTTGAATATTGTTTGGCTTTCTCCTTTTGAGTTTGTTGTACAAAAGAACTTTGGTGCTTTCATTATCCACAAAAAAAGCTTTGTGGGACTCTTTTCCGTTTGTCATTGCAAACTAATGAAATCAAAAACCTTTTAAACAAAAATAAAAGGTAGCCTTTTTAAGTTACTTGCAATTTTGTGATTTTAGTTTTGCAGGTTTGAGTAAATATTTTCATTATTTTGCGTTTAAGGGCTCGGGTTTGGTCTGGTTTGGTTTGGCGTGTATTTCCTTCTTTTTATAACCGCCTAGAATCTCCGGTTGGTTTAGATTATCCCGGTTTGCAACTAGGAACATTCCAAAATCACGGACCTGTCTCTACTTGCACTTATTATTATAGTAGTGTTATTTTAGCGACAAATTTCTTAGATCTGTCTTCACTTGCAATATTCTATAAAAAGATAATGTATATATTATGTAAACAAAACAAAAAAAATAATTATCTAACATATATCTATTACTAATAAAATTGATGTTAAATGCCTCTAAAAGTGTCTACATAGGATTTAAAGATTCAATTCTATTAGTACATATCATCATTATTTTTAGTTATTTATATATTAAAATTAATTAATTTGTTTTAATTGTTATAGAGAAAATTTCTAAATTTTAATTAATTTTGTTTTTGTTGTTATTAGGAAAGTTTCTAAATTTTAAGTTAGTTATTAATAAAAAAAAGTTTTAAAAATAGATCTTATTTTTCTATTAACAATAAAAAGGTAAATTAATATATAAATAGATTATGAAAGAAAAATCATATATATTGAATAAAATTATTAAAAACTGTATTTAAAACCATAATTAAGTTATTTTAAAATTTTAATCACGACAAACAATTAAAATCTGAACTACTAACTTAAAATATATTAGTTGTGGTCCGTGTTGATGTCTTAAGCCAATTAGAGTGTCCACATATGACATATATACTCAATCTGATTAGTCTATATCAACGTTTTTTATTAAACATAAAAAAAATAAAAATAATATTAATAATTTAAATAAATTAAAATTATCACAATAGAATAAAAAATTAAGATAATTTTTTAACTAAATAAAATATATTTATGTCAAAAGTCAAAATCTATTGTGAAAATAAAATGGAAACTCATTGTCATAAAACCTAAACTAACAAAAACAAATATGTAATTTATCAATACAAAAAGTTAAATTAAAAAAAAATTAGCATATATATTTTAAATGATTAATTTATTTAGAAAAAATATTTAGATTAAATTTTCATATAAACATATAAAATTGTTATTTAAAAATATCAATACTACCAAAAAATATTCATCTTAAATTATCAAAAAAGAAAGTCATTTAAAACTTATAATTTTTGGTAAAATATTTTAAAAATTAACACAAAAATCTTAACAAATCAAAAATAATACTTTATGCTAATTACTGAAGAAATCAATTTAAAAAAATGTTTAACTAACAAAAACCAAAACATAAATTTTTTTTTACAACATGGCAATACAATTAAAATGAAAGTCCATATCGAGAAAGTTAAATTAACAAAAAAGGATATTAACTTAATATCTATGTTATTTATTTACCAAAATAAACAAAATAAGTAAGAGAATAAAAAAAACTTAAATAATACTAAAAAACTTAACTAACAAAAATGCTAATTATTTAAGAAATCAATATTAAAAATTAATTAACTATAAAACTAAAACAAAAATTAAGTTTTACAAAATATTATTTAAAAAAAAACACTTAAAAATATATTGACTTGATATCTGACTAACTACTTAAAAAATTCATATAAAATATTTAACTTTCAAAAAAATTATTTCTTTAAAATATCAATATTTTAAAAACAATGGTGTGTTAAAATAAAATAAAAATCAATATCAAGAGAGGTAAATTATCAAAGAAAAAAACGTATAAAGTAAAATTAGCTTGATATTTAGGCTAACTACCAAACAAATATTAACTAAAAAATCAAATGATGGTATAAGCTTTTGAGAGAAGTTCACTTAAAATTTAGAATAACCAGTTATATCATGTCAAAATAGCATTTTAATTAATTTTAAAAGTAAATTTAATAAAGAACAAGCATTTATGTAAAAGATATTAGATTAATATATATGCTACCTATTTGAAAAATCAATAACAAAAGAGATTAATTAAAAATATATATGTTTTAAGTATATAAAATCTGTAGAAAATTAGATAATTATAATAAAATATAAAATTACCATCGAATATATTTAAAATAACAAAAAACAAGATCTAAGAAGCAAATTAGTTTGAAATATAGTTCCAAAAACATTAATTATTTCGAAAATATTGGTGTTGGCTATGAATAACCATATAAAAATTTAATAGGTTATACAAGTTTCTAAATCAAACATATTATTTAAATTTACAAAAATTATTACATTGGTTGCTCTGGTTGGAAAATTAACAAAGTAAAATACTACACAAGTAACTTTACATTCAAAATATAATAAGTAATAAAGTCTGATTTGTATACATATTTACTGCTTATAACTTAGTCAACATGAACAACACATGAGCAATATCTTCTAAAATTTTATTTAAATAATATAATATGACAAAGTTATGAATCAAATTCAAATGAAAATATATGAAGATCCAATATTTAAATCAAAACATGAATAAACACACAAAAGATAAAAAAAAATAGTGATAATGTGAAGTCTCAACATCATCTTACATGTTTAAAAACAAATATTAGCAAATAATTGACTGCAAATAAAACACATCTTATAAACTGAATAGAGATATAACCTAAAATTCGAAGAAGATCTAGTGGAGAAGCAAAAAATAGCTTTACACGATTAGTGTAGCTTACTAACAAAAGTAAATCTGAATCAACATATATCATATATTATATATGTATATGTACACAACATTAGTGAGGCATTTAGTAAAGAAACTAAATATTTAAACATAGAAACTTTTTTAAAAAAAGAACCATAGAAATCATAAGGATACGAAAAAAAACAACAAAAATTTAGTAAGGAAATCATTTTATAAATCAAACATATGCACATCGAAGTTGGATAATTTGTTAGATGTCATTATTATGATTTGATTTAATACGATTTATAATTTTATAAACAAAAATAGGAAATACTACATATTATATTTTATTTTTTTTATATAAAAGAAAATTTCTATAAAAATATTATAGTTTTGATAATTTAATAGATATTAGACAAAAATTAAACCAAATTATTAATACAGACTCGCGCGTAGCGCGAATTAAAAGCCTAGTCATCATCTATTACTAATAAAAGTTGATGCTAAATGCCTCTAAGGGTGTCCACATAGGATTTAAAGATTTAATTCTACTGGTACACATCATCATTATTTTTAGTTAATTATATATTATATATTAAAATTAATTAATTCATTTTAATTGTTATAAGGAAAATTTCTAAATTTTAATTAATTTTGTTTTTGTTGTTATTAGAAAAGTTTCTAAATTTTAAGTTAGTTATTAATAAAAACGAGTTTTGAAAATATATCTTATTTTTTTATTAACGTATAAATAGATTATGAAAGAAAAATCATATATATCGAATAAAATTAATTTAAAATGTATTTAAAATTATAATTAAATTATTTTAAAATTTTAATCACGACAGACAATTAAAATCTGAACTGCTAACTTAAAATATATTAGTTGTGGTCTGTGTTGATGTCTTAGGCCAATGAAAGCGTCCACATAGGACATATCTACTCAATCTGGTTAGATTATATCAGCGTTTTTCATTAAACATAAAAAATAAAAAAATATTATTAATAATTTAAATAAATTAAAACATATAAAAATATAAAATTATCATAATGGAATAGAAAATTAAGATAATTTTTTTTTAATTAAATTAAATAAATTTATGTCAAAAGTCTAAATCTATTGTGAAAATAAAATGGAAACTCATTGTCGCAAAAACTAAACTAACAATAACAAATATGTAAATCAAAAACAAAAAAGTTAAATTAAATAGCATATATATTTTAAATGAGTAATTTATTTAGAAAAATATTAAGATTAAATTTTCATATAAACATATAAAATTGTTATTTAAAAATGTCAATACTACCAAAAAAAATTCATCTTAAATTATCAAAAAAGAAAGTCATCTAAAATTTATAATTTTAGGGGAAATATTTAAAAAATTGACACAAAATCTTAATAAACTAAAAATGATACTTTATGCTAACTAGTGAAGAAAGCAATATAAAAAAAAAATTTAACTAACAAAAGCCAAAACATAAATTATTTCTTACAACATGTCAATATAATTAAAATGAAAGTCTATATCGAGAATGTTAAATTAACAAAAAAAATGAGGATATTAACTCAATATCTATGTTATTTATTTAACAAAACCAATATAAACATAATAAGTAAGAGAATAAAAAAACTTAACTAACAAAAATAATATAAATATTTAAGCTAATTATTTAAGAAATCAATATTAAGAAATTAATTAACTAAAAAAGTAAACGAAAATTAAGTTTTACACAATATTATTTTTTTTAGAAACACTTAAAAATATATTGAATTGATATCTGACTAACTACTTAAGAAATTCATTTAAAAATATTTAACTAACAAAAAAATTCTGTCTTCAAAATATCAATATTTTTTAAAAAATTGGTGTGTTAAAATAAATTAAAAATCAATATCAACGGAGGTAAATTATCAAAGGAAAAAGTCGTATAAAGTAAAATTAGCTTGATATTTAGGCTAACTACTAAACAAATATTAACTAAAAAAAGCAAATGATGATATAAGCTTTTGAGAGAAGTTCACTTAAAATTTAGAATAACCACTTATAGCATATCAAAATAATATTTTGTTTAATTTAAAAAGTAAATTTAACAAAGAAAAAACATTTTTGTAAAAGATATTAGATTAATATATATGCTACCTATTTGAAAAATCAATAATAAAATAAATTAATTAAAAATATATATGTTTTAAGTATATCAAACCTGCAGAAAATTAGATAATTAAAATAAAATATAAAATTACCATTGAAGATATTTAAAATAACAAAAAACAATATCTAAGAAGAAAATTAGTTTGAAATATAGTTCCAAAAATATTCATGATTTCTAAAATATTAGTGTTGACTATGATTTCTAAAGTTTTCCAAAAATATTCATGATTTCCAAAAATATTCATGATTTCCAAAAATATTCATGATTTCCAAAAATATTCATGATTTCTAAAGTTTTAATAGGTTATACAAGTTTCTAAATCAAACATATTACTTAAATTTACAAAAATTAATACCTTGGTTGCGCCTGGTTAAAAAATTAAGAAAATAAAATATTACACAAGTAACTTTATATTCAAAATATAATAAGTAATAAAGTCTGATATGTATACATATTTACTCCTTATAACTTAGTCAACATGAACAACACATGAGCAACATCCTCTAAAATTTAATTTAAATAATATAATATGACAAATTTATGAATCAAATTCAAATGGGAATATATAAAGATAAAATATTCAAATCAAAACATGAATAAACACACAAAAGATAAAAAAACAGTGATAATGTGAAGTCTCAACATCATCTTACATGTTTAAAAACAAATATTAGCAAATAGTTGACTGCAAATAAAACATATCTTATAAACTGAATAGAGATATAACCTAAAATTCGTAGAAGATCTGGTTGAGAAGCAAAAAGCAGCTTTACACGATTAGTGTAGCTTATTAACAAAAGTAAATCTGAATCAACATATATCATATATTATATATGTATATGTACAGAACATTAGTGAGACATTTAGTAAAGAAACTAAATATTTAAACATAGAAATCTTTTTAAAAAAAGAACCATAGAAATCCTAAGATAACAAAAGAAAACACCAAAAAACAGTAAGGGAATCATTTTCTAAATCAAACATATGCACATCGAAGATGGATAATTCGCTAGGTATCATTACTATGATTTTACTTAATAAGATTTATAATTTTATAAACAAAAATAGGAAATACTACATATTATGTTTTATTTTTTTATATAAAAGAAAATTTCTACAAATATATTATAGTTTTGATAATTTAAAAAATATTAGCCAAAAACTTAAACCAAATCTATAATATATAAAAGTTGATGGCATAGTGCATTGAGGACGTTCACATGGAATTAAAAACTCGATTTGATTAGTCCACATCAGCATATTCATTTAATAAAAAAATGTTAAGTATGATTATGACGGAAAAACTTGATTTAATGTGTCCACATCAGCTTTTTAATCAAACCAAAAATTATTAACTATAATTAAAACATTAAAAGTTAATGTAACAAATTATGTCCAACAAAAAAGTAAATTCAATCTGATTGATCCAAATCAACATATTTATTAAATCAGAAAATGTTAATATGGTTTAAAATTTTAAAAGTTAAATAAAAACAATTAACAATACATGTTTTAAAAAAAAGTACCCATTATCAATTTAAAAAATCTACAACAACTCTATTTAACAATTAAAATAATAAAAACTGAATAAAAATATAACATAAAACTCTTGGTAGACATGATGGAGAAGGAAAAAAATGGTTTTGCATGATCATTACCGCTTCCTTACAAAATTAAATGCAAATCAACCTGAATTATTGATTATATATGCAATGGTACACAACATCAATAAGACTTTCAATAAAAAAAAACTAAATATTTGAACACATAAACCTTCAAGAAAAAATAACTATAGAAATTCTATGAAAAACAGAAAATAATACTAAAATTTTAGCAAGGTTATATTTCTCTAAATTAAATGTATATGTACATCAAAGTTGGATAATTCGATAGTTGTCATTGTTATTATTTTACTTAATAGTTTTTTAAAATTTATAAATAAAATAGGATAAATTACATATTATATATTAAATTCTCTTATATAAATGAAAATTTGTATAAATATATTATATTTTTAATAATTTTAAAGATAGTAGCTAAAAAAATTAAACCAAAATATTAATACAGACTCGCACGTAGCGCGAGTTATATATCTAGTATATTAAACAGGAAGCATTAGTGGCTTATGTGTCATTATCTCAGAATTTTGAAATTTTTAAATCTTAATAATGGTTAAAAAGTGAAATAATTTATTCATGCGACCAAAATTATCTTTCTTGCAACCAAACAAAACTTCTCTAATTATTTATTTTTAAATGCATTTAATGTTTTAAAAATCTGTAATTAATATTTAGATTTTTTGTACATAATTTAAGCAATTTGATTTAAATAAATATGACTAAAAATTTAAGTGAATCTTTATTTTTTTTAAAAGTATCTAACATATATTAAACAAGAAGTATTAGCTTAGGTGTCATTATTTCCTATTTTCTAATATTTTTTATTGATTTATTTTTGTGTGCTATCTTTATTATTAAACACATTATTTTAAATCACTTAAATTAACTCGAATTTAAATCGAACCAATCACAAATAATTCTCCAATTTCATTGGTTTAGTAAATTAAATTAGTTACATATTTTATTTATTGAAATAAAAATAATTATTATGTTTTAGATCTACGAATACTTATTGTTTTGCAACAGCCCTGATTCACATATTCTACAAACAGAAAATATTATTTTTCGAAATCTTGGACGAAAGTACATGTAAATATCGCTTTGCATAAGTTGAATTAAAAACAAAAATAACTAATTTTTTTCAAAATTCAACTGAACATTTTTAGATACCTAAATATTTTTCAAAACTTAATCAGTTATAAAATATTTCTTAAATATTTTTATAAACATTATCCTGCACGAACGTGCCGATAGTAACCTAGTTTTAATAAAACGGCATGAAATGAAAATATAACTGTTGCAAAAATCATATATATAAAAATTTTAATAACTTTTTTATCTTAAAAAGCCGAGACGATTGCAAATTGAACCTAAACAAAAAAATGCAATTTAGGCCCAGAATTTAAAACCCTAGCGATCTTATCTGATTCTCGCAGTCAAGTCGGTTTGTTGCAATTTGGGAGACGAGGAAGGAAGAGAAGTCGGGAAATAGGAGAAGGATTACGAAAACATGCTGCGTGGTATTACACACTCCTCCTCGAAGGTAGCTTCATCGCTACAATTTCACATGATAGATCCCTAATAAATACACTCATCATGGTTGAAGATTTGGAAGTTTTTGATGATCCGGTTTCCTTAATTCGTTGTTAATTTCAAGATTTTGTAGCAAAGATAAGATTGTTTGATTTGATATGATTCTTACAAAAAATCAGATTTGGACGAGAAGGACCGCGTCATCATTTCTATCGAGGCAGTAGCTTCAGGTCTTTCGCTGGAGCTGTTGAAAACAACATCAAGAAGAATGAAACTGGAGACGATACTGAGCTGCAATCTGCGATGGGGAGTGCACATTCAGCTGTATACGAGGCTGAAAAATGTGTCGTGGCTCACCAGAGGATGATCAAAGACATCAGTCTCAAAGTAATTCGTCTAGAAAAAGCCATGGAGTCAGACGACATTGCAGAAATCTTGGCTTCCGCTCGAGATTTGAAGCAAAATCTCGACTTTAGCGGACATTCTCCAAGAAATGACCATACGTTTCCAACTGAATTAACAGCCGTCCTTCTGCAGAGGTTTGGTGGTAAACCCTCTGTTTAGATGGGAAGAAATCTCAGGGTTTCACAGATGAAGATGCTCAAGACTAAAGTCGACCCTGCGAAGGTCTCTGATCGGTTTGCAAATCTAACTCTGGCAAGGTCAATTGTTGCTACAATCGTTTTAGCTGTCTTATATTATCTTTAGATGAAGCATTGGAAATCAGATACTGTATGTTTTATGGCACAAGATGCTTATTAACTTCGAAGCATAACTTATCTTGTGCATATTTTCGTCATATCACACTGGAGGCCTCGAATTGAATAGTGCAAAGAAAGTTTTGATTGAAAAATAAAAAGAATATTAGTTTTGTTGTAGGGACCAAAGTTTTTCTATATCAAATTTAGACAAAATCTATGAATAAATGGAGGCATAAACACCCACAAAAAAAGAGTAAGATGATGCTAAATTTTCTTAAAGACAATTTATAGGTTTCTTGTATAAATTAAACACAATCTACCTTTTATAATATAGTAATAGTTTGATAAAATCATACTTTGACATAGGGGTGGACACTTCAATTTTTAGTTTGGTTTTTTCGGTTTTACGGTTTATCGGTTTTACGAAAATTTAAATCATATAAAAACCATATATATTTCGTTTCAGTATGGTTTGGTTTTTTACGGTTCAGTTTGATATGGTTTGGTTTCGGTTTTTTTAGAATTATATTATTACGAAATTTTTTAATTCAAACTATCGAAAATAATAATAATAGATATGAGTGAAATAAAACAATAAATTTAAAAAATAAAATCTAAATCATAAAAAAATAAAAATTCATCAATAAGGACAGATTTCAAAACAGAAAAATAAACAAATTATCAAAACTTCATAATCAATAATTATAAAACAATAAATAAATCTAGATTAAAATTTAATACATATAACCTTGGAGCTAGAACTAGAAGACTTGAATGTAAAAAAGGAGTTAATCACGTTTTTTATTGAAAAATTAAGGGTTATTTTATTATTTATATGTAGATATTTTTTATAAATATTATATTATTAAATTTATGAGTTAAGTTAGTAAATTTTAAAAATAACTAAGCCCAATAATAAAATATGTACCTAAACTAAATTACGAAACTAGGAAAATATAAATTATTTAAAATTTAGTTTAAAAACTGAAAAAATCTTTTGGTTTAACGGTTTTTAACCAAACCAAACCTAAACCAGAACTATAAAAAAATAATAGTCAAATAGATTTTTAGGTTTAACCATAACCAAACCATATTACTTTTTTCGGTTCGGTATAGTTTGATTTTTTCGGTTATAGTTTTTGTGCCCACCCCTTGACATTAGGACTGCTTTACATCACTAGTACTGCATTGTATGAAATAGTAGATGAGAACTAACCAAACATCCAACAAATCATATCCGATCAGTTATGAACTTATCAACTTTGATTTTCAACTTTGATTTTCATCTACTGTTTCAGAAAATTTCACCATGGTAAAAAACAATTCCTTTACATACAATTTTGGGCGATAGCAATTCATTTCATACCATTAAAACCATATATTCTAATTAAACTAGATAGATATGGAGAATACTAATCAAATTCATCTTACACTGAAAAATTGGAAGAAAGAGAACGGCTTCAATTAAGTTTTGTAGCGAAAAAAAAATATATAGTTTATAAGTTTCACATAGATAAATAATAACTTTCAGATAGTATAAAAAAATTCTACTCGAGTAGTCAAACAACAACATTCACAATTTTGTTTTTAAAAGTTTTAATTAAAAGAAAGGGAACTACAAATTAACAGTAGTGTATATATACTCCTAATTTAGCTGTGGCTGGCTCGTTTAGCTTCCTCACGGCTTAGTACATGCACACATAGCAAAACACACACTGGTTTATTTTTTAAAATCCTCCGTCCTCAATTCCGTTACCGTCACCGTCCAACTCCGTTTGTCGCATCCTCACCGTTCATCTCCTCCGATCTAACTCCCCGTCGTTAACCGTATGATGAAAGCCGTTAAGGATTCCTTTTCGCCGGGATCTTTCCGTCCTTCGCCGTCGACGCTTTCTCGAGAAGATTGCTGGAGCGAGGAAGCGACCTTCACGCTCATCCAAGCCTGGGGCTGTCGCTACGTCGACCTTGGCCGCGGTAATCTCCGTCAGAAACACTGGCAAGAGGTGGCTAACGCCGTTAACGACCGTCACTTCAACACCGGCCGCAACGTTTCCGCCGCCAAATCGCAGCCGTACCGCACCGACGTCCAGTGTAAAAACCGGATCGACACCTTGAAGAAGAAGTACAAAGTCGAGAAGGCTAGGGTTTCGGAATCGATTCCCGGTGCCGCCTACGTCAGCCCATGGCCTTTCTTCTCCGCTCTCGATGACCTTCTCCGGGAAAGCTTTCCGACGACTAGTACTCCTGATTCGGCTGATAACCAGAGGCTTTCACTTCCGCTGGCAATTGTCTCAGTTCCGGTCGCTCCACGATCGGCGATCCCCAGGCGTCCGGCGCCGTCGCCGGCGATTATGCCTCTTGGAGGTGAAAATTTGCTGGGATTTCGCGGAAATCTTAACGCATTCGCGGCAGCCGCAGCAGCCGCGGCGTGTCCGGCGTACGAAGATGACTCGGATGGGTCAAGGTCCAGATCGAGCGGCCGGAGCGGAGGTAACAGGAAGCGCGAAAGGGAAATAGAACGGAATCAAGGTTACAAGGAAGTCGCCGACGCAATTGAGAGGCTTGGGCAGATATACGAGAGGGTGGAGGAGAGGAAGCGGAAGGAAATGGTGGAGCTGGAGAAGCAGAGGATGCGATTCGCTAAGGAATTGGAGTGCCATAGGATGCAGCTCTTCACTGAGATGCAGGTCCGGCTTCACAAGCTCAGGCGTACCGCTGGGTCCAAAGGTCCGACTTCTTCCGCCTCCACCGGTGAGACCTGAAACTTTTCTCTCGCCGTACTTTTTGGCCCTTCTCCATTGTTTCTGATGTGTACCAGTCATGGCTTCTTGCGTATTCCTATAGCATGATTGGGTGTATTAGTCATTCTGAGTGTTTGCTTGTGGAGACTTTTAACCAATAGGATTACTAAGTTGACATTCAACAACTGGGATGATCCAATTTACGACATTTAAGACTACTTTTACTTGCTACTTCAACAAATGGTTTTGCTTCTTGCTACTTCTGAAATTCATGAGTTTCTTTTACTTGGTATCTGTGATAAGTAGGAGGTCCTGGTGACATCTCTCTTCAATTTTGTTGCAATGTTACTTCTGTTTCTTATTATTGTACCTTGAGATTGGAATCGTTCTGTATATTATGATAGTAGCTTCAGATTAAAAGCATTTGTTACAACGACTGACATTAGCACTATTTGGGCATGAGCTAGAAAGTTGATTCTGCTTCTGTTTGATGCTATAGCTAAAGCATTGAGTGCCTTATGTAGTGACACGACGATGGTTTCCTCAATTGCTATTCTATATAGTGGCGTGACGGCCAAGAAGTTTGTTCAAACTGTATTAGCATGAAAAGAGTACCCTTAAGCCTGATATTTTATTGCTGGATTTTGTTGATTGTGAGTTTACATAGTAATCGCTTCGAAAGTTAGGAAATAATGGTATCTATGTCTGAAAGAGAAAATGGATGATGCGTTTGAGAATGCTTTATAAAGAACGACATTGAGAAAACAAAGTGGCGTGAAATTTGTAAGGTCATAAACTCCAAGAGTCTCAGTCCACGAAATTTGCTTTTGTGATCATCAAGTCTTGCCAGAAACTTAGCTATGGCATTACACACTAGACCTTGTTTCTTTTCCTTTTGCTTGGCTCTTCATTCTCACGTTGACCTGTTAATTTGAATTCCGCTTTGCATTACATTGTTTGAGCCAGTAGAACTAATAATAATAATCAGCAGGGATTTATATGTATCAATATGATTACTCCCTTTGTAACAATAATTGAAATTTGTGTGTCTATGCAGTTCTCGAGTATGGTGGGATGATGGATTTCCCTAGTTACTTGTAAGGGGTAGGCACCTTTTATTCTCTTTCAGCTACTACAACTCTTCTCATTCTGGTCTTGTCTAAAGAGCCTATGTAAAAAATCCCCCAGTCATGTTTTGTTTTAAGTTCTTGGGATAATTCAGTGTGCTTGTCATTTGCAGCATCAATGAGTTTGTGATTGTAGCGACTGATGAAGGAAGGAAGAAGTCAGCATCTAATCGACCAATAGAGAGATATGGTACACAAAGAGAACGAGTTTGTCTTTATTTTTGTAAATGTAACCTTTTAGGAGATTCCTATTCCAACCCAGGAAGAAAAAAAAAAAAAATTGGGTATATCTACACGACAATGAAACAGTTAAAAGAAATGGGTTTGCAGCAAAATTTCTGTTCCTTGGTAATTCACATTTTGACAATCATCCTCAAAACTCTACGAGATCTTTCTCCTCTCTTTCTCACTCCTATCATTTTCTCTAGCTCCAATTTCTGAACCGAACCGAAAATAACCGACATATATCCTAGGAATTGGTAATGAAAACGAAGATAATTGATCATGTATATTAAACTGAACCGAAAATAACCGACACCTCCGAAATTATTTTATTATATATGTATATTCAATTGAACCGAGAATAACCGGCATCTAGAAAATTATTTCCTTGGAACTTGGACGATTTTTGTAGGGTTTTTATAGCCACCGCCTCTACTCTAACTTCATAAGCGTGAAAGATCCGATTTTGCGCACCGAAGCTCATACATCTCTTACTATAAGGAACGAAGATCCGATTTTGAAGGTAAGATTCTCATATCTCTTCATTTCTTGGTCCTTTGTTTGTGTTTTGATTTTGATATCTATAGACAACCAAACAATGCAGATGGAAACTTTCCCAACTGATGTCAGTACCGAGATATTCTCGAGGTCACCGTCCAAGTCAGTGGCTCGGCTTCGCAGCCTGTCCAAGCAATGGGGTTCCACACTTCAAAGTCCAGACTTTTGTGAGTTGTTTCTGACCAAGTCTCGCGCTCGTCCAAGGCTCTTGTTTGCGGTCGAACGGTGGGGTCAGTGGAGCTTCTTCTCGGCGCCTCAGTCGCCGCCGTCTTCGTCTCTGGTAGTAGCCGCCGACTTCCATAGCAAGTTCTCTGGAGACACAAGCAGGTTCATCTGTAGCTACGGCGCTGGTTTGGTCTATTTCCCGAATATTTGGATGCCAAACGAAGGTAAGCGTACAATCTCCATGGTGTGTAACCCTGTCACCGGAAAGTATGCGAAATTACCTGAGGTGAGCCACTACCGGAAGTCGAGAGCCTTTGTAGGGTTTGATCCGGTTGACAAGCGATTCAAGATACTGGCCGAGGATCATACCTTTGACTCAAGGGATCACCATCAGGTTCTGACATTAGGAGAAGCTGGAGAACTTAGCTGGAGGTGTAAGAAGAAGGATTGTCCACCGTACGATCGCTGTTTGTCTGAAGGGATATGCGTCGATGGGGTTGTGTATTACTTAGCTGCCAACGTTCGTGACTTGCCTAGTGTTATAGTCTGCTTTGATGTTAGGTCTGAGGAGTTCAAGTTCATCGAAGCGGAATGCTTTCCTGATGAAGATGTTACGAAGCTGATAAGCTACAAGGGCAAGTTGGGTGGGATTAATTGGAATTATGTTGAAGCTGGTGAAAGCGTCGTCCTTGAGTTGACTATGTGGGTTCTCGAGGATGTCGAGAGGAAACAATGGGTTAAATCTGTCTACACTTTGTCCGACGAAAGAATCGTTAGCCGCTGCAATTTCTCCGTCGTTGGTATGACTGGTGCAGGGGAGATTGTTCTGGCCATGGACTACACATGTAAACCGTTTTTTGTCTGCTACTTCGATCCAGAAACGAAGACCCTCCGAAGTGTTGAGATCCAAGGCTTTGGAGATAGCCTTGAAGTGCTTGAGAGTCGTGGTAGAGTGTATGTCTTTGTGGACCATGTGGAGGATCTGAATGTCAACGATGCAAAACAGCTCAAGCCAGTGTCTGAAGATGAGATAGTTTAACTTTGATGCTAGTTTCAAGCTTATCTTTGAAGCTCGCCTTTATCTGGTATCTATTTAGGTCTAGGCCATTTTCTGTATTTCACCACCAGTTGTGCTGTGTTAATCTACTCTGTATGCCTGACTTGTTTAGTCATCTTTTGGTCTCTCGGTTAAGGCGGGCGCTAACTGTGTAATGGGTGCTGTAATGCCAAATATTCGACATTATCTTGCATTGTTGCTGTTTTCTCAACAAGAAACTCAAAATCCTATCACCCCTCTCCAGTATCCTTTTAACGTTATCTACCTTTACTTATCGAATCTCTAATGCACAACAACATAAGAATGCGAGACTTCATTTTCATTTTGCAACACATAAAAACAAGTGTGTGGATTATAGACACAACTTTAAAGAACACACATGTAGAGGTTACGGCAACACAATGTTTACTCACACAAGTGCTGATACAAGAAACTAGTAACCTCGCTGACTTCACCTCTGACACGATCGAGAGTATCTGCAATAGGATTTTTAGAGAAGAATTCCATCTGCTGATACAAAACCCTCAAGACTGACCCAGATGTAGCTTGGGAAACATTGCCGGCTCTACTCAAGAATTGTCCAAAACTTGAAACCCTAGTCTTTGAGGTACCAACACATATTCTTTACTGCATATATATCTGCTCACACTTTTTGCAAACTAAATTAGATGTTAAAGTTGTGTCCTTTATGCTGCAGGGACTCCATCACAAGTTTACCAACTGTGCGGAAGAGGACGGGTGCTTGTGCAAACTTTGCGAGAACATTCCTACTTGCCTATCATCAAGTCCACTGAAGGTTCTAGAGATATTCAAGTTTGGAGAAATCTTGGGTGATGGTTACTTTAAGGAGCTGATAAAGCAGGTCCAACACTTCCTAGAGACAATGCCGAATCTTAAACAACTTGTATTATACTATGATGCATCCTTTGACGAAGATTTAAATCAAGTGTCAGCCCAACTTCAGTGGCATCCTAGAGTGGCTTCATCTAAGAGCAAGATTCAAATAATTTCGGATAACCTCTGTTTGTCAACCACTGTGCCCTCTTCGGTAACGACTAAGTGGGGTCGTCGTCTTTCTGGTTTCTGAGCTCTCTTTTGAACCAATCATGGCTGTATTATTATTACTTGTAATGCTGCTAAGAGACCTAAACTCCAAATCAGGAATCTTGGTTCTTCCTTCTCTTGGGTTGGAAGGACTTGTGTTGCCAAATATGGACGTGTCTTCAAATTTTGTAAAGCTACTAAAAGATCAAAGCTCTAATCAAGGAATCTTGATTCTTCCTTCTCTCGGTTAGGAAGGAACTGTGTTCTGATGCTTTGTCCTTTTGCCCGACAATGGTAAATGGTAACGTGATGCTTGGTTTGAATTATTTTAGTTTTGGTCAAGTGAAGAAAATAATTGTAAACACGAGACCTAACTTGCTACAGAAGTTACTTGAGATAATAATGTGACATGAAAATAAAAACAAATACACACCAAATGATTAAAAAAAAAAACATGAGGGAGAGATGGAATACCATAAGATTTATAGATTGAATTAAAAAAACACATAAGGAAAGAAGAATGAGATCGATGGATACCATATTTGCGATACTCGATCATAGCTTCTTTAGCGTTTGGTGGAGTTGGTCACGAGACAATGAATTGTGATGGTGTATATAAATATATGACGATATATCTATTACATCAAATATCAGATCGTTAGTTAAATTTTATATAGATATTCAAAAACAACTCATTTTTTCCCTACAATTCCAAAAATACATTATAATTACTGTAAATTCTGAAAAAATGGCAAAAAAAAGTGTAGAAAAATAAGCAAAACGTAAGTAAAATATAAGCAAAACATAAGATCATTTTCTTTTTAAAGAGGTAGAAAATATAGGTTGGAATTTGAGACATTAAAAGTGATGATTCTTAATTGCCATGGCATGTACTGCTTTCAATTCATAACGTTTTGTATACCGTTAGAACCTAAATTGATGAAGAACCTTGATTAGCACTGCTACAATGCTCCTAATTCACAAGACCGTCCATGGCTTCAAACGCCAAACGAAACTACACAATGAAGTGGCGTTTTCACTTCTATGTTCCAAGTGCCTGCCATGGTAGACTCATATTTACATTGTGAAAAAGGTACTCTACATAATTCTACATAATTTCATATTTTGTATCCTTTAAAAAAAAAATTTGGTTATTTTTGTTTTATTCTTACACCGGTTACTTTTATATAAACCACCGTCATCATCGATTCATCATCATATACCATAGTCAAATCGGTAGTTAATTTTCTCTGTCATATCATATCTCGACACCTCATCTCATTTCACATTAATTGTTCCATTTGATTTTTGTAGCTCAAAATGTTTTCGATCTTTCAGGTTAAGTTTTCTTCTTTTCGCACATGGCTTAGTAAAAATATGGTAGAAAGTAGTGTTACAAGTATTCCTTCTTTGGTAAATTTAGTATTCATTCTTCATTTCTTTGGTAAGTTGACAAGTGTTCCTTCTTTGGTAAATTTAGCTAGTGCAACCATAAAACCATGTCACTAAAGTCTAATATATCCATCATTTGCCAATTTTTCAGCATTTTCTTTTTATTTGGTATTGGACACAAGATATTTCTACACGGAGATCTGAAACCATTCATATATAAGATATTCTCAAACTATTAAATTTTGCTTTCCCTTAAAAAAATACTTTCAAACTATCAAATTTCAATTTATGTTATCAATCCAAACTGTAGGAACTAAGAGTTAATTATCATCCAACACATTCAAAACTGTGTCTACTATACTTGTTATAAATCCACGTGGGATTTCAGCATGATCAAACTTATTTTATTTTGTAGGAATCAGGTTTGCAAGAATATATTAGGACAGTATTAATTATATTAGAGCAAACACTCTGACAGTAATGTATGTGCCTTGGTTCGGGGGAAAACCCATGCTTAAAAAGAGTTTCAGTGCTCTCAAGGCCCAATGGAGAGAATTAACGATGAAAATAATTCCTCGCTCGAGGCCCAATATTCCAAAGCCCACCATGTGGGATTATTATTATAAAGCTTTTTTTTTCCAAAAAGAAAGAAAATTAGTCTTGCCAAAATGTGACGAAAATCGTATTACCAAGAAGATTGTAGTGAAAACATAAATTTACCTCTCCATTGTAAACCAAAAAGAATCTGAGATTTAAAAAGGAGAAATCTAGCCACAATCAATGATATGCACACGTTTTCTTTCCACAAATGAGTTTTTCCTCAAGTGTTTCAAGATAAGAATGATGAGATATGATTTATTATTTTATACACAAATCAACAAAGCTCAACTCCATAACATGTTCACTAAATTATATGTATTTTTTTTTTTCAAAAATCAAATTTAAGTATGTTTTGACATATATCTGAATGTATTCATTATAAAAGCCCATATATTCATACATGTGATCTTATCAATTATCAACTCATAATATAATTCAAAATTTACGAGATTCACCAAAATAAATTTCCTCCAAAACATATATACATTTGGAAAAATATATACATGAATAGCCAAAAAAAATCCACACAAAATTCTGTAAATTAAAACATCTAAATATATAGAAAATATATTTTAGGTTGGAAATTATATATATGTATCGTCAATAACTGAAAAATAGATGACATGAAGTAAGAATTTAAAACTAAGGAGGAGTCATGGAAAAAAGAGAAGTTAATACAAAAGATATACATGTAACAAGACAACCTTCTTCATCCAATACCGATTGGATTCCGTTGGATTTAACGAGGGAAATACTTGTTAGACTGCCAGCAAAATCTTTGATGAGGTTTCGATGCGTCTCAAAACTGTGGGCGTCTCTCACCTCCGACCAAGATTTCATCAACTCCTTCACGACTCAGTCACGCTCTTGCCTTTTGCTAAACTTCCAAAAAGATACCAAACAATTATTCTTCTCTCTCTCGCAACATAAGAAGTGTTTACCTCACGTGGGAGATTATCATCTCACGCTCCAGGAGGCAGAGAGATACAAGCCCAATTTTCAGTTTCAGTCCGTTCATGGTTTGATTTCTTTCCATTATTTGACTCATACTTTAATTTGGAATCCTTCCTTGGGACAACACGTCACCCTTCGAAAACCAGATAGAAAACCCACTATTACAAAAAGCTATCTAGGATACGATCCTACCGGAAATACGTATAAACTACTGTGCATGTCATATGGCTCCACTGATGTGACCTATGTTCTTACATTGGGAGCTCAAGAATCGTGGAGGCGGGTCAAAGACATTCCTATCCGTTTAGTAGCATCTAAAGGGATATGCATCAACGGAGTTTTATATTATTGTGTTTTCAAAGGGGCTCCAAATGAAACAATGAGTTTTGACGTGAGGACTGAAAAGTTCAAACTAATCCAACCTCAAACTTGTCTGTAGCACGTTGACGTGAATGCTGATCTTACACTGGTGAGCTACAAGGGAAGATTAGCGTGGGTTGTCGTAGAATCATTGTTTTACAGATTATGGGTTCTTGAAGATGCCGAAAAAGAAGAATGGTCGTGCAAACATTTTCGTGCACCATTGTCTCCATATGATCCTATTCCCAACGTTTATTACTTTTTAAGTAATGTGACGGATGATGGTGAGTTTGTCTATGTATCAGTGTCATGGCAGGGGGATAAAGAGATTCATGTATCTTTTTATGATCCAAAGAGGAATAGTAACAGAAGGATCAAGATTGAAAGATTTGAAGATAATGATGAGTTTTGGCTTCCTAGTAATGGAACTCGTGATGATTGGGAATTTCTCGGAAGTATGCCTAATCACATTGAGAATCTCATGTCTATAAAACACTTTTCTTGCTTACCTTTTGTTTGACAGTTTCTCATAGTTTGTGTTCTATTATAATTCTATTTACTGTATGTACCTCAAATGAAAGGAACTAAGATTTTTGGGAGAAGCATTTTCCTCAGATTAATACATTCAGCGCAAATTTCCATTGGATAAATAATACAGTAAAAACAAAGAAAAAAGAATGAAAATTTCAATTTTATATAAAAAAAAATGGCTCTTTGAATCAATTTACGTTCTCAAAGAGCTAAAGATTTTGGAAAAGAATTGAGAAGAAAGATGTGTTATAATAGGAAATGTGTAACCGAGTCCTCTAGTAACTTGTGACTAGGGCAAACCATTTCCTTCAATTTCTCTCCCTCTTTGTATATCTTAAAGGTTGGAACTTTCTTTATGCTCTCTGCTTTCGCCAATGCCAAGCTCTCCTCCACATCCACCTATAGACACACGAATACATACCTCGTTAGATTCAAAATTAAACAATACCCACTTTGCTCTAAATGCTACTGCGATGCAACGGGCTTTACTAGAACATGTGTCTTGCCTTGAAGAAATGTACTAACGGATACCGCAAGCATAAGGTGTTGACGAATGGAGATATCACTTCGCTTTGTCGGTTTGATGATGATTTGAAGTAAAACACAGAGATTCCTAGAATAAGAAGAAAAAAAGTTTCCATTTTTAAGCAAACAGAAAAACAGAGGAATCTTGAAAACTTCGCAAAGTTCGTTAATCAGTTTTTTATTTACCGGGAAGTGATGTCGCGGTCTTGAACTTATCTAAAGTCGAAACCTCTTCAACTTCGTATTTGGGTTCTTGAGGTTTATTCGATAGAGCGGCTTTTGCTCTCTGTAAAGACTCAGCAACATCGCTGTCTCCTGGAAGTTCCTTTCTCAATACCTCATAATCTCTAACCGCATCATCCCATCGACCAAGCTGCATTGTTTAACAAGACCAATATTATCATTACAACACTTCGAAAACTCTGTCTGAAACAAGACTAAATATGTCTTTAATCGTCTTAACCTTGCCATACGAAGCAGCTCTTCGTAGAAGAGCCTTGGTGTAATCAGGCTGGATTCTTAGCGCTTGATTACAATCATCAACAGATTGCTCCCACATACCGAGTTTAAACCAACACGCTGCTCTATTGCAGTACAGAACCGCGTTGAAAGCATCGAGCTTGAGTCCGTCTCCATAAGCCACACTCGCTTCCGAGTATCTCCCGGAACTGAAAAGCTCGTTTCCAAAGGTACGAGCTTTGGCCACATTCTTTACATTGTTTAAGACCGATACTAGCTCAGGGTTGTTGCTATGATCAATCGTCGTAGCTCTCTCTGCCTTTACAACCGCATTCTCAAATCTGCAACAAACCTATCATCTCTACTCACTCACCAAAACAACACTTACTATAAAAAAAAATGAATCAAACAGTTTTTGAGTTTAAGCATCTCGAAGCTCACCTTCCTAAAGCCATATCAACCTGAGCCTGAACACACAGCACATAAGCATCACATGTCACACCAAAGAGTTTCGCTGTTGGTTGAGTATGATGATGATGAACTAATCCCTGAATGCTGGATAAGCACAAATCCGAATCCTTTATCTGATGCAGCCGCAAAAAGGCCTCTGCTTTACAAGCTACAAGCTGCCAAAAAAAATCCAATTCGAACATCATTGTTTAAAAGATCAAGTCTTTTCGGTGTTTAGCTAATAAAGAAGACAAACTATCTCTACCTGAGGAGAAGAATCAGCTCCATTTGCAATGGCTGCATCGATTTCGGTGATTACGGTTGTCCAGTCACCGATCTTTCGAGACTCAGTACACAGCCTGAGATGCTTCTCAAGCGTTTGCAGCCGCTGCAAATCGGCTTGATCGGGACATTGCCCGGAATTACAAAGATGGCGTCTTGCATTCTCAGCTTCTCCCATTCTAAACCAAAACCAATCAAAAAAGGTGATTCCTTTCCTCATCACTACGGATATATATATATAGATTACAAAAAAAAATTGGAATTAGATGTTTTACCTGAGATAGAGAGAAGCAAGTCTCTGGTGAGCTCTAGCGTAACAAGGATCGATTCTCACAGCTTCAAGGCATTCTTTAACGGCCTCCTCTAACCTCCCTGAAGCAGCCAACGCCGCCGCGCGATTGCTTCTGTAGGATGGATTCTCCGGCGACAATGAGATTGCTCTGTCGTAAAGCGCCAATGCCTCTGCGAAATTCCCTCTCCTGTACATTTCGTTGCCTGCCTTCTTCACCTCCTCTGGGTCGCCGGTTTCCGCCACCGCTCTTGTCGTTTGATTCGCCTTGCCGTTGATTCCGCCGCCGCTGCGTATGATGTTTCCGTGGCCGTAATTACCCGTGCTTGTGAATAGAGTCTCGGGTCTAACGGAGGCTCGTGTAGCCATTCCGGTTTTCAGTATCCTTCCCGACGGACATATGTTTCCGCTGGGTAAAACGCCGGGATTCGGCGACGTAGCGCCGCTTCCACCGCCGCGAGAATTGTGATTATTCACCGGGGAGAAGCCTGAACCGGAGTAAATCAACGGCGTTCCAGCGGAAGCGGATCTTCTGTGACCCGGTTTCGAGATGCGGTTCTTGGTTCCGGATCCGGGCATGACTGTACTGGTCTCGCTCAAGCCGGAGAGCTCGCCGGAGTGACTCTGTCTAGCTAGCTGGGAAGTGACGGCAGGTTTGCCGGAAGCAGAACCGGAGGAGCTGGAGCTGCTGCCACTAGCGGCCGGAGTCGCGGCGGCGGAGGATGAGCCACGTGGCCTCAAGGGGGAAATCGGAGAACCAAAATCGAGTTCTCGGAAATCGGGTTTGTTGATGACGTCATCGTCTCGCTGGAAATTCAAAGAATCGCGGAATTTACTGGTAATGGAGTCAATGGAAGGTTCTAGCGAGTGTCTTCTATAATGTGACATCTTCAAAAACCAAATCTATTCGCCTCAGGGGAATAAACACACAGGCTTAAGAAAAAAGAATGAAGAAGAAGAAGAACAGTTCGTGAAGAGAGAGAGAAGAGAAATCTTCTGATATATAGAAGAAAAAAAAAAAGAAAGGAAGCGAAGATGAATGAAAGAAGATGTTTGAACGAAATGAAAATAATTTTTAAAACCTTTTTAATTAACTAAAGGGACAAATTCTACTTTTTTATTATTTTTTTCTCAGATTAAGACATTGATCTTCTTTAGTTTCTTCTTCTGTTTATCACGAGGCACGAGCCTCTACTTATCCTCCCTTACTTCCGTGTCTTTCACGGCTGCTTGTCGCTAAAATTCGGTAATTTGTGGAATTCAATTTTATTTTAGATATTATTACGATTGAACTCTTGGCAAAGCTCTGCGTGGCAGGAAGATGTACTATAGAGACTGTGTATGGGTTGACTTTAGGGATTATTATATGTTTGAACAGAATGTTGATGGAAATCATATTTGCCGACCACAAATAAAAATGAATCTCGTAATTTGTTCACACAAAAAAAAGAAAAAATTTCAAACCATGCATCTCTAGTTTAGATTTTTGTGGTTCTGAATAGAAATGAGATGGTAAAAGTACAAAACGATCCAAATTATTAACATAAATCTATATATACTAATGTTACATGTATATGAAAATAAATGTCTATGTTAATAAAATTTTCCCTGAAATAAATTATATATTTTAATGTAAATTAACAAAGGTAAGTTAGAGTCAGTAACCACTAACCAGTTTTTTCCAACAAGTTAGTGACTTTTATCTATTTGATTAAAAAATCAATTGAATTGAAACTGCCACCTCTATTTTTGAATTCTCTCAATTCGAGGGTAAAGTCGTCTTTTGCGACAATGTTTAGCAAATTATCTGAAAAATGTTTAAAGACTTTGAAATCTATAGTTTTATAAACTATGTAAATGTGAAGAAAGTGTTTTGTGACATAATTAAAAGAAATGCTATACAAAACAACGGTTTTTTGGAAAAAGAGTAAGTGAAAATCATATGCTTTTATACATTCACACGAAAATAGAAAAAAAAAACACATAATCTTATATGTATAGAGAGCAAAAGAACAGAAAACAAAAGCAGAAAAATGGGGAAAATAAAGCAAAAGAGAAGTGAAGACATTTAACTGATGCACAGCTGGCATTTTTTAAAGGCACTCTTTGATGTTTTTTTTTATTTTTCTTGGATTAACTACATATACATTTTTTATAGGCTTTTTTGTTGTCATATCGTTAACATTTTTGATAGGCTTATAGGTAAATAAATGGTAAACAGAAATATTAGGAAATTGTGAATAGGGGTGAAATGGTAAATATACTGCGACGCTGTCCACGTGCAGAGTGACCATGCCAGCTGTTTCTTAAACTCTTTGCTACGGTTGCCAGCTAAGCAGGCCAAAACATTAACGCCGTCTAATTATTAACTTAACGATGTATTCTCCACTAAACCAGACGGTATAATTAGAGAGCGGTCCCCAATCCCGCCAAACCGACATGGGAGATTGACATTTTCCCATACCGGACGGTCCGTGACATGAGTGGCACCGAAATTTAGATCAATCAAACCGGCTTTTTTCAACCTTTGACCAAAAATAGCAGGCTATAGTAGAGAAAACATCAAGTACATATTCATAACGAACCAAAAAAAAAAAATTGGTCCCCAACTGAAAATGAAAATAATCATTGACCGATAGACACCTTTCACATACATACAACAATTATAATGAATATTTCAACTCAATAATTAATTTAGTCATTGCAAAATACATTTGTGTTTTCGTATACCAAAACATTCTTTAACCGAAGGAAGTAAAATAAATTGTAGCATTCCTTTTTACATAGATATTTTCCTTATGAGAAAACATGAACCGTTCATTCGAAGTTTCTATTGGTAAATCACGAAATTATATAATTGTAAAAATGGATTTTCTATATATTTTATTTACTATTTAATTGATTTAAACTGATCAAATAGTAGTGAACTAGTAATGTTGGCCGCAATTTATGACCCAGTCTAAATCGACAGAAGAGGGAATGTTGAGTAAAATCGTAAACATGTTGGGTAATTAGATGGTCATTATGGTGCTTTACATCTGAAACTGTCGTTAAATAATTGTCGGGGGTAAATAGAATAACAAGATCTGGATTCAAAAGAAACAAAGGAGAAATAAGAAGAAAAAAACAAGAAAAAAGGAGATTTTCTTCTTTTCCTCCCGTTAGGGAACATACTTTATATATAATTGATTTCTTTTAGAAGAAAATTAACTAAAACGATGCTCGTAATTTCTCAAGGCATGGCCTTAATAATTGTTGATGGTGTGCTGGAGGAACAATGGAACTTGGACCCCACATATATAGGTATTATACGATCTGAACATGACGTGTGCTACTAATTTTTTTTTTTAAAACCAATATTTTGTTGTCTATATATTGGTTTATACTCTGTCTTTGTTGTCTATATTTTTTTTAAAAAAAACCAATATTTGTTCTTCTAAAGGAGAAACTACTAATTCATCGATATCTAACAATTTAGTGTCGAGTTGGATACTTTTTTTATTGAAGGATCTACTTGCTTACAGAATTACTTAGACGTCACAACGATCTATACACCTAAAAATAATACAAAAACATATACTTCTGAGATGGTCTAACGGTATATGTAATTAATGGAGTATAAAACACAATGATTCCTGATAGTATATATACAACGACAAATCAACCACGCACAATATCTGGTTTTATAATTATTTGATTAATAATTTTAATGAACGACAAAAAAACGCTTGGCTATATGGTCAATTGGTCATTAAGGGTATCCAATGTTTTCATAATTCATATTTTAGTTAGTTTCATAACGAAATGATGTCAGTGCAAATACACTAAGCAAGAATATATGTAGATCGCATTACCGTCCAACTCGCACTTTTTAAATAATTAAAAAAATGTTGCACGTTTAATCGAGACTGCTAGAAAGAATTAGTTAACTATATATTATCTGATCCTAATTCATTTTACTTTTTGATGGACAATGTACAAGTATACGAAAACAAAATACATATTTAAGAGTAACTGTAAATATGTTGTTCAAAATGAAATTATTCAATAATTACTTTGTGTTCAACCAACTAAAATGTATTGTTTCAGTAATATCGCATCATGGTTGATCGAAGACCTTTAACTCAAAATGAAGATTTATTTGTACTTTGGCTCTTAATTAAGTTTTTTAGCCGATGTTGAATTTAATGAAACTTTTTGTGTGTTTTAATTAAAACTTCAACTAATGTAATTAGTTTTCATGACCACGTTTATAAATAAAGAAAATGAAGATGGCAAGTAGGTTTATTTATTAGAAACCAAAAAATAATAATCCAAAACTATATGATATTAGTAACTGAAACCATCAATCGATCTAGCAAGATTATAGCAATGATCCTTATTGGTTGCCATCTGACGTTATATGCTCAAACATGTGAGCATATGCTCACAAGCTGTGAATTCTCTCCTTTATCATCATTCAATAAACATTTTAATTAAGGAGAAAAAAGTTGACAAGCTTTTCGTATACTATGCACGATATGTGTGCTGTTTATTTAACATTTCACATGCCGTTGTGTCAAATTCAGATTTATTTCTCTCTATGGCTTGATCGACATCGTGGTTGAATTGGTATCACTATATTAACAGAAATAATTACAATTTACAAACATTGGTGTCAAATCAATATCATACATGATTCTTGACACTAAACACTAAGATTTTGTCTTTATAACAAAACTAAAATAAACGAATTGAAAGGATGTTGCATTGTTGCTCCCTTCATGAGGATCTAACAACTCATTAAAAATTTTACTTCTCAAAATAACTTAAGAAACATAGACCATTGACAAACACATGTACCATATGGTTTGTACCAGTGTTGTTAATAGCCCATTATTCGTATTCAAACATAAAGAATGCATGTTGTTAAAAAAAAAAGAGACCATTAAACTACTTTACTACTTATACTCAGTTAATTGATCTTTCTTTTTGTTAAACCTTTTTCTCTTTTTAGTTTTTTGGATTCAAATGTCCTAGGAAAAATGGAAATTAAACAATAACTGGAATGAAATTAAAACCTAAGCCGAGGATATCGTAATGTACACTACATTAGGTTTTTCAGACTGTATCTAAAAAACGTGTTTGTTTTTCAATTGGACACTAAGAAAGTAAGAAGTAAGAAGTCTGGAAAGCAAGTCTCAAGTTTGAATAGAAAAGTTTGTTTTTAGTTTTTTTTGGGGGGGATAAATGAACATGAAATGTAGGAAAAGAGTTATACAATATGATTGGCTACACATGTTGGGTTTGTCTTTCTCTAATTCTTGAGCCACACTATCAAATGATTGCAGAATTTTCTTAGTTTAATTATTGTGAAACCTTTTTTTCTTCTCTGTTTTCCTTTTTTTCTTTCTTCAAGCTTTGTAGATTTATATATCTTTTTAGAAAATGGGAAGAAGAGAAAAAGACTTGACATATTATGAAGATGTGCAGAGAGAGGGAGAGCACATGTCATTACATGTGATTCTAATAATGTAGATTCTTCATTTCTGAGTAAAAAGAGAAGACAAAAGCATTGTGCTCTGCCAAGTTTCTCTTTATCTTTTAATTTTGGGGGAGAAAAAACACAAATTATTATTCCTTGTTATAATAATTATATTTGAACTTGGAAACTAGTGACTACATTACATCGTATATACATACATACATCCAATCAATAAAACCTATCCGGCATTTGGCAAAAACTTATCCCTTTATCTGTTTATCCTAATGTTCAATCATTCAACATGCAAATACAATTTCAACCAAGTTATTTTATTTTACTCAAATTTCTTGTTTTTTAATCGTAAGAGAGACTAGTTAATGTAAAGTCCACATAGCAGCTAAAAGCCATGCACTTCGTATTATTTTTTTGGATCAAACAAATTGTTTTGAATTGAAATCTCAAATGTAATTCTAAAACAGCACATTTTCTTAAACCCGATGATAACAAAGGGCCTCTCTCTCTCTAAGAAGCTTTTATCCCATCTCGATCAGTGAATCAATAGCCGCTAACTAATTATAATTCTAAATTCTAGACTCTCATACCCAAAATCAAGTTGTAATTTTGGCAAATATTGTAAGAATAATACCCTCACTTCAACAAGTACTAAGATCAAAGCAGAGAGCATCCCATTAATGGAATCCAAAAGAGACATTATTATTATTCAAATCCTCCAAACAAAACATTCGCGCCTAAAAACATCCCAAACTCTTGACTTACTTAAAATTCCGATTACAATAAGAGACACTGATAAAACTTATAACCCTTCTTCACTCAGTTGCTAGACTGACGCAGTTCAGGTCGAACAAAGTCAGCATCCTCAGGGACGGAGATATCAACGGTAGGCCTGAGCTGTGCACAGACCTCGATAGCACCATGGACTGGGTCAGAGAAGAAGTTGCTGATCAGGTCTCTGTTGATTGCTGCACCATTGTCCACAGCCACCAGAGCCTGCTGGGTCAGGTTGTAGTCGAACCGCGGGGCCCATTTCCTCGATCCCAGTCTTGCTGTGGTCGAGCAGTTGTCAACCATGAAGGACACTCCTCTAGCGTGCATGAACGGGTTTAGAGAGTCCACAGATTCAATCACGCTCTCGTTGATGATCTCCGAGTATGAGTGACCTTTCTTCCTCAAGATCTCGATCTAACATAAAATCCCGCAGAAACCATGTTTTAGAAGAAATCACCGGAGGATTGAAAATAATAAAAAAAGGGATTCTCAATCCGGTTTAATCCATCCAACCAAATGATATCAACAATGTATTTGAAATTTTTTCATGTTACAGAAGTATGTTTCTAAGAACCAAAACTAAACTGAGACATGAAAAAAGGAAAGTCACCAATAAATTCGCAATTGCACTTAGGATTTAAGTCGCAGTTTCTTTGAAAAAATCTTTAGACTAAAGATACACTTTCTATATACCTGAATCCAAATCGAAACCAAAACAGATTCTATAATGCATAAACCGACATTTTTTTGAACAGAAACCAGCCTGAATATAAACAAAAAAAGACATACCTGAGCCATCATAAGTGCAACGTAAACTCCTGCGGTGAAGGGATACAACGGACCCAAGTCACCAGCTGGTCTGGACTTCCTGACGCGTTCACCGACCTTCCACATTCTTGTCTGATCAATCTTTCCCATTGGGAATGCAGGCAACCCCTCCTTATCCTGCCACAAGCAAGAAAATCCATTCCATCAAAATGTCTTCACAACAAACTGTGTTTTGGGTAAATGTAAAAAAGGAAAAGAGTTTGAAAAAGAGGAATCATTACATAGAAGCGACGACCGGCTAAGACAACACTCCGGATTTCGCTGCCAGCTGCTACATCCTCGTAACATTCATAGAGGATCTCCATACAAGGATAGAAGGACGCACTGTATGCAGTCTCGAATTCCTTTTTACCTTCTTCAGACAAGGAGTTGTACACAGCCAACATTCCCTGCATTTCACAATTCATCAGAAACAAGTTTTCAATTCTGATTTCCGATCTGGTAATAAATGAGTAACTCTGGTCTCCACGGATATCTTCCTACTAACCTGGGTGGAGATAGTCCTCGAAATTGTTCCTGTGATGCACTCTACTGTGTTCTTGTAAGCCAAGTCTTCGCTCATCCCATTTTCGGTGTACCTTCTAAACAGAGACTCCACGATTCCGTGAACAGCACCAAGCAAAATACCTATTAACAAAAAAGAAGAAGAAGATAGGTTTTAAACATGGGGCAGAGCGATCGAAAGACAGTTCTATAAGTGAGGCCGAACTCACCTCTTTCTCCAAAGATGTCACTCTTGTACTCTTGCTCAAGAGTGGTAGCAAAAGTAAAAGGAGAACCAAGTGCTACTGACCATCCCAGAGCAACATCGGCCGCTCTACCGTCAACATCCTGCAAACAGAAATATCATCAGTGATGAAAAAAGAATGCAGGAGGTCTAATAACTTTCCGCTCTTGAGACGGTTAGAGAGATAGAAAACCTGGTGGACTGCAAAACTGGCGTTGATTCCAGCACCGTTAATTTCTTTCCCTTGGACGTAAAGCCTTCTCACAGAGGGACCCATTCCCTTAGGGCAAACAGCGACCACGCTGATGTTCTTTGGGAAATCAAGTCCCATGGACTGTAAATGCCCTAGAAGAAACCCGTGTGACAAACCGAGAATGCTGTTTGGCTTCATGTGAGAGAATATTTTCTCATAGTTATCAGCCTGCAAAAACAGGATACATTAGAGTCGATTTATATACCTATGGAGCCAAATTTCAAGCTTCTGAAAAAGTACTAACCTGAGCAGCATCAGAGATCAAAAGCAATACAAGATCGCTGCCAGAGATAGTTTCCCATATATCACCCAAAGTACCAGTTTCTTCGGTGAAGCCAACAGCACGTGCCTCCTCAAATGAGCGAGATCCCTTTCTAAGCCCAATCTATGTTTTAGTAAAAAAAACAAAATGAGAAATCAAGTCAGGATATAGCCTTCAAGTAACAGCAGAAAATAAAGATAAAGCTCATAATTATAAAAGTATGAAGCCAACATATCAGTTGAGATTACCTTAACAACGATGTCAGACTTTGCCTCCACAAGTGAATCCCTTAAATTCTGAGCTTGAGCAGGTCCCTGCAAATAGATATAGACTTTAGCACGAAAAATGCAGAAGAGAAAAAGCAGGCCACTTATCTACTCATCTTATATTATTCAAACTCAAACATATCATTAGAATCATGAAAATAAAACACTGCTTTAGTGGTTGATCAATTCATTAACATGAACAATCCAAAGTAAACAAGAGTGATTGTTGAGTTTAAGCTCTATGGAGAACGTGATGTGCATAAACACTACAAACCCCAAGAAGTTGTAACCCAAACAAGAAGCTCAATGATTAGGGACAACACAAACAAAAGAAACATAATAGCTACCTGAGATCCCCAGCCAATCACACCAATCTGCTTAATCCCCTTGAAAGCATCTGGAAGATGCTTGAACAAATCCCTTCCTCCTCTCACAATGTACTAAACAAAGATTACCACACAAAAACAAACAAACATTAGCAACAATAACAATTGGTATACATCAGCCACATGCAAATGATCAACACAAAATAAAATAAAAAAAAGTAAATTCACCACAAATTCGAATAGAAATGAAAAAGGGGGATGATGAAAAGAAACCTCATCGTAACCAGCAAGAGAGACTTTCTCCTTTTTGAAGACAGATGTCTCGAAATCGAGAGAAACAGGGGCCCTGACCGCAGATGACGCAACCATTCGAGCGGAGAGGGAGGATCCAGTGGCGGAACCGATCCCATTTCCAGCGAAGGTGACACTTAGCGACCTCAGAGACTTGGAAGTAGACGAGAGGAAACCGATGCTGGGGAGAGCCAAGGTTCCGGGTTTCGAAGACCGAAGGGTTTTGGATGAAGAAGAAGGAGACGGGCATGAGAGGGAAGGAGCGATGGATGAAGTCGCAGCCGCCATTTTCTCAGTGATGCAAATTGTCTGCGCTAAAGAGAGCTCTCAAATTAGGGTCACACAACACTGAGTGAGGAGAAATAAATAAAGCGCACACAATCTACCTGCTCCACACCACGAAGAGCCAACAAATTAATTAATAAACCAAACAAAAAATACATATGCAATGTAGATTGGTCCATCAATGTGGCCCAAAGCCCATTCTTTATAGCCCAGAAGGCTAAAGTTGACTTACCAGCGGCGGTCGATACACGTGTCTAGTTCCTATGAGGAGTCTTATAAGTCAACATAATGGACAGTCAAGATTTAAAATAGTTAAGAAGATCGGATGGTTTTGAGATCAGCTCAGATCGAAGTACGGTACAACACTAACACCTAACGCTGCGTTTCTTCGTCTTGGCGACTCGAGAGATTTGTGATCACAGTACGGCAAAGACTTGACATTGAAGATTTTACGAGGTGTTTTTGATCGATTAGTCATCTGGATTTTTCTCCTTGGTTTGTGAGATGGATCAAGCTTCGTCTTCCTCGAATGTTGAGGAAAACAAGAAATCTTCCACTGATCCTGTGACCGTCGACGATAACGAGGAGAGAGAAGCTATAGAGATTGCTCTCTTCCAAGTGCCTGAATGCTATGTTTATTTGGTAAATTTCTAGCTTTGATTAGATATAATGAGATGTGTATTTGGTGTTTGTGATGAATCCTGCGTCTTTTATGCTCAAGTTCCGGCCTTTTTAGTATGTTTAGGAGAGGGTTTTGGATCTGATCATAAGTTAGCTAAGTAAATTCAGTCTGGTATAAGAGATTTTTTATAGTGGTATTGAGAACATTATCTTAATCTGCATATGTCAAGTTCATGTCTTCATCACCCTAAATCTTTGTCACAATTTGTGCTGGTTTTAAGTGACGCGTGATCGATTGCATAGTTCACTATTATCACGCAATAGTTTATTCAAAGAAATTTCGTATAGTAAATTGTTATAATTTAACCAATTCAAGGCTCGATGATCTCTTGATGGTGTCTGTGAAATCATATGATCTGTTTCAGATAATTGTGACATAATTATATGTTCATTCCGATACTGTCTGAGATTCCAAATTGGTTGCCTTGAATTCATGAACACTGTGAAAGTGCCGTTATTTAGACAAACTAGAAAATTCCCAAGAGATAAAATGGATAATAGACAACACTGGAGCTTGATGGATTTGTTTTGAATCTTATCATACGGTTTATGTTTTTGTGTATTTGCAGATACCTCCAAGGAAAAGCGCAGCTTCCTACAGGTTCTTTTCTTGCACCTCCATGACAGAAAATGTTCTAAGCCATTCTGATCTGTAGTTAGGAGATTCTTGCCAAATGCTCTTACCTGCTGTTTAGCCAGTGATCAATAACTCGCAACAAACCTTAGCGAACCAATTCTTGAAGTTAGTAGGAATGTTCGCTGAAGCTTAATTTGTATCAAGACAGTCTTTTTTTCTAATTACATTCGATTTTTGTCAAGTCAACTTGTCTTCTTAGGCCAAAGATGCATCGAGTAATCTCCACTATGGAGATAGACATTCGCTGATTACCTTTTATATAATTGATCCGTGCAGAGCAGATGAGTGGGACGTGAACAAATGGGCATGGGAAGGAGCACTGAAAGTGGTGAGCAAAGGAGAAGAGTGCATTATTAAACTTGTAGATAAATCCACAGGGGAGCTTTATGCTCAGGCCTTTCTGCGAGATGGTGAACCTCATCCAGTAGAAGCCGTTATCGACAGTAGCAGGTAACAAAATAAATATAAACATAGAACTTAACTTGCTCTTCTCATGATGGATGTGCAGCAGCTATTCATAACAAAAAAAAGGTTCTGTTTTTGTCTTGTAGATATTTTGTTCTCCGAGTTGAAGAAGAGATAGGTACTTACTGACCATCAAGATGTGAAATTGTATTAGTTGTTTTTGAGTATTGTATACTTATTTGAAGCATTTCAGGTGGTCGTGTTCGACATGCTTTTATTGGAATCGGATTCCGGGAAAGGACTGAAGCATACGATTTCCAAGCAGCACTACATGACCACATGAAGTATCATTCTAACTCCAGTTCTCCAAGTGTACTGAAAGGATTGTTCTGATATCATATATAAATATTATATTTGTGTCTCTGACTTTCTCTTTGCTAAAGGTATTTGAACAAGAAGAAAACAGCAGAAGAAATGGATCAACACTTTCAGAACACTTCATCCGTCGATTACAGCTTAAAGGAAGGAGAAACCATTGTTCTCCAGCTAAAAAATGTGAGATTTACAGTTGTTGTGATACATTTTCCGCAAATTTCTTGTTTTTTCACATCAAATCTATTGAAACAGAGAAGCGATAAAGACGCAAAGCCGAAAATGGTAGAGAAGAGTCTGAGCAATCTCTCGTTGGAGGAAAAGGGCAAGTCGATAGAAACAATTCCGCCAATCATCCTTCCGCCTCCACCTCCTGGACCGCTTTCTCCTGCCACAACCGCTCAGAAGTCCCCATCAAGTCTGCCTCCAAGCCTCAGCCTCCAAAGATCGTCCGAACAACAAGATATGGATACAAAGCGAGAAGAAGTAGAGAAGAAGAAAGAAGACAAAGAAACTAAAGAAATAAGCGTTGAGGATGCACCAGATGATGACTTTGGAGATTTCCAAGCCGCTGGTTAATTTAAACCATAAAATCTTTTTACCATACACAAAGCATCGTTTTATAAGTAATGTGACTGATCAAAGTTTGGATATTGTTTGCTATTGAGAGAGCTCACCTTTTCTGTACAATTGCAAAATACGATACTATTTCTCTGAACTTGTGATTAAACTTTAGTTTCACCACACAGAAGTATGAACATTTCAGGAGAAACGACGAGAAGGAAATAAAAACGAATCTGAATTGCAATTTTACATTCTTAAACTACTGAACAGAGACGAAATTGAGAGTGCTTCTCTGTTCTTCTGCAAATCTATTGCAACCATCAAGAAAAGTGCGCCACACAGGGGCGTCTGCAGGGAAAGGCATTCCACTAATCAGTTGCTCAGCTTCCTTGAGGTAACCATTTCTGGCCAAAAGATCAACGGCACAACGATAATGATCCATTTCTGCTTCAACTCCATAATCTTTCATTTTCCGAAACAACTCCATTCCTTCTTTTACCATGCCACCATGTCTGCAAGCAGTTAACATAGAGATGAAAGAGACACGGTCTGGCTTAAATCCCAGTGATACCATTTCCTTAAACTTTTCAAGCGCTTCATGTCCATATCCATGGATGCCAAGAGACGAAATCAATGCCGTCCATGTGATGAGGTTCTTCTCTCTTGTTTCTTCAAAGACTTTAATCACACTCCTAATGCTTCCGCATTTCCCATACATGTCAATCAATACGTTGCAAACAAATGTGTCTGCGCGGCTGAAATATGTTTTGGTGATGACACCGTGAATAGAACTCCCAAGCGTAAAATCGCAGAACTTTGAGCACACACTCAAGATGCTAACGAATGTGTAATTATCAGGGTGGATGTTTGATTGAAGCATGTGTTTGAAAAGTTCGATAACCTCTCCGTGATTTTCGGAACGAGAGCAAGCCGCAATTGCAATGTTCCAAGATACAGTGTCGGGTTGATCTAGTGTCGAAATCAGCTTCACCGATTCATGGTACTGGCCTGTTCTGCTAAATATTCCGGCGACAATGTTCAACGGGACGACCGAAGATGGCCTGCTAGACCAATCCATCAGAAGAAGAGCATCGCTCATCAGTTGATTCTTGGCGTAGGATCTCATAAGAGAGCTTAACACATAATCATTATCTTCATAGCCCATTCTCACAATAACAGAGTGCATCTGTTGTAACTCTATGACACAACAAGATTTGAGGGCAGTCGAAAGAGTATATTCAGTTGGCCTGAAACCCATTTGAAGCATTTGAAGGAACAAAGAGAGACAAATGGGACCATCTTCATTGGCATAACCCCAAAGCAATGCATTCCAACACACAATGTTCTTATCGTGTATAGAGTCGAAGCATAGGCGGGAATCTTCCAGACTGCCACATTTAGCATAAAAGTCGACCAATGCATTCCCCAAAAACATGTCGGTTTCGCAGCCATTCCTGATTACTGTGCCATGAACCTGGCGTCCGAAACTTAATGTCTGCGTATGAGAAGAGGCGCTAAGAACACTAACGTATGTACCTTCGTTAGGGGAAAACTCATGCTCTGGCATGCTTACAAAGAGTCTGAGTGCTTTTAACGGGTTCTCGCTCTTGGCTGTTGCACCAATTATGGCATTCCATGACACTATATCCCAGGAAACTGCCGCCTCCTCAAACATTCTCTCTGCCATATGTGTGTTGCCACATTTTCCATATGCGCTGATTAGAGAGTTAACGATGGAAATTTCAGAGACTAACCCTTTTTTCATCGCTGAGCAATGCAATTGTTTGCTAGTTTCCAAGTCATTTTCACAGGAAACACTCGACAATACACCCAAGAAAGAGCCTTCAGATAAACACTCCCCCGTCCCAACAAGCTCACGGAAGAGAAACATGCATTCTTTGTGAAAACCACGACGCCCCAACAAAGACATCATATGGTTCCATGTAACCAAGCTCTTCAACGGCATATCTTCGAAAACCTGTTCCGCCATTTCCAGTAACTCAAGCCTCCCATACAAACACAGCAAACGAGTACCTACGAATGCATCAGGCAGAAACAAGCCATACTTCAAGCTCAAACCGTGCAACTGAGTTCCGGCACGAACATCCAACGATGCACATGACAATAAACCACCCACTGTCCACTGATTCGGAAAATATACAAAATTCCTCATCTCAGAGAATACTCCCCAGGCCTTTTCCGCATACCCGCATTTGCTATACCCAGTAATGATCGTATTAAATGACGCTGCGTTTCTTTCAGGCATTTTATCGAACACCTTGGCTGCAAAGGAAACCTCACCAAGCTTTGAATAAAGGCTGATGATGTTGTTGCAGACAAAAACGGGCTGCTTAAGGGTACAGCATAACGTGATGGAGAGCGCGTGAAGAGCTTTGGTCTTTGCAAAGGAAGGAGCTTTTCCGCAGACATTGAGCAAGCTAAGTAGACGGTTGTTGTGATTGGCGAAATCTCCATGGCTGAGGCTCATGCAGGAGGAAACTGAAAACAGAGAACTTCCCAGTCAAAATGCATATAAATACACTTAGAACAGAGCTCAGTCTCAGGCTTTGGAAGCAATTTTTTTTGGTGCTGCGAATAGTACAGCAGGAAGAAAACCTAAGTCAGGTGTCAGGTTCACTAATCTAGCTAAGTGAAGGCACCGACTACAATAGCTCAGTCGCCAAAAGTCGAATTTAAAGTTACCACGATGACGATGACGATGATCGTAGACGATTTTACGAGTGACTGACGTGACGAGTCGCGACCACGAAGAATTATTTAGGGTATTTTTAGCCGGCTGGTTCAATCACATGATCATGGTTTGATTTTGACCGGTCTAGCAGACCAACGTGGTCCTGGTTTAAGTTGAGAATCTTCTCAAGACCCAATTAACCAAACTGCGAAAACACACATACTTAACCAAACTCGGAAAAAAAACTTCTTATGTGGTCATTCTTAAAAAACATGGACACATGTAAAACATTACATGGTATATATAACTGGAGAGAATAGATTACAAGATAATTCTTCTCAAACTGTAGAAAGTATTCTAAAGTATTTTATTTTAAAAATTGGAAAATAGAAAAAAAAAACTATACTTTTAGTTTAGTGTAGCAGACAGCTGTATATTAATTAGAAGAAATCAGAATTGGGTTTTCTCCTCATCTCTTCCAGCTTTCTTTCACATTTTTAGATTATACCTCATATTTTATTTATAACATTGGTTTACATAAATTGTAATACATAAAAAACACACCTCATGAAACCCTGAAGAAAGAACACAGTAAAAAGTAGTTAAGCTTAGACAGATAAACCAAACAGTTTTTTAATCTCATCAGAGGAGATTTTAAGGTCAACCAAAGTCTTCTGCAGAAACTCTTGAACCATCTCTAGATTTACATTCCCTTCCACTATTTCGTTACGCTTCATGGCCTTCAAAGTTGTCCATGTCGTTTTCATCTCAGAGATTAGATTGTTATGCACCATTTTTATGTGAGTCTTCTCTTCCACTGTTAGCTCAATCTTCATTTCATGTATTTTTTTGACGGCTTCAATCAAAACTAACATAAAACAAGTTAAAAAAAAACCAATAAAAAAATTACACTAAAAAGAATGAACAGAGTTTGATTGAGAAATGAAATGTTAATTACCATCATATTGACAGGTCATCTCTGCTCTCACAATCCTATGGAAAAGTTTTACACGCTCACTCATCGTCGTCATCGATGTTAGTTATCCAGTAGTCACATCCTCTTTTTTTAACTAGTTAAGTTATATATAGAGATTGCTTAAAGCTCAAAGCTTGGTATTGTTTGTTTTCCCTTAATTAGTATAAAAATTATATTCTTAACAGTTGTCTAAATTTGATATAAAAATAAATAAAAATTATTCAGACCGAATTGAACCGAATCAAACCATCATATATCCAAAAATTAACCAAATCAAAAAGGAACAAAAGTTATGTTTTACATTTTTAAATTAAGCAAACCGGATTAAAAACTGAACTTAGTCAAACCAAACCAAAGGCTCAAACCAAGCTTTTGCATATATAGATTAGATACATTTGTAGTATATATTCACAATTATAGTAATGATTGTATATATTATATGTATAAGGGAAATATCTTAAAATGATAATTATCATTGTTACCATTTAATTTATTTTTAGAATTCAGAATTAGCTAAGCAATCAATAGATGACAGGTGGAGATTTTCTTCATTCCGGATACGGAAGCTTCCAGTGTCGAGAGCTGGGCAAATTATCCATTAGATTTGATTTGATCCGCTATTTGCTTTGATTCGATTCAAAAAATCTGGATATCCATAGTTTTACGGAGCAAGACAAATATTAAACTTTGATATTCGTTAAAAACAAAACAAATCACAGATATTAAAATTTTAAGAGCTGAATATCTGATATATATATATATTAATAATTACATATATAATATATAGTTATATATTTATATGTAAGATTTTGTGAATTTATATTTATTTTATAGTTATTTTAATACAAAAATTTAATAAATTTAAAAAAAACAACTTAAAATTTAATATATAAGTTAATTTTTGAATTTTTAATTATTTTTATAAATATTTTAGTTATTTTATAATTAATTTAATATTTTTGAAACAGATCGGTTATTCGGTTAAAAATCCAAATTTTAACGGATAAAAAAATTAGCTGATCACGGATATCCGTTTTGTGCCCAGCCAACACGAAAGAAGATGAGAGAAAGCGAGTGCGTCTCAATGCTACTTGCAAGTGTTTCGACACTTTACGCCGCATTATAATGTTTTCGTACGACAAAACATCTTTGCCATCGCCCGTGGAACATAGCCGACATGGCGACATTCCATTGGGACACAAAGTAAAACTAGTAGACTATGTCACTGTCAAATCTCACGGACCATAACCCCCTTTTCCCCCTCGAACTTGAGATCTCTCTCCGACCAGTTTGCGTAGTTTTAGTTATGATCTGCATAAAATATTTGGAAGACATCAAATATAATATCGATTATCGAGCGCCAACATTTAATTCTTAATTAACCACATTTTAACGTTTAAGTTTCATTTGTGTAATATGAAATTCTATTAATGTTTAGAGGAATCGACGAAGCATATTAAAACTATATGATTAAATCATTTTGTAACACTTGCTTGTTAACAGAATAAAAGATCTGTTAATTTTTTTCTTTGGTTATGTATATGAGAAAAATAGAACGTGTGTACACGCACTCTCATTCATCGACGGTTTTGATTTGGCAAGGCTACATAAATCATCAATCTTGATTTAATTTCTAATTTCTTATGGTTAAATTTTCAGCGCTAAAACCAAAATTTTTGAAAGCTATATAATTAACAACACAAAAATACAACGATCATTTATTACAGATTCCTAATATTGTTTTGTGGTTTGGTCTCTATAGGCTAAAGCCAATATTTATTCATTTCTTTACTATTGATCCCACCACTCTCAAGTCTTAAAAAAAAAAAAAAAAAATCCTTCATTGATTTTTTCCATTTTCAGCGAAAGAATCGATCCTTAGAACTTTTCTCACAAAGATCCATCTCCACATCTCGCTTATAGATTTTCTCGATTAATATATCTTCTTTTCATTTTAACTTTTTTTTGTTCGGGATCCAAGTTGGTTACTTAAATTCTACGGAGACGATATCTAGGGTTTCGGGGAGTTTTTTTTGTCGACGACGAAGCTCTGACTGGTTTTTAGGTGAAAGTAAATGGTGGATCAGCCTACCGTCGAGCCTATTTCATTTGGATTCCCACGAGAATATACGGCTAATCAAGGCGTTGATTCGATTATCTGCTTAGTGTTGGAGTGCTTCCACAGCCACCGTGTGACGGAAAAGCAATGCTGGGCGTGATCCGAGTGCATCTACCTTCCGAAATTCCGATTGTGGGCTGTGAATTGACCCCTTACGTCCTTGTTCGCCGCCCGGATAAGACCGCCGCCACTGACGATGTCCCGGAATCGGCTCCTCTCGAAGGTTACTTCTTGAGATACAGATGGTAAAGCTACTCCTGATTTCTGCGCGGATTGGCCTCTTTCTCTGATTGCTTGATCCTTTCTCGATTTGGGGTTTAGTCAAAGTTTCAAATTTGATCTGAATTCATAGAGGATTTTAGCTAGTTCGAAGTTATGTTATTTAGTTTGGCGATTTAGGATGATTATGTTTCTTTTTAGGTTTGATCTCATTTCTTTCGTCTTTTTTTTACCTTTTTTTGGTAGGTATCGTGTACAGAGCGACAAGAAAGTAACGATTTGTAGTGTGCATCCAACGGAACAAGCCACCTTGCAATGCGTGTTCTGCTCAAAGCGTAGAGCCCTCGTCGCGAAAAGCTACCACTGTTCTCCGAAATGCTTTACAGACGCGTGGCAGCATCACAGGACGTTGCACGAGCGAGCTGCCGCGGAGAACGGAAACGAGGAAGATGAGCTAGTCCGGTTTAATAGCGCCGGTTCGGGAGCTCTCGCCGGTAGCTTATCCGGTTCAATGTCAAATCTCAACCTCCCCAACAATGGTCCAACGCCGTTTTATCCTTCTAATGTTACTCAGAAAAACGGAGGAGAGACGCTAATCGAGGTTGGGGGTTGCAAAACATACACACCAACAGCTGATGATATTGGCTATGTTTTGAAGTTCGAGTGTGTTGTGGCTAATGCAGAGACTAAACAGTTTGTGGGACATCCTAGTACCATTTTGACTTCACGTGTTATCCCTGCTCCTTCTCCAAGCCCACGTAAGCTTATCCCTCTCAATGGAGCTGATGTGATGGGTCACTTAGATCAAGATGGTCGGGTTCAGTCTGCAGGATCATTCACTGTTCTCTCGTATAATATTTTGTCTGATACTTCTGCAAGTAGCGACCACTACAGTTACTGCCCTCCTTGGGCTCTTTCTTGGCCATACCGCAGACAGAATTTATTGAGGGAGATTGTTGGTTATCGTGCTGATGTAGTTTGCCTTCAAGAGGTATGTTTTTTTGGTAAAGATTTCGTTTCAAACCAGAAGGATACCAGTTTGAGCATTTTTTATATGTGGCAGGTACAAAGTGATCATTTCCATGAAATTTTCGCTCCTGAGTTGGATAAGCATGGGTATCAAGCTCTCTACAAGAGGAAGACTAATGAGGTTGGTCATTGATTCAACACACACTCTTTGTGTAGTGATGTATGCTGCAAAGTCTCTTAGCCATAACTTGCTCGTTGTTAGGTTCTCAGCGGGAGTACAAGTGCGATTGACGGATGTGCAACATTTTTCCGTCGGGATAGATTTTCACATGTCAAGAAATATGATGTTGGTATCTGTTCTATATGTTTACTCCCTCTGTCTATTTAGTTCCACATACTAATTCATGGGACTGTTAATCCAGGTTGAATTCAACAAGGCTGCTCAGTCTTTGACTGAGGCTCTAATCCCTAATTCGCAGAGGAGAACTGCTTTAAACCGACTAGTTAAGGTATTTTTTTGACATGCTATGCGTTTTTAAGGTCACAGCTGATTATTAGAGAGTTATTTTTATACATCACTGATTCTGGTGATTGTTATGTCGTAGGATAACATTGCGTTGATAGTTGTTCTCGAAGCTAAATTTGGTAATCAACCCACTGATCCTTCTGGGAAGCGCCAGCTTATTTGTGTGGTAAACTTTCCTAACTTCTTCCTATTCATTTGTCTGTTATTAAGAAGACTGTTCTCATAAGATCCGGGCTAATTTTCTCGTTTTGTTGCTGTAACTTGTTGGAGTTTAGGCAAACACACATGTGAATGTTCAACAAGAACTGAAGGACGTGAAGCTCTGGCAGGTATGTGTGTATCTCTCTATCTTAACGAACTCCAAAATTTTATTGAACTCAAGAGAATTAGTATTCACACCTCAGTATCTGTTGTTATTTCGTTTGAGTTTAGGTTCACACCTTATTAAAGGGGCTGGAGAAAATAGCTGCTAGTGCCGATATTCCCATGCTTGTCTGTGGAGACTTCAACACGCTTCCCGGGAGGTATTCTTTATTCTTCTGAACCTGATGCATCAAATTCAGTAATCTCTTAATGATTGTTAGTGTTAGAAAGCTAAAGCTCTGCCTTGGGAATTGTTATTACAGTGCTGCTCATTCACTTCTTGTAATGGGAAAGGTTGATCCATCGCACCCAGATTTGTTGGTTGATCCCCTTGGTATCCTGCGTCCTCATACCAAACTGTGTCATCAATTGCCTCTGGTAACATTTTCTTTTTCCCCTAATAGATTAAACTTATATTCTCTTTTTTGTGTGTGTGTGTGCTGCCTCTCTTGATAAGTGAAAATCGGTTTCAGGTGAGTGCGTACTCAGCGTTTGGGAGAATCTCAGGTATTGGATCGGAACAACACAGAAGGAAAATGGATCTTAATACAAATGAGCCTTTGTTTACCAATTACACAAGGGACTTCCTTGGCACTCATGACTACATATTTTACACAGGTTTCACCATTTTTTAGCTCCCCTGGATTTCTTCTACCACGTCAAGAAATGACAAGTTAACTAAAAACCGGATGATTATGTTTTATTGTTTTGGGGTTTCAGCGGATACGTTAATGGTAGAATCTTTATTGGAATTGTTGGATGAAGATGGATTGAGAAAGGACACAGCTCTTCCTTCTCCGGAATGGTCTTCTAATCACATTGCACTCTTAGCTGAATTTCGATGCATGCCTAGGACCAGACGCTAACCGCCTCCACCTCCATTCACCATTGCAATCTCTTACAGATAGGTTTTTTTGGTTTCCGGTTTTTACTCATCGGATTATGACAAAACCTCTACCAAAATATGTGATAGAGATGACACAAAGGTGGTTCTGATCCAAAAGTAAGGCAGATCACTTTCTGAAGTTGGTCATTATTCTTTATAATGACCTCTGTGTGGCTTTGTCTAACCCTCTTTTTTGTTTATTTATCATTTTGATCGTTAGTTTAGATAAACCCTTGTTGCTTTTTTTTTTCTCTCTCCTTTCAATTTAATAAAGGTATGGTATTAGATCAATTTAATGTAAAACATGCCTTATAAGACTTGAACTCATGAAAATAATACTAGACTAAAAGAGTTTTCTTTTTTCATAGTGACCATGTGAAGATTCATGTCTACATAATCATTTAAAGAGCAAACTTACACATCGATGCCCTCTATTAATAAAACAATAGAGATAAGTAAGAGAGAACATAATCGGTTCTTGAAGTAAAAAGCTTAGTCCCAGGCACTAGCCACTCCAGACCCATACCCTTGGCTCGGAACGTTTCCATATCCTCCACCATAGTAAGCACCACCGCCTCTTCCATAAGGTACATAACCTCCACCAGGAACGGTTCCATATCCACCACCTGGTACAGTTCCATACCCACCAGGCATTGCTCCATACCCACCACCGGGAACGCCTCCATACCCACCACCACCACCATAGTAGTCACCACCGCCTCGGCCAAACGATTCTCTCCTGAAGTCACGCCCACCAAACCGCCCACCAGACCGCCGGTTCTTACCACCTCCATATGAAGAACGAGATGCGTATCGAGTCAGCCAGTCAGGGACCTCCTGGTTTGCTTCTTGCATTAGCTCAGCGAGTGGCTTGGCCATCGATGTGTTGTTGTCGTTGAAGAAAGCAGTTGCTAGTCCTGAATTGCCTGCACGTCCTGTTCGTCCAATACGGTGGACATAGTCATCGATGTCGTTTGGTAGATCAAAGTTCACTACGTGAGCCACGTGTGGAATGTCAAGACCACGTGCTGCCACATCGGTTGCGACCAAAATAGGTGTTCGACCAGTCTTGAATGACCTCAGTGCCACTTCTCTTTCCTGGTATGCATAAACAACACAATACGATTTTAGCTTTGCCTGGACCTGAGATATACTCTCTTTTTGATATTAACAACTCACTAACATGTTGCGATCTATCACCGTGGATGGTCGTTGCTGGGAATCCATTGATGCACAACCAATTCTCCAAAGAGTCAGCTCCCTTCTTTGTCTCCACAAAAACTAGAGTCAACGCTTGCTGTAGAATAAAATAAACAGGATCGTCAAGGTGCTCTTGAACCGCAATGCATCACATTGAGCAAAGAGACAATGAAACAAAACCGTGAAACCGAAAGGAGCACTAGTATTGACTTCTCCTTTTTATTTTTTGGGGTCAAATTTCGCTAGTATTGACTATGTTCATTTTTAACCAAGAAACCAATCACATTGGTTATGCATTACCTTTCCTTGGTTACCATTCTCCCTCTGAGCATGAAGAAGGTCCATCAGATGGCTTCTCTTGTCAGAATCGTGGACAAACTCTACTCTTTGGACAATTAAATCCGTACTTGAACCCACTCTTCCAACAGCCAGAAATATGTAGTTGGAAAGAAAATCAGATGCAAGTCTCTGCACACAAAAATAAAATAAAAATTATGCGCATAAAGAGTGGAGAAGATTCATTTCCTGCACAGTACGTAGCTTCTATCTTGTCCCTGTGATTCTAAGAGCCAAATTTTGCAAGTCCTAACTAAAAATCAACAAGTAAACATTCCATTTAAATATCAAACTAATTGCACAAGTTACGGCTAAGTTCCCATTCAGATTTACCCAAGTTTTTAAAAGAACAGTAACTCTATCAACAAGTTTACTGGAGACCCGAAAGTCGCCGCAACTAAAACAGTGTCAGTGTCATAACAGTGAAGATACAAGATCGAATTAGCTAAATTTCTGCTCTAGTAAGGAGAAAACGACATGTGAAAGAGTTCCACAAACCTGTATCTCCCTAGGAAATGTAGCACTGAACAACATTGTCTGCCTAGCACCAGGAGGAGGCATGTCCATCTGCTGAACGATCTTCCTGATTTGTGGTTCAAAACCCATGTCCAGCATCCTGTCCGCCTCATCAAGTGCTAAGTATTTTACCATCTGCAGTGAGACTCTACCTCTCTCAAGCAAATCATTTAATCTCCCAGGAGTTGCAACAAGAATATCAACTCCTCTTTCAAGCTCCCTAATCTGTTAGAAAGCAAAACAAGAACAAGTTAGCAAGATCACCAGACTTACTATCATGAAATATACAATAGCTTTTCATTTGAAGGATACAATAGCTAATTATCATACACCCGCGTATATACAGTAGGAGTTCCAGTAAAAGCTAAAGCAACTGTCAGAACAAAATTTAACAAGGCGCAGTGGAAACTCTAATATAATTACAGCCTAGAAAGGAACACGAAATCTCTCTTTCTTTCTCACACATTGAGTGTATGAGACGCGGAAAATGAAGCAATTATCAAACAGTACAGAAACCTGTTGGTTGACTGGTGTTCCTCCATAAGCAACCACAACTTTCACACCAGTTTGATAGGAGAACTTTCTGGCTTCATCATGTATCTGCCAAAAAAATCATAAAACAGACATATTTTTTTTTTCATGAAATCTTAAGAATGCACATAGACATTGATATATAAGAGCAGTGATTCAGACCTGGCATGCCAACTCTCTTGTTGGTGAGAGAATGACAGCTAGAGGATAGACTCCCCGTACTCCACGTGGTCTCTCAACATGCTGCTCCTTCATAATCCCACTAATAATCGGAAAACAAAAGGCAGCTGTCTTGCCCGACCCTGTCTGAGCACAAGCCATCAAATCCCTCCCAGAAGCCAATATGGGAATTGCATTACGCTGCACAGGGGTCGGCTTCACGTATTTGCACCTCTGAATATTCAGATTCAGGGCCTCTCCAAGGTCGATCTCAGCAAATGTGTTAACAGGAGGCGGCACATTATCCCCACTCGTCTCGATGGGAATATCTTCATAGGCCTCAAAGTTAATGACTGTGTTCTCCTGCTCGTTAACAACCGCGTCTGCATTTCCATCGTTACCAAACGGGTTAGTTTCAGTATCCCTACGGTCCCAACCTCCACTTCTGTTATTACAACCGCCACCTCCTCCTCCTCTACCAGCATAGCTTTGGCCTCGACCACCATAGCTTTGGCCTCGACCACCATAACCACTATGTGCACCACCATATCCCACACGATCATTACCATGCGTAGGAGCAGCAAAATCCGAAGATGGTGTCCGGGTCCTGAGATGCGGAGGAACATAGTTGGTTCGTGACGGACGAGAGTTTCCGTAACCCCAGCCAGATGGTGCCCTCTCCGATTCAGAAACATCAGCCCATGATGAACTCATAACTGCAAATCAAAAGTTCTCAGAAAGAAGAACTGGTTTTGTTTTTTTTTTCAGAAGACTAAACGAATTTCCAATCTCTTTGCTCTTCGATTCTGAGTAGATCAAAGTCCCTGGAGATCGCAATAAAACTTCAGTTAGAACAAGTTCGTTTTCCAGAAAGCTGCAGCTTTGCATGTAGGAAATAAGAAAGAGTCATCAAATACAAATGCGGATCGATTGAAGAGAGAAAATGTGTTTAGAAGAATCGAAAAACCTCAGCTAATCGAATACGACAATAAATCAAACCATAGAAGGTCGCGTAACAAACACAATCACGACGAACTAACACAAAGCCGAGAAGAATCATTTCCTAAAACGAACAAATGCACAAATCACTAAACCCTAGAAGCAAAAGGAAATCGAACAGGACATCGCTTCACAGATGGAACAAAACCATGCACAGAGAGATAAAGCCCAGACCTTGCGAAACTCGAATGGAAAGAGAATCTAGATCAAGGATCAGTGGTGTGTACGGAAAATCTCTAGGATAATAAACCCCAATTTTTCCTTCTTCTCGCGATCGCACACGAAGCAATGAAACAAGGTTTCTGGGAAATGTGAGCAAAAGAGAAAAGATGAAGAGATATTTGTAATTCGATGAACTTTATTATTTCCAAGATTTCTCGTTAATTCAAGATTGTTTGCCGTTTCCCGATGAAGAAAAGCGTGCCGGCGTAGTTGTAACGACGCAAACTGTGTGCCGTCATTAATTATCTTAGCGCGTGATGATAACGTCGACCAAGGATAGGACAGAGACGAATATTTATTCTGGTCTGGACAAAAAGTAATTACTGACAAATTTAGAAATTAATAGCCAAAAAAGTATTACCAGCTTATTTTAAAACAAAATGTCCATATCTTCCAAGTCTTTGCTGGAAAAAAAGAAAGTAATTTATAATTTTCATTGAAAAGAGTCTGTGCTATCATTTTCTTTTAAAAGTATCCTAAACTCTCTCTCTCAAAATATTTCTAGAAACTCATTAATTTCTGGCAAACCAACATTGGAATGAAAATAAAAGAATAACACACATTTCCAAATCATAACGCGATATTTATACTCCAATATTTAAAAAAAACTAATAGATCATTTTTATTTTTATTTAACATTTTATGACATAGTCGTAATCGTAAACAATGATACAGTAGGTCTTTTGTACATGCGTGTATAAAAAATAGTAGTCAGCAGCCTTTCGTCCATTGTGAAAATAAAAATACAGCGTATTGGTTTGTCCGAAATTATACTCTCTTTTTTTTTCCTTTTCTTTTTTTCTCGTAGCGAAACAATCGATCCCACTCTTCTTCGTCTTCGATTCAATTTCTAGGGGTTTTCATCATTTCTGGGTATTAAATTGGGGTTTGGAGAAATTTTGCTGCAGAAAAAATTGGGCGTAATCTAGGGTTCTGTGATAATTAGGGTTCATCAAATGATTGTGGGTTTTAGGGTCAAGTAAATGGCGGATCCCTAGTGGATCCGCTTAATCTCCTTTGCTCTCCTGTGTCAAAAAGCCTCAGCCTTTGGGATTCGTTAGTGTTGAATTGCTTTGTGAATTAAAGTTAGTTACGGAAAAGCAATGCTTAGCGTCATACGAGTGCATCTACCGTCGGAGATACCTATTGTTGGCTGCGAACTTACCCCTTACGTGCTTCTCCGGCGACCGGATAAGATCGCCACCACCGACGATGTCCCTGAGTCAGCCCCGCTTGAAGGCCACTTCTTGAAATACAGATGGTAAGTTATGCCAATGTCTTTCTCTCACTCAAATCAAAGTTCGTTCTTTTTTGGGCAAACTTGAGTCTTTAGATTCTGTAATTGAGATGCATTCGATTTTTTCAGGTATCGGGTCCAGAGTGATAAGAAAGTTGCCATTTGTAGTGTGCATCCATCGGAGGTGGCCACGTTGCAGTGTATGGGCTGTCTAAAGTCAAAGGTTCCGGTCACCAAAAGCTACCACTGTTCAACCAAGTGCTTCTCAGATGCTTGGCAGCATCACCGTGTGTTGCACGAGCGTGCCGCTAGTGCTGCCGCGGAAGTAAACGATGAAGAAGAGCTGCTCCGTCTGAACAGTTCAGGCTCAGGCTCTGGCCTTCTCAGCGCCGCTACTGGCTTAGCAAACGGAGCACCTTCAGTTTATCCCTCGGTCATTACCCAAAAGACAGGCGCGGGAGGGGAAACACTTGTGGAGGTTGGACGCTCTAAGACGTACACACCAATGGCTGACGATGTTGGCCATGTTCTGAAGTTTGAGTGTGTAGTGGTCAATGCCGAGACGAAACAGAACGTGGGCCATTCTTGTACCATATTGACTTCCCGTGTTATTCCAGCTCCATCGCCTTCTCCGCGTAGGATGATCCCTGTGAGTGGAGCTGATGTTATCGGGCACCCGGATTCTAATGGCCGAGCTTTGTCCATGGGATCATTCACTGTGCTGTCCTATAATATATTGGCTGATACGTATGCTAGTAGCGAGTTATACAGCTACTGCCCCACATGGGCTCTTTCGTGGACATACCGTAGACAGAATTTATTACGGGAGATTGTTAAGTACCATGCGGATATAGTTTGTCTACAGGAGGTATGTTATAGTTTTCTGAAGAAGTGTTAAAACGATGCAATTGCTTTTGGAGTAATTACGAACAAGTACACTCGTTATAGAGAAACACCTCTCAAATGATTTTCCTTTTTTTCATCTTTCAGGTACAGAATGATCATTTTGATGAGTTTTTCGCTCCTGAGCTGGATAAGCACGGATACCAAGCTCTTTTCAAAAGGAAAACAAATGAGGTTTGTTTGGATTCCTCCTCTTGATTCCCTGCTTACTTATGTGGCAATAATGTACTGACCAGAACATATTGATTCACTCGGTAATCTTAGGTTTTCGTCGGTAATACAAACTCAATTGATGGATGTGCTACTTTTTTCCGAAGAGACAGGTTTTCTCATGTTAAAAAATATGAGGTAGGTCTTAGTTTCCCGCTTTAGTACTTGTACGGTTGTACCTTTTTAGGGCCTTTTACTAAGTCATCAAGCTGCACATCCAGGTTGAGTTCAATAAGGCTGCCCAATCTCTGACTGAGGCTTTTATTCCTCTTTCCCAAAAGAAAGTTGCTCTGAATCGACTGGTTAAGGTATTCAAAGATGTTCGACTGCGAAATTTCGTTTCAACACATTCTCTGTGTTTAATCTTCATGTAAAACTGATATAGATTCTTTCTTTTTTAGGACAATGTTGCATTAATAGTCGTCCTGGAAGCAAAATTCGGTAACCAGGCTGCTGAGATTCCTGGGAAGCGCCAGCTTCTCTGTGTGGTGAGTTTGCCATCTCTTTAATGCTGCTATTTTTTTTTTTTTTTTTTTTTTTTTGTAAGAGATGGTTCTAAAGATGAAGTTTTGTTCTCCCACCTTCTCTTCTGCGTTAAAGGTTTCGTGGTGATCATTTTATTTATTTGATGAATGCAGGCTAACACGCATGTAAACGTTTCTCATGAACTGAAGGATGTAAAGCTCTGGCAGGTTTGATCATTGTATTTCTAATTGCAAAAAAACTTGCAGATTTTTCGGATTCTAGCATCACTTACTAATCCATATTTTTTGGTTCTTGCTCGAAACAGGTTCACACATTATTGAAGGGACTAGAGAAAATAGCTGCCAGTGCAGATATTCCAATGCTTGTGTGTGGAGATTTCAATACAATACCAGCAAGGTGTGTTATGATGCCTAAATTGCAAAAAATATCAAAATCTAGATCAGATTATGATTCTGGTCTCTAGTCGTATTAACTAAAGAGTTTCTTCCGAATATTTTCAGTGCTCCTCATGCACTTCTTGCTATGGGGAAGGTTAATCCTATGCACCCAGATTTGGCGGTTGATCCTCTTGGAATCTTGCGTCCTCACACCAAGCTAAGCCATCAGCTGCCATTGGTATATTTTCCTTTCTCAGTGAAACTACTTAAAAAAGCTTTAGAATTGCAACATATGCATAATCATCTCATCTCTTGAGCAATGCAGGTTAGTGCTTACTCAGCCTTTGCAAGAATGGCAGGCAGTGTTACTGCTGAGCAGCAAAGAAGAAGAATGGATCCTGCTTCAAATGAACCGTTGTTTACCAACTACACCAGGGACTTTTTAGGCACACTTGATTACATATTTTACACAGGTTCGTAGCCATTATTAGCCAATGCCTGCTAATTTGCAACTCAGATTATTTTTCATCTTGTAAAAAACATTTTGCTTCTTTTTTTGGTTGGTTTCAGCGGATACGCTAACAGTGGAATCGTTATTGGAACTGCTGGATGAAGAGAGCTTGAGGAAGGACACGGCTCTCCCATCTCCAGAATGGTCTTCTGATCACATTGCACTCTTGGCTGAGTTTCGCTGCATGCCGAAGGCCAGACGCTGATGCTGCAAACTCACTGATGAAGCATATATTTTAATGGAGGTACCATAAGCTGTAACCGGTACGTTAAAGATGGTCCAGATGGAGATGATTAAGCTACATGAGGTAGATCCCGTGGCCATGTACTCCCAGGGTTTTCTCCTTCTGGGATCTTCTTCGCTTGCGTTCTACTCTATATCATAGTTATTTCCTTTCCCCTCACTGTAACAAGTATGATCACTTTGTTGTTCGTTGTTTTTCTTCTTATAGTTATTCCTCTGTGCGGGTAGATTTTTTCCTTTCATGGCTTGTCATTATAACAATGTAAACTTTCGATTCTTCAAGAAAATAGTGGCTTCAGTTTATAGTCACTTCACTTGAGGACAAAATCTGTCTGTAGCTCATTTTTAAATGACTCTTAAGTCTGTATGTTAGCTATCGCTGCTCAACACTCTTTCCTTGTGGATATCTTGCAGTGATTGTGAAAACGCTCTGTGAACAACTTTTATATATTTATTATGTAATACTCCAATAACTGCAGAAGATTCAAAACTCAAATTTCAATTCAGACAAGGGACATGTCAACTAGTAGCCATTCTTTAAACATTTTAATCAAGTTTCTTGCAGAATTAGACTTCTGATTATCCAAGTTGAGGGAAACATATGTGAACGACAAAGTATTCTGTAATTATAAGTTTATAAAAAGGCATATTGAGTTCTTTGTAGCATAAACCGGTAATTAGATTCATGGGTCACAATCATAATCGACAAATGCTGGCTCTATGCATAACAGTAGCGATAATGTTTCTTGGTGTGAGATCAGAACTAAATCAGGACATAAAAGGATGTCAAGATTCCATGTCTGATCTCTACTCTTGTCTTCCTTTTGTCACTAGCAAAGCTAAAGCTCCAGACTCAACATGTTGCACCACACTCAAGGAAAAATTAGACAAAGGGCATACCAAGAAATGTCTATGTATTCTTGTCAAAGACAGGGATGATCCTGGTTTAGGGTTCAAAGTTGACGGCAATCGTGCAATGAGCCTCCCTTCCACTTGTCATGTCCCTGCAAATATCTCACAATGCCCAGGTGAGAAATTTCATACCCAAATCTCTTCTACAATATTTTCTTGAAATATATAAAGATAATTTAACAGCTAGCTTTACATGGTCACAAAAAATATTAGATCTTTCTCATTATTTCATTTTTTTGCAAGAAGAGCTTCTACATTTGCCTCCAGATTCACTAGACGCTCAGATTTTTAAGCAATTCACTGAATCCTCTCAGAATGCTGGACCTAGAGGTACTAATATTACTCATTTTACAGTTTCAATTCTACTCGTGAAAACCCTTGTTCATCCCGTTTCAAGAAAAAATAACAAACAAACAAAAATACTGCAGCAGTCTCCATAGGTTCAAGCGTTAAAGGAAGAGATAAGAAGCAATTTGGTCTAGTGATTGCTGGAGCTTTCTCAGTATGGTACTTAGTGTAATCCTTTGTTATGCAAGTTGATAATTACAACCAAAACGGCTATACGAGTCATACCTATCAGTTGTGGATGTACTATGGCTTGTTAATAAAACATATATGTAACACTAAAGCATCTGATTAAAATACTATGTGAATGTAAGTAGTATAACTAAGGAGAATCCTCATATGGAGCCACTTGCCTTTAGTAAGGCGCTTGATATTTGTTGATAGTCCTGGAGTAATGAGCAAACTAGCTGTGTACTTTGAAGCATGTCAGATAAGGGAACATCTGAAGCAATTCTTCACGGCTTCGTCTCTGCGTAATTAATCATGCGGTTAACATTAGGTAAAGAAGTCTTAGTCTCGAGCATCACCACAAAGTAGAAACTGTATGTTATAGAAAATGGAAAACAAAAATTGAAAATCTTCATAGTACACACCTTAATGCCGATGCAGCCATTGACATCAAGAGTGGTGAGTGTAACAGAGCAGGTCTGCGAAAGAGCCTCCAGACATCTATCAGTCACCCCAACTATTCCAAACAAGCTGCAATTTGTATTTTTTGTTTTTGTTTTTCAGTCAAATGGTGTCAGCAAAAAGACTCATTAACAAATCAAAACAAATAGTTCTAGAAATGGAGTCAGTACCTGAGAAATTCGAGGGAGGTACAACTATTAGCAATGGTAATCACACCAGCATCTGTGATACGAACACACCTGCCATGTTTAAGAAGCATTTTCATTAAAGCATGTGGAATGAAGACGCAGCTTTTTGCTCATTATCTTTCTTGTAGACTAGCTTACCATGTCAAGTTGAGAGACTCTAGCTTCTTGCACTTAGCTATATGGCCAAGCCCTTCATCAGATAAATTCTGACAACCAAAGTCGCACTCTTAGTTACAGATTATATCGAAATAAGAAAAACATATTAATGTCTCTAATATGTGCTATGGAATTGGTAGCAATCGAATACTTATTCCTTAGTTATGTTCTACAAGCCAGTGAGAGATAACTCGAATAAACCTATTCCACTACAAAAGACTCAAATGAATTGGGATTCACCAAGTAATACCTGAGCACCACATAGATCTAAGAACCTTAGATCAGCCAAAAGTGATATCTTCTTGTAGGCTTTGTCTGTGAAACTGCAAGAATTGCAATATCGGTTCCAGAATTTAAAACAGCTAGACTGTCAAAACAGCAAGAGACAAATATAATTTTTCTTCTCATATACCTTGAAAGAGCATAGAGATTTAATGTCTGGAGAGAAGAACACTTCTGTAGCACTCGAAGTAATCCATCATCCGTGATCTTAACACACCTGACAACATCATAACAACAAGACCAAACACCGGAAGTATTCAAATAACAATGTAGCCTTACAGATCATGCTTCCATCTTTGCAAGTTTGCAACAACCGAAAAGTGAAGAATGACATTATCCAACAATGTTATTGAGAAGTAAGACTTTTTAACGTAGTTAAGTTACCTAGTGATATTTAATGACTCTAAGTCTTGATAACTTTCAGCTACTAGCTGCATACTTTTGTCGGTTAGGCTCTGCATCAATTGGTGCACATCCAAATCAAATCAAATTCATCATCCAATACAAACAGAGAACATAGGAGAGAAAGAGGTTTCCATGGATGTATAACATTGCCATAATTACAGCTATTCATCAGGAATAAAACTTCAAGAATCAAGATTAAGATACCTTGCAGCCACTTATGTTCAAATCAATGATAAGTCTGCAACTCTTCACTAGATGTCTGATGGCAGCATCGGTCACCCTGTGAAATAATATCTAGCATTAGACTCGTCTGAGGAGATAGAATCAAGAAGTGTGACACAAATGAGCCAGACAGAGTATCAACCTCACGTTCCAGTAGATAGAGAACACTTTTAACTTGGGACAGATGCTAGTTATAGCTTCGATTCCGCTGTCCGAAATCTTCTGGCACCCATTCAGATTCAAGCATTCTAAACTTGAAAGAGCATCCTGGCACTGAAATGTTCATACAGAACCCAATACCAATGGTTAGAAAGATCCATTTAGTCAGGAATATTATTGAATTCAATGAATATCCAGAAAACATTAAGCCGCATGTATTTACTGGTAGAATCTGCGAGTTACCTGGCTTTTCACAAGTTTAAGATGACTGTCATCGATACCCTGGGAAAATTCAAGATTGATATGCTTCACTTGACGATATCTTGGCTGCAAAATTGGAAGCACAGTGAGTCGCTTCGGCTCAAACTTTCCAAACACTCACAATAAGAATTCGATGAATTCCACCAAAATCCAGTATCAAAGTATGAAACTTGTAATTTTAACTAACCAAGGACAGAGCAGCTAAAAGCCGATCCCCTGCATTGGTCATCTCGCGCAATTCGATGTTCTGAAGGAGACCAATCAACATTCATATCAGATTACTACGGAGAAATTGAAAACTTGGAAAGACCTGAGAAGAAATCCAGCTTTGTTTACCAGCCAGATTGAAGGGTAAGAGACGAGGGTACGATAGAGCCAAGGACTAACGAGAAGCAGAGAAATTAGATCTCTCTGAGGCAATCTCGTGCTCACTATCCTCATCACACTTGTTACTATCTCTCTCCTCCATGTCTCTTCTTCCTCTTCTGTCACTTTCTTCGCTTCCATGATTCTCAATCCAAATTGTGCGAATTTTTCTACCAATCGGTCCCAAGACTAGAACAGAGGAGCACGAAACAGCAAACAAGCTTGCACCTTTAAACGAGTCAAGTCTTCCCGAGCCGCGAGTCGAGTCTCGACGAGTTGGAACTTCTCTGTTTCCGCAAATTTGGTTTTACCGCCGACAAAAGTTGAAGCTTTAGGTTGTCTGTAAAAACATAACGCGAAGCCATTTAAAAGGGCCTACCTTTACTAGTTTACGGTAGAGTGTGGGCCCATATGGTTAGAAGTCTACAATTCGTTCAGGAATTACGTCGAACACCTTGTCTGATAGACTCTTCCCCTTGCGTTTCACTATCCTTTCAGTGACATAAGCCTTGATGAAAACCCGTGAGAACACTAAACCCTAAACCCATTTCGCACTTTAAGTTGCGGATCATTCGCATTTAGATCGTGAAGACTGCAAACGTTCTATAAAGATGTTCGTCAAGTCCCAAAGCTTTCTCTTTTCAGTGAGCAAGCTGTTTCATCAGCATCAGCATCAACAATGGCGAGAAATGGGTGGAATGACAAAGGTGAGATTAAAATGGGTGAAGAACAAGAACCTGGATCACATCATTGATACCGAGACCGATCTCAAAGCAGCTTGCATTCTCAAGGACGCCATCAAACGATCTCCCACCGGTTTCCTCACCGCGAAATCCGTCGCCGATTGGCAAAAGCTCCTCGGGCTCACCGTCCCTGTTCTCCGCTTCTTGCGCAGGTATCAATCAGCTTCAGTCTCTTCTGGGTTACTCATAGTGATGAATCATGCTATTGAGATAGAAAGTAACGAAATTTGACGGAATTGATAAGAGACACTCGTGAGACTGCTAATGAAAAGTCAAACAATTTTTTGCAGGTATCCGACTCTGTTTCACGAGTTTCCGCATGCTCGTTACGCAAGCCTGCCGTGTTTCAAGCTAACGGACACAGCACTTATGCTCGACTCGCAGGAAGAGATCATTCATCAAAGCCACGAAGCTGATACAGTGGAGAGACTCTGCAGGGTTCTGATGATGATGAGAACAAGAACCATCTCTCTCAGATCGCTCCACTCTCTGAAATTCGATCTCGGGTTACCCGACAACTACGAAAAGACACTAGTCACGAGATACCCTGATCATTTCTGCTTCGTCAAGGCCTCTAATGGAAACCCTTGTCTAAAGCTTGCGAACTGGCGCGAGGAATTCGCATTCTCGGCGCTGCAGAAGCGAAACGAGAGCAATGCTGTAGCCGGGGAGGACTGTCGTTACCGCGAGTTCAAAAGAGGTCAGTCCGCATTGACATTCCCAATGAGCTTTCCTAGAGGATATGGAGCACAGAAGAAGGTCAAGGCGTGGATGGATGAGTTTCAAAACCTTCCTTACATATCTCCTTACGATGACTCCAGTAACATTGACCCTGAAAGCGATCTCATGGAGAAACGAGCAGTGGGAGTTTTGCACGAGCTCCTGAGCTTGACTATCCACAAGAAAACCAAGAGGAACTACATGAGGAGCATGAGAGCGGAGCTCAACATTCCGCATAAGTTCACTCGTCTGTTCACGCGATACCCTGGGATATTCTACCTCTCGTTGAAGTGTAAGACGACAACTGTGATTCTCAAAGAAGGGTATCGTCGAGGGAAACTAGTGGAACCTCATCCTCTTACTCGTCTTAGAGATAAGTTCTATCATGTGATGAGATCAGGGTTTCTTTACCGGGCTAAAGGGTTAGGCATGCTCTCTCAAGAGGAGCTTTTGCTTGATAAGCCACACGATGACGGCCCTGAGGAAGAAGAAGGCTCTGAAGAAGAAGAGATTGTGGAAGGAAGTGAACTTGAAGAAGATTCAGAAGATGAATAGCAATTGTTTGTTAGACTTTGTATCTTTAACGATATCAATAAATTTTAGTTTGATCTCTGTAAACATAACGTTCTTAAAAGGAGGATATAATGAGAGGTTGTGTATTTCAAGCAATAAAGATTGTCAACAACAAAGAAAAGTAAAACAAATTGGATCTCAAACTAACAAATGAATTTGTTAGAAGAAACCAAGAACGAGATCAAAATTCGGAAAACACTACTGTCTATTTTCTAGGACAAATCCTAAAAAATAGCCTGAAAACAAAAACAGTGACTCACCTACAATTGCAAGATTAGTTATATCCACCTCTTGAATGAGAGATCTCATAAGGTAAAGGGCAAATAACATGTGCTCTCTTGTGAATGTAGAAGAGAAAGAAACAAATAGTCAGGTTAAAAGGACGAAAATTTGGGAAGCCTTATTCGGCTAATCCCAAGCACTGGTCACTCCTGCACCATACCCACCACTTGGACCACCACCGTACCCACCACTTGAACCACCACCGTACCCACCACTTGAACCACCACCGTAACCACCACTTGAACCACCACCGTACCCACCGCCACCATACCCTCCTCCACCATAGTGGTCATTGCCACCGCCTCTACTGAAAGAGCCTCCTTCCCTTCTGAAGTCACGGCCACCAAACCGACCACCGGAGCGTTTCTTAGGACCACCAAATGAAGCACGTGAAGCGTATCGTGTGAGCCACTCAGGCACCTCTTGGTTGGCTTCTTGCATCAGCTCAGCGAGAGGCCTAGCCATTGATGTATTGTTCTCGTTGAAGAAGGCGGTCGCTACGCCAGATTTGCCTGCACGTCCTGTTCGTCCGATACGGTGAACATAGTCATCGATGTCATTTGGTAGATCAAAGTTCACTACATGAGCCACATGTGGAATGTCAAGACCACGTGCTGCCACGTCTGTTGCAACCAAAATGGGTGTCCTCCCACTTTTGAATGACTTCAGTGCCACTTCTCTTTCCTATAAATGCATAACACAATAAGTTAAAGTCAGATTTAGTCAACAGAGAACAAACCTTCTTGATGATGAACTTGAAAGAGTTCATTTCAGCAATATTATCCAGCTTGCTTATAAACATCATAGTATGAGTGATACACTACTACTTCACAATAGCAAGGTTTTGATGTTCACATTTACATCAATGGGATTCAACTTCAAACAATCAACGAACCTGTTGTGTTCTATCGCCGTGAATGGAGGTTGCTGGAAACTCATTCATGCACAACCAATTTTCCAAAGAGTCAGCTCCCCTCTTTGTCTCCACAAAAACCAATGTCAATGATTGCTGTGTAGTAGAAGGGAAGAAAAGCAAGTATTCGTCAGAGCGTGACAAATTATGATCCATGTGACTTGATAATAAATCTTAAATAAGTAAACAGCAGAAGGTAACTATCGATCACCTTGTCGTGGACGCCATTCTCTCTCTGCGCATGTAGCAGGTCCATGAGATGGCTTCTCTTATCAGAATCATGGACAAACTCAACCCTTTGGGCAATTAAGTCAGTGCTTGAACCCACCCTTCCCACAGCCAAAAATATATAGTTCGACAGGAAATCAGCTGCGAGTCTCTGTGCAAAAAAGAAATATGGAGGTATTAATATAAGCGTTAAGAACCACAAACATTCTTGTGCTGAATATCATGCAGCTGTCCTCAGATACGAAATCTAAAACTCATAAGGCATTTTTTGACCTCTTTGCCTGTCTACAACTAAACCATCAAAGTTTACCATCATCATTTACAGATATCAGGGGAAGAACGTTGCTATCTTTTGACAGAATAAGCTCTTCATACCTTGCTACGTCACTATATAGAATTTAAGAGCAAGAAAATGACACAGTGGAAAAGATAAACTAACCTGGATCTCTCTTGGAAATGTAGCACTAAACAACATTGTCTGTCTCATCCCACGTGGAGGCATGTCCATCTGTTCAACAATCTTTCTAATTTGTGGTTCAAAACCCATGTCCAGCATCCTGTCCGCCTCATCAAGAGCTAAAAACTTAATCATCTGCATTGAGACTCTTGCTCTCTCTAACAAATCATTTAACCGGCCAGGAGTTGCCACAAGGATATCAACTCCCCTCTCGAGTTCCCTGAGCTGCACAAACAATTGAAGATGAGATCAACATATCGATTCTTGAAAACTGTTTTTGACTAACACATGCAGCTAAAATTAACTCCAATGCTTTTGCATGTCATGTAATGATGATCCAAGCGAAATGGCAATGTTAAATTGCATAGAAAAAAAAGTTTCTAAGCTACAAGTTTAACAATGCATAATTGACTTCAAATTTAAAACAATAGTCAACACATGATACTGGCATTAGGAAGGAAAGAGCTAGTAGAACCAAAATCAGCAAGTATAAGCAGCTAATACGTAAAACAAAAAAACAGTGATAACTCAAAAAAAAAGAGATCAAAACCAAGAAAAAACTATATGTGCACCATAATTACCTGCTGGTTAATAGGTGTTCCTCCATAAGCAACAACAACCTTCACACCAGTTTGGTAGGAGAATTTTTTGGCTTCATCATGTATCTGCCAAACAACCACATAATGAGAAATGTGTAACAAATGACTTTTTTCCAAACAAACTCACTCTATGAGGGAATAAGTAGATTCTCAATGTTACCTGGCATGCCAACTCCCTTGTTGGCGAGAGAATGACTGCGAGAGGGTAAACCGTACGTGAACCACGGGGTCTCTGTGCCTGCTGGTCTCTCATGATTCCACTAATTATCGGAAAGCAAAAGGCAGCCGTCTTCCCAGACCCAGTCTGGGCACAGGCCATCAAATCCCTCTGTGCGAGAAGTATCGGAATGGCATGACGCTGCACGGGTGTTGGCTTCACGTATTTGCACCTCCGGATGTTCAGATTCAAAGCCTCCCCAAGATCAATGTCTGCGAACGTGTTGACAGGAGGAGGCACGTCTCCCCCACTGGTCTCAATCGGAATATCTTCATAGGCATCAAAATTAATGCCTGTGTTCTCCTGCTCGGTAAAGACGGGCTCAACATCAACATCATCACCAAATGGATTCACTTCACGTTCCTTACGGTCCCACCCTCCACTTCTGTTGTTCCAGCCACCACCAACTCCTCCTCCTCCTCGTCCACCCTGACCATAGCCGGGACGCCCTACATCAGTCCTATAGCCAGCGCCACCGCCGCCGCCAGGGGCCCAGCGAGAGCCAGACGGTTGAACAGCAAACCCTGAACGATCATTATCTGGCGAAGGAGCAACAGGCTCTGATTGCCTGTTCCGTAGATGCGGGGGAACGTAAGCAGGTTTAGCCCTGGAACCGGCCTTCTCTGAATCGGCCACATCTGCCCATGATGCACTCATAGCTGAAAACTATTAAAAACTTGCAACGGAAGAAGGAAACGATTGCAGCTGCTCCGGTTACTTTGTATCTTTCTTATCCGCGAATATAAGGAACCTGGCAAATTCCGATTAGGTTTAGTTAGCAGAGAAACCGAAATCCTAGAAATCAAATAGCAGCTGGGGTTTTATCGAACTCTAGAAGCTGGAAACAGGAGAACCCCAAAAAATCCGAATCAAATCTATCAAACAACTCGATACGAAACTAGAAGAGAAACAAAATCTGGCAATCTGATAACACGAAATCGAGAGATACGTTCGCGGAAACGCGAAGGAGAGGATATAGAGAAAGAACCTCAAAAATCGGCAGAGAGAATCGAATCGAATCGAGTCGAGACGAAGAAATCAATTCAACGGTAGTCGTTCGCGCAACGGAAAAGCTCGGGGGAGAGAAAAACCCTAAATTCCTTGTGTTTGCTTTTGGATCGGACGGACACAACGCGAGAAAATAGATGTTTACCTTTTTTTTTATTTTTTTATTAATCTTCAAATGACCCACGCAAAATATGATGAGCTTGTTTTTGTTTTTATTTTAGATATTTTAAGAAAAACCTATACTAAATTACTAATGCCTCTAGTATTATTAGTACATACAAAAATATTGTAATAGAAAAGCTCTTCGATAGATTTGATTGCATTTTAGCTTATTCAAGTTTTGAACAATGGGGAATTTGTGTGCTAACTTGGAATGGATTTTGGTAAGAAGACGTGTAAGTGTAACCTCCATTTATTATAAAGTTTATAATCATGTAAAGCTATATATTTGAAATCAACTTGTTACATTTTTTCCATATAATACTCTGTATTAAAAGATTTGATTATGAAATGTCTTGCATCACCATTATGAGATTGTGAGATATTTGTTGGGACATGAAGGGAGGCGGTAACTTCAAAATGGTGGTGGGATCGAGAGAGGACTTACAAATTATTGTATTCGTTTTCAACAAAAACCTTAGTATTTAAAAGTAACAAACATAGAAAAAAATATGAGCAGATTTTGTTATTATCATTAAAAGGCTTTCTCTAAATTCACCTATTATGTCTTTCTTTCAAAATTTAAGATCTCAGAGGAGTGAAGGTTAGTATAGTAAATTCAAGATACGGCTCGAAATCTACAAACCCACTCGCCACTTCCCCTCACGCGCCCCTCTCATTTCGATTTCCTCTCACTGCACACGAAGCGAGAGAGAAAAAAAGCGAAGAATACGCAGAATCCATCCAATTTAGGGTTAGGGCTGCCCCTAATCTGGAAACCTTGTCCTGGTTTCTCATCTCTGTCTTCCGGATCCGACTAGAGGGAAAAGGACGAAGACGCTGTAGCTAAAACATGGGCGCGAATTCGACTCCGACGGACTCAACCCTCGATCTCGATGAACAGATCTCGCAACTCATGCAGTGCAAGCCTCTCTCCGAGCAACAGGTGCCTGCGATTCTGTTAAATGACAGCTTTCCCTTACCCTGTCCTTCTTCTTTTGTTTTTTTTTTCGTTTTTCGTCGTTTAAATTGGATCCGTATGCTAGTTTTCGGGGTGAACTTTGACACTATCGATGATTGGATCTCGGATTTTGTTTCGAATGAAAAAGGTCGTTTTTTTTTCCCTTCTTCTGCGAGTATCCGATTTGATGTTTGATTTGTCGAGAAGATCTTCTGAACTAGGTAGAGGTCGACGTATGTGTGTATATTCTCACGGGTGTTTCATCTTCACGTCAGTTTTATGGGTTGAAAAAATTTAGATTTTGTTATATCATTTCATAGGTGATTCACTTGCATTCTAATATCCCTTGTAGTGTGGGTTGGCCTGTCCCACTGCAAAGTTATCATTTTGAAGAGGTGATTAACACAGAATTAAATTTCATCAGTTAGATGCGTTACTGGATTTTTTATTGGGAAAAAAAGAAAAAAAAAATGGAAACAGCTTTTGTTGGTGTGAGAGAGAGGTCACTACAACTCGTTAAATAGATTTTCTGGAGCTAATGTCCACGGATTGCCGATCGTTTGCTGCTTGTGTCAAATTGGTTCTCTATTTCGACATTTTTATGCTATGTTTTTGATACTGGATATAACTGTTAGTACTGTATCTCTGTAGTAAGTAAAAGAGGTAATAGATGAACTTATCATCTGCGGTGTTGCTTTATTTCTTAGGTGAGAGCATTATGTGAGAAAGCTAAGGAGATCTTGATGGATGAAAGCAACGTTCAGGTTAGTTCTTGATCTTGCATCTCTGGGTAATCATAATTCCCATGTGGTAGACTCTGTAACTAGCCTGAATTTATTTTAAGCACACATTCATTTTGTTTGGTTTAAGCAGAGTTAATTTTTTTTATTTTCCTGCATGCAGCCTGTCAAGAGCCCTGTGACAATCTGCGGTGATATTCATGGACAGTTCCATGATCTTGCAGAGCTTTTCCGTATAGGGGGAAAGGTATCATCTATAACACTTACTGAAATGCACAATAGACATGAAGACGCAAGTTTTGTTTTTTTATTCATCATCCATGTTGTTTCTAGAAATTATTAGATTTGGGTGAGGAATAGAAAGTCTAAGTGGGTTCTTTCTCAGGGTTATATTTGGAAGCTGTACTGGATCCAATTTCTGTTTGTCTATATAGCACCAGCTATTACAAAACCTGATGAATGTTCCTCTTATTTTCTTTGCAGTGCCCTGATACCAACTATCTGTTCATGGGAGACTATGTCGACCGTGGTTATTATTCTGTTGAAACTGTTACGGTACTAAGCTTATACCATCTGCAGACTTCTTTTTTGTTCAAATTTTTTTTCCGGATTTCTTAGTAAAACGACATCGCTTGTCCTGTTATATTGGATAGTTTATCTCCTTAACGTTTATGCACGTTTGTTAATTTTACTTATCTGGATTTGAATATGAAGTCATGCTGATACTCATTCTTTCTTTTTTTTCCGTTTCCAGCTGTTAGTTGGCTTGAAAGTACGGTATCCTCAGCGAATCACTATTCTTAGAGGAAACCACGAAAGTCGTCAGGTAAACTAGCTTTATAACTTAGTCGATTTTTCTTTGCTTGTACGTTCACCTTCTACGGTATACAGTACTGACATAGTTCCTCTGTTTTCCATTATTGAAAATCTGAGATTAGGCCATTTTTAATTACATCTTCCTAATTTTTATCTGACTCACGGTTTACTACATTTTCTTTATGTTCTGGCAGATTACTCAGGTTTATGGATTTTATGATGAATGTCTGCGAAAGTGAGTCTCCTGGTGTACATCCTTATGTTGTATAACGACTATGAAAGTCTTTTGTGTTATTCCTTTGCAATTTTTGTAACAAAGCTTGCTTCTACTTGCAGGTATGGCAATGCGAACGTTTGGAAAATATTTACAGACCTCTTTGACTATTTCCCACTGACAGCTTTGGTTAGTACTTATACCCCTCTTTCCAGTTTAATGAAATTGGTGTTCGTATAATATAAAGGAACCAGTGTCTGTTTTGGCGCCCTCAATAGTCGTTACAATCAAAAGATTGGCTTTTCTGATGCTTCCTTGTGCGTGGGTTTTCGTATTTGGTTCGCTTCTATTCTAAAATGCTGTGCGTAACGATAAAATTTGCATTTCCGATACTCCCTAGAGAGAAGAGTGGGCAATCTATTTCCAAGAGTATTAGTTTTCATGAGATAATGAGGTTGTCCATGTCATGTCCTCGTTTGCAGGTGGAGTCCGAAATATTCTGCCTTCACGGTGGATTGTCACCGTCTATCGAGACCCTTGACAACATTAGGAACTTTGATCGAGTTCAAGAAGTTCCGCATGAAGGGCCTATGTGTGACTTATTATGGTCTGATCCTGATGACAGATGTGGTTGGGGAATCTCTCCCCGTGGTGCCGGATACACATTTGGCCAGGTATTGAATTGCAAAGCCTCAGTTTCAGTAGCTGTCCTGAATCTCTCTTTTTTTTTTGTTCCAAACAAGTGTGTAATTCACTTTTTTTTTCCCCACAGGACATCTCCGAACAATTCAACCACACTAATAACTTAAAGCTGATCGCTCGAGCGCATCAGCTGGTTATGGATGGATTCAACTGGGCACACGTAATTCAATCAAACTCATCTTCCCTCCATAGATTAGCCAAACCTGCGAATCTTTTGCTCACTATGTCTATTTTATATTTCCCATTGACAGGAGCAAAAGGTGGTTACTATTTTCAGTGCACCAAACTATTGCTATCGGTGTGGAAACATGGCCTCCATTCTTGAGGTTGATGACTGCAGGAACCACACCTTCATTCAGGTATTTCGCAAACTATGTCCAGTAATCTACATTTTGACCTCTGCGAAAGAAAAAAGAAACTAACAAAGTCTAAATTATGAAACAGTTTGAACCAGCCCCGAGGAGAGGAGAACCTGATGTGACCCGAAGGACACCCGACTACTTCCTATAAGGCTCAAGTCACCTCCTCTCAGCTGCGAAGTCCGGTTGTTGGTTTTTGAAGATCTCTCTGCTTATTCCATTTGGTTCAACGCATTGTGCACCAGGTTGCTTTATCTCTTAAAATCAATTTAGCCCTCCCTTGGAATAGTGTAATATAGGCAACGAGGTCAATGAACTTTGGAACCCCCATGAACATTTGTGTTTGGCTGAACCTATTCAGTCCCCTTCTGCATCAGAATCTTTTTCTTGTGAGATAATATTATTTTGATTTAATTTTATGCAATTCTTCCCTTCAATTTCTGCTTTTGCACTCTTTTTTGATATAAACATGACGACGAATATGAACTTTACATCCACAACAATGGAGACCTTGTATGGTCACAGCGGCATGTAAGACTTTGTAATAACAGACAGTGAAACTGTTACTACAAGTTAAAGTAAGAGAATAACGAAGGAACAAGATCAACGACAGACCAGGCAAGGCCTGCGTATTGCAAGAACCTTATACCGGTGTCAATATCAAAAGAGTCCTGGTTCAAGAACTCGCACAGTTTCTGTAGATACCCTGCCGAGGTCTTTGTTTCATCAGTCTTCTTCGCGTTTGCATATTCTTTATCGAGCTTGAGCTTGGGAATGTATGTGCTGGATCTTATTGGAATCCCAAGTGCGTTGGATACTGTCGGTAAGATCCATTTAGCAAGGGATTTACTGCAGAATTTCACCAAGAGTATCGTCGGTATCCCCACCATAACTCTCCCAAGGTAGGCTGAAACCGGAAGCTCCGGTGAGAAGATTCGTGGAGCTCCTTCGTGGTGGAATTGGCTGTACGTTTGCTGAACTCCAGTCACCTTAGACAAGCAAAACCATCAATTAAGGCCATCGTCTTACTAAACCATCAACACATTTGCACTATACAACATTTCTTGATTGCTTACAATTCCTAGCGCAACCCCGTCGAAGGCGGTGTGATACTCGTAGCTTGGAGTTGGTTGCTCGGGAGTCGGATAAGCAAAGAGCAATAAGAAACTAAGAGCAGTCCAGAAGGTGCTAACTGCACAATCAACAGAGTCATGGCTTCTCTGTTATTCGGTGTTTGCAAGTGAAAGCATTCGTGATCGTGAAACTAGGAGCAAATGATGCTTACCGTTCTGTTTTGAGGTAATGAAATCATCAATTGTTTCGTTGACGGTAAGCCAAAATGCAAGAATCAAGACTCCTATGGCAAGACCAGCGATGATATCGACCACACTGTGCATACCCAAGTAAATCCTTCCTAGGAAGAAAAACATTGATGTCAATTCAGGAATCAGAATACTTATATACTCGACAGACGCATTTTCTCTGGTATGAGTTTGATCTTACCGAAAGCAATTAGGGCTACCAACAGACAAGCAAGGGCAAATCCATAGTACTGGACAGACGCATTTTCGTCTCCAGAAGAGGATAACACATAGTGTAACAGATATCTGAAACACCAACCAATAAGGAGGCAAGTGTTAAAACCTCTATACACACAGCAAAATTTGCTTCACGAAAGAGCAATGTATTGTTCACACCAAGAAAAACAGATTACACTAAATGCTTCATATTTATCAGTAAGCATCATTTGATCGCACTGTCAACTATGGGATTCTATAGCATCCTGGTAACAGCATTTAGCCGATGTTATCTTCTCACGGCATTGTAATACCGAGAGCAGGCGTTACTAGGTACGAAACAACTACGAGATTCTACAACAAACGGGATAAAGAGTTTGCGGATAACATACATACCCGGATAAACAAACAGTGTTTAAAGTATGAGAAGAAGGCAAGCCATATTCCATTGCATTGTCTTCCTCATCTTTTGTGGCAGTAATCCTTCTAACTGGTGGGCAGCTAGGTCGAGGAGCTGATACCACATCCTGTATACATAAGACTGTATAAACTCGAAAGTTCCTTCTTTTCAAACTTCTTCTAAACTAATAGAATTCGTTATATAGAACACCACCCAAAAGCTAATACCTTTATGCAGTTTCCCAAGTAATCACAGAATGCTATCAATAGAGTCATCTGCCTAGCTAATCTACCATGTCCACTCTGCAATGTTCACAGTCATCCATTAGTAAACGTCATCGTATCTACGCCTAAAGTTTCCAACTTCAATGGTGAAGAAGTTTGTAATGTTACCCAGAAGAGCAAAGGCAAGAAAGCAGTGTAAAAGGGCACTGAGACAACACATGATAGCCCTGAGAAGAAAGCATCCAGCAATCCATTCTGGTATTTCTGCAAAAACAATTTCCAAAATTTAGTGTTTTTATTGATCCCACCCCAAAATCAAAGTCAATGAAGTTTAGATTCTACTAGTTAAAAGCTGCTTGGTTGTGGCTAATTAGGCACCTGGATTTGGAGAATGAGAGGAACACCACCGACGACTTGACGAGCGACCCATGGTTGCACAAGAGATCTAAATTTATGGGTCAAATTCAGATATGAAGAAAGGCAGATCCATGTCACAATACCCACGAGGGCCAAACCTTGCCACGTCCCTGGGCCTTCCATTGATCTTTCTAGAATCTTCTTCTTCTTCTTCTTCGTTTTTTTTTTCCTCCTTCTTTCCCGTTCCAACAAAGAAGAGAGAGAGAGAATCGAGAAAATGAAGTAGAACGATTTGAGGGGCAGTTGAAAATTTCTGGGTTTCAAAGTCAAGAAAACAGAATTAGACGACTGATTATCCAATTTATCGTCGTGGGATGTCTCTCGGGCCGTCCAGCTCCAATGGATGTTTGCTGGCAGAGAGAGAGAGAGAGAGAGAGAGAGAGAGAGTAGAGAATAAATATAGAAAGAATTTTGATTGCGAAGAAAGATTGAGACCGAGTTCTTAGGAACATTTCATCGCCACCAGTTTTGAGCCACCACTTTTGCAAAGTGAGGTCTACGTGACTTGAGTCAACGCAAATTTAGTCAAATTCCTTTTATTTCTTTTTAATTTCCTTTCTAATGGTGATTTCTCTTTAAAATTTTGCCAGTGGCAAATAAATTGAAACTCGTTCTTAACTCTCTAACTCAAAAAAGTTCCTGAAATCACCAAATTTCACTTCTCATCAGTCACAAATTCATAGCATAAAAAAGTGCAGCAACGCAATAACATAATCAAAAAGACAAAAAAACATCCATTTCCAGCATCTATTGGATTCCTCCAATGAGATCATATACAATCTCTTGCGACAATCAGTACAATCAAAACAGAGCAAAAAGTAGAACCAAACGGTTTCCTGGTCTTAAAAACAGATGAAAAAACGACAACAAACTCTTGTGATTTCTCTCCTCCTTTGGACTTCAGCGTCACTGAATGTGATCAAAGTAGATCTCTATGCACGAACCCCTCGATTAAGACTTACCATACGGCTCGTGCCGTCCATCTGCATTCCTCTGTTCCCTGTTCCACCTCTTCCTGCATACCCACCAGTCCCTCGATTCTGACCAGACCACTCTCTTGTCTGACCACCATGCCCAGATGATCTGTTACCACCGTAACCAGATCTACCACCGCCATTGTATCCTTGTCTTCCTTGGGTGTACGACATGTTGTCTTGCCACTTTCCACCACCTGCTCCGCCTGCATAGTCTTGATTGTTGTCTCTTCTCCTTGAGTTCAGATCCAGACCACCACCACCGGTCCTAGCCTCCATTGCCCTTTCGTTGCTCTCTGCAAGAACAGCAAGTTTCTCTGTTAACTGGAAAGCCAAGGTTTGCAGCCTGTTGTGCTGGACATCGTGGAAGACGACGCAACGTGTAGGCTGGTCCCAGCTTGCAAGGAGTTCTTCATTGATCATCATCTTGCTCACGATGCTGTGGACTTGGTTCTCAGAGAGATCAAACATCTTGGCGAGATGATCTACACTTAAGGACTCGTAAGATGTCGAGTATGTGAAGAGGTAAGTCCTCAAAGCCTCCTCTTTGATCCTATCCTTCACCGTATCAAGGATGGCTTCCCGATTCTTGAGCAGTTTCCAAACATCAAGCGAGTTCAAAACCTCAAAAGCCTTTTGGAAGTCTCCTTTGGTGAGAGCTCGGGTTGCTGCCATGACATGATCACGGACGTTCTCAGGAGGAGCAGTAAATGCTTGCCTCTCGCTGACCTCGAGCAGGCGACGGAAGTTCTTGCTAATCACCCTGCGCCTGGCATCGTGAGAATTGGCTGCCATGTTAGGGACCTCTAGTAGCATGGCACAAATGAGATGAACAGCTTCGAGAAGCTCAAGGTTTATGTGCATGTGATATGGCATCTGTCGTCTCCTCTCCAATCTTTCCTGGTGGGACCAAAAGGATGTAAACAGTTAGCTCCATTTTAAATATAAATAGATTTGATGATGAAAACACCATGAAACCTCAACTGAAACAAACGAGTTTTGTCTGTTAACACAAACCCAAAAACAATGGCAAAAATTTATGGAATTAAACTAGTCCTCGAACAGAAAACTATAAACCTCAAATGAAACAAGTAAAACTACACAAGGTATTGAACTTTCTTCTTCACTAATCATAGGCTACGAAGATGAAACCAAGTTCTATGAACCTGAGATGCAACAAAAGCTACTATGTCATACAAACAACAATACGTACCTGTTCGGGAGTCTTCTCGTGGTATCGACTTTGAGAGACACCTTGAGCAAGTAACTCCCGCACCCTTTGACCAGAATACAGCTCAGATAAGCAGCTGTGAGCCTCGTTAATCATTCCCACTCGGAACGCGCAGAGACCAAGCTGTGCCATGGATCTGTTAAAGAGGATCTGTGTTGAGATGTCCATGTGCTGAATATTGTCTTGCAGGTGACTCATCAGCAACAAATCCCTAGCAGTCACAAATTGGTCCACTAAAGCATGGTGATAGATATCACATAACATAGCACGGGCTTTAGTCCGCTCATCTCCATATTTGTAAATAAGGGAGACAAGAACATCCATCATAGCTCGACTACTCTCTGGGAAGGTAGGCTTACGAGGAACAATCTCTGGAACAACAATGAATGAAGGAGGAGGTCCAGTCTCCTCTTTGGGCTCCTCACTGTCTTCTTCTTCTTCTACCACCAGCTCAGCCAGTTTCCTCATGGCATCATAAACTTCCTGAGGCTTGTAGTAAATTAACTCAGCCTGTCGTAAGGCCACCTTTGCCGCAGCTTTATAATCACCAGACCGCTCAAAGTAGTCCTGGATGTTTTGAGCAAGAGCTAAGAACATCGGTTCATCTCTCAACCTCTCCACATATTCACGTGTATGAGGATCTATGCTCTGCAAACTCTTGAAAAATTCAGTGTCTATCCTCTCCACGAATGCAACAAGGTTTCCCCAGACCCGAACTGTTCCATCATGATCTGCTGGCTTTGAGGTTTCGTTCTCATCAGGCTCAACCGTGTCATCGACAACGATGTTGTCATATTTGACAAGAATGTCAAGTATCGTAAGCATGTTATTCACACACTTCTTCCACACATTGATAGGCATGTGCCCGCTGAGACCAGGATTCACATCAAACTGTGCAGAAATAACACTGAACATGATCTCAAGCTTTTGTGCAGGAGTTTTGGCAATCCTTGACAGGTGTGTAAGCTGATCAACCAGTTCAAATCGAGCAGTTCCCTTCTTGCCACGGGCAGCCACAACTTCTTTGAATTTTTGGTTGACCCAGTCCCATGTGATCTCTTTAGGATCTTTGTTATACAATTTCTCCATAAGCTTATCTTTCTTGCTTAGCATCTTCTCCCAAGAGGGATCACCTCTATTGTTATCTTCCTCCTCTTCAGACTCAACCTCCACTTTACCATCGTCCTCAGACTCATCCTCCTCATCGTCATCTTCTTCATCTTCATCCTCTGATTCCTTCACTTCCTCGGTTTCTGGAGACTCTCTGTATTTATTAATTTCTTCTTCATACAGCTTATTGTTCTTCTTCAATCTCTGTCTCATTGAATTCAAGGCCTTGGAGTTACTGGTGCTCATCTTTTTCTTTGCTTCCTTGTTGGCCAGAGTTTCATTTAAGAAGTCCTCCAACATCACAAGGGTTTTGATGTACAAGACTGGAGCCTTCACAGCCTCTGTAATCCTCATAACTTTTACCAGCTCCTTGTTAATCTTATCAAAGTTCTCTTGTAGACTAACCCAATCGTTGATATTAATGGCATTCTTCATCTGCTCCGCGGTATGGACCATCTCCTCATAACGTTTGTCTTTCGCTGGCTGAACAACACGTTTACGGAGATCTTCGTCGTCGCTATCACTGGCACCTGGAAGATAACGTGAGGCACCACCAGCATTGGTATCTTGAACCTCATCCAACTCTTCCTCCGCGTCGCTCTCATATTCACTGTCACTTCCAGTCTGGTGAACAAGGTACAATGAGAAAGTGAAGTAAGTAAAACTAATAGGACGACCACACTCAAGAACTTATCGGAATGTTACAAGGTTCGAGAGAAACCTGAGCAAAGAACTTCGACATCTTTCTTAAAGGGAGATGTAAACGTAAGGCAATGGGAGCAAGGAGAACCTACATTCCACAAAATACACTGCAATATAAGCTGGCTGAAAAGATAAAGTAACTCGAGGCAACCTCAATCTCAGTGGAACAAGAGACAAACAGAGAAAAAAGAATCACATTAACAAGAGCCATGAAAATAGTATTCACCTCTCAATTCCAAAATCTGCGACACTTCATCAAGCAGTGTTCTTCCTAGGCTAAAAATTTCAAATTCAAAAGAAAACAGAATCCTTTCACCTAATCCTAGCTTGTAAAAATGACTATTACAACACAATCGACTATATTATAAAACTAATAGTAGTAGAATTGAAACTACGCTGTCTCAGAAACTAGGTTTATTTTGAAATACAGCAATCATCAAAACAGAGTAATTAAACAGGTTTATTTTGAAATGCGGCAATCATCAAAACAGAGTAATTAAACAGGCTGCATATATCTGAAGCTTTCATAACAGAAGGAAAATTCTAATCAACAAGAGTGAACAATAGCTATCTTCAAGGCAATTCGAAGAGTTCAAGTAGGGAAAGATGAAAAAATTGACATTGGAAGCCACAAACAGAGATTAATTCACAATTTCCGCTGATCTACAATTCATATCTGTTTGCTTTTCATAGTTATGTTTTGTATCTCCTCGAAACTACAATCAAAGCAATAACAAATTGAACAAAAATGAACATTTCAAGGAAAAATCGATTAGTGTATCTCCTCAAAACTAATCACTGCACAACAAACAATTGGGGACAATCAGATTATCTCATCAGAATTAAAAATTGACATGTTCTTCCTCAGATCAGATCAAAACAGTGTGCTTCAAACGAATGAAGAAGAAGAACTCACCTGGAGAAATTGTTACCAATAACAAACTTGAGCGCAGCTCCAAATCTAAGAGTTGATGTGGCAAAAGCAATAAAATAAACGACACGATGAGAAGAACACGAATTAGGGTTCGTTTTTTTTGTGGTTTCTCAAAAAGATTGAGGGTACTTTAGTAATTTTTGCACTTTGATCGCTGGTCGCAGCGTTTGGTTTGGTCGCTCACAACAACAATATGGACCGGAACGGTTTGGTTTATTTTGGTTGATAAGTTCTATGGACAGACAATTCAGAATCAGTGAAGAGTTCAAACTTTATATGATTTTTCAAAATGAATTACAAAATAATCACACGCCAAAAATATGAAAAAAAATGAAATAATGGAAAGGTGATATGAAGAACAAGGAACGCTCATTCCTTTGAGCCTTAGTTCTGCACCTTGGGTAACAAAAAAGAATCAAGCCGGTCACTTCATCACAATGAGCATTTGTAGCTTCATGTACATATAGAACCTAAAGCATCTCAAGTTCTTGAGCCAAAGGACTTCTCCCAAGACTTGTTCCTCGTGATCTAACTGGGGCAAAAGGAGATGGGTTGGAGTCTGAAGCTCTTGGAGATAGATGAGCTTGTTCAAGAACCCTAAATTGAAGCTCTGAAGGGTAATCTCTCATACAGCTGATTCTAGGGCCTGCACCAGTACTCCATCTCGAATGTAGCCTCTCAGCTAACTGGTAAGATTTTATTCCTTTGTGTGAATCTATCCGTTTCATTATCTTCTCCTTCGGGACAGGCTTCTCATATTCTTCAATGTCCTCATCAAACAGATTCGATTTTGGGTATGTGAACTCTTCTTCAGCTATGAATGTCTCTTCTGCTGTCTCATACCCTTGCTCTGAAGGGGTTTCAGGTTCTTCTTCTTCTTCACCACCCTGATCATCCTCAACCATCTCGTTGTCTTCCTGAGGAATCTCCGGTCTTGAAAGTTTTGAGTGGAACCTTGTTAATGTGCGTAGCTCTGGATGATTGTTGGGTTTAGCGTTTGGACTAAAACCAGTCTCAGCGTCCACAAAGTCACATGGCTCTTCTTCGGTCTCTTTGATTCTTGAAGGCATTCTCTTTACCTTGTGATGAGTTTCTCCATCCTCTTCATCTGGACTCTTCTGCAGAAAACGAAAAAGAAAGTCTCTGTAATCGCGTGAATCAACATAAGCCTAAACACACAAACCAGATCCAAAACTATGAAAAGTTGGTAACTTAAAACTCAGACTGGAATGGATTTACCTTTACATTGGTGAGGTCTACATTGTTCTCCCTGAGAAACGACATGAACGCCTGAAAGTTCTCTTCTGTTGGAAGATAATGTCCACTGTGAGGCCAAACTGCCTGAAAATATCACCCGAAGAACTCAAACTTAACACAGAGAGTTACTTCTCTTCTTCTGCATAAGAAAATATACAAGGAACAACCCAAGGAACATTCTTTATTTTTACCTTGAGGACGCCATCGTCGACCACAATCCTTCCAGCAGATAGTGTAGCTCCTCCAGCCAGAAAACTCGAATGTTGAAAGTTCCCCTTTTTCTTCAGGCCAGCATATAATATCTTTGACACGCTTAGGACAAAAATCCACTTTGCATCTGGAGGACCTTCTTTTGTGTCGAGAACTATCCTACTCTGCTTATAGATTAGTTTCCCATCCTCAATCACCACTTCATATGCCTCTCTTTCAGTCTGTTCGTAAGAAAGATTATAGCATTACCAGAAAGATATTTTTTTAGCATGTCAATAACATCGCAAGATACTTTTTTTTCCAACAAAAAAATAGAGGGGAAAACTCACCGGACCAAGATACTTGATGCTTTGCTGGTAAAGTTTTGATCTTGGACATTTTTCGTGGTTCAGTTCTTTTCCTTGTCCTATGTCAAGCCTACATGTCCAAAGTTGGATGTTAGCTCGTAAAATGTATGTATATCTGATACTGTCACACTTTCGAGTTTCGATTGTGTAAAAGCAAAACCTACCAATAGAAAAAGGGCTGTTTACTGTCACAGTGGAGCCAAGCATGATAATAGAATTGCAGATTGTGGCCATAGCGATGTCGAGGATCGATCTGTTAGGCTAGAGAATTAAGATCGTATATGGCTTTACACAAAACTTATAGCCACACAAAACAACAAATGGTATAAGAGTTTTCTTACTGCTTCAAGCCAGTGCTGTAAAGCCAACTTCCTAGCTTTCTCGTCTTTTGACAAGCCCTTACCCACCTAAGGTTAAAAGTTTCCAAATCATTGGTTGAAGATTAGAGAAAGGGAAGAAAATGGGTGCATCAAGCCAACATGTTTGATGTGCTTATTATTTTACCTTAGCTGCTCTTGTTCTTGCTCTAGACCAGCGTGAAACTGCAGTCTCTTGCTTCTCAATTTCAAAAAACGATATAGAACTTCTTTTAAGTTCAGCAAAGTCAAGTACTTTCCACCTGCAAACTCCATTAAGTTACTAAACAGATAGTTTTATTCTCTATCTATATATAAAATGCCAACAATTATAGCTCTACGAACCATCTCTGCTCAACCACTACAGCACAATCAGCTAGCCTTCTTCTGGTTCGAAAGCTTCTATACACCTTCTGCAACTTTAATGCAGCTTGGTATCTTCCATCACCTAATAACGCTAAAAATTCGTTTCCAATATCGTTTTCGAGATAAGGTTTCCATCTTCGCATTTTATATCTGTCATCTTCTTTCATAAAAGTTAAAGGTTTTCCAGAAAAACTATTCTCCACCTCCTCTGGAGAATCTCTAGATCGCTGTGTCCCTTTGACGCTTAGGGATCTGTTGTACAGCGCTTTTTTAGTTTCAGATGTTTCAGTGATGGTTGAATCCGAGTCATTGTCATTAAAGCTGATCGATCGAAGAATGGTCTTTGTTTCTGCAGAAAAAAGACAGAAAATGTATTACAAATCAAATGTTTCTGGCTCCATTATTAACAAGCCAAAAAAAAATGGAGATTTATACAAACCCATTTTCAGTCGAAACCAGATTCAAGCTTTTCCTTGCTACGCCCCTGTAAATGTCAGATATTCAAATACCACCACAGAGACATTACATCGAACACAATACGATCATCACCAATCAAACACACATAACGAACTCCAATTTTCAAATTTTCATGCTTTGCCTAAAAAAAACCAAGTAATTGCATGTACGAATCATGTAACATTCACCAAAAAGTACGAGATTCTTAAGCTCTGTATTTCAGGAGAAGAACAAAATGGGTCAAGAGGAAACATACCTCGGATAAAAAATGCGAGTCAAACCGAACCCATGAGACGAAATGAGACAGAAGAAGAGGTACTTCAATGGAAGAAAACAACAGAGCCAAAAAGGAATCCGAAAAGGTGAAAATGAGGAGAAAGCGTGCGAAAACTCTTGAATGGAGGTTGGTGTCTAGGATTAGATGGGAACGTGAGAGAGAACGACAATGGCGGCCATATTTGATAAAGAGATTCTCATCAAATCTCAATCTATCAATGCGAATGTGTTCCATTGGCGGGGAGAAAATAGAATCCTCTGTTTTTTCCTCTTCTGACTACTAAACATAGAGAGAGAGCTTTTACGATCGCACTGTAATTTTTTGATGGCTTCCCAGTTTCTCCTAAATTTGGCAGGTAAAACCAAAACGACACAGTTTTGCTTCCCTCCAGTTTATATTGACGGCGTTTATCAACAACGCAAGCAGAATCAAAACCCTAATCCCTACACAATCATTTGGCCGTCTCCGTTAAGTCCTCTGTATCCGACATTGTCTCGGAACTCGAATCCGACAATTCTGAAACTCAATGGAAGGAGAAGATGAGCTCCGGAAACTAAACGGTGAAGTTTCAGCTCCACGAGACGGAGATATAGAAGATGACGATCCGCTAGTGTTGAGCTCCCAAGCATTGGCGGCGCTCCAGGAATTTCTAGCCGACCAGAACAAGACTGCCGAGAGCACTCCGCCGGCGTCCTCCATCGCCGGAGAAGCTGATTCCGATAAAGTGGAGCTGGTGACAGAAGACTGGAGACTCAGCCAGTTCTGGTACGAACCTGAAACCGCAGAGACTGTAGCTGAGGAAGTGATCACACTCTCCAGTAGATTCTCAGGCTGTCGAGTCGCTTGCATCGCTTGTCCTACTCTCTATGTTTATCTCAAGGTACTAAAAATTGATCGGTTTAAAAAAAATACCCTGAATTTGTATCGAATCCGTTTTTGCTAAATATCGATCCTTTTGTTGTTGCTGCTGCTGAATTGATGTGTTCCGGGTTTGATTTGTGGTCAGAAAAGAGATCCGAGTCTCCAGGTGCAATTGCTGGAGTACGATATGAGATTCGAGAGATATGGAAGTGAATTTACGTTTTATGATTACAACGAACCAGAAGATCTGCCATCGCAGCTCAAACATTGCTTCCACATAATCGTTGCGGATCCTCCCTACTTGGTAAAAATTTCTTGAAGTTCTTAGCTTTTCCGTTTCCCTTTTGTAAAGTTCTTAACTTTTGACATACAAGAAGATTATGTTTGATAAGTATTGCTTGTATAGATAGTGTCATTTATCGAGTGCCAAATCTTTGATCCTACAGTTCTCCTAAAGGATTGTAGAAAGTCTGGAATCACAGAACAAGATGAAAGAAAAAAATGTGTGTCGGGTTGTTGAAAGTTGGGTTGTTGTCATTGCTTAATTCCCAGTTCATAAAGATGGATACTTTATGGCTCTCTGCCACGTTATGGTTATCATCCAACACATTTCCCGAATGAAGAAGAACCTGTAGTGACTAAGTGGGGACATCATTATCTAATGATAGTTTTGTGTTTCTATTGCTTGCTATTCTTCGGAACATAAATTGTCTTTTGAGTACATTCTACTCTGCAGCGTAGTGATCTTATATCTGTTTATGCTTGGCAGAGTAGAGAATGTTTGGAAAGAGTTACCCAAACGATTTCGTTCCTCTCAAGTCCGGTTGATTCTTTGTTGCTTCTTCTCACAGGTACATGAATAACTTCTGTTTTCTCGAGTCCATTTCGTAGGATTTGATGTTTTTATTAACTGAGAGAGATACACCTCTTGCAGGAGAGGTGCAGAGAGATCGAGCGGGTGAGCTATTGGGTGTTCGCCCTTGTGTGTTTAAGCCTCATCACTCTAGCAAACTCGGAAACGAGTTCCGACTGTTTATAAGTTATGATCCAGGCACCAGATTAGGTGGCTTGGAAGAAGACAGCTAGTTCTAACTTTGCCCATCTATGTTGACTTGATCGTAAGTTGCTTCTCTTAAGTTGACTGTTCTTTAGTAAAACAGTGAGGGTTCTTGTATCCTTCTCATCACAAAATACATAGCAAGCTCTTGTCTTGTCTGTAAAAGACGTGATATTCCCTCCCTGTCTTGGTTTTTCTTATGTTATTTTTTTGGTGACGGTAAGTGGCTTAACCGATCTCAGGTTTCCGCCGCCGGGAGTAAGGTTTTGTGGCGGAGAACGCTCATGTCTTCCGTCGATGGTCAAAAGCTTATTTCTCAACTGGACTTGTACTTCTCAGAATTGATTCTCATCGTTGCCTCACTGTTCAATCGTTCTCTGTTCTGTATGTGTTGCAGCTGCAGATTTTATGTCTCATTATCCAGTCGAATAGTTTTGGTGTTGAAATATCAAAGATTTGGTTATTCATATTTATTGCATTACCAAAATATATAATGTTTGTAACAAACTGATGTGATTCACAAATAGATCAATCTAATCAGTAGCAAGTATCAAACAATTAAATCAGCTATAATCAACAGTAAACATAACCACAACAAAACCATACCAATGGTCGAGTTTTCATGTATTCTCTCGACTCAAAACTTTTTCTGCATTTCGTATTTTAAAAATTGACAAGAAACAAAAAGAACGAAAAAGCCGGTTCGACCCGGTTCGCCAAGCTTAAGCAAGACCAAAATTATAAACCGGGCGAAGAAGTTAAGATCTCGAGAAGAGTCTTACGGTGGGAGAGAAAACGAGAGAAGCAAGGTCCTTCCATGGTCGTCGAAATTCAAATACACACAATCAGGAGAGAAGGGGACTAATTCTTGCGACTTCGGAAATGAGGCCGAACATTGTTACCGAGGTGAGATCTGCTAAATTTTCCTTTTTCTGCTCAACTATTTTCCTTGATCTCTAGCAGAAACTGCTTAAGTTTTCTCTTAGGTTGATTACCCAGAATCTGTTAGTGAACGAGCTACTATATCTGTACGAGTAGTTGTTCGTTCGGTAGAATTTACTAGGTTGTAGTTTGATTCGGTATAGCTTTGTGGCAAATCGTATGTTGTAGGAAGATCCTCTTCATAACACAGTATAGTGGTTTACAGTAGTCTCCGTTCACAATTTGATCCGTGAAGTTTCAATAATTGTTCGAGTTCTGGGCGTTGTAATAGTAGAATTTCACCAGTTTGAATACAAAAGCACCACCTTTATACTATAATACTGTGATTAATGAAAAGGTCAAATTATACATGTTGCTGTTCTTGAGCCAGATAATTAGGTTTCTATGTCCAGACAAGTAGAGATTTGGCACGAGGTTTGGTCTTAAACTGGTAAAGGTTTCGTTTTTGATTTGCTGTGGATTCTTTTTTCTATTATTAGGCTGGGGTTCAAACTAGAGTTGGACAATGGTGGAATGCCATACCGTTCCTCACGTCGTCAGTGGTGGTAGTTTGTGGGCTTATCTACCTGATATGCCTCTTAACTGGTTATGACACTTTCTATGAAGTTTGCTTCTTACCCTCGGCAATTATATCGCGGTTCCAAGGTATGTTCTAGCGTTTCATGTTAGATTTGATTCTTTAACTTTGCTAATCTATGTTCTTGAAACAAAATTATCCAAGTTGTTGGTTGGTTTTCTCTTGTTCACTCACTCTTTTTGGGGTTTATCTGCTGTGCAGTTTATAGGTTTTATACAGCCATTGTTTTTCATGGATCGCTGCTTCACGTTCTGTTCAACATGATGGCATTGGTTCCTATGGGCTCCGAGCTGGAGAGAATCATGGGATCTGTCCGTTTGCTTTACCTGACCATTTTGCTGGCAACAACCAATGCCATATTGCATCTTCTTTTAGCATCCTTGGCGGGATATAATCCCTTCTATCAGTATGATCATCTCATGAATGAATGTGCGATTGGATTTTCTGGAGTCTTGTTTTCTATGATTGTCATAGAGACAAGTCTCAGTGGAGTCACCTCTAGGAGGTAACACTTTTTTTATATGGCTAGTTTAATAATTTATTATGCTCTAGATGATTAAAGTGCAAACAATATGAGATTGTCGTTAGAATTCAGAAACATTCTCTCCAAACATATATATGAAAGTAACCTTCCGCACTGCATATATATTTTAATGATACGCCGTTTAATGTCTTCTGCGTATTTATATCTCAGATTTCTTGAATTGCTGCTTTTTCTCTATGCAGTGTCTTTGGTCTCTTCAACGTGCCAGCTAAACTGTAAGTTCATTGTCTTGCTTGTCGGCATCTTAATGTCCACCTGCATTTCTTGTTGCACGTATGATGTAAAAATTTGTGTCAATATGCAGTTATCCATGGATCTTATTGCTAGCTTTCCAGCTTCTCATGACAAATGTTTCACTGCTTGGCCACCTATGTGGCCTCCTGTCTGGAATTTCATGTATGATTTTTTACCTGTTTCATTGCCTTCTGTTTTCTAAACCTGCAGTTTCTGTGGCAGCTAATTCGTTAGTCACTTTGGATTGCAGATTCTTATGGCCTATTCAATTTCTTGATGCCTGGCTCTTCATTTTTCTCCACCATTGAGTCAGCCTCCTGGATGGTATGTACTCCAGCACATCAGGCTTCTTGAAGCTTCCTTTCTTTTGTTAATTGAAAAGCCATCGAGAATCAAAAAGTCATGCCGCTTTATTTACAGCTACAGAATTACCAACAACTTTCTAGTATTGCTATTAATTTGATATAAAGCTGTGAGTGGTGCAATAAACATTTTTTTTAATTTTAAGTTAGTCGTCGCTCATTCAGATTATGTGTTCTTTTTCAGTCTAGCTGCGTAAGGCGCCCCAAGTTCATTATGTGCACTGGCGGGAATCCTTCCAGCTACATGCCCACTTATTCTGTACAAAACACAACATCCAGGTGCGCTTCCCTAGCTTCATACAACAAACTGAGTGAGCTGCTTGCCTAAAAAAACACTATTGACAATCTTCTTTTGAACAGCGGTTTCTCTACAGGAAATGCTTGGAGATCTTTGTCTTCGTGGTTGCCACAGAGGGAAGCATCTAATCAGGTACATTCATGCTAATCTTGTATGCCACTTACGTTGACTTGGTAGATGCAGTCACATCTATGATCTAAGCATACTACTTCACTTGCAGTCTTCTGAGGACAGTAGATTCCCGGGAAGAGGTAGAACTCTTAGCACTGCCCGTGATCCAACCGCTCCAGCTGGAGAAACAGACCCAAACCTCCATGCTAGGCTGTTGGAAGATAGCACTCCAGACCGCCTTTCTGATTCAACTGTGACCGGCATGACAGAGCCAAGCCCCGCCGCAAGGTATTTGATTTCTACAGTGTGTAACTTCTAAGCTTATTATGTACGATTCCATTAACCAGAGCCGCTTTTTGTCAACTTTTTTGCAGACAGGCGCCAATAGCAAATGCAGCAGTCCAGCCTCAATCCCAGGTTAGTTCCTTGGCTTAGATATTCGCCTTAGATCCGAGCCCTTTCAAGGCATCGATAAGAATCTCTGTCATTGAACTGTTGGGCACAGGGTCGTGTTGGTGCTTCCGAAGAACAAATTCAGAAACTCGTTGCCATGGGCTTCGAAAGGGTACGTTTCTTGATTCACCGACCGTAACAAGTAGTAAAATAATTGTGTTAAAGTCTCTGGGTTTTTGCTTCAGACACAAGTGGAGGTTGCACTTGCCGCTGCCGATGACGATCTAACCGTAGCTGTGGAGATCTTAATGAGCCAACAGGCATAAGAACATTGGTCGATAAGTACTACGTCAGCTTGTATTGTAACGTTCGTCTCGCCTTCCATGTTTTACTTTGCATTTAGAAACTGTATAGCGTCTGTTTTCTCTACGGAGGTTCTTCAACCAAACGATCAAACCGGTTTTCCGGTTAAAATTTATACAAACGATAGGTTGGGTTGAGTTTCGTTTTCGTCTCAATATCTCTTACCTCGTTTTTATTTTTATTCATACAAACGGAATGAAACAGAGTAGTCATCACATTCCATAAAAAAAAAAAAAGTATAGTCATCACATGGTTTCTTCTTTACTTGCTCTTGGTGTGTTCCTTACTAGTCGAGGTTTCTCTAAGTGGACGTACGATGAGAATTGGACATTTCGCATGTTGGGCACAGTAATCACTCACACTCCCTAGAAAGGCCCTGCATGTAAATCCCAAATACACCATCGAATGATCAAAACCTTTGACCAAAGAAATCTGCTGTTTTGGTTATAACAAAATAAAAAGGTTGTGTAACCTTTTGATCATGCCGAGTCCACGGCTACCAACAACAAGAAGATCCACGTGGGTTTGCTCGACCGCTTGGCATATCATCTCCTTTGGATCTCCTTCCAATATCATCGTTTCCGTCTTCACCTGCAAACACAAAACCAAAACTCGTAAACAGACTTTTTTTAATAAATTATTCTCTCCCATCATCCATGAGGTATATACAAAGCTAAAACATATCAGGTTTAATTTTATATTTTATTTTCTCACCATTTTGCCTCGGCAAATCTCCAATCCCCGTGTGAACAACTTGGTCGTGCTCTCTTCTCGTGCTTTCCTCATTGATTCAGCAACTGAATCTGTCGCATACACCGCCGTAGCTAAGAAATTTTCAAATTCCTCTCAATACGTACGTGAAATATAATTTCCCATGTTATATGCATAGAGAAATTAAAGTTTTTTTAAAAAAAGATAAGGATTTTTCTTCACCGGTTCCGCCAGAAGGGTAGATATATTGAAGGTGCGGTGGATGAACATGAAGCAACGTAAGTAAACCGCCTTCTTGATCGTTTTCCGGTTCGGCTCTAAGAACATCTCTGAGATGATCCACTGCCCATTCCAACGCATATAAGCTGTTCTTGCTCTCATCAATCGCAATCATAACCTTTAACTTCTTCCTCTTCGTCTGCGTGGCCGGCGTAGGTTCCGTCGTTGTGGCTGCCGTGTCCACACCAGTCGCATCGACGTAAGTCTCCATTTTTTTTTATTGGATCATTCGATGAGTTTTTCATTCGACTATAGCAACTACACTTTACTATGTATAATATATATCGTATCGTGGTGTGTTATGTAATGTTAGTGTGAATATATTGATTGAGTAGGTGGAAGCTGGAGAGTGTTAACAGATGTTTACGATGGATCTTTGGATCGACACATCTCATTTGTGATGGAGACGTGTCTTGCTTCTGACGTAGACAACTGTTAATTCAGTGCGGAGGGAAAGCTCGTTTTTTGTTTTTTTTTGAATATTCAACGTATCTTTAGTATTTTAAAAAGTTTAAAATTGAGTTTGGTTCAAACAGCTATTTCGTTGGGCCTGAATAATTTGGGATAATGCTGTTTATTTTCAGTTTGATTTAATAGTATCTTGGATTAGATTCCAAATCAGTCGATCTATTCAATTCAATTTCAGAAAAAAATCTGACTGGAAACGTCAATAATCCAGCTTTAATTGGTTTTCTTAAGATGACACATGGTTCGGTTTATTTCTGGTTTATGCTCAAATGTATGATACGCAGAGGGATGACGGATGAATGATGATGAAAGCTAGCCAGGTAAGGCAAGCGAGAGAATTTTTTGACTCTCTCTCTCTCTCTCTCTGGCTAAAGGTTTTTCATTTCTCTTTCCTTAAATCCTGAGTGTGCGATTCCTCTGCTGGTTTACGAATCAGTTTCTAGGGTTCTTCTTTTCGATAACTTTTCGTCGTATTAATGGGTGAGGAAATGGAGAAGAACTTCACTTGGGTTCTGAAAAAGTTCTCTTCTTTGCAACATGAGAGATGCTACTCTCGCCCCTTCACCGTCGCCGGCTACAATTGGTAAAGGGAGAAACGATTTTACGAGCATTTTTTGTTTTTTTTTTTATATTGTTTTTGGTGGGATTTTGATTTTAAATGTGGGTATTGTTTTGCTACAGGCACCTTTGTGCTTTTCGGAAGGGAGATAAGAATGATGGTCACTTGTCCTTGTTCGTGGAACTTGCTGATCCTGAATCTTTGCCACCTGGATGGAGAAGAGACGCCAAATTTAGCCTCACTCTTGTGACTAAGGGTTGTGGCAAATCGAACTTAGTCTTGGGTAACCTCTACGCTCTTCGATTCATGCTTTTGTTCACTTTGGCCTAAGCGTGTGTCGATTCCTACTTGTCTTTTGATTACTCTGCAACAAGGAAATGTTATTGCTTGTCATATCCCCTGTCTTTTGTCGATTCCTACTTATCTTCTGATTTCTCTGTAACAAGGAAATGTTATTGCTTGTCATATGCCCTGTGTTTTCTCCATGTAATAGATCTTTTTTCTTATGCAAAAGTCTGTTTATTTTTGTTTCGTTTGGTGCTCCTTCACTTGATGACACATTTTTTTCAACTCTCTTGTGTTTTGTGGCAGTTGGGCAACGCTGTTTCAATGCAAGGGAAAGGGGTTGGGGTGCTATTGAGTTCGTGTCCCTTACCAAACTTCGTGCCAAGGATGAAGGATTTTTGGTTAACAACAAACTCACTATCCTCGCTGGACTACACGTTCTCCCAGCTGCTGTTGTGCCAGAGGAAACTGAGAAATTTACTGTACCTCTGAGCAACAAAGAAGGAAATCAAGCTGATGATGCATCTCTCGGCAAGTCTCAGGGGGACTCTTCTTCTTCTCAAGTGGCGCAAGAAACAGATGAAGATGACGCATCTGAAGAGGGTTCGGATGGTGATGATGATACTTCTGACAATGGTATCGATGATGATGCTTCATCTCCTGCTTCAAATGATGGAGGTAGGGACATAGGTCTGTCGAACCAATCGAATACCTTGGAGGACGCTTCCCACACGGTGGGAGATCATGATGTAAAGAGTAACAGTGTTGCAGCTGAGACTGAGGTTTCCAACGGGGACAATGATGATGCGCGTAAAGAAGATGTTGATGAAGAAGCTTCGTCTCTTGTTTCGAATGATAGTGCTAGAAACGGGACTTCTCTAGACCAAGTGAAGTCCTTGGAGGATGCCTCTCAGACAGTAGAAAATGGTGGTAAGGGGTTAAACAATGTGGCATCTGTTACTGAGACTGCTAATAATCTGCTCAAGGAGATTCAACCATCTAAGGAAACAATGGACGTCAATGGCTTTGAAGTTTTTTCTTCCCAGGTAAGAACGATCCTTTTATTAATTGTTGTCAGAAAAAAAAGTTCTACACACAACCTGAAACTGAATGGGTTTGAAGGAGATTCAAGTTTCAACCATATGTCTGGTTATTTTCTTTTCACTTTTTTTTAGGTTTTACCCTCACAATCTTGTTACCAACATCCTTTTACGTTGTTTATGGCTAGCAGGTTGAGTCGGTGAGGCATATATTCAAAAGACACCCGGAGATAGCATCAGGCTTCCGTCCAAAGAACCAACAGATCAGAAAAGCTTACATGAATGAACTCCTTAGCGTCATCGAGTTGATGTGCGAGTCACCAGAGAAGCTCTCCGAGGATGATCTGAGCAAGGCTGATGAGACGCTGGCTGATCTGACTGATGTCGGCTTTAAATTGGACTGGCTGAAGACAAAGGTGAGTGAGGTTTCTGAAAAGAAGAAGAAGGAACAGACTAGTGGGGCTCGGCTACAGACGATGGAGGAACAGTTGCATAAGCTGAAGCTGATGTTCTTGGACCTTCAAACTCAGCTGCAGATGGAAAAATCGGAGGCCTTGGCTGCGAGAGCTCCTCTCTCGTTCAATGATGTTGTTTGCTGATTTGTGAGGATTCTTGGTCTTTTGATATCTAGGAACAAGTCTTTTTTTTTTTTAAGTTCATATTCTTCGAGTCATTTCTCGAATGGGACTCGGTCGTGAAATTAACTTGAAAAGTAACTATTTTAAAACATTTTATAAGGTTTGAATCATCACTCTCTCCACTCTTTCTGAAAATCCAAAAACTTTTCTCCTCTGAGTAAGTGGACACTTTATAAGGTTTGGATCATCACTCCATTTTCTCTGCCTTCCAAGGTTTGTTATATGTATAAGCTGGAGAGTCTTAATTTTCAAATACTCATGTATATACACATTTGTTCCCCGCTTGCAGGTGGAAAATTCTGTAACATCCAGTCCAAAGAGCAATTTTGTGTGGAAAGCTTCCCGAAATTTAATCTAATTCCTAGTCCTGGTGATGTTTGTGGAGCTTGCTCGGATTAGGGAGGAGGTTGAGAAAATGAAAAGAAATGTTTGAATACCCTTAGACTTAGAGAGACTTGAGCTTTGTACGGCAAAATGAACGTTATGTTTGGTTTAATTTGGAACAGTCTTTTTGATAAAGGTATGACTGGAATTTACATTTTAGTGTTCCTTAAAAATCCTTTTTGATAGAGAATTTTGAATTTTTTTTTTTAAAGGGTTTATTTTTAAAATTCTCTTTACTTCTTTTTTTACTTATGAATCAAGTATCAAATAAGGTTTAGGGTTAGTTGTTGAAAGCTAAGCTACAATCGTTACTCGTATTTAAAAAAAATATATATTAAAAGCGTAATCTAAGTCGAAACCGATAAACAATAGCAGAAAAGAAGAAAAGGAAGAAAGAAACAAATGTAATTAATCAAGTGAGATGTTGCGGAACCCGAACCAGAGATGGGATGTAAGAAGAAGCAACAACACGAGCGTCTTCTGAATAAAGCTTGTGAGAGCATAACCTGTGTGGGGAAGACTTGAACAATGTCTCTCGATAGTCCCAAACTATGATCACGACTCTATCTCCTTGCTCAGAAATTGCCACGGGCGTGAATAGCTGAAAATGAAATCGTTCTGGTTGGTAAAGATGGCATAATATTACTGAATACATCTTAGCCCATCTTTCTTCTTCTACATCCACCATGCTCCAGATATCGAGGCGGGCATCGGGAGTCCTCCTCATCTCGGACACTGAGAGACGGTTCTGCCCGAGGCTCAGAAGCTCAGACGACAAATTGGGGCTGTCTAGGTCTAGATAAAAGTTTGGGTACGAGACGACTCTAAACTCTTCGGTACCAAGATCAAACGCAACTATCCTCGGTACGTTTGGTTCCCAGAGATCAATAGTGAACCAGTGAACCGAACCATTGACATAAACCGATCTTTCCGTAGTGAAAATCCGGTACGGCACGAAGCCTACTCGTCTCCATTGCCCTGTGTCGAGATCAAGAACAGTGCAATCCTCAACGATTAAATCGATACCATTACTACGTAGCTCAACCACTTTATATGCTCCCGTAACTTCGTCTTTACCGAATCCAAACGAGCCTACTTCCGACGGGAATTTAGACACGAGCTCCTCTATTCTTCGTTTGAGCATAATTGATATTATTGGGATACGGCTTCCGGTAGGACGTTTGGTAGAGACGAGAGGTTCTCCGAGAGGAAATCGCCGGGATTCTCGTGTGGCTGGGTTACAAACTTCAATAGAGTCGGACCGAGGGATGCAGATTAAGCCGTCGCATGTCAGCGACTTTCTGAAAGCGTCGCAATTGCGGATATAGCAGATTCCTTCTTTTTCTTCTCCGGGGAGGAAAAGACTCGGCGGGTCACCGTCGCTGTCGAGAGCTAAAAGGATTTTCCGTCGGGAACTCTTCAGATGCCTCTCGATGAAACTCTGAGATTCGAGTGAAGATTTCCATTGCCTCGAAACGGACTTGAATCTCAAGATGGACTTAAACGGAAGCCTCAGGAGGATATCTTCCACGAGATCTTGAGCAATGTACGTACTAGTTGAATTAGCGGCCATAGCTTTTTCTTCTCTCAAGATTTTTTATTTATTATGTTGCCTCTACGATCAAACATCTATTTTTATATTATATACCTACCAAATCATTCACCAAAAAAAAAGGAAACTTCGACAAGTCGGTTTGGCTAATCCTAGGGTCAAAAGGTTCCTAAAGGTACGAGATGAAGGATGAAAATTTGGTTTTGTTAGTATATAAATAGATAGATTGTTGATCGTAGAGGCAACGTAATAATTAAAAAACCTTGAGAGAAGACTTGTCCAAGTTTCCTCTTAACAAATCTCAGAGGTTCCCAACTTTTATCATAAGTAAACTCCAAACTAAACCGACTTGTCGAAAAAAAAAACATTTATTTACTGTTTAAAAAAAATCGGAATAATCAAATCTACATGGAGCATTGATTTTGTTATATAGATTTTTAAGATAATAATTAATAAGAGCTTTTCTAGGTGTTGTAACTTAAAAAAATATATATGAAAATCATTGGTCAGGAAAACACGAAACCAACCAAACTAACGGTTACATGATAATTTTTATTAGCAAAAAGCCCATTCCAGTTTATCCTTTTCCTAAAGTTAAATTCAAAGGTTCCTGCTGTTTGGACTTGTAATATTTAGTTACTGATTAAAAAAATTCGGGAGTAATTATTGTTGAATGGAGCCTGAATTTTATATATATATTTTTTAAAAAATAATGGTGATCTTGATGCAAGAGCATCATTAGAACTTTTTTACTGTTAGCGCTGCGATACATCTCAATCAAACAAGAATCCTATCTTCACTTCTTAGACCAGTAGAAATTTTTTCAGCAACTACACAATCAAACTGTTTTATTAGTCTTTGCTTTTAAATCCCATCTAAACACGTCGCAAATCAGTCTAACTAAAATATGGTTTAATGGATGTGGCTCTCCTCCGTCCAGGATGCTTCCCACCGCATCAACTCCACCATGTTCTCAAAAACATCTCTGGTCTTCTTGGTGCAAGACTGTATAATCTCACATCTCTTGTAGAAGTTGCTGCTGCTACCAAACGCTCAAGCTGACGTTTTGAGGGCTCTGCAAGAAAAATATAAAAAGTCAGAATGTCAACATGAAACTATAGTTGGTAAGTAAGAAAAAAAGTCAGAATGTCAATTTTTTTTACCTTCGATCTCATTAAATTTGAGAAATTCCAGACCGTGATGATGTGCAAATGCACATATCCACTGCAAAATGGATGTGCACCTACGAATCTGCACTAGAAAAGAGTGTTAGCAACACTGCAACATTTTTACAAGCAATTTTTTAAAACTAAAACACCAAATTAACTTACCTCAAACCAAGCAAGCTTTGTCGACTTAGTATATGCAACGCAGATTCTGCTGTGTTTTGGCCTCGCCGCCAAGGACTGAGAAGTGATATGATGCATTATGTTAATACAATGTCAACAACCAAACATCATAACACATAGTTATACCTGCTTACGAAGACTATTGCCAACGCTGTATCTTCTACTGTCGTGTATTGCTCTCGCCATATCCTGAAAATAATAGTGAATTAGTGATGCACTAGGTTAATACAACGTCAACAGCCAACATCATATTAATATTTATACCTGCTCACGAAGATTAAACAATCTTTGGTATTGGTATTCAGCTTGAGATGGATTGATATCATCTTCTGCCTCTTCAGAGAACGATGACCTCTTTGGCTCACAATGTTCTCCTCCATGGGTAGGAGTCCAGGTAGCTAAACATATCCTCAATGCAAAGAAACAAAAATTTAACTGAGGGTACATGCTTTTTTGTATGAATATAGACACACATCTCATGTGTGAGCCGCAAGATCCCATGTGTACGTGTAGTTTAATGATATGTGATATTCTCAAAGGTTTTAATTAGTACTTACCAGCAGAACTGGTGTTTACACGTACATGTCAAGTGGAAGCAGCCAGTGAACAATTGAATCGGGGTTCTACATTTAGGGCACTTCTTGGCATTAGCTTTCTTCCTGCAGATAACGAAAACTGGTGTTAGTAATGTCGGCAGAAGTAAAGCAAAAAAAAGTCAAGATCCTGAGCTTAAATGACTCATTCCACAAATTCTCTCAGTATGTGTGTGTGTGTCTATATTACCAATCAACAGCGGCTGCATTCTGCCACTTAATTCCACAACGTCTGGCTATTGTACAGTCGACAGGATAATGAGATCCGTTTGAGCACTGACATGTTAAAATTCAGAGATCAGAACTGTTCGTGCCAATTACTGTTCATGCCAACTAAGCATTAAGAACAAATCCAAACGATTATACCTTCCAGCAGAATCCGTGGTATTTGTAGCATTCCACGTCGTTGGCATCGTTGACATCTTTCGGTGCTATTGCGTAGCAGCACTCTGGTGCAGGGCACCATTTGATTAGGGGATTGTCAGTCACGTATGTTGATGTCTCAAATCTCTGGTACAAGGAAACCTCCTCTTCAGACAGCAACGACTTAGATAGAGTCGGTCCTACTGTCCTGCCACATTTCTCCGTTGCACACACTAGGTCAAGGACTTTTGCTCCATTCTTCAATTCAACGGAAATGTATGCTGCAATTATAAAAAAAAAAATTGTTAGGATATCATCAAAATGTTCACAAAGAAACCGAAAGTTCAAATGTTCAAAACGGTGCTTACATGACATGCAGACTTTGCAGAATGTGTGCCCACACAATGTTTTGGTCACTTGGCTTGCAGCAAAACGATCAAAACATATTCCACACATGTCCTAGGTCAACAACATTTTATGCAAAATTAATGATAACTAATAGGAAATCTATAAAAGTCTCTCTGTGATCGATGATAAACCAAATAAACTAATACTACTAAAGCCAATTGTTCATTCCGTTTTCAAGAAAGATGTTTACCTCATCGCCATTGGTAGTGGAACAAGAATACTTAGACGCGTCAATGTTGCCTTCGAACCATGCTTCAAACAGATGATCCCCACACCATCCATGCTTTTTGAGAAGTGCGAAGGCATCATCTTTGGCTATAACCAGAAATTCTGAGACACTATCAACGGCTTGCTTCTGGTGAGCTCTGATTGTAGGCAGGTCCAAAATCAAGAAACCCGGCTACAAATAGAAAGGGATAAAGATTGATTACCTAGATCAAATGAGAATTCATGAAATCAAAAATAAAGAAATTGAAGAAGATGATGAATTACCCGGTCGCCCAAATTTACTCTGGAGCCGCAGACGTCAAACGCCGCCATTTTCAAGAACACAAGAAAGTATCAGAGATATGTTGAGTAGATACGAAGAAGAAGAATAAAGGAAAGCGAGGACGATATGTTGAGCGCAGAAGAATAATAAAGGAAAGCGACGACGATATGTTGAGCGCAGAAGAAGAATAAAGGAAAGCGGCGACGATATGTTGAGCGCAGAACAAGAATAAAGAATTAACGACGAAGAAGAAGAAGAACAAGACGTTGGGTTTAAAAGGACTAGAGGGAAAATCGTCGTTAATTGGTTTAATTTCGGTTTAGAATAAAACCGAAAAAAATAAAACATAACCGAAAAAATAAAACATAACCGAAAAAAATAAAACATTTACCTTAGGGTTTAGCTCATCGGAGCCGCCGTTTATCTTCTTCCTCATTTCGGGAAAGCTTTCCCCTTATGAATTCTTCGGTCTTCCACTTTACCGATCGACCCTTGAGCTCCCCCCATCTCCTCTCTGCCAAATTTCTCTCTCGAATATGATGTTCTCAGTTCTCGGATCTCTCTCTCTCTCTCTACTCCGAATTGATTCGACCCAGGGTTTGTAAGTGAGACTTTCCTCTGTATAAAACCACAATCTCATTCCACTTTTGTCTGCGTTTGAATTTTTCGCCATATGTAGCTAAATGCTTCTTCGCCACTGCGAAAAATGATATCGTAAGTGGCGTAGAACCCAGTATTTCAGAACCCCAATCTCCACCGGTTTTGCGCGACGATATCTATTGTTGGATTGAGTGAAGCCCACAGATATAGGCCCAATAGGTAGACACATTCATTTCTGGGTCAACGTGGTAACAAACCTTTAAAAAAATTATGTAATTAGAGTATTTGGTCAAATGTATGCAAACACTGTAGAATTTTATTTTTTTTCTCTGTGAAAATAATATTAGTGAAAACACTGCCGTAATTGTCAAAATCTTGAATAGTCTAGGACTGTATTGGTTTGGCCACTGTTGTCGCTCAAGTTGCGTTGGGGACATTTTTGATTTACAGACTTTTAATTTTGTATTCTTAGAACTGTCAATCTGTCATCCTTGTTAACCCTAAACACGATCGCTATTTTGTGAGTCCAGTGAAGAGAGAGAGAGAGAGAGAGAGAGATCAACTGTTTGCTTTTACGAACTTTGTTATCAAATTCAGTTTCTTGCAAGTTGAGAATAGATTCACTTGGGTTTTTGATAAAAGTAGCCTCCTTTTTGCAAGACAGTGTAGCTACTCTCGCCCCTTCATGTTCGCCGGCTGCAAATTGGTATTGTACAACCCAATTTCGTCCATTTCTTTTTGTATATTAGGAACACATTACTGACGATATAGCTTTGATTGGTTCATTGTTACTTACCCCAAGGGATATGCGAATTGCAAACTCTTGTCGGTGTATCGGGATGTTGTAAATCCTCAATCTTTGGCTCTTTTATATTTTGTGTCCTGAGTTTACTCAAATGTATGAGAATAGCTGTATTTGTGTTTCTTGCAGTAAATTTTACTGCTCTTTATGGTTAGACCACTTGATGAGATAATGCTTTCTCCTGTTCTAACGTTGTGGACATGACAGATGCGCAAAGCTGGTTCAGTCTATTCATCTAATCACTCTGTCCAGACTCCACTCCTTTGGTAATCCAAAGCATGTCTTCTTCTTCTTCTTGAATCTTGAGTAAGTGGGCAGTTCTCATTTTATATTCTCTCTGCCTGCTTGAGCTTTAAGGCTTGCTTTGTTCTGCTACGAGAACAACGCAGGAGGATGTACAAGACAGGAGTTAAGGAGATACACACTATAGACTGAAAACTGGGTGAGAAACATACTAATATTCTGCTTTCGATTGTGTTTAAACTTCACAGTTACGTCTTTTTTTTCTCTCAGCTAGCAGTAACATTTAGGTCCTTTTTTTTGTTTTAGTAGAAAAGAAATTTAATGAGCAGTGTAATAATTTGTCTTTGTATAACAAGGGGAAAACAACAGAGTATCTGCTGCTTCTAGTATTCACTATCATATAGTATGATGAATCCTCATGGTATTGATGATTGATGTGATTTGACTTATGTAATAGGGAAAATGAGATGGCCAGAGAGTGAATGCAAAAACTTGGAAGCACCAATAGTTACTCTAGCTTGGATCATTTCCCCAAGCGATAAACTAGGAGTAAAACTTTTTCTTGGGAACCAAAGATGGGAATTTAAAGCGATTTGCTTTCTGCTTGAGCGTAATCAAGTCCGTTCCCTTTACTGTTTCTCCCTTCAACTTTTGTTTTTTTCCTCATTCAACTTTCATAATACGAACATGGGTGTTTTGTTTTCTTTTTCTGCTCGGCTTTGACCGTTCATCGTCTAGTTTTTGAACCTCTTGGACTCTGTTCGTTATCTACAGTTATTTGCTCCGGAGTGTGCTTGAGTGGTAGCTTTATCAATTCTAGGTGCTTTTATGTTCTCGACTTCTAATGGTTTTCTCCTCTTCATGTCCTGTAGGTTGATTGCGAGAATTTCCGCCAATGGGGAAGAAAGTTAGCGGGAAGTTCGTCTGGGTGATAAAGAATTTCTCCTCTGTGCAATCTGAGAAAATTTATTCTGATCCATTTGTGATAGGTGGCTGCAAATGGTAAGATAATAATTTTCTTCAGTTGTTCTGATGTGCATAAGTTTATTTGATAGTCTCTAGTGATTCTTTACTTTGTTTTCTTGTGGCAGGCAACTTCTTGCATATCCCAAGGGAGATGGCGTTGATTACTTTTCTCTGTATCTGGAGGATCTTGCTGATTGTGCATCATTGCCTTGTGGATGGAGGAGAAAATCGTCTTTCCGCCTAACAGTAGATTTGACGACGTATCTGAGGATTTGACGACGATTCATCTGAAGATGATCTGGATTATGATGATGAATATCTATCCGAAGAACATTACTTTGATAAGCCGTCTCCAGCCTTTGCCTGGCGTTACCCTACCCCTTCAGAAACCCTTGCGGAAGACGATGGATTTGAGGAATCCATTCCCGTGAGAAAGTTCAGTGGGTTTCATTCTTCCTTCACAGGTAAGAAGTTAAGATTATTTCTCAACTCTGTATTTTCATATCCTTAGACATTCTCAAACCTGAATACACGAGGTACGAAAAATCATGTGCTCTGCATTAAATGGTGTCTTTTTTGTTTTTGTGTTTCGAAAGCTAGTCTCTCAGAAGACTTTATAGTTTCTGAAATTATATGAGAGATCATGCTTCTCAAAAATTTGTATGATATGGTTTAGACATCGTTTCACTCGCAGGTGGGATCTGTGAGGCGTATATTTGAGAGACACCCAGACATTGCCGTAAGGTTCCGAGCAAAGAACAAACATCTTAGGACAACATTCATGAATTTCCTGCTCAGCTTAATCGAGACACTGTGCCAGCCACTTGAGGAGCTCTCCCATGGAGACATTGTGGAAGCAGGCATTGCGCTGACATATGTGAAAGATGTGGGATTTGAGGTTGATTGGTTGGAGAAGAAGCTTGACCAACTAAAGGAGATTTCTCCTCTTTGCAATCTGATAAGTGTCAGTCTGACACATTTTTTATTGGTGGCTGTACATGGTAAATATAACTCTCTTCCCTTTTTTTTTCCACCTGTTGTTTTTACTCTGTTAAAATTCATGTGATTTCTATAATTGTTGTGTGTTTTCGGCAGGTATCTTACTGCCACCACCAAAGCTAATCAGCCTCAGTACTTGTTTCTGTATCTGTTGCTTGCTTACGGTCCATCATTGCCTTCCGGGTGGAAAAGATATGTCAAGTATCGCCTAACCATAGTAAATCAACTTGCTGACGACCTATCCGTAATAGAAGGTGACACTTACTAAAATTTGGTCACGAGTGTTTTAATGTTCGGAATTGGTCACTATCAGTATCATATACACCAAGTAATCATTTTTTTACAGTAGCAATGCTCAAATGTTACAGATGGACTGCACTGGTTTGATTCAGGGGCTTGCAACGGTCGATTTCCATCCATGTTTTACCTTTCCAAACTACATGACTGTGGTTTCTTGGTAAACGGAGAACTCAAACATGTTGTGGAAGTACAAGTTCTTAAAGTTATTGGCGCATCCGAGAAATCTGAAAAGGCATCTAAACCTCTGAGGAGGATAGATGTTATAGCTGGTGCCGAGACTAATAATTTGCACAGTGAAGCTTCATCATTAAAGGAAAGCATGGATGTAAATGGCTTTCAAGTTCTTCCTTCACAGGTATAAAATTTGTAAATGCTACTCATTTCTTGTTAAACTACAAGACACATGATCTTTTTTTTTGGGGGTATTACATTAGAGAAAATGCTGTTTCTGCTTCGAAAACAATATTCTGCAAGGGGCTGGAAACCCTTTTATATACAGAAGATGTGGGAGCTCCTTACTTTCCCCTCCAATTTCTGACTTTTATATGGAAGCTGCAGAGATCTTGGTTTTTATAAGACGAAACCTTATAGGCAGAACTGGAATAGGATGTGTTTTGCGTTTTCTTTTTTGCCAGATCGCCAAGGAATGCTCTCTCATATGCTTTCTACACCTGTCTCTTCTCTACTTGCAGGTAGAATCTGTTAGATGTGTATTCGAAAGACACCCAGATATTGCTGTGGAGTTCCACGCAAAGAACCAACATCTGAGGAACGCATGCATGAATTTCCTGCTCAGCTTAATCGAGACGTTGTGCCAGTCACTTCAGGAGCTCTCCATTGAAGACCTTGTGGAAGCAGACATTGCGCTGACATACTTGAAAGATTCAGGCTTTAAGGTGGACTGGCTGGATAAGAAGCTGGACCAACTAAAGGAAAACAAGGAGAAAGAACAGTTTTGTTTGGCTCGGCTACAAGAAATGGAGGATATGTTTTTAGACTTGGATGCTCTGGTGGAGAAGGAGGAGGCAGAGTTGTCGGCCACCAGAGCACCTCTATCATTCGATGATGTTGTTTGATCTCTTGAGTTCTTACTAATTTTTGTGTTTTGTTATTTTAGTTCCTCCTTTGCTTTCAAAGTAAAAGTCCTTTTGTAAGGAAAGTGAACCTATGTTGACGACAAAATAAATTTGTGTCTGAAACATTGATCTTGGAGAATTCTTAGGCACTTGGAGTTCATTGACTAGGTTCTGAATTGAGAATCCCCTTTTGTAGAAAGTTTGTCATATATTGTGAAGTAAACATAGAATGGCACTTTAAGAAAAGAATCAGGGCTAGAAAAAAGTAAGCTTGATGATAAAGCATTCTCTCTAACATTCATCAAATCATGATTGTCCTAAGGTTCTTCCCATCCGCTCACGTAATTTAAGATTCCTGCATTTTCTTTGTATATCTATCTGTTGCAAGAAGTAACCCACTAAAGAAAGAAAAAAACAGAACTACGTCGCTGACCCTGTAAGGTGAGCATATTCTCTTTTTTTCTAGTACTGTATTTATACTTTGGGTTCTCCTCTTCTTTCTTTTCAAGCAGCTCAATTCTCATTATACAGAGCAATCAAACTTGTTTGCATTGTAGGGGAGTCTTTATCACATCAATGGCGACGCCTAACAATAAGAAGTTCGCTTGGTTGATAACGAATTTCTCCTTTTTGCCATCTGACAAGCTTTATTCTGCTCCGGTCCTCATCAGTGACTTCAATTGGTAGAAATACAATTTTCTTCCTAATGTTTTTGTCTGATCCGTATTTAGTTTTGTTCAATTCTTTTCTTTGGTTTTCTTGTGGCAGGCGTCTTCATACCTATCCCAAGGGATATAAGGGCGGTGATTCGTTGATTCTGTCACTTGCTGTTGCTGATGGTCAATCACTGCCTTCTGAATGGAGAAGATACGTAAAATTTAGCCTAACTGTAGTAAATCAAATATCTGATGAACTCTCCATACACAAAGGTGAAACTGCTCACTAGTCGATTCATGTTGGTAAAAGTTATATATATAGGATGCAATAATGCAATCTTTTTTTACAGTAACAGATATATATATTCCAATTCCATAAGTCTACTTATATACGCTTCGAGGCTGTAATGATCTGTTGTGCTAATTTCTTGTTTGAACTAGAGTTTGTTGTTGCTTAAAGGTGTTTGTGTTGAGTTGGTGGTTTGGATCTTACTCTGATGGTTTGTTGTTGGTTAAGTAATGGCGTGAAATGTTATACAGAAACAAAGCTCTGGTTTGATCAGAAATCTCCCGGGTGGGGTTTAACCGAAGTGCTTCCCCTTGCCAAGCTTCATGACAAAGATGGTGGATTCCTGGTCAACGATGAACTAAAGATTGTTGCTGAAATAGAGGCTCTTGAAGTGATTGGCACATTAGATGATGAGTCTAAAGAAGCATCCGAACCATTGCAAAAGATTGAGCAAGATGATGCTGCACGATCTAAAGATGTGCTTGAGAGAACTTCATCAGTAAAGGAAAGCATGGATGTCAATGGATTTCAAGTTCTTCATTCCCAGGTAAGAACAAAGTTCTTGTCCCTCTAAAAAATGTCAAGATCATGTCTTTGTCTGTTTCCTAATCTTTCCAAAGAGTGCTCTCTCATATGCTTTGTACCTATGTTTTTACTCGCAGGTGGAATCTGTGAGACGGATATTTGAGAAACAGCCAGACATTGCAGTAGATTTGCGTGCAAAGAACAAAAATCTGAGGACAGCATGCATGAACTTCTTGTTCAGTCTTATCGAGACGCTGCACCAATCACATGAGGAGCTCTCCAATGAAGATCTGATGGAAGCATACAATGCACTTGCATACTTAAAAAATGCAGGTTTTAAGGTGGATTGGTTGGAGAAGGATTTGGACCAAGTCAAAGAAAAAAAAAGTGCAAGAGATTGAAGAAAGGGTGACGAGGAAGTTAATACTCCAGGCTATGCATTAAATTATCCTTGTAATATAAAAACAGAGTATCCACCTCTATGTAAATTGTGATGTATTGGGAAACTAATAATAATTTATACTATGTATTATAACTTGCATGCACCAATAGATATTCTAGCTAGTGAATCCCTTTATTTTAACACCTTGTAACAAGTCTCAAGTTAAGGATTCATAGGCAAGGAGATGGAGAGTTGAATATATAGTATTAGATTAGATGGAACAATGTGAAGATTTGGTTGAGAAACAGAGTACCCTGTTTTTGTTAGCACTCGCTTCATTTCGCATATTGGGCTTGTAACGTTGGGTTTATCGTAAAAGACTTTGAGATATGGGCTCCACTATACCATTTGTATTTGGCCCACATTGTTCGGCTTCCAATGTATATTTGATACGAATTTATCTAAACTATTTAAACGCCCCCCAGGGCCCAAAACCAAAAGGGGCCCAATAATGTTTTTTTCTAGCGTTTTGGTACTTAAGTGGGACCAGCAAAATGGTAGGGTTCATGACAAAAAAATATTCTTGCTCTTCCGAGATATTTCTTCATCGTTCGCTCTGATTTCGTTTTCTGCTCGGGTTTTCTGTTGATTATCCACCGACGATCGTCACGTTTCATCGTTTTTGTAAGTTATAGAGACGATTCTGAGATTGATCTTCACTAGCAAGACTAATCATCTAATTTTAATTTTCTGATAGAAATCTTAATCAGAATCTACAGTTTCTGTGATTGTATCCTCTTTATTCTGCTGCATTTCGAGTTTTTAACTCAATTTTTCCATGAATTATGAAGTGGTATAGATTTTATTCGTTTATTATCTCGGCGATCAATTGATATATTAAAACTTGTTCTTTGTTTAAGTTGTTTCTGGTGTTGCTTTGATTTGGTAGGGTTTATGAAATAGTCTGTGTGGTCCATTTCTGTTCTAGTGTTTTAACTCTCTTCATGTTTGTGTAGTAGTTTCATTGCGAGTAACATTCACCATCACATCAATGGAGAAGCAAGTCGAAAATAGCTTCGTCTGGGTGATAAAGAATCCCACCTCTTTGTCATCGACGACCTGTAATTCTGATCCATTTCTGATTGCTGGATGTAAATGGTAAAAAAACCAAACCTTTTTATTTGTTCTTAAATCTGTGTCTCGTCCATTTATGCGGTGATTCTGTTTTTTGTTTTTGCTTAATAATGCAGGCAACTTGCTGCCTTATCGAAGGGAAACAGCCTGGAGTTCTTCTATCAGTACCGGGGTGTAACGGATCATCAATCATTGCCGTCTAAATGGAGAAGACATGTGAAACTTCGCTTAAACATAGTAAATCGACAATCTGAGAAACTCTCCATAGTGACAGGTGATTCCATCTCTAGTCTTCTTGCTCTTTGATTCATTTTCGATGAACAGATTGCAAAGAGTTCTTGCCTCTATAAATCATTTTCTGTTCATGCATTTTGCAACACTTGTATGTTTTCTCTAGGTTATTTTGATTTTTGAGTGACTGGTGTTGGTTTGAACGTTGATGTTGAATCCTCAGGACTATACCTGGTGTAATGATTAATTTGAAATAATGTGTATAGTAACTAATGTTTATGCTGTTTATGCTACAGATTCGGAGTTCTACTTGAATGAGACGTCTCTCATGCGTCGTTATCCAACCGTACTACCTCCTTCCAAAATTCTTGCAAAAGATGGCGGATTTTTGGTAAATGGACAACTGATGATTGTTGTTGAGGTCGTTGCTCATGAAGTTGTTGGCACGTTAGGTGAATTACAGGATTCTGTACTTTTGAGCAGAATAGAGGAAAACCATGGCGCCAAGTCTAATGATCTACTCAACAAGACTCGACAAGTGAACGAAAGCGTTGGCGTCAATGGGTTCCAAGTTCTTCCTTCACAGGTAAGAAACTTAAGATTTGTACTTAATTATTGATAGAAAAAACTCGATCCTGAATAGAATATGTTAGTATGATCGCCCTTCTCTGAATTTGATGGATTTTTTCTTTTACTTTTTTGGGAAAGGTATGTTCTTCTCTGTTTTGAAAATAATCTCGGGTGCTTCAGTGAAACATTCGCAAATTCAGAGAAGCTGAAACCTGAAATAGAGAAGTTGCAGAAGTGCTTTAGTTTCTGTATGTGCTCTACTATATTGTTCATAGTTTTTTTTTTTTTACCATTGACAGGTAGAATCTGTGAGGCGTATATTTGAAAAATACCCAGACTTGGCATCCCAATTCCGTTGTAAGAATCAGCATCTGAAGTCAACATACATGAATGTCCTCCTTGGACTAATCGAAACACTGTGCCAGTCGCCTCAAGGGCTCTCCGATGAGGATCTGGATGAAGCATCCTCTGCAGTGTCGTACGTGACAAAAGGAGGCTTTAAAGTGGATTGGTTGGAGAAAAAGCTGGAGGAAGTAAAGGAAAAGAAGAAGAAATTGGACACCGGTAAGGCTAGGCTTCAACAAATGGAGAAAGAGTTTCAGAAGCTTAATCGGAGATGCTTACTCCTGAAAACTCTTATGGAGAAGGAGAATGCAGATATGTCGGCTGCCATTGTTGCTCTCTCATTCGATGATGTTCTCAGAAGCTAGAAGTTTGATGTAGGGTGTTTGATTTGTTGGCACTGTATTCAAGTTTATTGCCAAGCATAGCATTTTGAAGTAGGTTATAATGGAGTACATTGGTTTTCGGTGAACAAATGGTGTAAGCATTGATTCTCTCTGTTTTAGCTTCTTCATGCACTTGCCTTTTGATACTGCATTATAGTACATGTTTTTAAGAAAGGAGGGATTGATTCAATATACAGTAGAATTTTTATAAATTAATATTCGATAAATTAATAATCACTGTAAATTAATAATTTTTGTCGTTTTCAAGTTGGGCTAATGTAAAAATTGACAAAATTCGATAAAATAATAAGATAATATTTTTTTTGAAAATTCTGTGCAAAAATATAGTCCTATAATAATATAAATTAATAATTATACATGTAGGCATAAATTAATAATATAACATATTAAACTATGCTAATATTGTTGTTTTAAGTTTATAAAATTTGTTTGATTTGTATTATTATGACATTTTTTTGATGAATTTTATATTGTTAAAAATATTGATTTTGTTTTTTGATGAATATTAAAAATTTGAACTAAAAATATCTCTATAATTTATCGATTAATTAATAACTCTATAAATTAATAAATTTTGAAAGTTTCAATATTATTAATTTATAGAGATTTTACTGTAATAGATACATGTTTCTTTTTGGTTTCATTATAGAATATCGTTTGATATATCCATATATGCATACCTGTTGAATCTTCATGGTTATTGTACGGTATTAAATTGTCCATAATTCCTGAGGATACAAAAGTAATCTCTCTAGAGTATGAACAGAGAGTGGCATTTAAAGAGTCGAGGACATTGAGTGGCTCGAGGAAGGTAGACTATCTTAGCAATTACTAATTCGTAATGATGGCTGAGTATTAGTCAAGTCACTGTAACGTCAAGACTGTTCGTATTCCTACTCGTTTTGTTTGAGATGCCTTCATTTTTCTCTTATATATATCTGTGGCACGAAGTAATGTCTTGACCAAAACGAAATCCCTTGTGGACACTGTAAGTTTGTTATAGCATCTTGGTCTCGATTGCTTTTTTGTTTTTCTGATTTATCTTCTTCACTCACTTGCCCTTTGATGAGAAAGAAGGGAGTGATTCTATTTATGTTCCATTTTTAATTATGGTTGTGAGCATGCATCACAATCTCTGCATCTACGCGCCTTTGTTACTTAATTCTATTACTGATAGCGATTAGCCATTGATGCTTCACATATTCTTCTTTATCTCTATTACTGATAGCGATAACTACAGTAATTATAATATCTAAGTTCCTAACGCAAGTACTGATCCTCTCTCTGTCTTCTCTTCTTCATTCTCCTGCAGTTTGAGGCTTTGAGCTAAAGAGATTCCTATTGTATCAATGGATTGGAGTGATTTTTACTGCGACTATGATGAGAATTGGGATCTTGATTACTGCAGTGACGGTGATGGCTATTCATCTGAAGGGGATTTTGATCATGATTATATTTATGGAGATGACATAAGTGATTGCTATGCATATGAAAAGCACTGGGATCATAGTTATTCTTTTGCAGAGAACTTGAGTGATTGCTATGCACATGAAGTGGATTCAGATCATGGTGATGCTTTTGCAGAGGATCCAAGTGAGAGCTATGAATCGGAAGAGGATTTTGGTTATGTTGATACTCATTCAGAGGATGTGAGTGATTGCTATGCATATGAAGTCGATTCAGATCATGATGATACTGCTGCAGAGGATCCAAGTGAGAGCTATGCATATGAAGAGTGGGATCATGATGATACTGGTTCAGAGGCCCCAAGTGACTGCTCTGCATATGAAGATGGTTGGGATCATGATGATACTTATTCAGAAGGCTTTAGCGATTTCTATGACTATGATGATTAAGGGTTGCATGAAGAAGTTAGCAACACATGAAGTGGCCGAATTTTGATATTGAAGGCAAGGTAGAGAAGGTCGTGAAGATGGTAAAGTTTTAAAAAGCGTCCAAGTTTATGTCCTTGATTTTACATCGTATTGTTTGCTGCTTTCAGTGTTTTCCCTTAAATCACAATTTTCTTTAAGAAACCTTTGAAATAAAGCTCAAAAGTTAAATTTCAAATAAAGCTTATAATACATTGGTAATTTAGATGTAACTGGATACGATGAAGGACTTAGTGAGAAACAGAGTACTCTGTTTCGTAGCAATTACCGGCTTATGGTCTCTCTTTTTTATTTTAGTTTAATTATAACCTTGTAAGGAAGTTTTAAGATTTATATTCTCTTTTGGATCGTAAATACGTTTGATAATATAATCTAGATCTTGCACAAGGAAATTCTAAGAGGATATACTAAACATACTAGATTGTCTTTGTAATATGGAAAGAGAGGGACAAGAAAAAACAGAGTATCCGCTTCTAATTAAATTGTTTTGATATATACGGATTTAATCGTACATGGTGAATCTTCATGGTTTGGGAAAGTAGTGATCATCTATAGTATGAAGATAGAGGCTCAATAGAGTGGCTCAAGGATGTAGAGACTCTCTTAGCATTATGTGGCACGGGTATTATCAATCAAGTCACAAAGGAGTCAAGACTGTTCGTATTGAATTTCTTAATTACACTTTTGGTTATGCTGCTCGACATTGCTGTTTAATTTCCCGCCTCAGAAGAAATTAGGTGGCGGCCACTAGGGTTTTTCTTTGTCCTACTAGTTTGATTGCAGAGGAAACTTCATAAAGATTCAATGGGGAAGCAATATGAAAAGAGGATCACTTGGGTGATTAAGAATTTCTCCTCTTTGCAAACTGAGAAAATTTATTCTGATTACTTTGTGGTTGGTGGCTGCAAATGGTAAGAAGTTAACTTGTTCTCCAAGTATTTCTCGTCCCACGTTGATTTTTGGTTATTCTCCTCAGTTTCTGGTGATTCTTTGATTCGTGTTCTCTTGCAGGCGTCTCACTGCCTATCCCAAAGGGTACAAGGTTGATAATTGCTTATCACTGTTTCTGGAAGTCGCCCATCATGGATCATTGCCATCTGGATGGAGAAGACACACTCGATATCTCCTAACCATAGTCAATCAACATTCAGCAAAAAACTCCAAACGACATGGTGATGATTCCTTTACTTCTCCCTCCGCAAGAGTTTCTGTCTTCACTTTCATTTGGTGTTTTGAGTTTACTGTCAAGGCTTTGTGCCAAGTTGTGAAACATTGTCGTTCAAGTTCGATATGTAAACTGATTGGATCATCTCTGTTCTGTGATTTTACAGAGTCACAACAGTGGTTTGATAAGAAGTGGCCCAGCAGGGGTCGTCACTCCAGGTGTTCTCTGGATGAACTTCATGCAGCAGATGGCGGATTTTTGGTGAACGGAGAGCTCAAGATTGTTGCAGAGGTAGATGTTGTTGAAGTTATCGGCAAGTTAGATGTAACAGAAGATAGTTCAACAATAACGGAAGCAATGGATGTTAATGAATTTCAACTTCTTCCTTCACAGGTTAGAAATTTAGAATGTTACAAACTTTGTTTGTAAATAGATATTGAAGCCACTAGAGCTAACATGATGTGTGTTGTGTTGTTCTTTATTTAACACTCTTTTTTAAAAAACTCAAGGGGAAGTCTGTGAGGCTTGTGTTTAAAAGACACCCAGAGATTGCATCTGGATTCCTTCCAAAGAACCCGGTACTTAGGACAGGTTACATGAGTTTTCTACTCAGTCTGATTGGGACTATGTGCCAAGCTCCTCATGAGCTCTCCAAGGATGATATATCTAGTGTGTATGGTGCACTTGAATTCATGACAGAGGCAGGGTTTAACTTGGATTGGTTGGAGGAGAAAGTTGATGAGTTGTCAGAGAACAAGGAGATTGGTGAAACTAGGCTGCAAGCTATGGAGGAAGAGTTGAAGGGCTTGAAGCTCAGGTGTTCAGACATGGAAGCTCTGGTGGAGATGGAGAAGGCGAGAGTGTCATCTGCAAAATCTCCCCTCACATTCGATGATGTTGTTTAATGTTGTTCTTAAGGAACTTTGAGTTTGATTTCTACTTTGTGTTCTGTTATGTTTGTTTGCAGCCTTTGTTTTTTTGCGATGTTGCTTGAATAAATAAAACACTAGCGACTTTATCACATCTTACAATCATGATTGTAACATCGAATAATATCCAAAACCAAATAAATTCCCCTTCATAACCGAAGATTTTTACATACAGTACAGTACATTATGTATGTAATTACTATTAGATGTTTAATTTTGAGGTTCTCAGGTAATTCGGATGGAATTCAAGTATTTTGTGCAAATTCGAGTAAAAATGCCCGAACCCTACCCGTGATCAGTCTAGCTTTCGCTTCATGTTACCTTAAGCGATATAAAGGCGATTTTGCTTTCCTCCTCGGCGTAATAAAAAACGATTTGCTGCTGTGTGCAAGAGTTCAGAATCTGAAGTCTTTTGATGCCTAAGAACAACCCTTTCGTTTTATTGTAAAATGTTATAAACCATTTTTTTTTTTGTATGGTTCATTCATGTGCCGGTGATTCACGTTCTATGTGTTCAAACTTATTAAGGCTTCAATTTCATTCAATTTAGGTATTGTTATTTGATTGTCCGATATTCATAACATTTGGGTGTGTAACACTCAGGTTTTAGGGTTTTTTCTTCTCTAATTCTCTTCATCAAGATCAATGGAGAAGAAAGTTGATACCAAGTTCACTTGGGTGATAAAAAAAAAAAACTTCTCCTCTTTGCAATCTAGGAAAATCGTTTCAGACACATTCAACGTCGGTGGCTGCAAATGGTAAGGCTTTGTAAGTGTTTTCATCCATATAGATTAAATGTGATCATCATCCTCCAGAGTAGTTTTGCTTATTCTTGTTATATTCGTTTGCAGGCGTCTTAGTGCATATCCCAAAGGATACCAAGTAGATAACTTCTTATCTTTGTACCTTGAAGTCGCTGATTATGGATCATTGCCATCTGGATGGGGAAGACACACACAATATACCCTAACTGTTGTAAATCAATGCTCTGAGGAACTCTCCCGGCGACATGGTAAATATTTCATCCTACTGCTCCGTTTGAACTGGTGATTCTATGTTGCTCATCAAGTCAAGGGTGTTTTAGACTAGTTTCAATGTCTGAGTCCAAGTTTTGAACATTGTTTTTCAATCCACGTAAACCATATTTCATGAGATGAATGATGTTTTGTGGTTTTACAGAACTAAAACACAGGTTTGACGAGAAGTCTAACAGCTGGGGGATCTCATATATGCTTCCCCTAAGTGAACTTCATGACAATTATAGCGGATTTCTGGTGAATGGGGAACTCGAAGTTGTTGCCGATATATTTCTTCTTGAAATTATTGGCAAGGTACATGTTAATGGCTTTCATCTTCTTTCTCCACAGGTAAAGATCGATATTTAAGAATGTTATAAACTCGTGTGTAGAAATTTTCAGTAATTTACAAGGTGCTGCATTTGTGAATATAGATTCTACATTATATATATTTTCTGTTTTCGCTCTCAGGTGGAGTTTGTGAGCCGTATGTTTGAAAAACACCCAGAGATTGCATCTGGATTCCGTATAAAGAACCAAAATCTTAGAACAGGTTACATGAATTTGCTACTTAGCCTGATTGATACACTGCGTCAGTCGCCTCACAAGCTCCCCAAGGATCATATGGACGAGGCATATGATGCACTGGTTTGCTTGACTAATGCTGGATTTAAGTTGGATTGGTTAAAGAAGAAACTTGATCAAGTGCCAGAGACGAAGGAGAAAGTGAAAGCTAATGAGATTCGTATGCAAGAAACTCAAAAAGAGTTGAAATTAAAGTCTAAAGCGGAAGTGCTCAGATCTCGAAGCTCAGCTGGAGAAGGAGAAGGCAGAGGTGTTAGCTTCAGAAGCTCCTCGCTCATTCGATGATGTTATTTGTTCTTGACTTCTTATAAGCACTTGAAGTTTTTTTTTTTTTCTGATTTGATCTGTTAAATTAAACTTTTGAATCAAGAATTTTCACCAGTGATATTTTAGTTGGAAGTTCTTTTTATCAACATCACATGCCTTGTGTACTTGTATAACCTTGTATGCTTACTTATGAACCAAGTAACAAATACCATGTTTTAGGTCTTATTGTTTATCTATAGCTTAACTCGTCCTTAGCTTGTATACGATCGAATTCCCTTGTGGGAGATGAAAAGGTGGTTTTGATAAATCATTTACACTACAGACGAGAAGACAATTTTCTTTTATTGCATTCTCACATACAAACTCAGATGCTGTTGCCTTAGGAACTCTCCGGCCTTGCCATCTTCGCCTCGAGCATGATGACGTCATCAAAAGCCTCGCGTACTCTCTTTCTCGCCAGGCAGGCTTCTCCTCCCTTTCGTTCAGCTTCGGATGTAGCGGCCGCGACGGCCTTGTTCATGGAATTGACAGCGATCTTCGCGGCGCATAGAAAGACCTCGGACAGGGATTTGTCGACGAAGCGAGCGCCGTTGCTTCCGATGATAGGTCGGAAGAAGGAGAAGGAATCGTCCCGGCAAGGAGGACAGACGTAAGAATTCGAAGAGGGTTTTGCGTCGCCGGCGCATTGGATGTGGGTCAGGGACTTGCACTCGGTGCAGGAGACGCGGGGAGAAGCATACCGCGAAGAAGAATCGTACAAGGCGAAGCAGGACGGACAAAACGACTCCGGATGCTTGCGGAGGAGGCAATGGGTGCAGAGAAAGCGGATGATGCGATCGACACGAGCTGAGTGTATTACCCAGGAATCTCGGCTACCGCATGCGTCGCATATCTCGGCCGCTGCATCATCCGACGCTGAAGTTGACGTCACCGGAGTCTGTGTGGCTGTTGATGGCGGAAGATTCATAGTGTTACAGCTGCCTGGTCTGCGATTAGGAAAAATTAGGGTTTACTCCATCGAGAGGCGGCGCGTGACGACAAAGAAAGGTTTTATTCGATTTACAAGAAAACGGCGTCGTAACAATGGGCTCAGTTTATTGGGTCTTGTAATTGTTTGGGCTTTTTAATTTTGATATATAGTATACGGGAGAGGCCATTCACAATTTTCCACGGAAGTTTCCACATTCTCTCTAGGTTTCTTGATGGAAAAGTTAATTGCCTTGTGTCTTAACCAGATCAGAGTGGAAGGAAATGAGAAAGTCAGAAGAATCTGGCTGAGATAAGAAAGAAGGAGGAATCTTGGTGAGATAAAAGGAGGAGAAAGAAAGAATCGATGGAGCTACTTAACCCTACAACCGAAAGAGGGAATCCAAAAATCACAATGAGTATGCTCCAAGTAACCCGAGGAGGAACAAAAGCGATCGAAGATTCTCATTCCTTGTGTACAATGACCTAGGGTGGCTTTCGAACTTATAAAGGCTTCCATTTCATATATTATTGATTTCTTAATTTCAATCTTGGTTAAGCGGCTCGAGATTGTTGTTTGATTCTCAACTTGGATTTTAGGGGATTTGTTCTTTTCATCTTCTGCTAGTTTGATTGCATAAGAATCTTCATCAAGTATCTATGGAGAAGCAATACGAAAAGAAGATCACTTGGGCGATTAAGAATTTTTCCTCTTTGCAATCTGAGAATATTCATTCTGATTATTTCCACGTCGGTGGCTGCAAATGGTAAGAACCTTACTAACCTTTTCGTCCTTTTTAGGGTTTATGTGATATTCTCGTCCTTTGTTTTTCCTTGGTTTTTGTTTGTAGGCGTCTACTAGCCTATCCTAAGGGATATAATAATGCTAATCATATGTCTCTGTTCCTGAGTGTTGCTGATCCTACTTCTTTGCCTTCTGGATGGAGAAGACACACTAAATTTCGTCTAACTATACTAAATCAATTTTCGGAAAAATTATCCCAGTCAAATCTGAAAGGTAATTAATTGATAGCTTTCCACGGGTGGTTTTAGATTAGTTTAAAGTTTTGTGCCAAGTTGTGAACATTGTTGCTAAATCCATAGTTTGATGTAAATTGTTGAATTCGGTTTTTTTTTTTTTTTTTTTTTTGTGATTATACAGAAACACAACACTGGTTTGATGAGAAGTCTACCAACTGGGGTTTCCCATCCATGTTTTCCCTTAGTGAACTTCATCTCAAAGATAGTGGGTTTTTGGTAAACGGAGAATTGAAAATTGTTGCTGAGATAGATGTTCTTGAAACCATAGGCAAACTAGATGTAACAGATGAAGCTTCAACAATAACGGAAACCATGAGTGTTAAAGGCTTTCAACTTCTTCCTTCACAGGTAAGAAACTAAGAATGTAACGAACTTTGTGTGTTGAAATTTCACCCACATGAGAAAAGAAAACATGATGTGTGTTCTACAATATGGTGGTTTCGTGGTGTCTCTTAAAGACGGTACGTTCCCTGAGTATGGAGTTTATAATATATTATACTTATGTATTCACTGGCAGGCAAAATCTGTGAGCTATATGTTTGAAAGACACCCAGACATTGCATCTGAATTCCGTCCGAAGAACCCAAATCTTAGGACAGCTTACATGAGTTTGCTACTCAGTCTGATTGAGACTCTGCGCCAGCTACCTCAAGAACTCTCCGTGGATGACCTGTCTGATGCATATACTGGACTGGGATTTATGGCAAATGTAGGGTTTAAGTTGGATTGGTTGGAGAAGAAATTTGATGAGGTTTCACAAAAGAAGGAGAATGAGGAGGCTTATGAGACTCGACTGCAAGAAATGGAAAAAGATCTGAAGGACTTGAAGCAGAAGTATTCAGACATGGAAGCTCTAGTTGAGAAAGAGAAGGTGAAGATGTCGACTACAAAAGCTCCTCTATCGTTCGAAGATGTTGTTTAATGTTCTTAAGGCACTTAAATCTTGGTTCTGTTGGTTTGCAGTCTTGGTTTCCTGATGATGAGTACTCTTTAAAACTAATTAGGAAAGATAAAAGAGACTCGTGTCTTGGAAATTTCCACAATGTGGTAGATCTAAACTCTTTCGAATTATGTCAAGTGATTGATAGTAGAGTATAGAATCTCTAAGATATGAAAAAAGGAAACGATAAAATATTGAGGAATTGCTTTAACGAAACGGGGGAAAAAAAATTGAACTATTAAACAGTTGCGATATTTACTGTAGCAAAATTTTCTTAGAATGACTTGCATAGCAAAACCTCTGACGTATGAATCAAGTAACAAAAAAGAAGGTATTGTCTCTGTTTGGTAAAGGATTTTAATTTTATCTCTTGCTTACTTGTGAATCAAGTATCAAATAGGTTTTTAGGGTTTGTCTTATTATTTTGGATAAGCTCACTTTATCCCAAACGAAATAACCATAAATCTACATCTATTAGTAATAATTAATAGAAAGTAACCAAAATTTACAAATCTGAGAGACGGATCCGTCAATGTTTACAAATCTGACAGTCGTTGTGTTAAAAACGATTATTTTTTTTATTTTGCCTATAGTAAATAAATTAATTCAGTACAAAAGCTAAAAGCTAAAAGAATATACTTTTTATCCTATAAATACAGCAGCACGCAGGTCCAACACCAAAAGTAAACCCTAACGATTCGCATTCAGAATTTGAAGTGGTATCCATTAGCATTGATCTTTTAGTCTCTAATTTCCTCGACTTTGTTCGATTCAGTAGGGGGTAAGTATATGATTAGATGCTGTTTTTTGTTACTCGAGATTGTTATTACTTGTTAATTGATAGTCCGTGTGTGTGCGCGCAATTCAGGTTCTAGGGCTTTCTATACTTTTTTGTCTTCAATTCATCTTCTCGTAGTTTTGATCGCGAGTAAATCCTACTCGAATTCGTGAACCATTCACTCTTTTCGTCTCCGTTTAATTTCTGCAACACTGAAGCTTAATACGCAACTAAGCATATTGACCCTTTAGTCTGATTGATTTCAGAGCGTTGCAAGTTGCAACTTAGGAAGAAGTTAATCGAATTTCAATTGCTTGCAGTGGAATGTTAGTTTTTAATTGGTCTGATTTTGTATGATCAGGAGTATGTTTCATTAGGGTTCATTTGGTTTTATGAATTTGGGTGTGTAACGTTCAGTTAAAGAGGTTTTACTTTTATCATCTCTCCAGGTTACGGTAGTTTGATTTGCAAGGAAACTTTGATCACACGTAAATGGCAAAGCAAGTTGAAAAGAAGTTTTGTTGGGAGATAAAGGATTTCTCCTCTTTGCAATCTGAGAAGTGTTGCTCTGCTCCAGTCGTGATCGGTGATTGCAAATGGTAAAAATAAATCACCTCGGTTTTCTAGTTTGTTAGACGATTTTTAGATTTAGTAGGGTGATTATCAGTCTTGTTTTTTTTTTTTTTTTTTTTTGAAAAAGGTTATGTAATTATCAGTCTTTGATGATTCTTTTTTCTTGCAGGCGTCTTGTCGCCTTTCCCAAGGGAGATCAAGTAGATTATTTATCTTTGTATTTAGAAGTTGTTCAAGCACAGCCTTTTGGATGGAGAAAATACGTCAACTTTCGCATTAGTGTAGTAAATCAACTTTCGCCAGAACTCTCTGAGCAACAAGGTGATTCTTAGCATTAATTATATGCACCATGCAAATAGTTTCGAACGTATAGCAATGCCCTAGATATTCCAGCTTCATCGTTCTGCTTAATATGCTGCGAGATTGTAATGATGGTTTGAACTATCGTTGATTAACTAATGGCGTGATATATTTATATACAGAAACACAGTGTTGGATTGATGAGAATGCTACCGGGTGGGGTGTTCAAGATATGCTTCACCTTACCAAGCTTCATGACAAAGATGGTGGATTTATGGTAGATGGGAAAGTCATGATTGTTGCAAAGGTACAAGTTCTTGAAGTTGTTGGCACATCAGAGGAATCTGGAGATGCAACCAAACCTCAGAGCAAGATGAAGCGAGATGATGACGGAGCCAAGTCTAACGATTTGCTAAACAAGATTCAAGAAGTGGTGAAGGAAAGCATTGATGTCAATGGGTTTCAAGTTCTTCCTTCACAGGTGAGAAACTTAAGATCATGGCTTCCTCTCTGTTTCCCTCCCAAAACTGCTTGAGGATTAAGTACACTTGTTTTCTCACTGGCAGGTGGAATCTGTGAGGCGTATATTTGAGAGACACCCAGACATTGCAGTAGAATTTCGTGGGAAGAACAAACATCTGAGGACAACATTCATGAATTTCCTGCTCAGCTTGATCGAGACACTGTGCCAGCCACTCGAGGAGCTCTCCAATGAAGATCTTGTGGAGGCTGACATTGCGCTAACATACCTTCAAGATGCGGGATTCTCGGTTGGTTGGTTGGAGAAGAAGCTGGACCAACTAAAGGAAAAGAAGGAGAAAGAGCAGTCTGGTTTGGCCAGCCTCAAAGACATAGAGCAACGTCTTCATGACTTGATGGACTTGTGCCACCAAAAGAAATCAGAGGCTTTGTCCATTGGAGCTCCACTCAAGTTCGAGGATCTTGTTTGATTTCTTTTTTTTATTCATTTTTGGTCGAGTGTAACTCATATTCGCTCGCAAAGATGCACAAATCTGATCGGACCGGTCACCCCAACCGGTGTGAACGGCTATCCAAATTCACTTTTTTCTCTTCTTTAATAACCCTTTTAAAACCGGCTAAACTCTAAATGTCTGCTGGTTTGGTTCACTGATGAAAAACAGTTCAGGCACTCTAATCGATGTCTCCCCTTTTGAAGTATGGTTTTAGTCAATGTGAAATTCTGCTTAAGATTCGAGTTCGGTTCAATATGAGTCTAGTTGTACAAGATGAATCTGAAGAGGCAATTCAAGATTTAGAGGAATATAATTATGGTCCAGAGACTAAGGGTTTACTCATGAAGACTCAACAAGTAATGGAAAGCATTGATGTTAATGGGTTTCAAGTTCTACCTTACCAGGTACCAAATATTAAGAATGGTATTCAACACAAATACAAGAGACAAGAGACATGCAACTATGTCTCCTCTCACTATGTGGCCTGATCAGTTTCAGTTAATATATGCAGAATTTGCAGAAATCTTTCTGTTACTGGTTTATTTAAGCATCTATTTTTCACCCTTACAGGTAAGATCTGTGAGCCGTATCTTTGAAAAGCATCCAGGAATTGCATCAGAAATTCGTCCGAAGAACCAACATCTTAGGTCAGCTTACATGAATTTCCTCCTCGGCCTAATGGAGACATTGTGTCAGCCACCTCAGGAGCTTTCCAAAGGTGATCTAGGCCAGGCACATGTTGCGTTGGTCTGCATGATGTATGCAGGGTTTAAGGTTGATTGGTTGGAGAAAAAGCTGGACCAAGTGTAGGAAAGGAAGAAGAATGAGGAGGCTTGTGCGGCCCTTCTGCAAGAATTGGAGTAACATCTTCACAAGAGTAAGCAAAAGGAGTTAAATGAACTGAAGCGGAAGTGGTCAGACATGGAAGCTCTAGTAGACAAAGAGAAAGCAGAGGTTTCGTCCGCTAGATATTGTCTCTCTTTCGATGATGTTGTTTGATGTCAGTTATTTCTCGTCGTTCTCTTGGGAGTTTAGGTTTCTTTTGGTGTTTTGGCTTTCATAAATAAGTGTCTTGTTGTACTTGGGAATATTAAAAACTTGTGACGGAAGTTATTGCATTGTTCAAGTATTTTGGCTTTACGTTTTTTTGGTTCTGATCTGTTCAGTTGAGTTTAGGCTTTAGATTAAAGTAATTTGTTGCATTAAGTTTCTTGCTGTAAAAGTAATGTCTTTTGAGTGTGATAAACGGCAAACAAGTGACCCAATTGGATGGTCACCATTAATATTCATCGGTTGTTCATTTATAAGATTTGTTAATATAAAGTCACAAATGCATGCATTTAATTAATATCTCGCTCCTAACTCTGCAAATATATATACTCGATGGTCTCCGTTACTTTCTGCAAGACAGCAAAACTAAAGATTAATTAATCCTCAACTAATTATCTCCAGTTTTTTAAAAAGTTTGTCTCTTCGTGTCAATGGTGAAGAAAACGGAGAGTAGTGATTCTAGCGATGATGAACAGAGTTATTCATCTTCATCTGAAGAATGGTCCAAATCTTCAGACGATGGTGATGAAATTGTTGAAGTCAACGGGTTTCAGGTTCTTGATTCGCAGGTGATAAGATCATGAAATTGTAGTAATAATACAACTCTTGTATCAATATTAGTGTAAAATAAATATCAATATGATAGTGTAAAATGTATGAAACAGCAATTTAACATTTCTTGTTTCACAGGTAAACCAAGTGATGGCAATATTTGAAAAACATCCAGACATTGCATTAGATTTCAGTTTAAAGAATCAGCAGCTCAAAAATGCTTACATGGGTGTTCTTCTTGACCTTATTATGACACTGTGCCAATCGCCCAAGGAGCTCACAATGGACGATCTAAACAAAGCAGACCGAACGGTTTTGGATCTGACAAAAGCAGGCTTGAAATTGCATTGGTTGCGTCAGAAACTGGATGAAGCTTTCTTGAAGAAGGAGAAAAACCGGGCCATTAGGGCACGGATCAGAGTACTTGAGGAACAAGTCAAGAAGCGAAAGCTGACTTTGTCGGATTTAGAATCCGATCTGAAGAAACAGAAAGCTGCAGCTTTGGCTGCTGAAACTCCATTTGATTTCAGCGATATTGTTTGAAACTAATTTAAACTTTTAGTTGAAATTCTCTGTTTCTTTCTTTAACTTTTCATATTTCAATTATTCATTACAGTCTTGTCTTTTTTTTTAAAGAGTGTCTACGTATAAATCAAGTCTCATATATATCTCATTTTTAGTTTTTTTTACACAGTAAATTTGTATTCAAACTACCCCATAATCATATGGAGTATTTTAAATATTTAATATATTTTAGAAAAAATATTTTTAAAGGAAAAGAACTGTATTTAAACAAATAAATTTAGTACTTATGGTAAAATATCCTTTATTTTTAGTTATCCCAAATTATCTCTGTCAGTAGTTATATAAAATAATAATCTACAGAAAGTATGATTGGATTTCTAATACTATATACATCCCAATTCACCAAAAATGACCTGTAAATGATATAGAGGCACAAACCTTATGATAAGTATCCTTTCTTTCCAGTTAAGACTTGACTATGTGTGGAGGTAATCTAAGAAGAAGATTTTTCCTGTATGAAAAGAGATAAGCTTAGAGACTATATATATCTCGCGCATGCAACCATTTATATGTGGACGCAAGCTAAAAGACTCTTATCTCTTCGAGTTTCTTTCCGAGGTAATTTTTTACTGATTGTTCCTTTCTACTCTTTGATTTTCCGATAACTTATTTGCTGATGGTAATTTGTTCTTGAGGAAGCTTCATCAGTTGTAAAGGAAAGCATGGAAGACATCAATGGCGTTCCAGTTCTTGCTTCACAGGTATGAAAGTAATAACAGAAAAAAGAGTTAAAGTTTCTTTGATAATAAATGTATTCATCCTTTCTTTTCGCTTTCAGGTGGAATCTGTGAACCGTATGTTGGAAAAACACCCTGAGATTGCAACATCGCCCGGTCCAAAGATTCAGCAGCACGCTAGTATCCTCATGTGCTTGATCGATATGCTGACCCAGTCGATTCAGGGGGTCTCCAAGGATGATCTGGCAGACGCTGATGCTTCTCTTGCGTACCTGCTTAACGTCGGGTATAAATTGCAGTGGTTGGAAAAGAATCTCAAAACATTGTCAGACAAGAAGGAGAAGGAGGAAGCTGGTGTGGATCGGCTACAAGGGATAGAGGAAGAGTTGAAGTGTTTGAAGCAGAAGCGCTCAAACCTGGAAGCTCAGCTAGAGAAGGAGAATCGGATGCAAGAGGTCGAGGAAGAGTTGAATGATTTGAAGCAGAAGTGCTTAAATGTGGAAGCTGAGCTAGAGAAGGTGAAAGCAGATGTGGCTATGGCCAGAGCTCCACTAACATATGATGATATTCAGTATAATTGAGTTCTCAACTCATTTGAATTTTAATAATGTTTGGTCTTTTCGTCATGTATTGGTTTCGAATTTGAGTCAGTTCTTTAAATAAAAATTAAATAATAAATGACCTAACTTGGGTTGGAAGTTTTTTTTTGCATCTTATACTAATAAAAATTAAATAATAAATGACATTAGTTTGTTCTTGGGAATGAAGAAGAGACCATAAAACTCCACGTTTTATTTCATTAATAGTCACGGTCCAATAACAGGGTGATGATACTGGGCTTCCTCATGCTATTTTGTGAAACTTTCAAGAAGGATATATATACAACTACCAGATTCTTAGTGCCGGTTATTTACTAATATGCGCTTCGAGGAGCCGAATTGATTCGCGTTCCTCTTGTCTTGGTAATCAACCAGGGAGGCTTATAAAGCTGTGTCGCTCATCGGCTCATGTGTTACAGTACATCGTTCGTCTCTCTCTCTCTCTCTCTCTCTATCCTTCGACGTAACTCTGAGGTTTACATACTTGCCATTTTGATCGTTCATTCTTATTTTTCATTTTATGAATCTGTTTGTGTTTCTTCCACAGCGGAATAATACTCTTTTTAATATATTTTTTTTTCGTTTTACATACAAATTTGGGTTTGTTGTATGTAGGAGTCGTAACAAAAATCAATGGTGAACCAAGTTGATAAGAAGTTCATTTGGGTGATTAAGAATTTCTCATCTTTGCAATCCGAGTTTATATATTCTGATAAATTCTTTATCGGTGGTTGCAAATGGTAAGAAGATTATAACTTATTTTCTATAATATTTTTAATTCATCCGATTAAAATATTGGATATCCACTGTTTTCTTTGTGTTTTGATTGTAGGCGTCTTAAGGCCAAGGAAAATAATAAGCATGATGGTTTGTCTTTGTATCTGGAAGTTGCTGATTCTACATCTTTGCCTTTTGGATGGAGAAGACATGCAAAAGTGTGCTTTGCTATAGTAAATCAAGTTCGGGAAAATCTCTCCCAAATGCGAGGTGATTAGACTCTCGCCACGTTATGATTCTATTATAAGACGTACAATCAGAAAGATAGTATTGCATGTGGTTATATATGTTGTGGGGCTTTGGCTACTGTGAGATTCTGTCAATAGGTTGATGTTTAATCCACTGGAGTATAGCTATGTCATGCCTGATGCCTTATTCAGGAGTAAATGACGATTACATGAAATTTTTTTTCCTGATTTTACAGAAACACAACATTGGTTTAATGACAAGGAAGACGACTGGGGTTTCACATCCATGTTGCCCCTTTACGAACCTGAGGACAAAGATGGTGGGTTTCTTGTGAACGGAAATGTGAAGATTGTTGCCGAGGTAGATGTTCTTGAAGTTGTTGGGAAATTAGATGTGTCTGAGGAAACTTTATCAGTTAAAGAAAGCATAGATGTTAACGAGTTTCAAGTTCTTCCTTCACAGGTAAGAATTTGTTTTTCATAAACACAACTTTTTTTCTGGTTCTGTTTCCAGGTTTCCCTAAAATTGCTCTATGATAGGGGTTTACATCGTAAGTCATTTTCTCACTTGCAGGTAGAGTTCGTGAACCGACTGTTTGAGAGATACTCAGACATTGCATCAAAGTTTCGACCCAAAAATCCACATCTGAAGACAGCTTACATGAACGTTCTACTCAGCCTGACCATGATGATCCGCCAGTCGCCTGAAAATCTCTCCAAGGATGATCTTGTTGATGCATATGCTGCACTGGGGTCTGTGACTGATGCTTGATTTAAGTTAGGGTGGTTGGAGAAGAAACTCGACGAGTTGTCAGAGAAGAAGGGCAAAGAGGAAGCTTGTGAGGTACGGATACTAAAAACAGAGTCAGAGTTAGAAGGATTTTAAGCAGAAGTGCTCAGATCTCGAAACTCTGTTGGATAAGGAGAAAGCAGAGTTGTTGGCAGCTAGGGCTCCACTGTTGTACGATGATTTTTTTTTGGATGATTTGAGTTCTTAGCTATCAGAATTGGTGAAAGAGGAAACAAAGCAACCAGATTTTAACTCACAATCACTTGGTCTCATTTATGCCAAATAAAAGGTGTTAGAGAGAATGGGAATTTAATACTATATTTTTTGTATTTTTTGAAGATTTTTTGCAAATGATTTAAGGAAAGCTAATTATTCTTCTTGCAATTTATTCTTTAGAATTGAAGCAAAAACAATTTTACTTAGGCTTGTCTTAGGTTAATCTTTTATAACAATTTTATAACCCACCTATGAGATTCGAGGAGACGAAGCGTTTCGTATTCCTCTAGTGTTTAATTAACACGATTCTCTTCACAACCTGGATACTTTTTAACCGTTGGCTATACTGTTGGAAATATGTGGGTACTTGTAAAAATTGTTGTAATTGTTGTTTGAACTTCAGAGCTCATAGTGTAATCTTTTTATTTTTATTTTGGATTTTCTGTTTGAAATTATACTCTTTAGATTTTCTCGACCAAATTTAGGGTTTAACCTCTGCATGTTTTGGTAGTTTGATTGCTAAGGAGACTTCATCAAGATTTAATGGGGAAGCAATATGAAAAGAAGATCACTTGGACGATTAAGAATTTCTCCTCTTCGAATTCTGAGAAAATTTGTTCGGATCAATTCGTTGTCGGTGGCTGCAAATGGTAATAAGATAACTTGTTTTAGTCCAGTTTAGATCGTTGTACCTGTGTACGTGACACATCCATTGTTGTCTATGGTTTTTGCTTGCAGGCGTCTTGAGGTGTATCCCAAGGGAAATGCTCAGTCTAATTATCTGTCTCTTATTCTAGTGGTTACTGATTCTGGAGCTTTGCCTTGTGGATGGAGAAGACACACAAAGTTTCGCCTAACTGTCGTAAATCAACTTCCAGAAAAACTCTCCCAAGTGCAAGGTGATTATTTCTACACTAGCTACTTTATGATTTCATTCATGTCTTGTTCTATGCTTGTTTTGACTAGATAAGTGCCTCTATGTATATATGTTTCGTGGTTTAATTTACAGAAGCACAAGAGTTGTATGATCAGAAGAATCTCGCCTGGGGTTTCTTAGCAATGCTTAACCTGACCAAACTTCATGCCAAAGATGGTGGATTTCTGGTGGATGGAGAACTTAAAATTGTTGCCGAGGTGAAGAATCTTGAAGTTATTGGAAAATCAGACGTGTTAGAGGAAGTTTCATCAGTAGTCGAAACTATTGATGTCAATGGGTTTCAAGTTCTTCCTTCACAAGTAAGATACATAGAAAATAGAAAAGAAAAGAAAAAAACAGATTGGAAAGACTGTCAAACTATAGTTCAGTTCCTTGATATAATTAATAAGGTGTAGATTTATGTTTTGTGGGTCTGTTTTCAGGTCTCCAGTAACCGAAATCTAATGTGGTTTTACTTTATTTATCCATTTTTCACTTGCAGGTGGAATCTGTGGAGAGTCTGTTTAAAAAGCACCCAAACATGGCATCAAAACTCTGCCCAAAGAACTCACATCTGAGAACAGCTTGCTTGAATGTCCTACTTAGCCTGACTGAGATTCTGTGCAAGTCCTCTCAAGAACTCTCCAATGGTGATCTGGCCGACGCATGTTCTGCTCTGAGATATCTGACAAAAGCAGGCTTGAAGTTAGATTGGTTGGAGAAGAAACTCAAAGAGGCTGGTGAGACTCGGATGCAAGGAATTGAGGAAGAGTTGAAGGACTTGAAGAATAAGTGCTCAGACATGGATGCTCTTCTTGAGTTCTTAAGATGATGATGTTTCTTGATGACTAGGCAGTTAGGAGTTTGAATCTAATTGGTGTTCTGGTTTATCTGTTTGCATCTTAGACTTGGGGACGATGAAGAGACTTGTTCTCGCTATGTTTCTTATTGCAATTTGTTTCTTGATGGATTGTTCCCTCTCTCGTTTCATCAGTACTTGATTACTTAGGCTGAGTTACACTTTTGGTTATGCTTGGTTTTCTGTTTGCTCATTTTTGTTTTGGTTTCAAAGTGGTCCTCTTAAAAACTTTTCGGAATTTTCCAAATTTTTGTAAATAAGTGTTTTGTAGTTGAAGCTGATCTCTCTTTCAATGATGTTGTTTGATTACTTGTTTTTTTTTTGGGAATTGGAGTTTGGTTCTGTTGTTTTTGGTGTTTCGACCTCTGCTTTAACTTTGTAAGATATATAGACTTTATATCAGTAGACATTTCCACAATTTGTAGTTGAGAGAGAGAACTCTCTAGGTTTCCTTAATTGCACTGTGTTTCTTGATGAAGAAGTAAATATCTTGGGATGTTTGAACAGAGAATAGAGCCATTTTCCAAACACGTAGCTTGACGTGTGACGCGATTAATATTCATATGGTATTAATTATGATGACAAAGGTATTATTAAGTTTTTTTTTGTTCAAAGTATTAAGTTACGATTTGCTCATGTTTATTTGAGATGCATGCATCTTCTTTAATATAAATTTCAGTTACAGAAAGAAAATACTCAAAACACAAAACTCTCTTTCCGGATCCCAAATCTGCAAGCAAAGCTTCTCTGTATCACGAGAAATTCATATCGTATCAATGTGGAACGGAGATGGAACTGTGGACATCAATGGCTTTCGAGTTTTCTATTCAGAGGTAAGCACAACTATTTCTTCATTTTACCATTAATGATCTCTTTGGTTTTGTGATTTCTTACATCAAACTTGTTCTCAGGTGGATTGTGTGAGGAGAATCTTTGAAAGACACCCAGAAACCGCGTTGAATTTTCGTCCAAAGAACCAATTGGTGAAAAATGCCTACATGAACAACCTCCTCGAGCTCATCGACATAATTTGCTTAGCTCCTCAGGAGCTCACGGAGGAGGAGCTAAGTGATGCTGAGAGCACGCTTTTGGATCTGGTGGGAGTAGGTTTCAAGTTGGATTGGTTGAAGAAGAAGCTGGAGGAGCTTTGCGTGAAGAAGAAGAAAATGGAAGCACGTGGGGCTCGCATGAGAGAACTCGACGGAATGATCATCGAACAGAGACAGGTGTTGCTTGCCCTTGAAGCCGAACTGAAGAATGAAGAGAACGAAGCTATTTCCGACAGTGCTCGACTTGCTTTTGAGGATGTTGTTTGAGTGAAAGTCACCAGTGAAGAAGCCTACTAAAAAACGTACTGTGTCGTTATCTAGCAACAACAAAAAATGATTGAATAAAAGACCAGTTCCTAATGAAGCATCCAAAAAAGGACTGGATCTTTGTTACTTTAATGTCAAAATTTTCCTGGTGATTTCTTCTCCGATAAGCAGATTATGTCAATCACAAAAGAAAAATCTATAATTAATAACACTTACTTCATTTTTTCAATTTATAAAAAAATTATTTGTTTGCTTAAAAATATGCGTGATGTATTGTAATTTCAAAATATAAATTTAATTTGTTCTCTATTGTTAAATTCAAAATTTGATGATAAGTTGGAAAATGTGGAAAATTCCACTGAAACTATTAGAGATAGCTTGGGCCGAATTCAAGATTTTTAGGTACATTGGGCCGAAAATGTAATGCACTCAAGATTTTTAGGTACATTGGGTCGAAATTCCACTAAATCTGCTGGAGATATTTTGGGCCGATATAAAATATTGGGCCCAAGTCCAAAAGTGAAGACGAAGCAACACAAATCAATGAGGAGAGGCGGGGATTTGATTTGAGAATTGGGGTTTGCCACAAGCGTTCTAGTCTAGGGTTCTACTTCTCTTTCATGTTCTGGAAGTTTGATTCTGAGGACTTGACAATGGCGAATGAAGTTGGTAACAAGTTCACTTGGGTGATTAAGAATTTTTCCTCTTTGCAATCTGACCATATTTATTCCGATCAATTCGTAATCGGTGGCATCAATTGGTAAGAAAAACAAAATAAAAACTTGTGCTTTTTACTTTTTTTTATAATGTTTTTAGTCCAAATTTAGGATGATGAGATCAATAATTTGCAAAAGGTTTCTACTTTCAGGCGTCTAGTGACATACCCCAAGGGAGACAGGGATAAAACTTGTTTGTCTCTGTATCTGTTGGTTGCTGATGCTAAAACTTTGCCTTGTGGATGGAGAGGACACACAAAATTCTCCTTAAGAATAGTAAATCAATTTTCAGAAAAGCTCTCCCAGCTGAAAAGTGATTATCTCTACGCCTTTTCTACTTCATAATAAGCCTGTGATGTTCTATTTCTTGTGTTTGTTTTGACATGAAGTGTAATGTTTTGTGGTTTTACAGAGACACAACAGTGGTTTGATCCGAAAAAGCATTCATTGGGTTTTTCAACAATGCTTCCCCTCACCAAACTTGTTGACAAAAACGGTGGATATCTTGTGAACGGAGAAGTCAAAATTGTTGCCGAGGTAGAGGTTCTTGAAGTTATTGGCAATGTAGATCAATCTCAAGAGTCACCAATCCAACCTATGAAAAGGATAAAGCTAGAGCATGATAATAATGGAGTCTCTAGTGATTTGCTTAACTATACTCCACCAGTAAAGGAAGACATTGATGACGATGTGTTTCAAATTCTTCCTTCACAGGTAAGAAGTCAATAAATAGACGGTTTCATGCTGTTTTTTGGGATAAGCGGCAGCTTTTTCTGTTTTGAATTGATTGGTACAACAGTTCTTAATAGAGAGGTGAAATAAAAACATATATGGTTAGTCTACTCTTCTTTATACATATGGGATTTAACTTTTATTCATCCTTTTGTCATTTGCAGGTGGAATTTGTGAGCCGTGTTTTTAAAAAATACCCCGACATTGCGTTAGAACTACGAGCAAAGAACCAATCTGTGAGGACAGCATGCATGTATGTCTTCCTCAGCGTAATAGAGACACTGTGCAAGTCACTGCAAGAGCTCTCCAATGATGATCTGATGGAAGCAGGCAATGCACTAACGTACTTGAAGTATTCAGGCATTAAGGTGGATTGGTTGGAGCAGAAGCTTGAGGAAGTAAAGGAAAAGAAGAAGGGAGAGCAGATTGGTGAGACTCGGATCCAAGAATTAGAGGAAGAACTCAAGGATCTGAAGCGGAAGTGCACTGATCTCGAAGCTCTTCTAGGGGGAGAGAAGACAAAGGTGTTGGGAGCCAGAGCTCCTGCTCTGACCTTGGATGATGATGTTGTCTTATGAGTTATAACTTAGGTTCTGCTTGGTGAGTCGTGGTTCTGTACGTTCGTTTGAGTCTAGGTTCAAGATTAGAGTCCACATTTTGTAAAGAACTCGTGAGTATTTTGTAAAGCACGCAGCTTTAATGAAAAGTCTTATTCGAGCTTATCGTGGGTAATCTATTACTTGTATTACAGGTAATAGCATAATTATTTCTAGGTGAAGCCCACTCTCATTTCAAGTTTCGGATATGTTTACGAATTCGAAAAACGCAAGCCCATATACAAACTCGTGGATAGATTAGAGAATAAGTTATTGTGGCAGCCACTACAATTCTGATTCTAGTCTTCTTAAAGGTTATATCTTTAGGATGTCAAAGTCATGACTATAATCTATGCCTTCGAGGTTAGTTTACTTCAAAATTAAATTAAGGATCTCATAACCAAATCTGTTCATAAACTCCACTTGTAAAGCCTTTGCCGTCGTCAAATTATTTATTGGTAAGTTTGGTTGTGCCATAGGCTTGTACAATTGTTTCTCTGTTTCCATTGCGCTGCATCAATATGATGTTCTAATCAATACAATTATGAAAGTTCCAATTGCCCCATATCTCCAATACATATGATATTCTCAAAAGCAAACGAACTGAAAAAAACAGAGAATTGAAGTGACGAGAATGGATCAGATAGAGCTAATACGTAAGATGCCATCATTCCGGCGATCAAACCAATAGGGAACAAAAAGTTCAACATTCATCATTCCATTCTCTATCACTCCCTTTATTACAGATCTCAACAAGAAAACAGAAAGAAAAAAAAAAAATCAAAAGTATGAAAAAATGGAGGAGAAGATAGATCAGATAGAGCTAATACGTAAGATGCCATCATATCGGCGATCAAACCAATAGGGAAAACAATTTCCATCATCATATCTCTTTTTCCTCTTTAATTCTCTTCAAAACACACTTAAAAATCCATCCTTTTAAATTCCAGAAAACAAGGGTTTTTCGACGCTAAATATTTCGGCAAAACAGATAATTATGAAGATAAGAAAAGAAGAACTGAAACGAAACAAACACAGAAAACTCGAAAATTGAATCCTAATAACTCGATGGGGATTGAAATAGTTTAGTCGAGAACGTGAGCATATATAACCCGTGTTCGAGATGGAGGCATATATATACTTCGATAAAATTAGGGCATCTTAAGGGTTCCCTGAAAAGACGTAAATACCCCTCACTTGTTTCTTTCGGTTCGACAATATTAAAATGGGCCCAATTAATTAGTCCAAAGTTTGTGACCGTGAAGCTTTATTATAGGTCGAAAATGTAGCCCAATTTCTCAAACACTCTCCCTCTTTACAAGTTTTTGCATCTGAGTCTGGTCTCTTTTTTGGGCTGGTGATTATAGTGGTGATTGTAAGTGTAATTATATATTTTCATAGACACTGGATCTGAGAGAATTCAATCGCCACGTGAATTCGATATACAATGTCGAAAATTGAGTATGAGTACACTTCTGAGGTGTGAATTATTAGAACATCAAAAGATTACGGCCTTATAGGGGTTTCAAACCTACACACACTTATCCAATCATAGTTAACTAGTTAAACATCATTAGAGCTTCTGTAAAGGAGAAAGTATAAAAAAGAATAATTATAGTTGGCTTGGATATTGGTTCTTCTTTTAAAGAAATATAAACATATGAATCATGTTGATTTGTGTTAACTAACTGTTATGCATTATGTCCCCATGATCAATCTATATTTTTAAAATGAAATCTGCAACTTGTGTGCATCACATTACATAAAGTCGTTTTCTTTTATCAGACAATCTCAAGTGTGTCTTTGTAATGTATAATATTATAAAGTTTTTCTTTTTAGCCATAATTTTCCTATTTGTCGGGCTTAATTAATAGTCACGTATATTTATTTATGTTATCCCTTTTTCCCACGCCCAAAAAAATCCAAAAGTATTAGGCCTTTAATTGGTTTCAAGTCGAAATTAATGGTAAAACTAAAGACGGGAGAAAATAAGTTTATGTTGAATCGAACATTAATTTCTCATTCTATAGACCAAACATAAATAATAAACAACTATAAAAAAATGAAACTCTTTTAGTATAAAGTTGAAGTTGTTTTATTACATTCATTGTTTTTCTCCACTAAAGGTTAATATATTCGGGAATCGAAAAGTGATTTTAATTCACTGATTGATAGCTAATGCCTAATGGTAGTAGGGTTATATCTCGCAGTCGCAAGTAGAGTGGGGTTTTAATATATCATCCAAAACTCGAAAACTAGAAAGCATGCGATTATACACCGATAGGAAAGCAACCATCTTGTTTTAATCCATATACATTTACTTTTTTCATTCGTCGGTTAGAATAATCTCCTTATTTTACTAAAGAGAATTTTGGATTTATAATTAATTTTTAACTCAATACTTGCATTTTGTTGTTGTTTTTTTTGGTGCAAGACACAATACTTGATTCAAACAACACAAATCATAGTAATTTATAACAATAATACAGTATCATTTTCTGTCACTATTTCAATTCAAACCCAATATAATTCATGTGTTTATTTTTATCTCATATTTCAAATTAGAAGTGACCCTAACACAAAAAAATTGTTTTATTCGAGCAATTTTTTTTCCATTTTATAGTAATTCTATTTGTGTTTGATGTGTAGGTTTATAATTAACAGATAAAATTTGTTTAAGTGGTTTCAAAGTTGTGGATTCATTTAAAAAGTATACACAAATTAAAGTGTAAAAACAAATGCACCGCAAACAAACAAAGTTCCAATGGCCATGCTTTTTATCTTATCTTTTGTATTCGTCCTACATTTTTAGAAAAATGTTTGTTGCTTTCTCGTTTTGTACTTAATTATTTTCATTACGCGTCTTAAATATAATCTGGAAGGTATACACAATATTATATCGATGGCACCGATTATTTTCACACAAAAATACAAATTTGACCATTACTAGTTTATCTTTATAAGACAGCTTTGGTTGTCACTACTCTGAGTACTCTCGCTAACATAATTAATTATAGTAAACCATTCCCTTATATTGTGGTTTAGACTTTGAATTACATTGCCTTTTTCGTCAAATTACATATTGATACCCGTTTTCACTTAATTTTACGCTAACTTCTTTCTTCTGAAATATGATAGATCTGTCGAAAGACTCGAAACCCAAAATAATTTTTGAAACGTATAGTGATTCAAAACATTTGCAATGGAAGAAGAAAACCACAACGAATATTATAGATAATGAAATTCGAGTCCCGACTCTTTTATCTTCATGAGTCTTCTATCAACCCAAACAAAGAATTGACATGTACTCTTGATTAAGACCAAACTATATATTTTTGGCGGTTTTATTTATGATTATATATGTTACCATTAGTTTCATCGTTTCTTGTTTTTGTTGATTTTGTAGTTTTCCCCCTAATTAGAAAGTAGGGAAAAGAGATATACAAAGTTTTTCCGTTTTCATAATTTATATTACAAAATGATAGGTAAATGTATATGTATTATATGGCTTTCAAACAAAAATTGTATATGGTTTATATGTACATGCGCAAGTACCTGCACGTATGATAATGTACAAATCAATCAAACGAACGCACTCGCAATACTATACTACGTACTAAATATATGTCTGATTCTATTATACAACTAATACGTGTGGGTTTTATGTATATTTATCTCGCTGGCAATGGCATGTCGTGTTTTAGTTTTGAAGTCAGTGTAATAATCAGATGAAATTCCAAACACGTGTGATGGACCCACGTGAGGTCATATGTTGTCGGGTTGACTCTCGTCACGGTCAGAGAGATCACCATCATTTGCCAACAATTTACTTCTATACTCAAACAAAAAATATATACACATTTTTAGTCCAACATTAATCCCACCAACAAGTCATATCATATGTACATTAAGCGCAAACGAACGAAGCGCTGTTTGTCTTATTTACATATTTAACGAGGTTAAGCAATTCATACTTTACTTGTATCGTTAGCTGTATAGCCTGTATTTCAATGTGAAATATGAAGATACCGTAGAAAACTAGAAATCGAATAATGACTATTTTTAATCATCAAATTGATTCATAAATTTATAATGGTTGACTGTAACTAATATTATTGTTTAGGGTTACTAGGTATTTCATCAAGACAATATATTAATATAAAGCTTAAAAGTAACTAATGTTAAAACTTCTCTAACACTAATTAAACGTTCTGAGTAGTTTTGATCGTTTAGAATAGATGTTTTTTTTTTTTTTTTGGGTCAACAGATGATTTTTAAACTTTAAATAAAATAAAGACCAATGGAGATTTTATAAATCGTTGAGTAAAATAAGTAATGATTGCAAATTTGGAGATGAATTTGTCAAGAGGAAGCGCGTGACGTGGACAATGGTCAAAGTAGGACCCGCAAGATATATATCAAACATAGTAAAGAACTGTACACCCGTGCGGCGATATGTTTGGCCTTTCTCGTCGACGCGTAGCTTTTTCTACTATTTCTTAATGAATCAGTGTATTTGTGAACCTTTTTTTTTTCTTGACAAGAGGGCTTTCAATTATGTATTTGTGAATTTTATAAGGAACAGTAGTTTTTCTTATTTATCTAGGGACTACATAACTAGTATAAAATATTATTTTTCATGTTTCGAAATTCAAATTTGGCATACTTTTCTTTTAGAATTTTCAAATTCCGCTGAGTGAAATTCGACTTTGAAATATCGACTTTTGAACTAAGTTCGCCTGCTTAATGCTCTGTTTTTTAGTTGGTTTGCTAAGTTTTTTTTTTTAATTATCTTATTTTGAGATTCGTAGCCTTGTACCATTTTTTTTGTTGATTAATAAATTTAATATTATAAAAATTACGGTGCAATTTTAGAAAGCAATCATATGTCGGTGAAATGCGTCTAGTTGACCATTTTTGTGATTTGACCGTTAATTTCGAATTTTCTAAGATTCTATTCCAACGTTATGGAAGCAATCCATACGATACGACGAATTAATATGCGAAATTTAATTTGTACATCTTATATCGAAAATTAGCTTGTTCACTTTTAAATTTGGTTGCAAATTGCAATAGCGAATTGGGTACAGACTGACACAGTGACACTAACCAAAAAAAAACTTTTAACTTTGACAAAGAACAACACGGTTTATTCTGGAGAAGTGGAGAACTATATAGATAAACCAATTCTTATTTCAACATTAAAACATGTCCCTTAGTAATGTTCAACAACAACAAAAAAACATTTCCCTTAGTATTTCTCTAATACATATTAATCAATGAATCACTCGAATATGGATCCGCTTATGACACTAATAGATCGCCAGGGATTAGTATTCAATCAAACTCAAGTTGGTTAGATAATAAATAAGAAAAAAGTTGCAAATGATCATTAACTTAATCAGAATAAGATAATAGAAAAAAAACATGAGAACGAAAATTTTTGTGGGGGAAAGAGTAGAGAAGGCGAAAGGAATTGTTGCGCGAGAACATGAAAAGTTGTCTGCTTAAACTTGTAATGCTGACAAAAGCCCATCTGATGGCTTAATTAAAATGGAAGATGACTTAATCAAGTTTTTGTTTTGTCTAATTGTGTCCTTAATTTTGCATATATTAGTTAAGCTTAAACAAAGTTTCGTACATAAGGACCGAACGGAAAAATAAAAAAAAATAATTAAGTCCTTTCGTTACACCAAGAGGCCTCACTAGTTACCCATTACACGGATATAAATATTTGTTTTGCTCTTGCTGAATTTTTGCGTGTAAGTAACTAAGTACGTACGTAGTTTAAATGTTTAATTATATACTCATTTTACATAATTTCTACAATTGTGATTTATCTTCTTTTTGGTTTATAAATAGGCGGCTAGCTAATTCCATTGTGAATGACGGTGAATATTTTACAAGCCAAAACGAGTAAAAAATAATAATTAATTTTGATTATGCTGAAAAATCAGATTAAACCATACTAAAATCTGTATTATATGGGAAATAAAATAAGACAGATTCAAAATTGACAATTGTGTGAACCAACTTTCTAATTTACAAAATGAGGTGCTTCTGAAAAGAGTTTTGTATAGAGAAAATTATAAGGTCATAATCCATATTTGATAGAATAATTGTTGAATATCGCAATGCAAAAAGAGTTTAAAGAGTTAATCGACCTAACCTAGATTTTTAATTCACATAGTATAAATACAAATACACAACCTTTTTCTTAGCTGGGGAGGGGAAACAGTAGCTATTGTTTATTCGCAGATGCAATAACTGACAAGGCTACAAACTTTTGGGAAAAAACACTGATATGTTTTTATTTTTGTTATTATACATGTACATTTTCTTTTAAAACAGTTTTTTAATTCACTGGATAATTTTAGATCCAACTTTTGTTTAATCCCATAATTTATATGCAGAAAATATATGAAATTACCAAGGTGGTTTACCAGTACTGATTATTTAATCATTGATCTTATAAAAAGGACGAACTTTCAACGGTTTGATGATGACTACAGGTGCTTCGTTTTATTTCTCATAGTATATTACTTTTGTTAAGTAACTTAAGAGTAGTGGTAGGGAAAAGAAAGAGATTTATGGGATATAGTTTTTTTTGACAAAACTATGGGATATGATTATTAAGAGTCGTTATTGGAGCTTTTGGGTATGACCTTATGAGGACTGATTAATTTGCGACATGAGAAAAGTCTACATGTTGGTTTCTATGTGTGACACAAATATATTTATGAAAGTATATACCTAATCACAAATCAAATTTTCATATAAATTAAATTATTAAATAAAGGTTTAGATTATACTAATTTCTAGTATTGCTCGACAACCCTGCCCCTCTTGTTCAACTATATCATACCCCATACGTTGTGTCCATTGTCTCTATTGCTGACACATTTTTTTTCTATTTTAATATATAAAATAATGTCGGTATTTATATATATATTATATATATATATACAATTTTAACGCATAGAGTGACAAAGAATCGAATTAGATTTTGCCTGAACAAATGTTTACGTAAAGTTATAAGATCAATTTAACTGGCAACAAAAAATGATAGATCAACAAGAAAATTAAAAAATACAGTCAGGTAATATATTTTTATACAAAATTATGTTGGCTCATATTATGCAAACACACTAGTTATATGATCACGAGTGTTTTTTTTTTACCTGCTTTTTTTGGACCAAATTTTACGAACACGAGTGTTTAATACAGTATGTTCTTAATAGTTAGTGGATACCTTAATAGTTAGTGAATCCCGATAAAATTTATGGGATCGTATCTAGATCGATAAGACTGAGGAATAACCAATAGTATATTATATGCAGGAATGTGGATGATTTGGAGCAGGTCCACGATTAGAATATGTATATTCTTCAGCACTGGAGAAAAGTTTTTGATTTTTATTTCAACATTGCAATAAGCCTCTTGGATAATTGAAGTTATAAGTTCTTATGATATTGGGCGCTCCAACCATTATACTACAATTAGAGCGCCATGCACGAAAAAATTCTTAAATGCAATTATACATGCACTTATTATTTTAAACAAGAAAAAGTGTTTGTTGTTATATATTTGATCATCATGATTAAAATTAAATTTTCAACGAAATTAAAATGAATGTGTGACTGTATTTATTTTAATTTATTGAAACATTTTAAGAAACCAAAGAACGAGTATGATTTATTTTTAGTTGGCCCCTAATGTATTTTAATAGTTGCAGTGTTAATATAAGGTTAGTCAGAGCCTCAGATGACACCATCACTCAGACACTCTCGCTCTATATAATTGACTAATATTTCAGCCAAAGTAATTTTTTTAAATGTTCTATATCATTTAACAAAAAGGATTTAAAGTAAATAGAAAAAACAAAAATATATATTTTCTCAAGTGTTGGAAGAGCTGGGTTAGAAGGTCTAATTAAAGTCTGTGGAGCCAAAAAAACCTAAGTAGGTCTATTCGGTAATTAGTTTGTTCTTTACTTTTTGCTTTAGGTTTAATCAAATCGGTTTAGTAGAGATATACACGTCAGTTCTATTATGCAATAATTTTTTGGTACTAAAAAAGAAAAAGGTGTTTTCTCTTAATTTAAAAAATAATGAACCTCTCGTTTTTTATGTATACAAATCCAAAAGGATTTTGTCAATTTGTTTAACAAGAAAACAAAATTGTTCTAATGCAAAAGGAATGAATAAAAATAAATATGAGAACTGTAGGCCATTAAGCAGACAAAATGTAATTAAATAAATGGAATATCATATGTAACCCACCTTCATCTTCACCTTTGCCTTGTTTTATAAAATCTCTCTCCTTACAGCTATAGTCAAGGTTAAATCAAAAACCTAATTACAATAGCTACAAACACACAATTAATCCCAAAAATCAAACTCAACTTTATAATATCAAGAATCGTCATTAACAACATCATCATCATGAGTAGCTCTAGCTCTAGCTCTGGCTCTGGCTCTCCTTGTGGAGCCTGTAAGTTCCTTAGGAGGAAATGTGCAAAGGGATGTGTGTTTGCTCCATACTTTTGTCATGAACAAGGAGCTTCACACTTTGCAGCCATTCACAAGGTCTTTGGAGCTAGCAACGCATCTAAATTGCTTTCTCATCTTCCCACTGGTGATCGCTGTGAAGCCGCCATTACAATCTCTTATGAAGCTCAAGCCAGGCTTCAAGATCCCATCTATGGCTGCGTCTCTCATATATTTGCTCTCCAGCAACAGGTTCTTCCTTTCAAAACCCTAATCTCGATATTCCCTATATATATAAATATTTAGCCGATTAATTTTCTTATAATTGTTTAATTTTGTTGGGTTATAGGTTGTGAATCTACAAGCACAGCTTGAGATTCTAAAGCAACAAGCTGCACAAAGCATGATGTTTTCTGATTCACCATCATCCGAAAATCCTAATAGTTATTATGGAGACACTACTAAGACTCCTTATCATCAAGATCATCACAATATTTATCATCACCATGATCAGACGACCCACTTGGTTAACCAAACCAGAAGTTCCGGGATGATTCACCACGGGGATGCCACGGCGAATAGTTACCCCACCGAAAACTCCTCAGGGATCGGGGAATTCTCCATCTACTCTGAGTTGGGACAACACTTGAACACTTTCAATCAAGATCATCTCAAAGAGCTTCAATCAGAAAATTTCGGTTACATCTCCTTCTCTTGATGGTTCTGTCAAGACATGGGTCGATTCTTATCAATATCTCATATTTATATAATATATATAGCTTATATATGTGTTAAGACTTTTTGGTGGTTGTAGTCTCGATTGATGATGTTGCTGCCTAGCTCAAAGAACCGGCTTTGTATTCATAAATAAAAAAATATGCTAGGTGCCCTAGAAATATATAAAGATCATATATATATATATCCTTAATTATAAGATGTGGAGTATTTAGAGTATATTTCGAGTTTTGCATTTATTCTTCCGCATGTACATCGATCATGTTAAATTGTTAATATTCTCGATGTCGCCCCGATTCTATCACGATAGTGATTTAAAACAACACAAATCCCTAGCTAATAAAAGTGTCCGCCTTGATTCTTCAGACTTTACTAGTACGTGCAGTCTAGTACTAGTAATCCGGTCTTTGGATCATTTTTAGGTATTTGATCTTCTTTTTATACTTACATGTTAGAAATTTGTCTTGGACATGTAGAAAAGTCTAAGCACCACAAGCTCTTCATTAGTTATATATATGTAGTATATATAATTAATGCTCATGATAGATTTGGTATATGGTATTTTTATATTAAAAAATGCTTACCAAACTACGTTTTCTTGTTGTTGTTGTTTTTTACTCATATAAATACTTTCATTGGTGTTCTTAGATGATATATTCTCATCATTATCAATTTATCATCAAGTTTGTAGACATCAATGATTTTATTTTACATAACAACTATTGCGATTTTCATTTGATCATATTCGTTTATCAATAATCTTTTTTGTGTGCAAAGTTTATCAATAATCTATAATGATCACTTGTCATCGATCTAAACTATAATCATCTATAATGATCACTTGTCAATAAACGCTAAAAATCACTGAATATATGAAACTACATTTCTTCTTTTGTACTAGTAAGCTAGTTAATAGATAGCTCTATGTCTAACTCTATTTAAACGCTAAAAAACCACTGAATGTATGAAACCACACTTCTTTTATACCCATAACTAGTTAATAGGTCGTATAGCTAATATCTGGATATGGTTTTAATTAGGGTTCATCCACACAACCACATTCATTAAACCCGGAGATAGTATTATCATAATATAAGTTACAACGAAAAAGTAGTACAATATGAGTATACAATCCACTTAGCAACTTGTCTGAACTGATACTAAAGTACAATCCGAATTCGTTGTTAACATTCCTAGCAAGAAAACATTAAGCCCATTCAATCTGTCAGCATATAATCTCTGCAATTGGATTTATCTTCTCTAGGCCCAGCAACATGAGGGGTTCTTGTGAGAGTAATTTTTTTCTCCTAAGAGTATACCAAATCTGTACTAGAACAAAGAGGTTTATTTCATAGTTTTTAAAGAAATAAGGTTTTTAGAGAAATAATGGTGATAAAAAATAAAATAAAATAATTGGATATTTCTTTCTAAAACTAACTCAGATTTTAACCATTAGATTTCACCATTTTTGGTATTATACTACACTGTTGTCTATTAAAGTCATTTACTGAACAATATAGTGGTAATGGGTATTTTCAGACAAAGCCTTTGAAGGAAAAGAAAGACATACGAGAAGTCGAGAATAAAAATGAGACTACTAAGGAGTACCAACCAGAGTTATAACTGAATATATCACCATTAGTCTCCTAAAAGCAAAACCAATGAGTGGTTTAAAGATAATTAAAGCATTTGGAAGTGACAAAGAACAAAGTAGTAAGTTCCATCCTATTTTAGGGGACTTTTGTCTGAAAATACCCGTTACCACTATAAATAATGAAGACACTTCTTATTTAAAGTTAGGTAAACATGTCTGATCTTTTATATAGTGTAAGATTAAAGTATGGTCGTACTATGATTAAATTTAAACATGAATGAAAATGATTTGCTTATCACTTCTTCGGCAAACAAATTGTTAACACTTATCCCTTGTATATATATTTATATATCTTCGTTCTTTCCCCATGTAAGTAATATGTTAATAAGTTTGTTAATATTCAATATAACATTACAAGACATTTTGTACCAATTTTGATGTATCATTAACACAATTCGTATTACCAGTGAAAAGTCTTAGCTGTATGTTAATAGAGAAAGGAATAAAACCAAATCGGATATTGTTCAGTCCAGTTTGAATACCAGGTCGATCTATTTAATTGGAGACAAATACCAAAAATTCAAACCTAAAAGACAAAAAAAAAAAAATTGTAAATAGTTCAATCATAGGCAATAAAAATTCAAACTATTTTTGGGGTATAGTTGCTATGTAAAATTATATATGTATATATTAATGAATAAACTTCAGTTTCATTGTTTTATTGTAGACTTATAGTCTTTTAATAATGAAACAAATGTTAATACTGTTTTTATAAAAAAACAAATGTTAATACTATTTTTATAAATTACAAATGTTGATACGATACTTCGTTTCATAATATTTGACGATGTTCAGCAAATCTGCATACCATTTAAAATTTATATAAAAGGTTAGTTGTAGCTAAGGCTTATAGTTATAGGCTTGTCCATCTTGAATCTTGATGTGCGAGCAAAGTTAACGTCTATACTCTGCGGTAGGGATAAATCTATGTTTTTGACTCTTTTTTTTTGTTCAACCTATGTTATTGACTTTAAAAGCCTATTTTAGTGTACTTCAAGGAAAGTTTTGCAGCCCTAGTCAAGGTCAATATATATTTAATATATCTTACAACGCATCATATCGATCAAAATAATCAATTCAAATATTTTTATATTTGGGAAAAAAATGTTTCTTCCTTGATAAAATAGTAAGCATCGACTGAGATATTTTTCATAGAGAAAACCGGTCGACAGTTGAAAGAAATAAGAAGAAGAAGAAGAAGAAGCTCATGACATAGATTTTGTCACTTTCGAATTAATTAGTAGTACATCCGTAGTTTCCTATCATCACGCACAGCCAAAGCTTGAAGCTCACCGAGATCGCTATTACAGTTACTCACAAATCTCTTATTGTTTGGATAACAGTCCTGGTGAAACCCAAACGGGTCGGTTTGGATCTCTTGCACGTTGGTCGTGACTCTACTACCCGTCTTGATGTGTTCCAATGAATCGATACAGCTCCGTGAAGAGGCCGGTTTAATAGGTGTGTAACCACTTGTTTGTTGCCACGTCATGTCTGATCTGTTTTGGTGAACGAAGTTCGCCGTTAGTTGCATCAGTTGAGCTTGCAAGAACGCCACCTATTTACGTAAAAACATTTTTTCAAAAGAACCTTAAGTAAAAATAAAAACATTTTCTGAAAAGAAGACTGGTAGAATATTTTTGTTAAAAACAATAATTTAACACGTTAATGTAAACACAAAATAATGATCGAACCTAAAAAGTTGATTTTTTTTTTTAAAAAAAAACCAAAATTACTAAATATCATCATTCCAACGATCTATAGCAAATTAGAATAAATTTGATACAAGATAACTTCAAAGATCCATCGTTGTTATGCTCAAAAACGACAAGGATATATTATAGATTTGACCTCTTGTTGAAGTGCGAAAACTTGAGATACACAACCATAGACAGGGTCATGGAGACGAGCTTCAGCTTCGTAGGCCATGGTGAAGACGACCTCGTACCGTTCTTGGACAGGGACGTGGAGTAAGATCTTGGAAACGTTACTTGCCCCGAACACCTTGTGCATGGCGGCGAATCTCACCGGGCCTTCTTCCGTGGAAAAGTACGGTGCGAAGAGGCAATCCGGCACACATTTTCTCCTTAGAAACTTGCATGCGCCACAAGGTGAACCCGTTCCGGTGCTGGAAGATGCCATCAGAAGAAAGTTTTTCTTTGTACGTAGCTACTTCGTGTAAAAGCAAAGAAAATGTCTTCGATAAGTGTGCAAGTAGTGAATCTTTAGGAATGATATTGGAAAGGTCGTCGGAATTGTGCACGAGCGAACTAAGAATTGGTGTAAAATGAAAAGATAGAGAAGGAGAACAAAATAAGATACGATGATGGAGGAGGGTTAATGTCTTTGGTTTGATTTATAAAAAAGGGTTTATGATATGATGAATTGTGTTGGTATTTTTAGTTTAATTATTTTATATATGTAGCATTGAACTACACTGTATGATAATATTAACTATTAGTTTTTCTTTCGTTTGTCTACCATTTGCGTTACCTTTTCCCGTTTATATTATTGTATTTCTTATGATTATCATCAGTTCATCACTAGAACTTGAGTCATACATATGAATATATGATCAAATGTGGTTTTATTTATAATCAATACAAAATTAATAAGAGAATTTTAATTGTTCCATTCTAGACAGAACGAACGATCATAACTACGAAATGTTTTCTACAGTCAATTTCTTATATTTATACTAATTTTTCTAATGTGTAATCGATAGAGCGTTACTAAAAGAAAATTGATTTGTAGTAACTTTGATAGAGTTGCGCAAGTGAGATTTGATTTCTTTGACTTTTAAGAAAAAATGCATTTAATGTCAAAAACTTTTGAGTGTGGATGCTTGACAATGCAAGGTCTTCTTCTCCTAATTCTATTTCCTCATGGATAAACTCAAAAGTTGTTATTTTAATAACTTTGTACCAAAAAAAGATATGTATATGTGAATATTAGTCTAGGCTTTAGCCACTGATGAGCCGGCCTTTGGTCTTTTGTCAGTATGCTCTAAAACTCATTCTCCTGATCGATTAATCGGCTGTCTAAATATTCAACTGTAGCAAATTATTATGATTATGCTCAAATTAAATTGGTTGAATGATTAGTTGACTTAATGCCATTAAAATAAACTGTTAGACAACTAAGGTAGAAGCTAGATCTTTAATTTTATAACAATTTAATTAGTGGTTTAAGTCTTTAATCGTTTTTCCTTGCAAAACGGATTTCAGTGTTTTTATCTTGACTTCCACCGCCGAACGCCGGACATCGGAAATGTTGCCGTTTGTCGTGTTATTTGGGGGACCGGATAAACCGGAAAGTGCCGGTTAAAGGTGTACCGACAGACACTAATGCCATAAGTTTTGGATGGAAGCGAGTTACGTATTACTATTATTTAATTATCATATTGCGTAATTACAAGCTAATTAGTAGTTTGCCCTCTTTACAGAAACACTTAAAACTGAAGTAAATCAACAATCATGCTTCGATTTGCGTTGGTGGCTTAAAAATGAATTACCGATCGTTCTTTGACCAATGTTGATGAACAACACTCTACTTAACCCACGATTATTCTTTGACCAATGTTGATAAACAACACTTTACTTAACCCACAAATTAGTATATCTTCTTCACTTTAAACTCAATGAAGATAATCACAATAGTCGTACATAATAATGGCATGTTAACAATGTAGCAGTTTCTTCTCTCTCTATAGAAACGTTTGCTTTCTGCTAACGTCTGTGTTCCTCCGTTGGTAAATGGTCGAAGAAGAAAGGTTTAAGATCCTTAAGCATTCTTAGTGAACAAGAGGGTCTTGAGTGAAAAAGAACTGCAAAACAGGTTTCGATATGGGTCGTTACAGATTCATCCAGGACATTCAATAGGGCGAGAGAGTTTGAGATCAAAGTATTTACCTCGAACGATTTGCCGGAATTTTCAAATTCCAGCATGCTCAATGCAACTTCACAGCTTTGTGAAACAATAGGCTCAGGGTCCCTTGAGAACTCCTGTAGCAATGCGATGCTCTGCTCATCTGAAAATAGCCGAGCAATGCAACAGAGTAAGTAAAGAGTAAAGACAATCAGATTGTGATAGAATTGCATTCAAGGGAAGGTACCTGCAATAGAACCAAGCGCTTCTGCAGCCTCGTGTCTAACCATTGGGTGCTCATTCACATCTCTCAGTATTTTGCTTAGAGTAGCTAAAGCAGCTTTGTTTTGTAATTGCCCCAAGACATAAGCAACCTACAAAAAAACGATTGCACTTAAACAGTTTAAGGTTGGAGACAATAAATCAAAGACTCAAGATACATGACCTTCAACAAAACAGACTCATTCAAGTTCATCAACATCTTTTGAAGAGTAAATTCTCTCGCTAGAAAACCAATGATCAAACTGAAAAGTCATCAAAATGAAGGGAAACTTGACAAACCTCGTGACGTAGAAGGGCACTTTCAGCACTCAAGGAATCAACTATGGCGGAAACAGCTTCCTCTCCACCATGATTCCTCAGAGCGAAAAGTGCAGCATATCTCTCATACATGCCTTTTGTTTCATCCAGAAGAATTTGCCTGTATAGTTAATCAATAACCTGTTACAAACTGGTAAAATTCATCTACAAGCTTTTTGAGATGATCAAGTTTTAGAAGAACCTCATTTCGTGGACAGAAGAGAAAGCAGCAGCAGGAGCAGCCGGGTCAACAGACATGTAAGGTGATTTCTCCGTGGAGGATGACTTGCTCTCGTCATCGACATTGCTCAAATCTTCAATCCTTTTGAGAGCTAGCTCACATGTCTCCCTAACCTCCTGAGCAGGATCCGAGATCAAGCTTTTCTTCAAAATGTCAGCGTTACCAGCTAAACCAATGGCTCCAAGAGCTTCTGCTGCCTGTTATATACAAACAGCGAATCAGCGATTTCGCAGCAAATCCAAAAAAGCGTATACTGATACAGAGGAAATAAGGATTGGCTCCAGCACAAGGATCAGCTATACTCAACTCATGCCGTACGATTGGATGCAAAGACATATCATTAAGAACCGACTCTAGAGCAGGAATAGCTTCAGCATCTTGCATCTGACCCAATGCAAATGCAGCTTCATGTGCCAACAAATTAGATGAGTCTCTGGATGCTGCAGGAGAGAAGGAAGAGCTTTGATCATCCATAGATTCTTCCCTACTAATACTAAATTAACACACTTGCTCTTCCAGTTTTCGAGAATCCAACGAGCAAGCGAGAACTAAAGGGAAAAACCCCGAGAGCTAAAGAACATCTCAAATGTTCTTTTTGTGATGTTACAAGTAAGAAGAGATTGAACAAACCGAGGATTAGAGCGTTGCGAGGTCCAGGGCCTTTCAAGTTGCGAAGAGAGAAGAGAGCTCTGAATCGCTCCGAGATCGGCTGCGACTGGTCCACCAATCGCTCGCAGAGAAATTTCTCCACGTCACTTACGCCGCCGCTTTCCGTCGATGAAACTGATCCATTAGATTCCATCACTACACCAGTTTCCGAAGCCTTTGAAAAATCTGGGTCTCCGACACGAGGACGACGGAGTAGCAGAGCCGACGACTAGGGCTTTTGAAAACAGAGACAGAGAGTATCAAAGCTAGACGTGGGAATTTCTATTTTATTTGGACCTATTCCGCTAATAACCGAATTTATTGTCTGCTCCAATAATAATCTTATGATTGTAATTCGACCCCATAGTTTCTCTATTATCTCCCACGAAGCTATCAGATTACTTAGCGTGTGCGTGTACACGTGCGTGTAAAACATTTTCGTATGTCTTCTTCTTCGCTTAAGAGATAATCACAGCTTCTCTCTCTGACATTTCAACCGTTTTATTCCTCAATTCGCGTTCGGAAACCGTAGATCCAGGTGATATCTGGAATCATCTGAAGAAACATTGAAGCGAAATTGAGATCGAAATCGAGATTTCGATTGATCCATGAATCCTAGAAGGTTAGATCCATAACCTCGAACCGCCAGTTTTTTTTTTTCTTTTTCTCCAGCTGATCTCTATTCGACTTTCTTTGGAAATACAATGATCTAGCGAGTCTTATGATTGTATATGGTTTCATGAGCTCTGTAATTTGTAGAGTAGGGTTCATTTTGTGGATCTGAAGAAGCAGTGAACTTTCAAGTCCGTAGAGTAGGACTGTTGCTCTGTATTTGTGGGAGATGTAGATCAGTCCCAAAGTTTAAAATTCGCTCCTGATATTCAAAATTTGGATCTGAGATTTACCGAATCAGTGTTCAGTGCGATTGAAGCTGTAGTTGGTGTTCTCCATGATAACGGATAAAAGAGATAAGAAGAACACACATAGATAGATAGCATCTAAGTTTCATACTTGCGAGTGAGTGAGTCATGGTCTTTGCATAAGCGTTTTGAGTTATCTATATGTCGATCTCGTAGGATCATAGTCCGAGTGGAAAGATGGTACTGTTTCCTTTGCTGAGGTCTGATTTTTGTCTTTTTTGTTCTTTTTCAGGGAGCCTCGTGGTGGAAGAAGTGCGCTCTTTGATGGTATTGAAGAGGGAGGAATCAGAGCTGCTTCTTCTTACTCTCATGAAATCAATGAACATGAGAACGAGCGTGCCTTGGAAGGATTGCAAGACAGAGTCATTCTCTTGAAACGAGTAAGACTTGCTTTTTTCTGTCATGTTCAAACTTGTGTGCCGTGTTTATAAGAGCATAACATCACATCAAACATGACATGAGAAATGATCAATTTTTTTCTAAATGGAAAGCCATAAACGTAGTAGTAACACACTCTTGCAATACATTTGAGACAAAGGGACCATAGTTGTGGAATACACTAAACAGTAACATAGTTTCACATTTCTCGATTCTGATTTGTTGTCTGTTTTACACGAACAGCTATCTGGCGATATAAACGAAGAGGTCGACACTCATAACCGAATGCTTGACAGAATGGTATTTCAACTTTTCCTGATACTTTTTATTTTTATTTTTTCTTAGAGATGCCATTGTTACTGAACATTTTGTAAGGTTTCTATGTAGGGCAATGATATGGATTCATCCAGGGGGTTTCTCTCAGGGACCATGGACCGGTTTAAAACGGTAAATTTCCCTTAGCCTAGCTTCACTATGTATTGCAAAGGGTCTCTGATCTGTTGAATTTGGATCCTTGCAGGTGTTTGAGACAAAATCAAGCCGAAGAATGCTGACACTCGTGGCATCTTTCGTGGGTTTATTTCTAGTCATTTACTATCTTACTCGTTAAATTTGGCAAACCCGAGAGTATTCCCTCCATCCATCCATGATCTTATGGTATTTTCATACTACAATCTTATTTCCCCCCAGTGTAATGAATGATATGCCTCTAGTGTTATAGTGTGATCCAGTGTTTAAGATAAAGGACAAAAACTTATAAAAGTTTCATGTGATGGATTTTTTAGACCGATTTACTCCTTCAATGTGACGAAAGCAGCGAGAAAGCACAGAATCGCGAATTGACCGTAAATGCTAAAAAAAGCAAAATATACAGTTAATGCACCAGCCGGGAATCGAACCCGGGTCTGTACCGTGGCAGGGTACTATTCTACCACTAGACCACTGGTGCTTGTTGAAAGTACAGTCATAAAACTTTTAAATAACAGATACTTTCTTCTTCTTTAAATACCAATTATTACATCCATGAATCTAAGTAACACATGGATTTCAAACCCATAAACTGCACAGAGATGAGAACCAAAAGAAAGAAACATAATAATTCCGGAATTCATTAGCAATTGTATTAGTTGAAGAAACAAACATGGCTTTTGTATGCATTAAACACATAGAACCTGGCCTACACAGTTATTGATTGCAGCATCTAATCATGAGAAAATTACAATTGGAGTTTGAACTAAGTGTAATAAACAGTAAAACAATTGCACTGTGGCACAACAACGGAGTAATGAGGTTATCAGCACTCCAAAGATCTGGTGAAAATAAAATCGGCGCTTCATCATCAAAAGTAATCTTCAAATCCTCCTTCCTTATCACTGTCATAGTTCTCTGTTCCTGCAATATTATTGTTCTACAAGATGAGAAGAAGGATGATTCCATTAACAATGTATACCTTGTGCAAAATGTTTATATTAAGGTGGATTTAGAGGCGAGTGTAACCTTTAAAAACGGATAAAAAAAATCTATATTTTTAGGTGAAGAAACGTTTTGAAACGGAGAAACAAATCCAATTTGTTGTGTAATCTATACTACCAATTTCGTTTCATAGACAGATATGGGATTTTAGTGCTATTACCACTGACCTTTGGCTTCTGGGGTTGATAGATCTTGAACAATGACTTGCAGCTGATTTGGATTAAATGACGAAAAGCTGTCTGCGGAAGGAGATGGAGCCGGGAAAGTGAAATCAGAATCACTTGATGAGGCTTCAGAGTTCTCAGAGCTGTCAGCAAGATCATCACGTACAACTGGCGCTGAAGCCAACGTTGAAGACATGGAAGTAGATCTCAAGATGGACTTCAACTGTGAGAATTGGTCCGACATAGAATATAACAACCTGGAATACACTAAACAAGACTTAGCATCAGGAAATGTACCAGATTTGAAAATTAAGACTACTGCAGTTTTTATTTGAATTTTACCGAGGAATCTAAACCATATATTCAGTTTTTTTTCACTACACAGTTAATATTATTTGAAAATCTAAGATTATCTATGGCTGTTAAAATTACGAATCAATGATACCTGTTCAAAGAATCTTGTAGTTGGTAAACTCTTCTTTCTGTCTCTTCTAACCTTTTGCGTCTTCTCTCACCAAGTTCTCGAGCTTCAGCACATTTTCTTTCGGAAATGTCAGCTCTTTGTTTCTCAACTTGCAACAAGGCCTAAAGAGTGTAACAAATTCTCAATTTATCCTCCCTCCAGATGCATTTGATTATTGGCATGCCAAATCTAGAAACTGTTCAAAATGTTAATGGACATAGAAGCATTACCTTCAGCATCTCAACTTCGGCAGTGAGGGACTCCATTTCTGTATCACGAATAGGATCCGTTATTTGGCTGACAACAGAAAAATTGTTGAAAGGCTTCTCTGAATCGAGACCAAAGGATTTGTCAATTCCATCTTCTTCTTGGATGGAATCTTTTGTATGTCTTTCATGTCCGATCTCTTCATCATCACTTTGATCTGAATGCATTACAAAGGTCTTATCAAGTCCATCTTCTTCTTGGATGGAAAGTTTTGGCTTTTCTTCATCTCCGATCTCTTCATCATCACTTTGATCTGAATGCATCACGAAGGACTTATTAAGTCCATCTTCTGCTTGGATGGAAAGTTTTGGCTTTTGTTCATCTCCGATCTCTTCATCATCACTTTGATCTGAATGCAGTACGAAAGACTTATCAAGTCCATCTTCTGCTTGGATGGAAAGTTTTGGATATTGTTTATCTCCGATCTCTTCATCATCACTTTGATCTGAATGCATTACGAAGGACTTATCAAGTCCATCTTCTGCTTGGATTGAAAGTTCCCCCTCTCTTTCATGTTCTGTCTCTTTGTTTTTGTCAGCCTACACCGTTGATTTCATATCAATTAAAGCCAAATACTTCTTCCTCCAGTGAGGAGAGTGATGTTCTACTTATCTCTATATACTGCATAATATCAAACAAGCTGCAGGGATTGGTCTGGAATACCTGATTTGGCTGTCCCAACTGTTTTCTGGCAATTCTTCCTCTTAGTCTACTTTGATACACAAGAGAAGCTCTTTTCAGTTTCTTGTAGTCAGATATAGCACTGTAACCACGCCAGTACGCCTGCAAGTTTCTTACAGTTATGAGTCATTTCTATTTCTTGAGATAGAATGTTTCCCTGAGAATTTGTTAGGTACGAAAAGGACCTGAATCACAGTCGCTGCCCTAGACTTCAGTTTAAAATGGAATTCATGGCGTGCAGCCATTGTCCGGACTCCACTTTGCAAGGTGACTGCGGATAATTTGGTGTTTCCATAATCTTTCTTTGCAATCTGTCTACGTAAGTTTTTCTGGATTTTGATGGCAGCTTCCTCCCTTCTCATGTTCGTGGATATCTTTCGTGCAAGATTTCCTAAAATATGTGAAAGAGGGGATTTATCAGCATTCCTAACTCCCTGAGCATATCAATGAACCCATAAAGCCAAAAGAAAAGCTAAGGCATTCACCTCTCCAATTAGCCTGTATATGAACTGAAGCCCTCCGCATGAGAACATATCGTTCTCTTGTCAGACGAGTTCTAACTTGCCCCTGAATCATCCTCGCTGCTTCGCCAAGCACTCTTGTTCTGTGTGCATCTAGCTCAGCCATTTGACCAGCTCTCAGGAAAACTTTATTTTTTCCAATCTGCAAATTAGATATCATATTAACACGCACCAAGGAGAATTATGCTATCTAAGAAACTCAAATTTCATAGAATACTGAAAATTCTACATGCAAAACTGGGATTCCTTTTACATTTAGTGAACTTCCTAGGAACTTACCTGGTAACCTGTAAGCCCCTTTTTCTCCAAAATCCACTTGCATGCAACATCTGCTTCGTACCTGCTCACAAGTGTAAGTTCAGGAAACTGAGATAATAAACTCCAGGAGTAATAAGGCAGCCAAGAGCAGAAGAAAGTTCAAGCTTAATGGGTAGAAATGATACATACTCTCCTTTCAGAATTTCCGGTGCAAGAATGATAAATCGATTTAAGAATTCAATGAAAGTCCTATTTGTTGGATATCCAGCGCATTTCACTCTGATGGCCTCAAGAACACCCTGCATAAGACGAAGATCATATAACACCTCAAACCATCAAAACATGTCATTACGAACAATTCAAAGGAAACACTGACCCCAGAACGTAATTGATGCAAGACATTGGCATTGTCAAACACCGTTGGTTGCAACAAATTGTTTGGCTTAACACATCTGATGTAGTGCGGTTCCGTAGAGTTCAGTGTCTCCATCAGCTGTTGCAGTTGTAACTGCACCAATTACTTGAACATGTCAGCCCATACAGATGATGAGTGTGGCATCAAAAGTTTAACAATTTCCTATGTGTGGTCCAATCATCCAGTCCTACTTATTAGTTAAAAAGTCTTAAAGGATCTGCAGGCAAGTCACCTTGAAACGAGCGCCAATTGAGGAAAACTTAGATTTGCTACTCTCTTTAGGAAGAGGAGGAAATAGGCCTGACACAAAAGAACATTTGGAAGCGATTAACATATCCTGATGCTCGGCAACAACATAGTCTTTGTTTTTGTCTAAGAATTGATCGGACTGGTACCGAACCTGAAAGAATAACATGGGAAAGACACCTTAAAAATCATAATTATATCAACTTCTAATTCTGAAAGAAACAGAGTGTGAAATGCAACTTACATCCCCTGCATAATGAACTAATGTAAAATCTGAGCGAGTCAATTTTGGTTTTATGAAGCGCTTATGATCCCTGAATGTTTGATACAGCTTCTCAGAAAATGTTTCAGGAGTTGATTTTGGTAGCATGCTGCAGGGAGAATACACGTTTAATTTATTACACATAACTATGGTGCTTGAAAAGGATGGTTATTATGTAAGAAAACACTATAAAGAACAGCTGCAGCTAGAGAAAACTTCATTATACCATGCTTCATCTAGAAGAGCAATAATACCACCCGGCTTCTGCAAAAATTGAAATCAGAGTTTCAGAAAAGAAAAAACGCAGTACAAAGTAATGGAAAAACAGACCGTTCCATAAATAAAAAAGACCCGCTACTCCATGTGTTTTCTAAGTCGGAATAATGCAGACACTTGCGAATTATTAGAAACAGATAAATGGATAAAACAAACCTTTTCAATCAGATCCACAACATCTTGATTATCAACAAACTCCACATAGCTCCAATCTATTTCTTCTTTCTGATATTCACCTTGTTCCATTTTGAATACATGCTGTACAATATAAATGAGTTCAGATTAATCAACAGAATATTGAGCCAAATTAGCAGCCATAACCTATGGCTGACCTCTTACCTGGTTGAAATGCTGTTGCAGCTTTTCATTCGTGTAATTGATACAGAACTGCTCAAAGCTGCACAGAAAATATAAACAAGTCAATGAACAGCCGAAGTAGAGGTTAGATTAGGTGATGTTATAGATTCTCTGTAGTCCTGGAAACTTATACAAAGACATCATTTACTAAGATATCATATCTCAGCTCAGAGTAAATGTACATTTCATACTAAATTCAAGGGAAAACAGAAATTGAAAATTATTTAGATGCTAGGACACTCGGTATATTTTGACAATTAAGATTATCACCACAAGAATATGCATGTACAATGAGCCATGCATGCTCTCGGTCATCACCTGTTGGTTTTAAAGCTCTCAAACCCATAAATGTCAAGGACTCCGATCAAGCGCCTAGAGTGAGAATCTTGCCCGATAGAGATATTTATTTTGTTTACCAACCTGGAAAATAATAACTTAGCAGATGTCACCCTCAGTGGCAAGTTAAAAAAAAAGGAGACCGTTGACATAGATAATTACCAATCAAAGAGTCTAGAGTATATTGTCTTTGCTAAACCATCCCTGCTAACAGCAGCGCCAAGAGGATCAAGACTTCTCTTGATAACTTCTTCTGGGGTGACCATCATACGCTTACACAAAGCATCTTCCAAGGAACAGGGATCACACCTAAAACAACAAGCTGTAATTACATGCAGTACAAGAATGAGAATTTAGTTGAAAAAGAAGAAGAGGCGTATAATACATGAGCAATTCTGATGTCATTTGGAGATGAAACATTGACTGTTCATCTTTTAGAGATGATGAATCAGCATCTTCTCCCTTGGAAAATTCAATATTCCCAAGATGGAGAATGGCAGCCACAACTCTGAAAATTGCATCCTGAGGAGAGAAAAGAAGATAAGTCGTACCTATATAGCAATCCATAGTTGTTACGCAAATTGCAAAGAAGAAATTGCAAACCTGTTCTTGTTCACTTATTCCAACTACATCCATAGCCCTTCTAGTAGCAAGATACTCCTCTGCATCATTCACACCATCAAGTTCGTAGCAGCTAGATTGATTAAGATAGCGAAATGACTTAGGATCCCCCAATTTAAATCTCTCAACATCCTGAAAAAATTGATATCCTTTATCACTTCAAAGATTCATCTGATTATAGGTGTGGCAACTTAGATAACCTACCTCTGGAGGGGCAGCACAGAGGAGATAAAAGCAGTGATAGTTACGTTCAGGATCTGAAACTTGGCAAACACGAGACCTCTCCAAAAGGTAGGTTCTGATGGCTGCCCCAGATATTCGACCCACATCATCAAACTGAATTTCCACAAATTTCCCAAAACGACTGCAAGAAAAAAAAACATTAGTATCCACTAACAGCAGGTAAATGAGCCAGGAGGACAAGCAAAGTGAAAGAAGGAGAAATTGGAAGCTTACCTGGAATTGTTGTTCTTAACAGTCTTCGCATTTCCAAATGCCTCAAGAACTGGATTTGACTGTAAGATAATCCAATTGGCATAAAGAATTAGATCCAAAACCAAAAGAAGACCCAAGTGGTATCACATAAAGAGCAAGCTCCACTCTAACGATGTCAATGTAGGGATATAGCTCCAGACTGCATACTCAAGAAATCCTAACAAACAAAAATGTCTTTTTTTCTAAAGCAGGTAAAGTGAGGCAGCAAGGTTAAAACCTCCCCCTCCGAGTGTAGTAGACTGTAATATCAAATAAATTCATCACAACTTACTTCTAACACTTGGTTTTCAACCGTCCTTCCTTCAGCTGCACTATGCCCTCCAAAGTATGCAAGGTAACGCATGAGCATCTTAGTTGTTTCTGTCTTTCCAGACCCACTTTCACCACTGACCAATATACATTTATTCCTGCCTTCATTAATCATTTCCCTGTTGCAAATTTTCTCAAACTAATAAATAAAACCCACTTTTGCCCCTTTTATAGAAATATTTTTATACAAACAAACAAGTAAAGAGCTCAGGATCACCTATATGCAATTCCACCAATTGCAAAAACATGAGGACTCAACTCTTTGAACGAGGCTTCCTTGTACTTTTCCATAACCTCAGCATCATAAAGATGCGGGAGCCCTTGAAAGGGATTGACAGCAATAAGAATGTTTCCTGTATAAGTCTGTCATGATGTCAAAATATTATAACAGACTCGCCTATCACTGCATTAACTAACAGTTTTTTTTTTTTTCCAAGGACCAGGATTGAAATATTTGGTTTGCAACCAGAAATGAAATATTCTTACATAAATTTCATTCATCTCATATCTGGTAGCCAAGTTGTCGAGAACTGCAGGCTCATGCAAGTAAGATAATCTTGTCATGTCCTCTACTCCCTCTGAAGGAGCTTCAGCGTCTTTTGGATGGAGTTTTGATAAGTTGGCAATAACCTGAAAATGTAAATGAATCATAAGTATGGAAAGCAAAACATCACCAGTAAAAGCCAGAAATGGCATTTAAAACGAATTCAAGCATAGCCCTGTGTATGAAACGACTGAAAGCACATAGATCATATATCGAACATGACAAAGGACTGCAGAACAACTTTCCTTGAAGATCACCAAGTGATGAATTCCAAAGAAATTGGAGAAAGAAGCCGTTTACCTCTCTGCCATCGTTGGTTTTAACCTCAGCTTCGTCTCCTTTTATATTCAGTACAACCCCATCAATCCATGCTATCTCTGGGTCTTCCACCCAAACATGAGAATCCACCAATATATTCTCAGCCATTCCGTAAGAATCCTAACATTTCAGGTAAGCACCACAGTCTAGATTTATCAAAATGACTCGAAAAATCTCTTCCACAATTATTACCAACGATCGAAAATCCATTATCTCCGTGATAAATCTAACAAAATCGAAAATCCCATTAACCGGATTTATCCGAAACGAAGTAGGCTAAAAAAAAAATAACACCTGTGGATGTAGCTCCCTCAATCGCTTTGAAAAACTTCAGCCAATTCCGATAGACGGAGCTATGAGAGACCTTTCGAGAAGACGAATCTCAGAAGAGAATTGGATTGGGGACAAGATGGTGATTCGAAATTCGTATAACACCAAACCGGCGAGGCTCGGATTTCATGGGACGTGGTCGCTTGTTCTTCTGGGATTAAAACGCAAAGGTGAGAAACGAAATGATTTTTTCTTTCTCATGGCATGTGATCGATTTCTGCAGAGAGTGACCCAGAAACTCCCCTTGGATTTCGCCATTCCTGTGGACGCCATTGCCTCTGTCTCTCTCTTTCCCTCCCATTTTTAGCTCAAGGAGGCTTTTCACTTGCACCAGTAAAGACCCGGAATTTGACCCGACCCGTGAATGATCCGAATCTGGAAATTTCTAAATTTTGAGAAATTTATATATAAAAATCCAAAATTTCTTGCCGGGCAAGGTCTGATTGGGTCTTTTACTTGAAAAAAGGCTAAAAAAGCCTAAAAAGCACAGCTAAACCTTTTATTCTCTCATGAGCACGCCCAAGAGTGTGTTGCAGCAGAGCATGGTAGTGCCGATGTTCCTGAAGCTAGGAACCCTAGCTCTCCGAACTATCTGCAAACCCATCGCTAATCGCCTCAAAAAAGAAGCTGGAGTTAGCCCTAGATTCCGTCAGTTCATCATCAACGTTGCACAGGTAAAACTCTTTTCAACCCCCTCAATTTCCGATCTTTCGGTATGAATTCTCCACGAAAAATTAGATATTTGGGTTATGATCATATTATCTGATTGCATAAGTTTCCCCGGACATATCCATGATTTAGGGGGGAAAGAATCTAAGGGTTTATGAAAAAACTTAAATTGGTTTACATATTACTTTTTGTGTTGTTGCTTTTAATATCTTTCCCGGATCAAAAATTGTGATCTTTGACAGGCGAATCACAGATTCACTACAAAGTTACAAAGGCGCGCTTCAGGCCGTGTCACTGATGCAATTATTCGCCCTTTAAACGAAGAGAGAGCTGTTCAAGCCGCTGCAGATCTTCTTGGGGAACTCTTAACCTTCACGGTATCTCGAATTTCATGTCTTTTAAAGATTTTTTTTATTCGCTAAAGAGTCTTTCCTCAAGAACTCAATAGAAGAAATTTTCACAGCCATAGTTCTTCGAATTCTTTTTCAGTCAAGTTGTTCTGCATCTGCAAGATCATTACATCAATTTACCCATTTTATATCACTTGCTCCTCCTAATTAAACTTGTTTTTCATCAATCGAATTGGTTCTGAAACAGAGAAACATGTTTTCTCTTAAAGGTTGCAGGGGCTGCTATTGTCTATGAGGTGCAGAGAAACGCCCGAGGAGAAGCTAGAAAAGAAGCGAAGCGACAAGGACTACTTCAAGTGAGCTCTTATGATTGCATCTCCTCTCTTCATTACTTTCTAAGAGTTCTCTAAGACACACTGTTTTAACTTTCTTTCTTTCAAACACTTATGAAAGTCTCTCTCTCTCTCTCTCTCTCTCTCTCTGCTCATGTTTGTTAACCAGGAACTGAGACTCAAAGATGAGAAGATAGAGAATGATATCCAAGAGTTGAAACAAAGATGCAACGAGCTCGTTGAAGAGCTTTCTAAACCAAGAGAGCTTGCTGAAGAGCCTTCTAAACCAAGAGAGCTCGCTGAAGAGATTTCTAAACCAAGAGGACTCGCTTGGCTCTTCAGCTTCATGCATTATCCGAGTGCTCCTGAGAAAATACAGCAGGAGAGCTAAAAGAACAAAATCCTCAAAGATGGTCTGCTTCTTTGCAAGCTGTTTTAGCTTTGCTTGTAAATAGTTTCGGATATAACCAGATGGGTTAACTGCCCGAGATTCCAAATTATTCTTACATTGAAAGGAAAACTCTAGAGCTTGTTCTTGATTTGACTTCATTTCAATCTTTTCTCAGTTCACCCAAACAAAACCAAGAAGACTTTAAAATAAACAAAAACAAAACTATTCAAACTATTTCTCTACTTGTGTGATTTTTCTTTATCTGGTCTTTGTACTTCTTTTCTTTTTTCATTAGAAGATTGAGATTTCAAAATCAGAAAACAATTTAGTAAATTTTAGGTCTTGAATAAAAACATCAAGGTTCAACACATGATTTATGGAAACATAAAGAGTTCAATTTGCAATTTACTAAATGTAGGGGTATAGTAGTAAATTACCGGATTCAATCCATCGAAATTCCAGCCTTGCTGCTACTTACGACACGTCAACGGCGATATTCATCTCTTCCCGTCTCTCTTCTCTTTGCAGCCGCCACTCGCCGCCGCGATTTTCCTCATCGGAGGCTAATCTCCGCCTCCCTCTTCTTCATCGACGGTGTCTTTTGTTCATTTTTTTTTTGTTTACTTTTCAAAGGATTAGCTGCGTCTACCCACCTCGAGACACGCCATGACCATTTTCTCAGTTCAGTCCACTATCTTCAGCCGAGCTTCCGTAGCTCTTCTCTCTAGCAATGGATTCAAACGGTTTTCATTCGCTTCCTCGTTTTCCTCGGCCGCAGTTTATTCTCCACCTCTCCCCAAAATGAAGAAGCGCCGATATCCCATCGTCTCTGCTGTTGATATTGGCGGCGTCACTATCGCTAGAAATGGTTCGTATTTCTGATTGTTCGATTTGATTTAACCGGTTCGATTTAGTGGAACCACGTTAGTTATGATGAACAGAAGAAGGATCATAATCTCAGAATTGGTCGAGAAGAAGTTGAATTTAACATTGATTCATACATACTTGAATCTTGTTTCTTAATAGAAATTTTGATTGTCAAATGGAGGAATTTGCAGATGTGGTGAGAGAGGATGATCCTACGAACAATGTACCAGACTCGATTTTCTCAAAACTAGGAGTGCAGCTACACAGGAGGGATAAGCATCCTATTGGGATCATTAAAAATGCTATCTACGACTACTTTGATAACAATTACTCGAAAATGTTTGACAAGATCGAAGACCTTTCCCCAATTGTTACAACAAAGCAAGTAAGTTCTCCATATTACTCAAGCTTGCAATTTTTTTGTTCTTTACTGGAAATATCATAACATGTCTATGTAATTTTCTGTTTTTGGGTACAAGAACTTTGATGATGTGCTAGTCCCTGCTGATCATGTAAGCAGAAGCCTCAATGACACGTACTATGTAGACTCGCAAACTGTTTTGCGATGCCACACAAGTGCTCACCAAGCTGAGCTGTTGAGGAAAGGTCACAGACGTTTCCTTGTAACCGGGGATGTTTACCGTAGAGATTCTATCGATTCTACTCATTATCCGGTTTTCCATCAGGTGCTCTGTTCTGTTCTATTCTCGAGGTCCCTGTGTTTTTACTCTTTATACTTTGGCTGTTTTGCTCGACTTCATGTTTTTTTTTTTGCTTTTATTGAACACAGATGGAAGGCTTTTGTGTGTTTTCTCCTGAGGACTGGAAAGAGTCTGGCATGGATTCCACATTATATGCTGCTGAGGATTTAAAGAAATGCCTCGAGGGGTTGGCAAGTCACTTGTTTGGTAAGTTAAGATACATTTCAACAGAAGTAACCTTCAAGTATGTATATCCTTCAGCTAGTTAGCATCAACTTTAAAACGAAACAATATAACATAGTACAAGCTTGCGAGTCTTTAATGTGGACTTGTTTTTTGGCTGCCAGGAGCTGTGGAGATGAGATGGGTTGATACATATTTCCCATTTACCAATCCATCTTTCGAGCTTGAGATATACTTCAAGGTAAGACTCTTCATTCACATATTGTAGATTCAAATTTACACGTGGGAAATGCTGGACACGTATATTGGAGAGTTGTTGTTTTGGCTACGCTAACACAAGAATCAGCTTCTCATCTAACAAAAGCACTCTCTGTTCACTGATTCAGGATGACTGGCTGGAGGTTTTGGGCTGTGGGGTGACTGAGCAAGGAATATTGAAGCAGAGTGGATTAGAGAATAATGTTGCTTGGGCCTTTGGACTTGGATTGGAGCGTCTTGCTATGGTTTTGTTTGACATCCCTGATATCAGACTTTTCTGGTCTGACGATGAACGGTTTACGTCCCAGGTGATTGCTTAGTTGGACAACTTACAAATTTGGGATGGTGAAATTTATGGTCTCAAACTTTTGATATCTTTTCTCACATTAATGTATTTTGATGTGACGTGCAGTTTGCAGAAGGAGATTTTGGAGTCAAGTTCAAGCCATTTTCAAAGGTAAAAGGATATTTTTCAATCTTCATGTCTTTTGAGTCTAAGACTCATTTGGCCGGTGAGCGTTGACGGCGGTAAACAAATTTTTGTCCTGCAGTATCCTCCTTGTTACAAGGACATCAGTTTCTGGATCAGTGAATCATTCACAGAGAATAACTTTTGTGAAGTTGTTAGAGGAATCGCTGGGGATCTTGTTGAAGAGGTAAACATACCTTGTAGTTTGATTGATTGGGACTCGGAGGGAATACTAACTTTACAGGAACCGAATTTAACTTTCAGCTTCACTTTACTTTAATTGTATCATCGAGTGATCGTCATTTTTAATGATTCACAGGTGAAGCTAATTGACAGTTTCACCAATAAGAAAGGGAAAACGAGCCACTGTTACAGAATTGTGTTCCGTTCCATGGAGCGCTCTCTTACCGACGAGGAGGTCAATGCTCTGCAGGTAATCACTTTTTCCTTCTTCATTGATCCGGAAGATAACATTTTGGGGAAAGAAAGCACAAAATCAAAACATTTGAACTTGTTAACGAGTCAAAACCCTTTGTAGCTAAATGCCACTTTACATATAACCAGAAGGAGAAAATTGGACGTTGGAAGGTTGCATTTGCTAATTATTTGTATAAAAATGGTGATTTTTTTCTAAATGCAGAGTAAGGTGCGTGATGAGGTGGAGAGCAAGCTAAATGTTGAATTAAGGTGATTTTTTTTTTTACTTTTATGAATCGTAGAGTTGTTTTTATGAACATTTGAGGTTTTTTACATTGTAATTCCTACATTAATTTTTTTTACTTTTGGGAAGATTATATGTTGCCCTGAAATAAAATGTATGTACATTGTTTTTTATTCTAAAGGAAAGAAGAACAGATATGCTTCGACTTCGCAAAATTTTGTGGTTGTGTTTAAATGTGAATATATTTCAGAAAATACCAAAGCAAAAAATTATTCTTCTTCTTCGTCTTTCACCCCCATCTCCATGTTCTTCATCAAGTCATCTTCTCCTCCTTCAGTAAATGTTCTTCACTTTTCAAGTGGAGGGTCAGAAAATCATTGCTGTCGGCAGGATAGTTGCACAGCTCGCAGATATAGATGGGGTTATTGTCCGTGTCTAGTGGCACGTTCGCCCACAGCTGCATGACAAACCAAGCAAAACGCAGACATGTTTTATTACAATTTACAAAATGTAATGACAAAAGCGACAAGGATGCTTACCTCCTCTTTGTGTTCTTTACTCTGAAGATGGTCGATGAAACCATCAAAGCTTTTGACAGGAACTTCGCATTGTAGGCAAAAGCAGGCATCTTCACCAGTTTCAGTGCACTTGTCCTGGCTGTTTGTCTCAAGGGGAGGAGACGAATTCTCTGTAGAGGAAAAAAAAAAAAACTAACAGGTTATAGCTTTGCCGGTTTATTTCAATGTAAATGTGAGAGAGATAGAGATAATTACCTTCAAGTAAAGTTTCCCAGCACCACTCTTCATAAGAGCCGAAAGCTTCGGCTGGCTTAGACTTTGGAAAGGCACGCAGAATAGTGTGCCCATAGAAGAGAAGGAAGTTACTGCACCAAGACTTGTTGCCTGAGATTAGCAGAACATTGTAACCCTGAGATGGATTAGGCTCTTTCCAAGGTGCATGGCGCTGTCTCCAATCGACCAAAACATTAGACACTTCTCCGGCACCACCATCTGGAAAATAAGACTTGTTGAGTGTAACAAGTCTAAACTCAAAATAAATAAAAAAAAAAAAAATCGTACAAAGAGGTAACAAGACTAACCGAAGGGGGAGTGTATAAGAAGGATTCCAAAGGAAAATATCTCTTTCAAGACCCGTGGAGAGATCAAGTCTAGGTTGCCAATGGCAAAGACGGTGACGGGAAGACTACCAAAGAGCTTATTCAACGCGGACTCGATGCTCGGACGGACACAACCAATGTCATAACCAGGGGGAACCGGACAGGTGTTGAGGTCCCACAACACCACGGTGGTTGTAGGGAGCAGCGGGTAAACAGTGGTTGTAGGAAAAGCTAAAAGAAGAAAACAAATCGCAATTAGTTTACCCCAATCGAACATTACATTAGATAAACATTTTGAAACCAAGTAACTGAAACTTGCCAGGGCATGGTGCACCAGGATGTGCAGTGTTGATGTGGACGAACATGTTATGTCGGTCGCAGCTATGATACTCGCAAACTCGGCAGGACAATCGAGGTTCATCGAATTCATTAAAAGAATGCCCGTCCCAGTGACGCTCGAACAAGTGATGCTGAAACCGAGATGATTTTGAAGGTTAGACGTTAGCAAAATGTAATGATACAAAAGCTGATACAAAATGTAAAGATGGATTCCAGCGGAGGAGATCTCTTTCAAGAGAAGAGGAGAGATGATTTCTAGGTTGCCAATGGCAAAGATGGTGACTACTGGACGAGAACCAAAGTGCTTCTTCACCGCCGATACGATACACGGTCGGACACGACGAACGTCGTAGCCATCGGGAACCGGACAGGTGTGGAGGTCCCACCACACCACCGTTCTCATCGCCTTAAGCCGTTTAAAACCTAAAAAGTAAACAAATTGCCGCACTTGTTTAATCAGATGATAAATTCAATAATCGCGGGTCGTTAATCAAACATATCAGATAAGCAACCGGAGTAGTTCACACGTGTCCAAACTACCGACCTTCTTCCATATCGAATCGGAGAGAGACAGGAGATCCACAGCCGCAAATTCTCGATTAGTTTAGGGCTTTTATTTATTCGGTGAGAGATGAAATATCTATATACTAGTATTAACAATGTTATTCGGTGAGTGATAAAAACCTTAGTTGTATGTAGGTTTTGTCTTTATTGATCGGCGCTAAGGCTTTTATAGTTTATATAGGTTACAACATGACTTGATCACCAAGATACGTATAACTTAAGTAAATGGAAATATACGTAAAATACATCTTCAGCATATATATCTCGTAATAATGTATATAATCCAACGGCATCTTCAATTTGTTCCTGTAAAGAGAATCACATATATGTTCCTGAAAACATGTAGAGACAATCAAAATTGCGGTAAAGAGAATTGTCTACACATCTATTGCTTGCAACTGTTATTTTTTAACATAGATAAACAGTAAAAAAAAAAACCTACGCAAGAAAGGAAAGAGAGCAAGGAAGATAATTTATAGTTGAAAATGATTTTTATGACAAAAGAAGTCATTTCAGAGAAATTGTGATAGTTGAAAATGATTTTTATATTCTACTCCTTCAAATTTTAAATATTTTTACTTTTAAAAGTAAATAATTATTTTGATGATGATGTCTTTTTTATTAATGATTATATATACTAAAACATTATAATCTCTAAAATTAAAATGTAAATAACGTTTATTTAATAAAAAAATATAATGATATAAATCAAAAAGTAATAAACTTTTAAAAATAAATTAAATGAATGAGTCAATTTGTAAATTTTGATAGATATGTGTATAATTAGCAATAACTAATAAATTAATTTATTTTTCTATACTGAATCTATTACAAATTATGAAAATGGACGATTATAAATTTTAAAAGCTGTTCAAGAGGTGAAATATTATTAATATTTTATTAATAAAAGATTCTTTATTTTAAAATGCAATTTTGTTCGCTAGACTGCTTTATCTGTTGGGCTCTTATATCCTTTTGGTGTCTAAAGCAGTTTTGTTCGCTAGATTCAATTTCACCTCTTGAACAACTCAAGCTCACTAATTTTTTTCTCATCGCCAGTATAAACAAATTACTCAAATTTTTATAATAATAAATATGAAAATTTCACTGACCCAATCTGCTTAAACTATTATTTTCTCTCATTGATGATTGTACAATTCACGATTAGCTATTATTTATGAACAAACTTTTCGTAATAAATTTTGAATTTCAGCTGTAGGACATCTTTTGTTTCCAAAATTTTAGTCACTCGCATATTATAACAAGGAAACGTCTGAGCTTGCTTTCTGTGTTTTTTCAAAGCTCGACTTCATGTGTTTCTTATACAGATGGAAGGCTTTTGTGTGTTTTCTCCGGATTTAACCTTCAACTATGTAAATCCTTCAGCTAGTTCAGGATTATGATTTCAAATGAGAGTTGTTTGGGATGATTATAGCATCAACTTTAAAAATTGAAGACGCAGATACTTAGATGAAACAATTTAACATAGTAAACAAGCTTGCGAGTCACGGTTCGTGTATTTCAAACCCGACGGAATTATTACGAAATCATTTATATCTCCGGTTTTAATGGTCCAATTGTGGCCCAAATTACTGTCTCAATTTTCTAATTTCTTTATTTTGTTGCGCTCGTACTACTGATTGCGTTTCTGCTCATGAAGCCGGATTTTTTTTTTTATTTTGTAGAAATGATGATGAGTTCACGATCGAGTTAAGCAAAAACAACTTTACCTTATCTAATTTCCATTAGGACCATAAAGAATAAAACTTTCCCGACAGATCAAACTGCCTTCACGTTACTTATGCTCCCCACCTTATTAGTTATATTTATTTATCATAATACAAACTGCCTTTTGCTATTATTCATTCAGATCAAAGCTTTTTCTAACTCACCAAAACACAGTAACATGCATAATGATTAGTCACAAGTTGAACTATATTAAAATTCGATGCTTTTCTCCCTCTTTTTAATATTCCATGGCTCTCAGCCTCTCAACGCGTAGTTTCCGTGTACATTTGTATATCAGCAGAGTTCAGAAATAACTATATTTTAATAAATTTCTATAATGTTGATGTCACGAAAAAATTAGTACGAGCAAAACATTATTAAAAACACCGGTTGTTTCTCAACAGTTTTTAACTTAATTACCATTGATGTCAGCTATTCAGTTTCGTGGAAATATACATATACATCGCAGATTGAAATACAGTTATTTTCAAATGAACGGCCGGGGGTGATCCATGATCGATCTAATCATTATATAATCAAAATTTGAGATTTTGTAGTAATTTTATAGAATTTTGATCGGGAAAATGTGCAGACTTGCAGTGTTGTGATGATTTGTGGCCGTATATGTCAGTGAAAACATGTACGAATCGTTACGGAAGATTCCGTATGTTTCTTTCCTTCTATTTTATGGGCTGGAATTGATTTCCACATTTTTCTGTTAATGATTTTTTATATTTTTTTTGCTTCACTTATGATCATTGTAGATGAAAGACTCGCTAGAAAAATATACATTTTGGCTTCAACAGCCTAAATAGTTAATCTTTCTAAACAATTTGATGTCATGAAGCCTTAACAAGCCTTCATTAACTACTTTATCTTATAATCTGTCACATTTGATTTGTCTTGTCAGATATTCCGATTCTCAATGCTCAATCATTCTGCTGGTCTCAAGATCTTACTATTAAGCATAATGCATTTTTGAAATTTGTGCACTTATATTTCCATTGCTCCATTATACTTGGAAAATGGAAATAAGATAGTATTTATTTAGCAAAAACAATGAAAATAATCCCATTCTTTCATATCCAACCATTTTATATGAAGAAATAAAAAAATTGGATTTAGGTTATAGCCTTATACTGTTTTCGTCTAAATGAATGTGAATATCTCACTTGATTGAGTATTGGATTTTCGGACGATGTTAATTTTTCGTTCTTATAAATACTTATAATTTTTTAGCATGATAATAATTAAAGTCTTGATGTATTTTATATATTTTACGGAAAACGATTTATATGTTATAAAAAATCACAAATAAGAATGTTTAAAGAAATTTGTAGGTTGTAAACTGATTAAAAAAACAAAAAAACATTACGGACCACAGTATGCATTTATATATAACACGGAACCATATATCGATATAAACAATAGAGATGTGCATATGTATACATTATTCCTTCTCCATTACACTATTACATACACCACACACTATATATATATATGCATGCACATGTGAAGCAGGATTGGGTGGATTGAGAATGAGAGGAGAAGCACATGGAAGCACACTTGCATGAACATGTTTGTATTCACAGGCAAACCACTTTCAATTTTATACATTAATGTAGAAGTTGTAAACATTACTACTCCTACTTCATTATAACTTTTTGTATGTAAACTTTTTCGAACCAAAAGAGAGCTTTTATACGGATTTTCCTCTTCTAGTGGAATCTGAATTCGGGTATACACTGCAAAAACAAATTTTTCTAATGGTCAAATTACCCAAAGTCTTAACTTATTATATATTCATTCAACAGAAAAAAATTTGATATTTATTTTATTTTTCAATCAAAGTATTGAAAAGAAAAGAAAAATTACTTTCGTGTCATTACTTTTGATCAAACTGTTAATTTAATTCCTGCAACTCTCGTTAAATGTTGTCGTTGTTGTTGTGCCGGGCTTGTTGTAGAAATTTAAAGATTGGTCTTATGTAGAAACCTAAAGAGAATATTCCTAGAATTCTTTGTTAGAAGACAACCACTACTGTTTGGGTTATTTTGAGTAACGAAGGTTAGTGAATTGTATGTCATATGAATAGTGACACATTTAAATAATAGATCGTTGGGCCATTGAAATTCTAAAAGTAAATAATATATATATATATATAATAACCATAAACGCTAACAAATGTTTATATTAGTTCACAGAATTCTGTTTGAACTACTTATGTATATTCGCATACATAATAGCAATTTTGTAGTGTAAAACATTACTGAAACAAAAACAAAAATCTTTTTACAATGAAATGATACAAAAGTTGAGAGATCGATACTGAAAAGAAGCCTGGACTTGAATAGAACCAGAGATACATATGAACCAAGTTTTTCTTACATATTTTGTTTCTCGTTATCTATATATCATCAACAATTTATTTTATACAAGTATATATTTTTTAAGAATTTATCATCGATATAAATATAACCTGTATACATAGTGAATTCAATCCAATAAATTGTCTTCTGTTATGAAAAACAATGAATAAAAACGATTGGCCTACATGGGCCTTTGGTTTGGGGACAAAGCAAATAGAGAGGAAAAAAAAAATCACAAAATATTATAGCAAAAAAAAAAAAAAAACAAAAACAAAGCACATGTTCTGACACATGAACATGGTTCCCTTCTTCACTTCTCCTTTTCTTTTGATTTTTCAACAGCTCATCTCTCTCTCCACTCTTCCACTACTCTCAGCCTGCCACTTAATTCATTCTTCTATTTCCTTTATATGTTATTATTCTTTCTCCCTTCAATTAGCATTTCACTGTCATAATTTTTCTACACTGATGATTGATTTTCTTGTTATTTGATGGTTTACAGTAAGCGGGAGTTAAATTTACACACATATATACATGCTTTTCTATGAACTAAGTTGTACATGTGAAGGACAGAAAGAGAAGTGTATTAATTGTAGTGGACTATTCTTCTTTGTCTCTGTCATTTGATAAAGTGGCCACTCTTATGCTATCAACCCATTGATGTCCATACTCCATCCATATACAATGTGTTGTAACCTTATGTATTATGATCTTTGTATTAGGTGTGATTGTGCTTTAAGCTAAACAACAAACAGAAAGTAAATTTCACTTTTTACCTAAAAAAAAACAAAGAGAAAGCTGTGTGTTTACTATACAATGACTCACATGATAACACATTTTAGTGATAGATATGATTCATAGATTATGAAAAACGCATTCGTTGACATTCAATCATACATGAACATACTAGATGCATGTATATTTTTAAATTGAAACCATATACTCGTTATAACTCCAAGTTTGGTTTTAGTGTATGTAAATACTTTGCATGGACCACTTGATCATTTAGGTTTCGGTCTGGATATCGTTTATACGTGGTAGACGAAATACAAAAGTTTACGGTTCTAATTTTTTAAAAAATTTGGAAACCAGACTTAAGAAGTTGTGTTTTTCTTTTTCAATCGATTAGTGGTGTCCAAATATCATTTATATTAAACTCATATGATTTCCAAATAATTAAAGAGAGCAAATACGAGCATCCGGTAGCATTTGGCCAAGTGTCAGCTCGTCGGACGGCCAGGAATCAAGGCGGAGGATATGATCAAACGGCGGAGGAAGGAGGTGAGAAAAGCGGGAGCATGTGGAAGAGAGAAACATAAGAATGTTTCCAAAGGATAACTATTATATTATTACATTTTTGTAAAGAAGAAATAAATAATTAAGCAAACAAATTAAGGGAGAGGGGTTCACTAAGAGCACGTGCTGCCTGATTCTCCATTTTCTCTTAAGACCCTCAAAGCTATTTTTCTTCCCGAACAGCTGTTTCATAGCTGTCCGATCTCTCTCCCTCCCCATGTGACCCCACTCAGAGATATAATACCCTTTGAGATCGAATCCATATATAATTAATTTTAGCTTTTTTTCTATTATAAAATTATCTTATCTCATGCATCCCTCTCTCTATATCTCTTACTTCTGTTTTGTATAACTACTCTTTGTTATACATAGCCATTTTAGTTACTCTGGTTCGTTTCTTATTCTCTCTAATGGCTATTCCTCTGTTTTAGGACTTTGATGATCTAAATTCCAAATTCCTTGATCCTCACTCAAATTTTTGATCCTTTCCTTTGTTTTTCGGGTTTCTCATTTTCTGAATTGGGTTCTTCTCGTAATTCAAGATTTGTTTCCCTTCATTCCAATAATTAAAAAAGTTTTTTTTTGGGTGTGCCATTAAAAATCTCATTAATGGCACAACTCCCTCCGAAAATCCCAACCATGACGACGACGACGACGCCACATTGGCCTGACTTTTCCTCCCAAAAACTCCCTTCCATCGCCGCAACCGCCGCCGCAACCGCAGCAACCGCCGGCCAGCAAAACCCTTCGTGGATGGATGAGTTTCTCGACTTCTCAGCGACTCGCCGTGGGACCCACCGTCGTTCAATCAGCGACTCCATCGCTTTCCTCGAAGCACCTTCCTCCGGCGTCGGAAACCACCACTTCGACAGGTTCGACGACGAGCAATTCATGTCGATGTTCAACGACGACGTACACCAAAACCACAACAGCAACAACCACCACAATCGTCACAACAATGTGGGTCCCACGCGTTCTTCTTCCAACACCTCCACGCCGTCCGATCACAACAGCCTCAGCGACGACGACAACAAAGAACCTCCACCGTCCGATCATAATCACATGGACACCACAGCCAATCAAAACAACGTCGCCGGTAACAATTACAACGAATCAGACGAGGTTCAAAGCCAATGCAAGACGGAGCCACAGGACGGTCCGTCGGCGAATCAAAACTCCGGCGGAAGCTCCGGTAATCGGATTCACGATCCCAAAAGGGTAAAAAGGTAATTAATCATTTTTGTTCGTTAAATTACCATTTCCAAAAAAAGACCACAAAAGGTCATGCATGCACGTACAGTTATAATATCTGAGAATCCGATATTTAAACCGTTTAAAAAAGACATGTAGTTAAACTAGAGTCACATCGATAACAATAATTTAAGTTTTAGCTGAATTTTTCTACAGAATTTTAGCAAATAGGCAATCAGCACAGAGATCAAGGGTGAGGAAGCTGCAATACATATCAGAGCTCGAACGGAGCGTTACTTCATTGCAGGTAAAATTTACATTATATATTGTACATATGTGTGTAATAATCAAAAAAAAATACTAACTTATAAATACAAACTGTGGAATGAAGACGGAAGTTTCAGTGTTATCACCAAGAGTTGCGTTCTTGGATCACCAGCGATTGCTTCTCAACGTCGACAATAGCGCTATCAAGCAACGAATCGCTGCTTTAGCCCAAGACAAGATTTTCAAAGATGGTAATTTCCCTATTTTAATTTCTTTTATATTCATTTTTCTATAATTACGTGATTCGAAAAGAATTTCTTTTTTTTTTTGTCTGAATAAATTTGACAGGAAAAATTACCAAATTATAATTTATTACTATTTTGGCCATTATTATCACACCATATGTATTTAATTTAGGACTGGGCAAATTATCCGTTATATTTGATTCGATCCGCTATTTGCTTTGATTCGATTCAAAAAATCCGGATATCCGTAGCTTTACGGAGCAAAGCATATACTAAATTTTGATATCCGTTAAAAACGGAGCAAATCACAAATATTAAAATTCTAAGAGCCAGATATCCGATCCGCTCCGATTTACATATATATATGTGTATATATATAAATTATTATATATAGAATGTATAGTTAATATAATCATATGTAAATTTTTGTGAATTTATATATATTTTATTAGTTATTTTAATACAAAATTTTAAAAGAACAATTTAAAATTTAATATATGAGTTAATTTTTTGACTTTTTAATTATTTTTATAAATAATTTTAATTATTTTATAATTAATTTATTATTTTTGAAACGGATCGGATATCCAGTCAAAAATCCAGATTTTAACGGATATCCGAATACCGGATATCCGATTAGTAACAAAGCAAATACGGATCAAATAATTGTTAACCGGTACGAGGCGGAGCGGATCACATATATCACTAAAATTCCGGATATCCGCTTCGTGCCCAGACCTAATTTAATTATCACTGACAATATATAGGCTCGGCCAATCATTATTCTTTAGCAATATAACTATACAAGGAAGTACTTGCGGCAATGCTCATGCTTCATAATTCATATCATTACAAAATTTACATGAATTCGTATATATGTTCAAATCATGAATAATGCCAGTAGATATTGTTTATGTTGCCTGAAGGGTTTATGTACTCTCTACTAGTTATTTTATAATATGGGTCTAGCGAGTGATCATAAATCACAAGAATAATAAATAGTAGCCTGATTAATAAGCTAGAACAACTGTCCATGTGTGCTCATATTGACATAAGTACAGATAAAACATGTGAACATTTAGGTTTCTTGATAATGATAACAATGATTGTAAAATTAATATTTTCAGCTCACCAAGAAGCATTGAAGAGAGAAATAGAGAGACTTCGACAAGTATATCATCAACAGAGCCTCAAGAAAATGGAGAATAATGTCTCCGACCAATCTCCGGCCGATATCAAACCGGCCGTTGAGAAAGAGCAGCTCCTCAATGCCTAAAGCTGCTTCATGGCGATAAAAATTTCTTGACTATAAAACCTCTTTGTGTCAAGAAATTAATTTGTCAAAGAAGAAGACATTCTTATTTAATCTAATCACATTTTTTTTAAGTTGTGATGAATTTGCTTTGATGTATCTGATTTTTTGTTTCTTATGGAGTGGGAGGCGAGGGGGAGTGGAAATGAAATGTAAAAAAAAAACTTAGCTGATTTGTTGTTTATTCAATTTTTTTTTTTTTTTTGGAGTGTCTAAAGCATGAATTGTGTACTAATTGATATATTTCCTGAATAGTTTGTTTCTTCATCAATGTCTTAGCAAGTGAATTAGGGTAATCGAATAGTTGAGGATTCCGTTTTTCATGCATCCATATACAGTAATTTAAACTTGTTTCTATTGACAAAATGAACAATATTATTGAACCATGAAATGTTTACACATAACTGTAGTTTTAAGATTTATATTCGAAGTGACTGAAAGCGATGTCTCATTCCTTAAAAACTCATACGAAACTATTCAATTATTAGGAAAAAAATCAATTAATTATAATGATTTTAACAAAAGAAAAAAAGTCATGTAAAAATGTCAAATGTTACTATTTCCTTACGTAGGGCCTGGAGGTGTAGGTGATGTCATATAGAATCTAGATGTACATTTATATCTCATATACAATTTAGTAGTTAACAAACACCTGTTGTCAAAAGCAAAAAAAAGTTACTATAAACACATAACGAATAGTATATTTATGGCGGAAATTACAGAGAAAAAAAGATTGATGAACTTTTTTTTGATCAAAACATTTTTGAGAAATTAGGGTCAAAGTGGATCAAATCTGGAAAATGTGGGGGTGAAAAAAGGAAAATAAAAAAAAAGGGAGAACGTGGAGACATCTGAAGGCTAAGCTGTAAGTTCACGTGCTATGTTCCTTGTGTTGGACCACTACGGTCTTTGCTACATGATTGGCTTTGTTTCACTCTTCTTTCTACTTTTGTTTTGTTTTATTTGCTTAACAAAACAAAATGATGTTTAATGAAATTCAACTTATCTTTCAAGTTATTTCCAAAGTGGAAGGAGACGGTCAAAGTTAAATCGGAGAAAAGAATAAAGTTACAGAGGAAAGCTCCAAAGATATGAAGATTAATTTAATAGAATCATAAAAAAGAAAAATTGAAGAGGATAAAGTTTAAAAAGACAGAGGTTAGTGGTAGTGTGTTGGGATATGCATGAAAGCGAGTATTGTCAGTTTCAGTATTTGAACTTATGTCAGTGCCAATACCCAACTCGTTCCTCTCATTGGGTCTTTTTTGTTTCTTTTACTCGTTTCTCTCATAATCTCATTGGGTCAAAAAGTATCTTTCTACTATAGTTTATATATATATGTACCTTTTTTTTTTTGCCAACTACCATATTGGGGAAATTTTTTTTTAATGAAATCTAGATTTGGCCGTTTTTGCAACACTGAAAGAAATATATAGAACCATTACCAATTCTATCAATTTGATCTCGATATGTAGACTACAGGTCGAACAAGACAAGACACGCACTCCGAAATACCAGGAATCTGACAATGTTAACGAATACGAAAGCTGTTCATCACTAGTTTACGAATCTCGAAAACGATTTGAGTGTTGATATAATGTAGTGCTAATTAAGACTAGCATTGATCACAACCGTTGATTACCTTTCCTAGAAAAAGATTAAAGAAGAGATTCGATTCGATCATCATTTTACAAAACGAGGCTAAAATGATATTTGTTCAAATGAGCTTCTAAAGCTTCACCGATTTGCAGAAACCTACAGGAGAATAAAACATTTGAGACAAATCAGCTACACAGTTTAATAAAAAAATCAAGAAGCTATAGTGGAGAAAGAAGAAGAAACCAAGTATTGGTAGATATTATGATGACACTTACATAAACAATGATCATCTGTTGAGATATTTGGTATAACTATGCATATGTTGAGCCATAACAAAATTCTATTTATCTATTAAATTAACATTAATCTTATTCAACTCTCACTCTTCCACTCTTCCACAATTCTACTCCACTATTCATCTAATATATCCGTTATCACAATAATATAGTTTTTTGTAACAGGGAAAAGATAGTAGGATTCACAGGGAGGGAATATAAAGTTCTATCTCCAATCAAAGAAAGAGGGCAACGTTATGCTTGGCATTTTGAGTAATAGGGAGTAGAAAAATACCTTAAAGAGCATCTCAAGTTTCTTCTGTAGCAGCAGCAGCAACTTCAGAAGTCTCATGATCCTTGCTTGCCGAAAGTGTTTCTCCACAGATCTTTATTTCATTTTCAACATCGATCAATCTCTCGTCGAGCGACTCTACTTTTTCCACGTATCCTTGAAGTACTATAAGCCAGTTACTTCCAAACTCCTCAATTTGTCTCTCTATCAGATCTCGTGTCATCCTGTCTTCCACTTCTTGCTTCAATCTCAGCTTTTCAATTTCAGTAGTGCTCAGAACTAAGCCTCCAGAACCTTTGACATCCTTGTAGACCGGTTTTTCAACACGCAAAGGGCAACGTTTCATGTGCTCTCTTGATGCCTTTTTTGTTTCTTTCAAAGCCTTCCTATAACCCTCTACTACACTTGTCATCATACGAAGCTCGCTCTCAAGCCTATAGATCATCAAATCTTTTCTCTGCTGCTCCTCATACTTGGTTCTTTCCAAATCCTGAATAATTTCTGCCTTTCTTTGCAGTTCGCTCATCAGATACTCCTGGTTCATAGCAGATTGTGCACGCTCTCGCTCTTTTTCAGTACATGACATCCGAGCTTTCTCAAACCAGAGCTCCATCTGATCCAAACACATCTCAACTGGAGGAGGTTTTTCATCCCAAGATGGTTCTTCAGTCCTCAACCTCTTGCTGCTGGGGTTATGAGCATGATAGGACATATCATTCTCGTGATCCATCTCTCTCTTGGTGTTGCCATTCGCAAACATGGAAGAACTACCTGAACCCATACCCATATGCATGTCAACCCTAGAACCAAGGAAATCACCACCAGTCGAATTGCCATGAATTTGTAACGCAGAGCCATAACCTAACGGAGAAGCATCTCCTAACATGAGACCCTCTTGGCCAACTCCATGAAGGGAATCTCCATTTGGAAAAAAGGGAAACCCTCCTTCATGCTTTTCTTTATCTTCCTCAGTTTCCTCTTCCTCAAAATCTTCAATTGGTTCGTCTTCTCCCATTTCCATGGGTTCTTCTGTTTTATTCTCTTCGCTTCTTTCTCTAGCGCTACTATGATCGCAACGGCGAAGAAAATGCGGAGCAGCGTGGGTGTCTTCATTCCACGGCCACTTTTCAGCCTCTTCTTTCTTATTCTCATCAACATCCATTGGCTGTCCTTCAACAGGACCTCGCTCTTCCCCAGAGACCATTTGTGACACAGTCTCTTGCCCGAGATTCAATTCGATCATATGTTCTTCCACATAGTTCTCTTCTTCTTTTGGGTCGGTAGCACAATCATCCCTTCCTGAGCTTGCAGCACCAACATCTTCCTCCTTCACCTCCAAACAATCTTCTTTAGGAGATTTTACCAAAAAAGCAACCTCCTTTACATCATTATCATCATCCTCATCCACTTTAGATTGTTCCCTTAGTAAATCTTCTTTCTGTGATTTGATCAACAGCTGCAAATGCGAAGCAAAGAAACAATCACCAAGCGGAGGCTCCGCTTTCAGTTCTTTCTCAACCATGAACCAGAACAATGCAGTCCAATCTAGCTTTTCCAACTGCTTCATATCACTTGCCCATTCAGCTATCTCTACAGGCATAATCCACATATCATCTCTTTGCAGTAGAACCCAAGTTGAAAAAATCTGATTGACAAACTTGATTGATTCATCCTTTTCCAGAATTTCTCTCTCCTCCTCTGTAACGACAATGTCCTTCTTCTTAGGCAATTTCAAGGCTCGAGCCAAATCAGGACGGCTGACATTAATCCTAGCATCATTTACATAGCTGCATCTACTCTCTGGACTATAATGAGCGATAAGGTCTGCTAATAGATCCTGACGGATATTTTGGTCGAACTCCAAGTGCACAAATTCCCAGAGACCTAGCGTCTTCAAGAGCTTTTCATGCCGAGCAAAATCTAGGGTTTCACTAGGGACGAAAGGAATGGGCTTTAAGGTTTTCACGAGTACCTCAAGCTTCTCCTTCGCCTTGGCTACCTGCTTGCGTTTCTTCTGATTCCCTTTCTTTCGCTTCGGCCCACCTCCACGGCGGTATACCGAAGAGCTAACGGCTTGTGTGGCGTCCATATCGTCCTCCTCGTTCCTACTTTCTTCAATCGACGCCTCTGGTTGCTGATCCTTAGCGTCGGGATCCTCCGGATCCAGCAGGTTCTTCGTTTCTTCCTGCGTGGATTCTAGATTTAGGGCTTCGTTGGCGACAGTATTTGCATTCTCCACGGAAACACTTCCCTGCTCTACGCTCGGTTTCTCGATAATACTAGGGCTCCGCGACAGAGTTTCTGGCTCTGCGACTGGATCTCGACAAGAGTCGGTGGGATCTGACGGAGAGGCCATGGCTAATTTTTTTCCTCGGAAATGCTAAACCGAGTCAATTTCACGGTCACGAGGCCAAAGCTTCAACGCCTTTCTCAAATGCATCAACCAGTCACGGAGAGACACGTCATCAATCCGAGTAGCCCCAGTTGAAGAGCCTTAACATCTCATGTGGGCCCCATTCACACTCCTTTACCTTTGTTAATGGGCTTTAAAGATCTTAAGAGAGGCCCCAAAATATATAAGATCAAGTTATTAACCGCTAAAATCCAGAATTTACACAATACACACCAAATTATTTTCTTTCGTCTCTTCAGATTCTCTCTCTCTCTCATCGCGTCACTGTTAGATCTTCCATTTTCCCGATACCTTTAACGGTAACTTTCTGGTGCCACTGCGAATCAGCGGCTATAAAATCCATAAATCGTCTTCATAAACGCTCCTTTGCTTGATCTTCCCTCTCTCTCTCTCTCTCTACTGAAATGAAGATGTATCTCCCTATGTGTCTTCATCTGCATCTCTCTCTCCTCGCCGCGACGGCGACAATATTAATGGTGGTTGCGGCTGCGCAGACCGGCGGTCAAGTGTTGCAGGTGGAGCTATGGTGCGTGGCGAAGAACAACGCTGAAGATCCCTCACTCCAGACGGCGATCGACTGGGCTTGTGGACAAGGCGGCGCCGATTGCGGTCCGATCCAGCAAGGTGGACCCTGCAACGACCCGACGGATATCCAGAAGATGGCGTCGTATGTTTTCAACAATTACTACCTGAAGAACGGCCTCGCCGACGATGCTTGCAATTTCGACAACAACGCCGCTCTCACTTCCATCAATCCCAGTAAAGCCCCTTTCTTTTTTTTAACATTCTTCTAAATTCGAAATCTAGTTCTGCTAGGGTATTGGAAACAGGATCGTTCATCATGGTCCATTGCTGTGAAATTTCAATTTGAATTGGTACATTTGTGCAGCTTGTTGAAGTCGTTTCTCATGTGTGTGTTTCAGGTCAAGGAACTTGCAAATACCCTTCGAGGTAACAAATTTGTGGCGTTTGAGTGATGTTTCAAACTGCATTTTTTATCAATTTTAAATCGATATGAAGTTTAGTGATTTGGTGATATGGATTCTTAATATCCTTATATGCTCATCAGTTTCCTTAAAAAGAGCAGATCTTGTTTTGATAAGAAGGAAAGTTACAATCTTTCCATGGTTCTGAGATTAGTTTTTACTTCTGGGAATATTTGGGTGGTGCTTTGTTCTCTGATGATTCACATCGATGACTATAACTTTATCTCATTTGTTCTGTATCCTTATGTAACTCAAACAATACACTGTAAATCTGATGGATGTGCAGTAAGGGAGTGAGCAATGGTCGAGTCGCGGATGACACAACAATGGGCGCAGGACAAGCAGATATGAGCCGTGGCAGACGGATTTCCAGAAGTTGGATCTTGGCCTTCATTGGGTTATTGACGATGACGCGGATAATTCATCTTTAGACCACACGCACAAGCTCATTGATTATGAGAAAGTTGCCATTTTGATCTCTGCCAAAGTTTACCAATGAAGAAAGGTCTAATATCTAATTTTCTGCCATCTTTTGATTCTATTGATCCCACTTGGAGTGAACACATGATTTGATAGCGTCAATGGGAATTTGTAGTGTGATATTTCTCTTTGTCAATGTATCAACCCAAACTGGTTAATAGATGTAATGTGAAATTCGTAATCTACAAAGACTAATACGGTATTGATTTGCAGAACAACGAATTTTGAGAGGGAACAATGTATAAATGTTCCACCAACGCCAATTAAAAAAAACTTTTGAAAAAGCAAAGAGAGTTTTGTGATTTTGTATAACCGCTATAAAAACATATGAAATCATTTTTGTTATGCCATTTTACAGCTATACGAATTCCGTCATTTCCAAATGTATGTATCTACCAATTCGAAACTTATTCTATATCAACGTTAATTACAAAAAACTGTGGCTAAATTCTACATAAAAATGGTATTGATTAGACAGAAAACCCACCTTAATGTGTGTGTGTGTGGTTTGCGTCTTTATTAATAAGCAAAAATTAGCCGGTTGGCAAAACCAAAAGTGTATCTACCCGAATTGAACCGAACAAATTATTAGAACTGCTCGAGCATCCGAATAGAGTTATTCGCGCTGCCAAACAAAGTGTCTAGCATTATCTCCTCCCGTTTCCCGTCGCCACCGAACACTCGACGGACTACGAACGCCGGTAGCCTAATCTCTTCGATTTTTCGCGGAGCGATTATCTGATATTGGTGAGCCTCTCCTCTTCTTTCACGTTTTGACTCTCGATGTGTCGTTTGTGTATATAATCTGAAAATTGCCGAGGTTGGGGGGAATTAGGGTTTGTGCTGCTAATCAAATGCTGAATGTATGTTTACACCATTCTCGTATAGGATATAGGGATTTTATTTAGGGATTTTTATCGCATATCAAGAGAAATCGATTCGTTTCGTTCAAGTTTCTGTTTGGAATTTTCTCGGGAAAAGAAGACATTTCACTTTATTGGTTGCAAATATAATCCAATTTCTCTGGGAATGTTGACGAATGATTTAGAAGGAACAATGATGACTATCTAGTGAAATTCATTTGCTTGATGATCTCTTATTCGTTATCACATCATAGTAAACGTACGAATCTTTTCAGAATCCACATTCAATCATATAGAACTACTAATGATGCATGTATAAGCATTTGTTGCACTTCTGAGATCTGTAGAACTATTAATGATGCAATTGATGTTTTGAGATATCGTGATAAAGCAGTTGGTTCCATTATCTTCTGAATCTTGACTTGTGCTTTAACTCTGCAAGATTTTTGAATTATATTCTCTCAGAAGGTAACTCGAAATGGAGAACATCGGGAGCATTAAGCCAGAAACGTCGCCTCTTCCTCTAGGGATCTTTGAGATACCAGGAGAACCTGCAGTTGTTATCAATGGCGTGCCTGATGAACCTGAGACAGATTGTATAAGTGCCAAAGACGAGCCAGTATCAAGTGGTGGCACCGTAGGAAGCGGCGAATGGCTCGAGGGTAGAGAAGTTCGGAAGTTTTTCTTGGGTCGGTACTATTCTGGTACGGTGACAAAGTTCGACAAAGAGACTAAGTGGTACATGGTTGAATATGAAGATGGGGATTCTGAAGAGCTTGACTGGTCTGAGCTAGAGGAAGTGCTTCTGCCTTTGGATGTTACTGTCCCTCTGAGATCAGTCTCGTCGTGGATCATCAAGAATCGACGAAGACAGGCCCAAGCTTAAGGACGCATGTCATAACGCTAGACCAAGAAAACTCCAACACAAAAGGATCTGGCTTGTTATCGTGCAAAGTGGATATATGGTGAAGCAGGAAAAAGAGATTTGCCTTCAAATTTGAAACACTTGAATAGTCGTCTTTTGGTAATTTCCTCACTTGAATATATTAGAGGGTAGATTTACTAGAGATAGATAACGTTTTTTTGTACGATAAATCATGAAATGTTGAAAATCAATCTTGATTGTAATAGAGAGAAAACAACACGAGTGTTGAAAAAGAGTGTGGAGAAGAAGAGTGTTCAAAACGACACAGTTTCAGTAATGGACATAAAAGGCAAAGGCAACCTGGGCCAAGAGGATCAAGCCCAGACTAAAAATGAAGACAAAGCCCAATGGAGATGCGTTGACTACATAGGTGTCTCCAAGTTTTCCAAATTTTTTTAATTTCTGTCTTCATTCTTTTCAAAAAAAAAAAATTGTTTAGCACGTCGCCTTCTTGTTTTCGCTCTCTATACATGTGTTGCTTTCAAATAATTAATCTGTTTTCTGTTTTCTGCTTTCAAGAATTAACCTGTTTTCTGTTTAATTATCGTTTTCTGCTTTCAATAACTTATCTGCTTGCAATAATTAATCTCCATGTGTATATTTTACAACAAATTAGATAGATGAATGAAGTTTCCTAGTATTAAATAGTTATAATCTTTTAGATGCGTTTAGTAATTAATACATGCCTCCAACGTTTTATATTTTTTTTATTGAACACATAGCTGTCTTTATTCTTTTCATTTTTTTTCTATTTGAACTTGATTAGTATAAAGCTACAAACAATTTTAAGAACAATTCCAAGATTTTGATACACATTAATGGGATTTGCTTGTTAGCACGTCTCCTTCTTGTTTTCGCTCTGGTTATCGAGCAAAACTATTATTTATCGAGCAAAACTATTATTCATACACTTGTGTTGCTTTCAAATAATTAATCTGTTTTCTGTTTTCTGCTTTCAATAATTAACCTGTTTTCTGTTTAACTATCATTTTCTGCTTTCAATAATTAATCTGCTTGCAATAATTAATCTCCTTGTGTATATTTTACAACAAATTAGATAGATGAATGAAGTTTCCTAGTATTAAATAGTTATATTTTTGTAGTTGCGTTTAATAATTAATACATGCCTCCGACGTTTTATATTTTTTTTTATTGAACACGTAGCTGTCTTTATTCTTTTCATTTTTTTATTTTATTTGTACTTAAAGAATAATTCCAAGATTTTGCTTGTTAAGCACGTCTCCTTGATTTAGCTGTTATTATCAAGCAAATATATTAATTATATACATTTTTTACTTTCAAATAATTACACTGTTTTGTGCATAAAGCATGCAAGCACTTCCACTAAATCGCAACAACGACCATCTTCGCCATGGCTAGACCTCTTCTTCTTCCTCTGTTCTCAGCTCTTCTTCTTGCTGCCGCCGTTACACAATCCGAAGCTTTTTCCAAAACAGTGAAGAAACCATATCCAGGACATAGGCTGGAGAAGCTAACCCACTTCCACTTCTACTTCCACGACATTATCTCCGGAGACAAACCAACCACCGCCATAGTGGCTACAGGTCCCAAAACAAACACCTCTGCATCCGCTTTCGGTTTGGTTGTAGTCGTCGACGACCCATTGACGGTTGGGCCCGAAATAACCTCAGAGGAAATTGGGAGAGCCCAAGGAATGTACTCATCGGCCGACCAGAAAACTTTTGGTCTGCTTATGAATTTAAACTTGGTGTTCACGAAGGGTGAGTTTTCAGGCAGCACCGCCGCCATGTATGGCCGGAATCCAGTAATGTCGAAGGTGAGAGAGATGCCGATCATCGGAGGCACGGGAGCTTTCAGGTTCGCAAGAGGATATGCACAAGCCAGAACTTTCCGCTTCAATACTACGAGCGGAGATGCTGTGGTTGAGTATAATGTCTATATTTGGCATTAATTCTTGACTTCTTTGGTGTTTTTTTCAATTTTTTTGTTTCTATGAAAATATGTAAAACTTGGTTGGATACAAAATGAAATGAAGGTGGAATAAATATTTTTTTTTCTATTTCTTGAATTGTTTTTGTGAGTTTGATGTATTCATTTCTAAAGAAACTGTCGTTAAGATTTGTATTTTATGTGGTGAATGAAAATTTTGCCTCTTTATGGCTTCAAACAATCTTATTCATCAACTTCTGACTTTTTTTTTTTCCGATTTATGTCGAAACGTGATTGTCTAGTGACCCACATGTCTCTTATGTCACCTCTTTTGAAGTTGTGGCCGTCGTAGATGTTGCATTGTGGGATTGTGGGGATAAGACTTTATGCTAAGAAATCAAACATAAATATCATTTGATATGGCTGGGCCAAAGCCCAATATGGATCTGATCACCTTTAAAGCCAATTGACCCAAATCGATTAGAAAACCAAAATACAAACCGCGGCATGTTCTGAAACCTTATTATAACATTAGCATAAACCTTACTGCTTAATTTAGTGGTTTTTTTTTATCAATAAAAATTAAAAAAAACCACTAAATTAAACAGTAAGGTTTTTACATTAAAAAGAAAATTATGACAGATCACTGGAAAAAACTTTGGAAGACACGTTTTGAGTCAAGTGAGTTAAGCAGTAAGGTTTCTCCTTAAATCTTTATTTTGTCTGTGGAAGTTCTCTATTAGATGCTTAATTAACCCCACGCGCAAATCATAACTATTGAGTCAAGGGGCATGTTGACCTAATCAAAATTTAAAATCAACAAAGATAGGAAACGTTTGACAAAAAATGCAATTGACAAGAGGTCGGGAGACATATATGACAATCTAGAGAAAGCTTCCCCACATACATCGATCTAACATCGTTAAGGCAATATCTGAAAAGATGCTCTCCCCAAATGGTGGTCCACACGATTTTTTTTTCACATTATATCAAACTCATCTATCATTTTCTATAATTCCAAATCATTGTGATAAAATAATTATTTCTTGTTTATAAAAGTATGCATTATATATTTATATTGTAGGGTTATGTCTAATTTTTTCGAAAATGATCTCTAACAACGATTCTTAGTATAATAAACCTGTAGAATTAGAATATAGAGTGTCTGAAAGAGTCATATGGGCTCATGTTCACTTGCATTTGTTGTATAATAAATTTTTTGCTTGTTTCTAATTTCCTCAAAGTATATAATTATAACCATAAAATTGATGTACTTTGTAGCTTTGTGAGATTACGTCTTATGATAGCTACAAGATATGCTTGTCCCTCAAAATATAAATCTTTTTTTTTACCTTCTTCTTACATGCATACGCAGGATTGTTACTTATTATAATGATTTGTGATTACAAGCTAAGTAGCTAACACCATCCGGTTCGTTTATGATAGGTTCGTACAAGCTAAGAATGTCTAAACATTTTTCATGCTCATGAGTCATAACATTAAAAATATTCATTCCTTAATTTTGCATCACACATTTTTTTATAAGAAACATCTTCTTAATTATATTGAATCTACAATCTGATTTTTTTTATAACAGATTTGGTTAAATTTGTGGATATGAGACACAGTCTTGATTGATTGCCACAATCAACTCAAGTGAGATTCATATATGAAACCTCTCAGAAACAATAACCTACAAGATCTGATATACCGTTTGATATAAATGTTTTTTTTGCATGGAGTACAATTTAACTTAAATAAACACATTTACTTTGTTGTTATTTAAAAAGAAAGAAAAAAAAAAAGAACAAGTAGTGTATGAAAACGTATATATATATACATGGAAAGAAGAGTAGTGGAGGAGTTGCATGGAAGAAAAGAAGGAGATGAAGCAGAGAAAGTGAGAGGTTAATGGTCCCTTCACCAAAAGCCATTTAATCTCTGAAGCATATGACTATGACTTTAATGGCAAAGCAAAGCTGTTAGGGTTTCGGAGAGACTTTGTGGGGTTCGACTCCATTCAACGGGCCTACCAATATTTTGTGTGATTTGTTTGGTTTGTAAATTAAGACCTCTAGACTTAAACCTATTCAGTCTTTTCACCAACATGTGTCATCTTACATAGTCTTTCCTAACATACATTTTTGATGTGGTTCGCTAGATTTTCTATCTTCACTTGTCTTCACGCTTGTGGTCTCGATATGTAGACCGAATTGGCGCATTTGTTTATATAAATTTCATCGAATATTTAATCTAAATATCTATTATTTTAAATCAACTTGCTTTATTTTGCGGATGTTTTCCCAATTCATAAGGGACCGTACCAATCATGGAAACTTATCAACTCTCACATACATAAGTTTAAGTTTGTCTAGCTAGAAGATCCTGAAAGCATTTTGATGATTTATTTATATCGCTCTTATCTGATTACATGATAATGACTATCACACACAACAAAAGACTTCAATTATATTATGTCATCCAACAAGTTGATTACCAACATTAAATCATGTAAGGACCACTTCTCTTTATGTCTCTAACTATGTACTCTCTACAGAACATCTTTGCATGAGAGAGGGAGATGAAATAACTATAAGCTGGTCCTTGAGAGAGAAGACTAATTCTTTGTCTCTTAGATCTATAAATAGTAACATCCCGCGTATGTAATATATATAGAGAGAATTATAAGCAAATATGTGATCAAAGAGTACACACCTAACTTCACGTACGTTGGTGGTATAATGAAACCCATTTACCTAATAACTGTCAACTCGATTTAGTATATCATAAATTTACCATGACCCATTTTCTTCTCCATAAATGTTGTGTCTGTTTCATTAATTCTCGTGATATTTTGTTTCTTCCTCCCCATATGGATTTGGATATGCTTATTGTTAATTGAATCAAGAATATATGTTCTATCCCGAAAACGCTGAATGATAAACTGATTTGAAGAACTAAAGAGTTTAAATTTGGTCAAGATGGTTGTATTATTTAAGATATTTAAACTGAAGTAAAACATGGATGACTAAAATCTTTATAGGAATACATACAGAAATATATATTTGATCAAAATTTTGAATCAATATTGAAGTAAAGATCGTACAAAACTGATTCTGATACAAATCAGTAATATTTCTTTTATAGTCGAAATACTGATAAATCCTAATGAAACACGAATTGAATATTCATACCTTGTGTCCCAACATATGGAGAACCACTTGTGAGAAATTAAGTAACAAAAGTAGATATTAGGAACCAGACGGATCAATGATTTTGAAGGGAAGTTTTGTTTGTTGGGGAAGTGATGGATAGAAATGCTAATTTCAAACTCAAAAGTTAGTGGATTTTGAAGGGAATCCTATTAAAATGAGTAGTGATTCTAGTTTACCTGATTAGCTGATTCTATATTAGGTTTTCCGAGGCTTATATAAAGGATTTTTAGAGTTTGTCTTTATTTTCACAAGTTTTAATAAATTGCCTCACTTTCAATATTTTTATTATATGATCATGTTTCTATCCGGTAAGACCAACTTTTACTAGCTAACACATATGTTCACCACTCTTAAAATAACTATCAACCTCTTCAAAAAAAAAAATTAGAAGCCACCAACCTTCTGACAAAAAAAAACTAAAAAATAATTGAATTACCATAAACAATGGGAACCACAGTTCTATATATAAACGTTGCCTTTTCTCTCTGGAACAGTCAGCCTCACAACTCATTATTCACTCATTGTTCCTCCCTCTCTATGGCTGGTGAAGAAACAGAAACTCAAGATTTCATGAACGTTGAAACCTTCTCTGAGCTTCCATTCTTCCGTCGTCCTCCCTACAAAGATAAGAACCCTAAACCCATTCGTCTCTTCGGCAAAGACTTCGCCGGCGGAGATTACTGTGGCACCACCCGTCAAGAAGACTACTCGGATTCCTCCGAGCCCAAAAACAAAAAAGACGAAGAAAAAGAAGAAGACCAGACCGGAGATAACGGTAAGGACAGTAGTATCAATAACAGCAGCAGAAGATTCGAGTGTCACTATTGCTTTAGAAACTTCCCTACTTCACAAGCCCTAGGTGGACACCAAAACGCTCACAAACGCGAACGCCAGCTTGCCAAACGCGGTGCTTCCTCTTACTTTCATCATCACGACGCTAACCTCTACGGTTACCGTCATTACCCGTCGTGGAGCAGCGGTCCATTACAAGCGGCTAGGTTCTATGGAGGACAAACTTCTGGTCTAACATCGCCGTTTCACAAACGACCGGTCAATGGGAGTCTGTTGGGACTAATGCGTGCACCTCCTTCTTCATCTGGCGTTCAAGGCGTTTATAGCCCAAACGCAGCGTTTACTAGTCAAGAATATTCTTCTTTTTCTAACTCGGCGTTACCGTTGTTGGCCGGTTCTCAGCCGCATCCACCGTCGCACGTGGGTGGCTCAAACGCTCAAAACCGAATGTTGTCGTACCGGTATGGTTTGAGTCCTAATGTGCAAGATCATGTGAGTCTCGATCTTCATCTCTAACGTTACGAAAACAAAAATAAATTTAT